CATATTGTAGGGAAAGGCACCGATCAGCTTGATCAGTTTGACAAGCTTTGTGATGATGAGTTTCTACCTTTTCGAACCTACTTCTATTTTATATCTTATATTTGGGACAATATAGATGTGGTAAAATGCTCTATTGTACGGAGTATATATCATTAACATCGTGTAGTCGTAAGAACAGCAATCATCATATAGTACAAGAATCCGACCACGTTTCTAGAACTCCAACTCTTCTACTTCCATTCCGCAATCGACACAGCGCTTGACTCCGATTCCAGTTTCTGGGTTTTCAATCGACCGTCCCCACTGATGGACATGTCGCCGCCCATTCCCCAGGTCATCGCCAAAATTGCCACCAGAAGCCCCTTGGCGACTCCGTCGGTATGCGTCAACTCGAGTGCGCTTTTTCAAGTCCTGGAGTTTATTCTTGAACTTGGTCTCTCGTCGCTGCTTCTTGTCGTTCTCACGTCGTTCAAATTCGGCGTCCAACGCTTCTGGAGAACCCCATTTCTTGGGGGAGAAGGCGTAATCTTCCACCTGAAAGCGCAGATATAGCATCATGTTGTTCCATGTCGACTTGTGTGGATTTGGCCGTTCCAGGTGCGGTAGAAGTTCTTCATCTCGTAATTCGGCTGGGAAGAAAAGAGCTAGTCAATAACAGGATTACCGAGAGAAGGCGGATCAGCATAAACTTACGATCTGTTAATAGGTAATCCTCCTTGGCCTCAGTCTTAGTTAGAAGACTATACTTCTCAGGGTACTTCTCTTTGCAAGCATGGCACACGCAGCAACGAAGCATTTCCTCCCATTTCCAATCGATCTCCAGACTGCCACATTCGCGACACGCCTTCTGCTTACTCCGATCCTCCAAGACACTCAGCCCCGGTTCAAACGGCCCCGTTCGATCACGACGTAGCGACTGAAGAAGTTGTTGCTTTTCCCATTCCTTCTGTGTCATATGGGCTGGTTTCTGCTCGGCCTTTTCGTCTCGTATGTGCAATGCGCGGTTGTGGGGGTCATCCTCCTCGGTCAAGAAACCCCCTTTGGTGTCTGTCATCTTGCTGAAGTCATATTCCACGTATTTAGTGAAGTTGCGAGCCGGTCTGATGGTGTCCAGGGGACGCTTTGCGTTTGCACTGCCATCTCGGACGTTCGCAGGAGTGTCGGACGCGGTCATGGAAGAGTAACTTCGCTTGACTCCTGATGCGCTAGAACCCCGGGCCTCTTCCGCTTCCCGCTGCTCACGGATCGCCTTGGCTTTCATGCGATTGACTTCCTATATTGATAGAGGACCTTGTCAACAGAGAGCTTTTTTAACGGAGGCGGAAACACCTACGATTCGGCGCAACTGTTCTGGGGTGAGAGGCGGACGAGACATGTCTCCGGGATTTCCGGCCTTGGAGTCCGTCGGTGGGGTGGAAGGGCGATGTGATGACATTGTCGCTAGATAAGTACGATCCTGTAGAGAGGGCTGATCACTGTCGCGATCGAGATTGCGGAGGAAGCCTTGTCGCCGCCGTTACACGTGACGATGACATTGCATAATTACATCACGTGATGGAGTTTATTCTCGAGGCGGTTGGTTTGGGGTCATGGTATATGCCGTTCCCATTATCAAGGATAGAAATCACAAGAGAAAAGGCCATGGCAAAGACTGTCATAAGACCCCAGAATCAACGTATATCGTACACAGATGATATGCAACCAACGGCAGTCGAACACGGCTCCACTATGGACTCGTCCAGGCCATTCCAGATTGGGCAACTTTCTAGAATCTCCGCCGTGAGCCTGCGGGGTCAAAGGCAATATATGTCACAGGATCTACATAGCATTACAGCAGCATCAAGACATGGAGTACTTCCCGATAGATGATATATGGCTAAAATATGAGTATAAGATTCAGTTATAGGATTTCAGCCAGTGATTCTCTGATCAGAAGAGTGGTCTCTGCACACAAAATGATAGGAGGATAGAATCTGTATAGACCACGTGACTGCACTAAGAGTCATCTCTATTTTTTGCCCCTCATCCTCACATTTTCCTTGCGACTCTTCAATCTGCCAGTATCGACCTCAGTGATCATGCCGCTCATTCAATCTGAGGAACAGCCTCAGGCTGGATCAGTATCCGAGCTACCGGACAGACTTCCCTTTCCTCCGATCACGTACTCCCATATCTTGAACTGTTCTTATCAGAATTGGCATCCGCGGTATGCTCCCCTCGTGTCCCTGGGCCCCTCCAGCTTTGTAATAGCTGCAACTACTGACATCAACTGTACCTAGCTATCGCACCTTCACCCCGAAATCTCGAGCCATTCCCTTGACCCCACAATTCGTCTCGTGGCTCCGCGCCGATGGGATCGTCCTACCGCCAGACGAGGCGCGGCCGACCGACCCCGACGACGATGATGACACCTTCTCCGATGACGACGCAGACGAGGAATCAGATCCATCGACCGAATGGCGAGAGATTCATGACCGCGTCAAGTCCACGATTGCCGAGTATGGAGGCATAGTCACCCCGAAGCTCAACTGGAGCGCGCCGAAAGACGCAACTTGGATGGCGGCGACAAACGACCTCCAATGTCAAAGCCCGAACGACATCTATCTTCTCCTCAAAAGCAGCGATTTTATCACGCACGACCTGGAACACCCGTTTGACGGCTGCGTCGGCGATAGCGCCGAGGACACTCCCTCTCCCCCGCCTGAAGTCCCCTACAGTCTTGTCCTCCGCAAATACGTGAACTTCAACCCTGCGCTTGAATTCCGGTGTTTCGTGCGCAACCGTGTCCTGCTCTGTATGAGCCAAAGGGACCAGAACCATTACGACTTCCTCTTTGAGATGCGCGATGAACTCCGGTCCCGGATTCAGGCCTTCTTCGACGAGAAGCTCAAAGATACATTCCCCGACCCCAACTTCGTCTTCGACGTCTATGTGCCACAACCCTACCAGCGTGTGTGGCTAGTCGATATCAACCCGTGGGCTGTGCGAACGGATCCATTGCTATTCAGCTGGCTGGAAATTCTGAACAAGAAAGACCCCATCGGCATCCAAGAAGACGACGGAGTGGAGGAACAGTTCGTGAGAATTTCTCTCAACGGCGACATTACCACCCACAACGGCGCAGGAGAAGAGATCGAAGATATCGACTCCGAAAGCGACGACGACGAGGACCTCGACGAAGACGACGAAGACTCGCCGTTCCTCCCGGAGTTCCGTCTCATCAAGCGCGACGACCCAGAAGCGTATGCGTTCACGACGACCCAGTATTCGGCCCACAAGCTGCCTCAAGAGGTGGTCGAGGCCTCCATGACTGGACCAGGTGGTATGAGCGAGTTTCTGGGCAAATGGCAGGACATTCTTGCCAAGCAAGCGCAGGAATCGGATACAGATAGCGAGACTGCGTGACGGCTTTCTTTTTATGTTAACTTCCCTCTTCGGTTATCTTTGGCGGCGTTTATTTACAGGCACTGCTTTGCATCTGGGCTAGATGGCGTTTTTAAAAATACGGCGAAATGTGCCATCATTACAAACATCCCACTGTATCTGTTAGTCGGCTGAAATCCCACTTCTTGGTTTTCGGTGCAACATCATTGCATGTGTAATAGTATATGCTGGTATAAGAGCGTGGGAGTAAACGTAGATAACGATAGTAACCGAAAAATGCGAGCGGTCAACCATTACAGCTTATGCTTTTTCTCCCCCGAGGCCAACCTTCTAAACTCTTCCTGAGGCACCCCCTTCAGGAACCGCTTCAAGCCCTCAAACACCTCAATCCCATTCTGACGGTCCAAAATCTCCCGCTCCGGCCGACGGATCAGCTCCTTAATCTTCAGCAAACTGGACTGGCTCAGATGAGAACCAAGGCGTTCATCGACCTCCTCCAGCACCTTCTTCAGGAATCCAGCCGAATCGTCCGACTTGCCAGACGGGGCCGCGATGACCTTGTTTACGAAGCCCGTCGCCACCAACTCGTCACACGTAATCCGCTTGCTCATGATGAGGGCTTCGTTAGCCTTGGCGATACCGAGACGCTCGACGAGAGCGCGCGAGGAGCCACCTTCAGTGACGAGACCCAGCGACGAGAAGGGTGTCAGGAGGAAGGTGTGCGGGGCGGCGTAGATGAAGTCGGCCATGGAGATCAGCGCCGCGGAGAGCCCGACGGCGGGGCCGTTCAGAGCGACGACGAGGATTTTGGAGTGGTGCGCGAAGGTGTGCGTCAGGTCGAAGTTGTTGACGACGAAGCTGCGGGTTAGTTCGCGCCGCACGTTGGTGCTGGTTTCGGCGCTGGGGCGCACTGCTGTCACGTCTGCGCCGCTGTGGTTGGCGTTAGATCGGGCCTGGTTTGATCTCTGGGGGACGGTAGTGCTTACGCTGAGAAAAACCGCCCGCTGCCGGTCAGGACTGTGGTGAAGATGTCATCTCTCTCGTCGATTTCTCGGAGACGTTCGCCGAGCAGGTAGTAGAGGTCTGCGTTGAGCGCGTTCAGCTTATCGGGGCGGTTCAGAGTGACGATGGCTACCCGATCTTGGTAGGTCACTGTGATATTTTGGTCGGCCATCGTGAAAGGGGTTGAGGGGAGACAGTAAAAGTGAGTATATATAGCTGGTAATACAAGTCTAGCAGACGATAGCGACAGTTCAGAGAGACTCCTTGATCGATCGAAGCGGATCACTCGATTTATCAATGGCTGTATAAACACCTCGGATGCAAAGAGGGGAAACTCGTTAATTGATGAGAAGAATCCACCAGGAATCCTGGGTTCGTATGGGGCAGAGATCGTCTGGACGGTAAAGGATCTCTTGGAGAAACAGCTCCGGCTGATGTTTTGCGGGGAGACCGACGGACCGAGATCCCAGCCGAGGCTCATGGGGAGTCACGGGAACACGCGGTCGATCATCCACATCAGATCGATAGTTGTCGCAAACCGCCTCTGCTTAACAATCTCAAAGAAATCCGCTTTATTGGAAGGGTATCACTAAGGTATCAAGGAATTACATACAATAACACCGGTCTGGTGCGCCAGCCCCTGTAACTTTCATCAGTATTCAACTCCGGGATTTCATCCACGCCCGTCCGGAACTTCATAGGGGACCAGCCGCTCACTGCACTGACCCGTTACAGCCACTTTGTACCTTTACAAGGCGCCGGAGAATTTCCTACCGGCCCAGGAAGAGCCATTTTCTTGGTACTCTTGGCGAGTTATGGCGACTCTCTTCAGTTCCTCCTTGTTAGTCGCAAACCGTGCACCTCCGAGCCATGCGAACCGGATCGGACTGTTTCCAAATTGTTAGCATGTCTGCAGTGAATGACAGAAAGAGAAATCAGCGACTGACTCTTGAGGACGCCGTACTCTCACCACGCACTCTGTGGATGCGGTCTGACGTAACTCGGTTTCCCTAAATTGAACCAAGTTAGCAGCATTCAAAATTGATATGGTGCATGGGACCCATACAGGCGATTCATGAATCCCGGCAGCAAGGCATTTCCGCCAACAACCAGCACATTGGCCAGGAAGGCGGGATGCAGTCCGGTTGGTAACACAGACAGGCTTTGCAGAATGATATCCGGAATCCCAGCCTGTTTCATACCGATATCGCCCGGCGTGAACAGGATTTCCGGAACGGTGAAGCGCTCATTGCCCAAAACCAAAACATCTTCCGATAACAGCGCTGTTTCCGAACCGGACAACGTGCTCTTTCTCTTTTTGAGGTTCAGGAGGGGATCATGGGGTCGCATAAACCCCTTGACGCCGGCATTGGGATCAGGAAGAACATAGTCCACAACGACACCCTCGCTGGGGTCGGGGTGACCACGCTTCCGATTTCCTTTCCACGCTTGTTCCATTTCACCGGGGAAATTATTGCTCACGAAGCACACCGCTTCCTTGACATCGTTCATAATATATGTCTCATCCACCATGTTGTACTGCCGCATCGATACCATCTCCTTCAGGTAGTTTGTAAGATGCTTCCCACCGAGATCCAGTCGACGGATGCCACGCTGAAGAGGTCGGCCTTTGTAGACAGGGGTCACCGTGGTGTGTGAAAAACCGGAATCAACGACGAGGAGGCATTCTGCTGGTGAAATGGGGCCGTCCGGATTCTGTACCAGGGGATCTCCGAACAGAGACTGGATTTCATTCCAGGCATTTAACGAGGGGCCTAGTATGAAAAGTATAGTCAGCAAAGAGTTGGAAGCATTCCGCGATGCCATTTTATCGCCTCACCTATGGTTCTCAAGTAACCACCAAACCCCCATTCCTCCATTACTATCTCATCGGCATTCTTCTGTAATATCGGCAACGCGTTGGGGGCTTCCGTCAGGACCAGTGTCGTCTCCTCCGGGCTCGCAATGCGCAGATCTTTGCGCGCCGTCTTCTCGTCAAAGAACGAATGCTCCCATATCTCCTTCTCCGCCTCCCAGTTGACGATGTATCCCTTCTCGACCGGGCGTCGAAACATCAACTCGTTCCAATCCGTGACGTGGGTGTGGAGCTGCGAGCCGATGTAAACACGATTGTTCCGTGTTTTCGTGAGCGCGTTCGGTATCGTAGCGCATGTTGAGAGGAGTTGTGATCCATCGTCTGAGGAAATAGATTCGGGCGCATATCCCGCTTTCATCGTATGTGCCCCATTGTCGATGACGAAAGTCTTGCTCGGTAGCGATGGCGCTTTCGCGATGGAATTTCTCCCGGAGGGGCGAGGCTTAGTCGTGCCCATATCCTTCGTGTTTTGAATTATGGATCCTTTCAGTAAAGTTGCCGATTACACAGAGCCTCCCAGAATGAGCAGGAATGATAAGAAAAGTCAACAGGAAGCTTTGCTCTGAGAGGTAAGTTCGTCGGCGATAAAGCGGAGAGATCGGCCGCTGGATAGGTGGGTGGGTTTGCAGTGTTTGCATTCTTTACATGCGAGTATGCGTAGCTTTGTCATGCTCATTTATCGGCTTGTCTGATACATTCCTCCCCAGTAGGAGGAGTTAATTCTTTACAGCCCAATCTTTACAGAGATAAGACCAACAGTGACTGCTTTGCTGCCCCTGAGGGCAAATCCCACTGATTTGGAGAAGCGCATCTAGACACAAACCACGTGACACGGAAGTCGGTCGCGTTGCCTCCGCTCCGCGCTCCATTCCTTTTTTTTTTCTTGGCCGATCGCCGGTCTTGCCGCATCTGGTTCACTATGCAACAGGGATCGCTGGAATGGATGTGAAAAACCTCTCCAGTAATTGGAAGAAGCTCCAGGGTTCCATCAAAAAGGAGAGTGCTTCTTCCCTCTCCACAAAACGCAAGAACCCCGATTCCGTGGACGAAAATGGTGTGGTGAAGAAACGGAAATCAGAGTCAACCGCCGCAAAAAGGACCTTCGACCAGACGCGCATCACGAAAAAGCGAAAAAGGATGCCCGAAAACAGCTCGAGTCAGACCGATGATGGTGCCAAAGAGGCTGCCGGACAGTCCACCTCACGGAGAAGTTCGATGTCCGCGAGTCGGACGGAAACAAAGACTGCCAAAGCCAATGAAGGGCGATCCAAAACGTTAGTATTCCCGTATTACGGTTTCATTTTAAGATTGATGGGATCGCTTGCTAAAACACATCTTCTGTCTGCAGTGCCGAGATCGGTAAATATATCGCGATGGATTGCGAGATGGTGGGCGTCGGGCCCAATCCCGACAGCGCCTCCGTGCTCGCTCGTGTGAGTATCGTCAACTACAACGGCGAACAGATCTACGACTCTTTCGTGCGACCCAAGGAAATGGTTACCGACTGGCGAACACATGTCAGTGGCATATTACCGAAGCATATGGTCGATGCTCGTACGCTCGAGCATGTCCAGAAGGAAGTCACCGAAATTTTGGATGGGCGGATCCTCGTGGGACATGCGCTGAGCAACGATCTGTACGCCCTCATGTTGAGTCATCCCAAGCGTGATATCCGCGATACCAGCAAACACGTCCCGTATCGGAAAGTCGCGGGAGGTGGATCTCCTCGTCTGAAGGTTCTGGCTTCCGAGTTTCTCGGACTCAATATTCAGGATGGGGCGCACTCCAGTGTGGAGGATGCTAAAGCAACGATGCTACTTTACCGGCGGGATAAAGACGTGTTCGAGCGAGAGCACGCAAAGAAGTGGCCGGCGCGTGTAGCCGTGGAGAAGACGGCCGACTCGGAAGGGGACAAGAAAAAGAAGAAGAAGAAGAAGAAGACACGCAAGAGGTGACCGTCTTCATCATGACAATCACTCCGCATTCTATGATAGACCTCCTTGAAATAAAGATACCCTACATACATTCTGGATACAAAGTTCTATTCTATAATCCTTTCTATACTCCGTACCTGAAAGTAGACAGGCGGAACCGTGCGGGGAGTTTCCGTTCTGCATAAGATGAGTTTGATATGCGTTTGTCATAGTTATGCATGATTATACAGGGAATCATACCAATTAAGCCTAAACTGGACTAGCGCGTTCTTTCGCTGAACTTCTGGATAGGCTCAGATGTAAACCTCAGTCAAAGAGTTCACAACAATTCCAGATATAGATTAATTGCAATGCCTCGGATTCCCACTACAACAATTCTGCAGGCATACCGTCAACATCCTCTTCTCCCTCGCCTGTTACAAGAATGCCGCACGTTAGATTCTGCAAGAAACGAACTGCGATGGCTCCGTGAGCGAGCCAGCAGTATTGCCAGCAAGAGTACTGGGAGATCCACCATTGGATGGAGGACCCTCCTACGGTCTATGTGCAGAGCGCGCTCAAAAGGAGTGCCCCTGCAATACATCCTAGGAGATCAACCTTTCGGAGACTTAGAGATCCTCTGTCGAAGAGGAGTATTGATTCCCAGGTGCCTTGACTTTCACTTGCCCCAATTATGTATACCCGAGTTATCCGCTGATGGTATGTTATTCTTCCAGGCCGGAGACAGAGGCGTATACTGTCCATACGGCAGATTTGATACGGTCCTATCTCCGAAGCTGTGAACGGCGTGGGGAAGCGAAAGATGACAGCCTGCGTATTGTAGACATTTGCAGCGGCACTGGATGCATATCACTCTTGCTGCATGCGCTTCTAGCTTCTCATCTGAAAAAGCTGTCCGTTCTTGGGATTGATATCAGCACCACGGCTCTTGATCTAGCCCATCGGAATCTGCAGCACAACCTTAGACTAGGTCTATTGTCTAGTCGTGCAGCGGAGGAAGTCTCTTTTCATCGCGGCGACGTGCTTGATTCTAACGGCAGCGGTATTCCCAGTGTGAAACAAGTCTTGCTTGACCAACCAGACTTCTCTTCCCATGGAACCGCTCAGTGTGACATCCTGATCTCGAACCCTCCATATATATCTATGGAATGTTTTCGCAATGGCACCACCGCCCGTAGTGTACGACACTTTGAACCCCAGCTGGCATTGGTGCCACCTACTCGACATACATCTACCATGACTGGCGTTAGCAACCCAGAAGATGTCTTCTACCATCGCATCATATCGCTCTTCTTCGAGCTGCAGGCGAAGCTTCTAGTGCTTGAGTGTGGAGATCGCCCGCAGGCCAGGCGTGTAGTCAGTGCTTACACAGCGCTAGCAAATCAGTTGGTGCCAAACGATGGCATGTCGGTCGAAATCTGGCCAAAGGATGAATTGGCTGCAGATAATGATTGTCCTGATGTGGATAATGAAGCATGCGCTGTTATCATACAACCAAAAAATGGAAACCCATGAAATTGGCGCCGCAATTGACATTCTCCGGTGAGAATCAGAAAACACAACCGAGACTTTCCAGGAGCCATATCGGACTGGGTCAATGTTCGCTCGTCAAGCCCTCGAGCAGATGGTGGTTGCATGACGGTTTTGGAGAAAGTGTCCGACAGTACTCCAAAACATGGCGTCCTCCTCACCGGCACCTTGAAAGAAGTAGGGAAGTGGAAGTTCAAAGGCGGCCATTGCAACATTTGCGCCTGGTTTCTCACGGTATCACTTTCTCCCTCAATCAGCATGACTCCCGCATATCACATCTACACTTTCTAAAAAATATATCATCTATCTTGAAGCCCGGTCGTTGAGATTGTGCATCAATTCGCAGTTTATCTATACTGGCCTATTGATGCATATACCAACAAAGTTCTGCAACCCAACATTGAATATGGCAAGATTCATGCCCATTTCCCTAACAACCCCATCAAAGCCATCCCGGCAACTAGCGAGATACCACCTGTTGCCACTCGCCCTAAGGGCGCATTCAGGAGTTCCCCACCATCAATAACCCAGTCGCGCGCCCACATGTCGACCACACCGACCCAGACGAGGATGCCAGCCGACAGGGCGTCAAGCGTGCCCAGTGCGACCAAAGTGCTGCGCTCGTTACCATTGAATGAATTCAACACGCCTAGTCCGATCGCCATACCAATCGGCGTAATGAGCGCAAACGCCGCTGCCATCAACGCCTTGTGCGGGAACACTTTCCCCGGAAGCAGAGCAATGCGCGCTCCCAAGGCCATACCTTCGAAGAACTGGTGAAAGATGATGACCACCAGCAGGGTCTTGTAGAACGAGTCGCCGGCTACGACGAGCGTCACGCCAATGAGCACGCTGTGGAATATCACACCTGCCTCCATGACCAGCACGGAGAGTTTGGAGCTGGGTCGTGTCGGGTCCATAGGAGCGCCGTGGTTGTGGCCCAATGAGGCGAGCGTCATCGCCTGGGATTGTTGATGCGTCGGGCACTCCTTGGGTGAATGTGCGCCGCTTTCGGGTGTTGAGTCGCAGGCGGGTAATCTGGAGGCTCGCGCAATGATCACGCGGTGTCCAATGTACTCGGTTAGGAAAGCGATGAAGAGCCCCGCCATTACTACCGCCGAGGTTGTGGCTTCGAAATCGAGTTCACCTAAACAGTCATTGGTGAACATGAGGTTGGCATGCGTATAGAGCTGTTGGCTGTCAGCATCGATCATCTTGTTTACAAATAGGGCAAGACGAAATTGGGGGAATGCTAGAACGGAGAAGGAGAACTCACATGGATAAACGCTGTCGAGATAATCACGCCGGTCCCAAACTGCTTAACAACTGTCGAGACCCACGTGTTGAGAGAATGAAAAGGTAACAGGGCCAGCAGCATGGGCAGGGAAACACCAATGCTGCTGGTAACCAAGACCACGAACAAGGTCCCAATCCGCAAGGGCACGTCATAGTCACGGCCTTGGATACCGCATGATGACTCGCTGGAACCACCACTCTCGCCTTCATTCTCAGATTCCCCGGGTCCCACGCAGTGTCTGTTCTGGTCATCAGTATGGTTCTCGTGGTTCCATCATTCAGAAAAGGGGTTGGCATACTCAACACCAGCGTGGAAATGACAATTCTTTTCGCCGTGGCCGGAGGATTCACCCGAGCTCTCACTGCCGTGTTCATGACTATCTTCTGCCGCGGCCCCTTCCCCCATGATCTGGACTTCATTCCCACCGTCGTCCTTGCAGAATCTAAAGAACGAAACAACAAACAATCAGTACACTGAGCACGAAACGCTGGTAGAGGAAGCCCTGCTCACCGTTCTTCTCCATGAGAATGGCACCCAGTGAACTGTGCCGGCATCTCCCCCGTGGGAGTCGAGGTCATAGACACCTGAACTTCAGAGCCATCGCCATCGATGCAAAAGACATCGTCTCCGTGACTGTGGCACCCAGTCACGGCCGATGCGGCAGCCGACGACGTAGTCGTCGCTGGAGACTGCGCATGCACCGCGCTGGTCGCAAGGGATGCCAGAACAAGACCACGAAAGATGGAGAGCATATTGACAGACTCTTTCCTCTGCGGGGCTAATAGTCACAAAGTGAAAAAAAGAATCTAGAGTCCTGCTCAGATTCTTTATATGCACGTTTCTCTTTCTCCCAAGGTTAACGGGACCAAGCGCCTTCACCACGGTTTTTTCGCAGAGTAAGATTTATTTACCTCGTCTTTTATTTAACGGTTTCTATCATACATCGCATGGGTCCTCATTCATTTTAGTGACTACGACATGACCCCCATCAGCCAACACTCCACCACAGAGTTTTTCATTACGAGCGCGGTCATTGGCAGCGACCCAGTAATTCAAGGCACGGCACGAGCAGACTAACTCCCAAGGTGCCCATCGCCAAGATGGAAAAGCCAAGACACAACCATCGAAAACCATAGCCATGACCGAGAAAGGAACGAGACTGTGGTAGAGCAAAGGCTTGTTCACCCCAGGGTCCTCACCCGACGTCCTTGGCATGTTCCGCCCACTTTCTTGGCAAAAAGCAGGGAGCTGGGTGTCGCCCTGGCCCTAACCCCTCGGTTGGCTTCTTCTTGTGGTGCTGTGATAGATCGTTATGAGAGCAATATGTAATATTGGTCGGAAGATGCCCGTGGTGCGTGATTTGATGCCCACAGGGTCGTTCCGCAGGGTCCTTTCTGGCATGTTTCTCGTTGATCTCGTCGGATACCTCCGAAATTGCTTGAGGATTGTATCGGGGATTATTCCAGTATTCAATGCCAAGTAGCGTAATCTGTCCTGAGTAGGGACAGGTCGCCTTCATGATGGGTTCATACATACCTACCAACCTTCCCCACACTAGTAACTAACTAGGGCATGGTTCGAGCTCTACAGGGTACGGCACTCGGGAAATAGTGCTAGAACAGACAAGACCTAGTAGCCCATTTTGGTCGAAACTAAGAAACGAAAATCCCAAACACCCAGTCCCAACTCGTAACACATTATGCTATGTACAGCTCTAGTCAAACGGAATGGGCCGCAACCCGGACCCCCCCACGCGCTTCCGCATCTCAGCGCCTGCGGCCACGCTACTCGGAACCTTAATCCCACAGCAGTCGCCGAAATGGTCTGTTTTCATGCCGTGGGGGTGACCGTCACTGTGGGCGTGGTCGTGGTGGTCGTCCTCTTCCTCCAGATCCTGTGCGCCCTCTCCCATCCCTGGGGCGGGTGGCAGGAGGCTACCGAATAAGAAGTGTTGCATGATGGGTAGCTTCCCCAGGACCTCTTTCACAAACATTTTCTTCATGCCGCCCTCGATCTTGGTCCAGTTCTTGGCGCTGGAGATGTCATCTAGCATGGGGCTGTGCCACCGTAGGCCCTTGACTGTCTTGACGCTGTCTACCCATCGCACTTGATCCAGGTAGATGTATCTGTCGCCCTCTTCGTCCAGCACCGCCGAATTGTGGATCCCCAGCGGGGTGATGTAGGGGTGGCCGACGAGCTGGGAAGCGCCGAACAAGAACGGCAGAAAGTGGTAATCATCGAGGCCCCAAACGCCATGGGACCCTGCAGGTTCCAGGTAGTACGTGCTCTGGACCTCGCGCATAAGGTGCATATAATCGACGTAGACACGGAACACGATCAACTCAAAATCTTCAGTGGAAAAGACCCCCAGCTGCCGGAGACACAGCAGCCACATCATGAAATTCAATTCATGACCTGAGCCATAGTCGAGACGGTCTCGCGACCCCAGCGAATGGACAAGATAGGTGGACAGTTCATCGATGGCGCTGGCATCCTGCAGGCCGAGAATCTCACGATGCCAGGCGGCACTCTGCGAACCGATGTCGTCAAAGAAGTCGCGGAACGCGGGATTGCCGAATCGCGAGCCTCCCTGATCGGCAGACGGGTGTTGACCGAGAACCTCCCGCATGCAATCAACCACAGACCGGGTTTTGGAAACACCTGGTGATGCAGGACGCTTCTCGGCGTCTGTGGAGGATCGCCCCCGCACTGAATCAGAGAGACCGAAAATGAAGGCGACGATCAAGGTGTAGGTGGGGGACGATAGGAACAGTTCATGGTCATGTCTCGATAGAATCCGACGAGCAGGTCGGATATATTTGTTCGATGATAGGTCTGGGACAGCGGGGAGGGCAGGGGTGGGAGGTGCTGGGTCTCTGTTGGGCCCGGAGTGCGACTTGCTCTTGGTGGATCGAAGTTCGGAGAGCTTCTTGGATAGGTCAATGTGGGGTTTGGGGCCCGGCTTGGACCCGGGTACTTCCGCCTCCATGGTTTTTTGATACAGAAATGGGGTTGACTGGATATAAATTTGAAGGAGAGAGACAAGAGAGAAAGTTGAGGCAAGAGAGCCCGTCCAGATAGTATGACATGGGCGGTGTCGATCGACCCGCAGAATTTCTTGACCGCCTGATTGGTGCCCCGCGGTGGATGATTAGTCATACAATCTACACCTGGAGGCCTACATTTGATGCAACATCTTTCGATAGCCTAGAAACCAATAGGATTCAGTCTAATCCGTATGATGATTTGTACAGGAGAGAATCAGATAATACAATGGCTGTGATGGGTTGGTAATTTCCGTTTTGTTTCAAGTCAAGCCTTAGAGTCACGGAGATTTCATTTCTGTGTTCACTTGATTTTCCGCACCGCGATATACCATAGGAGGGATATCAATTGACTCCATTGACTCCATAGACTTCCAGAGTCCTCTAATGAGTTGTGAGGGGTTTGCCTTCTGTGGAACCCACCGTCTGTAGTCGGCTTGATCTGGTTCGCACCAGCCGCATGAGAAACACGGGGGCTGACAAACATCCCATCGCCGAGGTCTAACGGTGAAGACAAGAACTCGTCCTAAAAGTGATTGCACAGCTCGTCGCGGCAGCAGGCCAGATACCCGATGGGTAAGTCGGGCTGAATAGGTGGATATCGATTGTTTGTGAAGGTGATTTGCATCCGAGGGATATAAGTTCCAACGAGGAACATCGGAATCGGGTAGTCTTCTCGAACGATGAGCCAATTTGATATGTGGATATGGTGGCTGTCTGAGAGCAGATCTGTCATAAATCCTCTCATCGCACAGATTGAGAATGAAGATGCCGACTGACGAATGATAGAAGAGCGTTTTGTCGAGGATTATGAGAACTCAAAATGGACTCGAGACAAAGATGATACGTGTTGATGAAGGTGACAGGGACCGAAGTTTTGAAATCATCCACCAGCGATATAGTCTGCTGGATTATCCCCGCCGCCAGTAGGATTGGCTCGAAAACCACATCCGATGATGGTGGACTAAGCCATGCGCACTGTACAGAGTGTCAATATCATTGGGTTGTTTCGCCGTCATGTAGAGTACGAATTCAAATCATATCGCCATAATTGTCGTCATCATCATATCCCTCCCTAGGTCAAAACGCCATGCGGCAACACGATACACAAGCCATGCACCGGATGAGAATCCACCCGAAAAGAGCAGCCCACCACAATCCCACTCCGAGTCCAATCAGCTCATTTCCTCTTCCTCTTCCTCTTCCTCATATTTGGGCAGGATAACATCCCACCCGGGGTCCTCAAGGTCATCCACAGTGTCATCCTGCGCGTGGTCCTCTGCACCGCGCTTCCGGAATCGGAATGCGATTGACTGTCCGTTTTTGAGCTCGGCTGCCTGCAGAGTCCCTTGCCCCACTGCAGACTTTCTGCCCGCACTCTTCGTGAGGAGTTCTTGCGGGACGTCTGGCTCCAGACTCGTCCAGCCTTTCTCGAGATCATTCTTGTCCACGGGCACCCCGAACTCGATGTTCGAGGCGTCGTCGGGAATCACGTCGCCGTTGATTTCTTGGAGGCCGCGACTTTGAAGGGATCTGAGAAGCAACTCTTTTGTGGTAGCGATTGTGCTCGTCGAGGGGAGCATCAGTAGCACAGTGGTCTTGTGCTTCTTGAACAGGAGCGTCAAACTAAGGGGATCAGGCTGAGACTGCCGGGGCGTGTCAGTTGATGTCAAATTCAATAATAGGACACGGGTGTTGAAATAGCACGTAGGAGTTCTATAATCGATATGTACGACCAACCGGGGGAACATACCATGGTGACCTTGATGATTCGATGGGGATGAGTCCATGACAGAGAGAGAAAGCGGGAAGTGAATCCATAGACTGTCGGAGGAGAAGCGGCGCTCGGACCAGCCGCCCCCAATACTTTCTCGGATCTTCGGTCTCCAACCGCAACTTCACCTCGACCATCCAAAATAAACACACCACCATCCACTCCCTACCCGATCCCATCCAGAACAGTGAGCACCGACTAGCTCACCGTCATATCCAAAATGGCCACCTACACTTCCTCGGACGCGAATGTCAACCAGGAGCCGACACTCTTGAGCAAGTTCAAAGCCTGGGACAAGCTCTTCGAATCCGACGCACCACCGCGCCTGGGGCTGCACGTTCGCGAACGGGTCCACTACACAGCAGTAGCAGCTTTCCTGTCAGGCATAACGATCGGGGTTCCGCACGGGGCCAAAAAGGCAGCATATCTCTTCCGAGCCGAGAACGCCCACCGGATTCCCAATTCACCCAGCGGGTGGTTCCAGTACCACAAGTGGAAGAACTACGCGATTGGCAGTCGGGGCCTGGCGGAGGGCCTGAAGCTGGGAAGTGGGCTGGCGGTTGGTGCGGTTGCGTTTTCGCTGTTTGAGGAGACGGTCGACTATGCGCGAAATGATCGCAGGGATTTCTTGTCCACTGTTACGGCCGGGTTGTCATTTTCAGGGATTTATAGTTTGTTGAGTGAGTTTCTTTCTTCTTTCTTTCTTCTTCGGCTTGAATCATATGGGTGATGCGGGACTGATTGGTGGCGCTAGAACGACACGATATTTTCACTGCTGCGCGGACGGCCAAACTGGGTTTGAAGCTGAGTCTCACCTACGGACTGCTGCAGGATGCGCTGGAGACTTTCAAGGGAAACCCACCAGCCTATGTTGAGTTTATTACGGGGAAGCGTCGATCCAAAGAGTAGAGGGGATTGGAGAAGAGATCAACAATCATACGCGGCTACTGCTCCCCGCGCCATCCAGGGTTCGAAGATTCTCTTCAGTACCGCGCAGCCTCAAACGCATAATATGGGAGGGCCGTGATCCAGGCGGACAATGGCTTGCTGCTTGACTACGGCATATCTGGAAGGTCGCGCTATCCCCAGCCGACTTATCACCATTTCGCGCCTTCTCTGTCTACGGTCTGAATTCCGCGGCTTGAAGACAGATGGTACCCGAGTTGGGACGCATCAACGACCCCGTGCGACCCGGGATGCGAAACTGCAGAATGGACCACGAGATCCAGCAAACTGCCCGAATGGGGCGCACTGTTTGACAAGATGGCTAGCATATCCTAGTTCAGACGAACCATGTACATAATAACGTCAATGTTTCGGCGGACGACACTCATACTAATTCCCGCGTGTCGTCACGTGTCTATATCTAGCCTTCGTTGATACTATGATATACTACACCTCTCATATCTAATCTGGATATCTTACAATATAGAACAAACACTACCATGGCCTATCTTTAAGAAGCGTCTTGTAAAAACTTGACCACCACTGATAAGACAGTCAGCCTCATAGCCACCCACAGGAGACGGCGCAACCATAGAACAAACAAAACATACCTTGTCGAAAAGCCTCTGGTTTTTCCGAGATAAGCCAGTGGCCGGCCTCCACATCGGCAATCTGCGCCTTGGGAAAGAATTTCTTAATGGTCGGGATCGCATCATCGCTGACATACTTGCTCCGGGTGCCCCTGACGAACAGCGAAGGCCCATCATAGGAGATCGGCCCGGATTCCCGGTGAGGGAAATCTGCCATGTTAGGGAGCGACTCCCCGAGCACAGAGACAGGGACGCGGAATTTCATCGTGCCATCCTCGCCGCGGATGAGGTTGGTCAGTAGAAATTGACGGATGGGGAGGGACTGTATATGTTCATCAATTCCCGTCTATGCCATCGGTCTGAGGAAGAGAGGGAGGAATCTACCGGTTCGTAGTCTGCCAGGATCTTGTCTGCATCCGACTGCTTGGTCACCCCGGCGGATTCAATGCGCTGCATGCCGCGGACGTATTTGCCAAAGTCGCTCTGGAGGGCGGCGTTGACGGGCGCGTTGTCGACCGGGATGAGAGCCGACACGAGGCCGGGGGCATCCAGAGCGACGGTCATGGCGGTTTTAGCGCCCCTGTTCGGGCGTGAGCATGTTTCCATTTCAAGGGAAGAGCTGTTGGCCGAGAGAATCTTTGGTTTCATACATAGAATGACCGATTAGGACACATTGGTCCATGTTTTGTTTGTGGATGAACTGCTTCACGTCGTCTGCCATGACGGGGTAGTTGTGCTCCTTGGCATGGAAGGAGTGACCATGGTTCCGCAGATCCTAACCATTTGCCGATGGAGAGGGTTAATACCATGCTGTCTACCCATATATCTCTCTACTCGGAAGAATGGAGATAACCAACCACTACGAAGACCTGTCGCTTGAGATCACGTGCAAGAGCTCTGGAGATCCCCGTTAGCCGTTTGGCCATTCGATCGGCGGCAAAAGAGTTTGGGAATATCCATACTTGCTAATACTCCGGTTGTTCTGCTTAGAACCAAAGAGTCCGTGGAGAAAGACAATCGGGCTGCGGGTCGCGGGCTCCTTTTCCGGGCCAAAAACCTGGAAGGAGAGGTCCGTCCGCATCAATCTCGATGTAGAGAAGGAACGGGTGCCAGAGGCCACCCGGCCGACAAACCGGGAAGAAAACATGTTGTTCTAGAGACTGATGTACAATGGTTGGTGGAGAGATGAAACTATTCAACGGGGATCGGGATATCGGGAAGTGATATCAGATCAAGACCGATTCTGACTAAGCCCCGCTAGTCTCCACTCCGCCGTCCGGGTCTCTTGGCTCGGCAATCGGCATCTCTGGTATATTCTCGGGCGGAGTGAGGAGAGGACCTTGGGTCCAGACCCAATACTGTTGAGAACGATCTATGTATCAAGGATGTATTATAATGACTATATACGGAACGGCAACATTGTTCAATTCTTCAGGAGAATAGGCACCTTTTCACATAGGTACTCCACCACCGCATCTGGACCACGCTCGACCTGTAAACCCGGCGGCAGGGCGTGTAGCTTGATATTCGGATTGACCTCGCGGGCAATCTGATGAATCTCTTGGGCCTGCTCGTCCGACCACATGGAAGCGCTGAACTGAAAGAAGAGAAGAAGGAAGTCAGCTTTCTTACATTGGTTCGGGTTGTACCAAAATGATGGATAGGGCTGGCCTACGAGAACCTCGGGCATATGTTGCGTCACCTTGGGACGAACTTCTTCAATATCTGCCATGCCACTAGATCAGTATTGGATCAAATCTTCGTGTAGAGAACTGAGAACTTACTCTCGCAATTGTCGACATGGATGATCGTGTAGCGGTCCTTAAGGGCGTCTGCAACACGCCCGATCAGTCGCTTGGCTCGCTCGGGAGCGGTGTTGACGGTAACAAGATGGTACGGTCCCTTAGGCTCAGTCATGATGAAGTGTGCACAGTTATGGCGATGACTGCCAATTTGCAGGAGAGATAGTTGCGGTCTTTATCCAAAAGGTCTCTCCGCAGGCGATGCCGTCCCCACAATAAATCGTGGGGAAGTTGAAATCGACCCCAACAGTCCGTGGGGATTGCGTCTCATTATTTACAGTCGGTATTTCTCTTTTGTCCTTCTCACCTACACATCTACACATCATGTCAAAGATCGCATCTACTTTCTCGCGTGCGTTAACATCATCCTGCCGTAAAAAAAGAAAAGAAAAGAAAAGAAATAGATAGCTAACACGCGACAGGCCTCGTGCGCTTCACCCCCAAATCCAACCCCGCCAAAACCCTGATCGGCGAGCCGACAGATCCCCAGATCGACGTGGGACTGGCCCTCTACCAAGGCAAAGATGTCTCCGTGCGTCCTTTCTCCGGGAACTCCGTGCTCAGCCCAGGCCAAAAGACAGAAACTACCGAGAACATCGGCCGGCTGCTGTCTCCCCTGGCGCAGAGCGAAGTCGGGTCCATCCGATGCATTGGTCTTAACGTGAGTTGTGCCTGACGGAAAAAGTCAACAAGTCCGCGCTTACGCGAGGGACACAGTATGCATCGCACGCTGCCGAGATGAAACTGGGCATTCCTGATGTGCCTACGCTGTTCATGAAGCCGTCTACTTCGCTGGCGGACCCGTGGCCGGCTCCGACTGTTTTGCCGAAGCTTACGCAGGTGGACAACACCGGCGACTATGAGTCGGAGATGGCTGTTGTTATTGGTCGCGATGCTAAGGATGTCAGTGAGGCCGATGCGCTGGACTATGTACTTGGGTACACGGCGGCGAATGATGTCTCCAGCCGGACGTCGCAGATGAACCAGAGTCAGTGGTGCTTTTCCAAGGGGTTTGATGGTGCTTGCCCGATTGGTATGTTTCCTCCTTTTTCTTCTTTCGTTTTTTCTCTCTTTTTCTTCCCACTCTAGCAGTACTGCTACTTGACCAATACGAATCCACTTGACCGTGGACAAAACGAAAGAGAAAGATAAAAAGAAAAGTTGATGATAATTTAAACAGGCCCCGTCCTCGTCTCCGCCGCCTACTTCCCCGACGCCAGCAAGTTCCATATCCGCGGCCTCAAAAATGGCAAAGCCGTGCAAGACTGTCCCCTTACGTATGCTCTATCGTGCTCCCCACTCTATTCCAACAACCTAATTCTAATACTGAAATCTACGTTAAACAACAGCGACCTCATCTTCAGCGTCCCCAAACTCATCAGCTTCCTCTCACAGGGCACCACCCTGCCTGCGGGGACTATCATCCTGACAGGCACGCCGCCGGGGGTGGGCGCCGCGAAGAACCCCAAGGGTTTCTTGAAGGCGGGTGACGACTTTGCTGTTGAGTTGCTGCCGCATGTGGGGACACTGGTTACGAAGATGGAGAATCAGGTATAGATTCGTTGGTCTCTTTGTGGTTAAGGTGCCCTATCACTGCTATGACTAGGCTTAGGTGGGGAAGGAGTAGAATCCTAGTAACAGATGTTTTGCATATAGACCAATGTAAAGATTTATATGCGCACCTTACTTTGGATCTCATATCCCTTTTTTTCCAACATGCTCATTGTATCGTCGTATGTCATCCGTGTCATTAAATTTGAATGCAAGCCGTAGATATACTTACATGCAGTCTTAGTCGAAGGATTTGATACACATCCACACGAGACCAACACCCCACAATCTCCACAACCCAGTCGACTGATCACGGCACCATCTACCGGATATAGATTTACCCCGCCAAGAACCTCATCCCACTCTGTAGATCTATTTATTGATATTAATACCCAATTAGGAGCCTATCTATACATGAAAACCCTCAATAACGGAAGGGCTATTTTACATTCAACACGCAGGCATTACAAACCCGATAGTCCACCGCATAGACCCAGTAATAACGACGAAGAACCCTAACGCGACCGCAATACTCACGATCCCATAGATATACGCCTTCCGTCGCCGACTCAACCCATGCAACTCCGCTACCCACGTACTCACCGTAGTCACGGAGCCACAAAACCCTTCCATGATGCCCTGGAGGACTTGACAGCTGACCACGACGGAGTGGCTGGCCGCCCCGGTCGCGTCCGGGGCGCCGATCCCGGAGACGCGCTGTAAATCGTAGCACATGGCCATGATGATGCACCCGAAAATGTTGGCGGTGAACGTTCCGAGGGGAAACGAGGGCGTCCGCGTGTTAAGTGCGAGGGAGAGGTAGTAGCGCATGAGACACCCGAGCGGCGCAAAGACAATGGCGAAGACCGCGCGGCCGCGCCACACATCGGGGTCAGAGCTGTGGCGGTCGGGAGGCCATATGGCCATGAAGACGGCACCAAGCCAGCAGCCCCAGCCGAGGATGACGAAGAGAGGGTCGATAATGTGGCGCGTCACGCGGAATGGAAAAGTGGGCATGATTGGGTCCAGGGCCAGCGCGAGGTGGGCGCCAAACATGAGTCCACCCATGGACAGGGACACAGTAATGAGGATGGCTGCGACGAGGGCCATGAAGCTGTATCCGCCATTGCGAGAGGCGATTGTCGGGGCTGAGGGGTCGGCGAGGTCGTTGGATAAAGCCAGGAAGACGTCCCGGATGAACGAGGAGAAGGACGAGAAACAGCCGCAGAATCCTGTCGTCAAACCGATGTAGAGTGGAATAGTCTTTTTGACGGATTTATGGCGTTTGGCCTCTTCGCGAGCCTGGTCCGGATCGCGATTTGTGCCAGATGGCGTCGGTACATTGCCCCACTCTTCGCGGAAGAGATTTCGATCCTCGAGAAAGAGGCCCATGAGCAAGGAGCCCCCGAGATTGGGCCAGAGCACCCCGAGCGTCACAGGGGTTCCCGGGTACATGTCGATAGCTTGCAGGCCCAGGCGCGCCAGCGTCCCGAAGATGGAAAAGAAGACCAGGTAAGAAAGGGAGAAAAGATGGGTGGCATGCTGGGAGAGAGATTTCGAAACCGGGGGTTCCCTCTGTGGATTTGGTTTAATAGGGCCCTCCGCTGGCTTTTCCGTAATTGGAGGGAGGGGATATCCTTCGGACGACCAGGCCTGGCGTTCTGGCGGAGCTTCTTCAGTTGTGGGAGGCCGCGTTCGTACCTCGGATAGCGCCGCTTCTTCCTGGTTCGCCATGGGCGGATTGTTGTCAGGCGAATAATCTGCAGCTTCCATATTGTCGAAAAACCACCCCTCGCATTATGCGGATGGCGCGACGTGCATTTCATAAAGGACAATGAAGGAAGGGAGGAGAGAGAAGTCGTTCCGATCGGGATGTTAAGCGTGCCAAGAATGACGATAGACCGGGTCGATCGACGGGGATGTGGGGCATGAACCACTGACGTGGTAGAGCCGATCAAGACGAAAATCGCTGACATGCTATGCTTGATCTAGATCGCCAATTGTGAAACCACCGGTGTGGAGTCGCGTTGGTACCTAAGATAGATGGGAAGAAGGAAGATGGACGAATGCCTTGGGTATACAAGTGGATCCCCCGCAGATGTATCTTTGCTTATATTGATGTATGGAAAGGTACTTCCCTCCTCGAGCGTCTCGTGCCTAAAGAACTTTCCCCTCGTTTGTCTTTCATACTTTCTCTCCATCTCACCTCCTTCATCCTCGTCTTTCTTACTATCATCCATCGTTTCTCCAGGACTTGATCAAGTACGACTACTAGCATGATGGCACTCCCTTCCAATATCCATGTGTCTACGCATCCTTGTCTTCAGGCCAAACTGTCGCAACTCCGCTCCAAATCGACATCCACCCGTGAAACCCGCGATCTCGTCCATGAGATCGCTACCATTCTGGGGGTCGAAGCATTCTCGACGGGACTGCAAGTTACCAATCGGGGAAAGGTAATCACACCTGGATGCAATTCTGTCAGCAGGAAGAAACCCTAATGAATCGTTGAACCCAGGGAACCACCCCATTAGGGTATGAATATGAGACGCATGAGATCGATCCCGCCAGCGTCGCTCTAATCCCCATCCTCCGATCCGGTCTGGGTATGATCGAAGGTATGGAATGCATAGATTTCTCTTCCCTTCTTTGATCCTGTCCCGCTTTGTCGTGGCATTTGGTCAAACGAGACAGGATCTGTTGAAGCAATCTGACTCATCCTTTTGATCGTAGCGATCAACGACCTCCTTCCGTCCTCCGTGCCCATCTACCATCTCGGTCTGTTCCGCGAAAAGCTCACCCTCCAGCCGGTGGAATACTACAACAACCTCCCCTACCAACGGCCAGATTCCTCCAGTCCCAACGCGGTCAACACGGCTGCTGCTTCTACCGCCATCCTCCTCGATCCCATCATCGCCACGGGTGCCACTGCCGAGGCCGCCATTCACCTCCTCCGCGAGTGGGGAGTGCAGCGCGTGATCATGCTCAGCGTCTTAGGGGCTCAGGACGGGGTGCAAAAGGTAGCTGAGTGTTGGCCCGAGGGTGTAGAGCTCTGGATTGGAGCGGTGGATCCGAAGTGTAACGAGCGAGGCATGATTGTACCGGGACTGGGAGATATCGGCGATCGTCTGTTTGTGGCCATGGGGAAGTAATATCGCCTTGATCCTGTCAAGAGAGTGTAATGAAATCGTAGTTTCAGGCACTGGATGATAACAAATGAGTAATCCTTGATAACGGATGAGTAAGCTGCGATAAGGATCACGTGCCATAAAAGTCGAGGATCGCGTCGCCGATCCTCGACCATCGCCCAGTCATTCAGCGCGAGAAAACCTCGATTTGAATAGAGCCTGGAGTGTCCATCCGATCGCCGTGCGTCTAATGTTTTCCTGGTGGAAGTCCATCCTGCGTCGATTCCCAAGTCACTCAGACCCCGGTTCGTGCCCGGACATGGCAGGAAACAAGAAGCGCAAGCGCACAGACGCTGGATGCTCAGACGACGAAGATCCTGTCCGCCCCAAGTCTGACTCGACTAACGGCTTCGGAATAGGCCAGACTCTATCGATTATTCAGAACACGCCGACGGCGACCGACGGGCATACCCCAACTTCCTCCACTACGCCGTCGGAAGACTCTTCTCGGAAGCGACAGAATGAGATGCCGGCCGGAAGACCGTCCAAGAAGAAGCGCATCGATGGAGAAAAGGCCAAATACCCGGTTCTCACCTACGTGGAAGGCCGGTTACAGTCTTCTATCCGGATCGCGGACCTGCAGGCCCTGATGCTCTACTGCTTCGCTGATGGCATTGCGCCGCAGTGGATCTCAGTCAAGCATTCCGGTCATGTGCGGAAGGTCGTGACATTGATGGTTCCGGGTCTGGAGCTGGGCATGTTTGATGGGACGATTCCCCTTGCTACTGCATCGCTACCGGCGGAGCAACAGGAGGCTACAGATGCGAATGAAGGAGAGGGCGTCGACGAAAAAGTGGACGATTTTCAACGGTGGAAACAGGGCCTTCCCTTAGAAGACCGATCCCACAAGTTTGTCCCTCGACCGCTGTCGCGCGACAGTCTTCCAAAACCACTACAGTCCCTGTCCGATTTGTTCCCGCACGTCTGGCCGGTCCGGGCTCCTGGGGACTCCAAGTACAACAAGGTCCATTCACCGCTGCAGGCAATCCTGATGTCCGGTATACCAAAAACCAAAGAGAGTGGCAACCAGAAAGGCCCCCGAGCCCCGAACAAGGGTTTCGTCGCAAAGCGCACCCCGATCACGAATTTCATCAGCTCGCTTGCGGATCTGAACGAGAACGACTATGTCCTGCATCCAGCTCTCCTCCCAACGGAACAGGAGAAGTCGAATCTTCGCGAGAGCCGCCAGCGCGCCGGCCAAACGGCGGAGAATGGGTGGGTTGACACGCATGTCGCCAGTCTGGAGGAGGGCCAAGTCCCTGACAAGGAGATCGAACAAGGAAGCATGACAGCCGGCCGCGAGGTGCTCTCGTTGGACTGCGAGATGTGCATCACAGAGGGCGGCAAATCCGAGCTCACGCGCATCAGTATGGTGCGCTGGGACGGCGAGGTGGTGCTGGACGAGCTCGTGAAGCCAGATCTCCCCATCATCGATTACCTGACTCGATTCTCCGGTATCACCAAGGAGCAGCTAGACCCCGTCACGACCACTCTCGCCGACATCCAGCAAAAGCTGCTCACTATCCTTACGCCCCGCTCCATCCTCGTCGGCCACTCCCTCAACTCCGACCTCAACGCCCTCAAGATCACCCACCCCTTCATCGTGGACACGACATTCATCTACCCACACCCGCGCGGGCCACCCCTCAAATGCAGCCTAAAGTGGCTAACCCAAAAATACCTCGGCAAGGAGATCCAAAAGGGCCAAACAGGCCACGACTCCATCGAAGACGCCCGCGCCGTCCTCGAGCTCGTGAAGCAGAAATGCGAAAAGGGTGAACGATGGGGCACCAGCGAGTCGTCCAACGAAAGCATCTTCAAGCGTCTCGGCCGCACCGCCAAACCCGGCAAATCAGGCGCAGCAGCCGACCAATACCGAACCGGCGCCGTCGTCGACTGGGGCAACCCCGAGCGAGGCTTCGGCGCACAGGCGACCGCCTCAATCGGATGCAGCACCGACGACGACGTCGTGAAAGGCATCTCCTCCGTCGTCAACGGCGACGACACCAACCCATCCATCCCCGGAGGCGGCGTAGACTTCACATGGGCGCGCATGCGCGAGCTCGAACTCCACCGCGGATGGTGCAACCGCATGCCGGACCCGAACCACGCCAACGAGTCTACAACATTGAACCAAGCCCCCGAAGGTACGGCATCCGACCCGATGTCCACAGACGACTCCTCCCCTGAAAAGGCCCTCATCGACACCGTATCCCGCACCGTCTCCAACATCAACCGTATCTACGAATCCCTCCCGCCTTGTACCCTGTTCGTGGTCTACTCGGGCACCGGCGACCCCCGCGAAGTCAGTCGGCTGCAAGGCATGCACAGGACGTTCCGCGAGGAGTATAACTCGCGCAAGCCGTGGGATGAGCTGTCTGTTAAATGGACGGATGCTGAAGAACAGGCTTTGAAGAAGGCTTGTGAGCGGGCTCGTGAGGGGTGCGGGTTTTTGTGTGTGAAGTAGTGGCGTGGTTGTGTTTCACTGGGCGCACCATTAGTTTGTCATTTATGATGTGAAATCTTGTTCAGATGGGCTACGGCTCTTGATGATTTCTGTTGATAGATGATGATGAGAGTTGGTTGCATATATCCTATAGTTGGTAGTTAGAATTGGCTGATGACAATGAAATACCCGCTGAATTAACTCAAGTGAATAATGCTAAATCAAAGTATGCAATGATAGTGGGTACATGATTATCCATTCGCTTTGGGCAGTCCATGTCTATAAGAGAATATCCGTAACTCGAAACACCATCATCAGACATCATGCACCAACCGCGGACCCAAAATCCAGTTTCCTTTCCGCAACGACCTTGTACTTCTCCCCCAACCGAGCATTCATCCCATCGGGATCATTCTCAAGGTCAAGCTTCTTGGCGCCCATCTCACAGATACAGACCGCATCCAGGGGAAAGTTCCTGGCCCAGACAAATGGGAATTTCTCCTTCCTGCTCGGCACAGCCGAGGCCTCCTCGTCGTCTGACTTATCCTGCGGGGCGCCTTCATGCGTACCGGCTTCCACAACTGGGGCTCGTACAACGACAGTGTCCGACCGTGGAGTTACGCGGTCACCGTCGACGTAGTAGTCTTTGTAGTGGGCGAGGATGTCCCGCGCGTCGAAAGTGTACTGGTTTCTGCGGTTTTTGCCGTTCGGACCTCGCTCGGCGGGCTGTTGTCTTCCTTTGATGTAGATCGTGTTCACGACTGTGGCGTGGAGAAGCAGGGGTCGGAGTTTAGGTTTGGGTGCTGCGAGGGATTGGGCGTCGACGTCAGTCTGCTGTTGCTGCTGCTGAGGTGGCTCCTGCAGTTGTTGTTGTTGTTGTTGTTGCTGCTGAGACACCCCTTCGGATCTCTTGTCCTTTTTAATTTCAGCTTGTAGGAACCCCGCCTCAAGAAACTTATCCCGTAGCATCTCGCAGAACGGATACAATCGAGACGAGGGATCGACGGGTGCAGCGTGCAAGACCGTAGCAGCTCGAGCCCGGGGGATCGCACTCAAGGACTCCAGCGAGACGGTGAAAGGGCCGGGAGTGCCGACTGTGTCGTTGTCAACTTGAGAAGTTGCAGGTTGGCTCTCATTCGGAGCTGTCCGGCTACGGCGCACGCTTCGCTCCGCCTCGCGCGCCATGCTGGCTAGATCTAGGGACTGGAGAAGCTCGATGGCTTCGTCTAGTCGCTGCTGCGTCGGGAGACTCATGACGCCTAGAGTAAGATGGAGGGTGCCGACGGGTCGAATTGCGCCGTGGGGAATGAGTGGGCGCTCGACGTTGGGCTTTCTTGAGGGAAGCTCATGGCGGGGAGGTTGGGGAGCAAGAGGAAGAGCTGACTTGAATGCTGCAAGAGACGACTCCAATTGGGGGAGAGAAGCTGCATTGACCAGTGGAATACAGAGGAAGTGAGTGATCGGTGGTCTCTTTTCTTTGCTGGAGGGAGGCCGGCGAGGGCCGGAGTACTGTTTCTTGTTTCCCATGGTTTGATGATGATATAAGCGGTTCAATCGAGAAACTGATAAATGGAATGAGATAGCACTAGGCGGCCTATATGACCAGAAAAGTACCATCTGTGTTTGGAGCGTGGAAGAAGCTTATATAGATCTAGTAGGGTCTAGGTTGGTGACTGATTTCGCAGGTGTAGTACTCGGACCTTCAATGTGGATCATGCAAATCAGCAACATAAGCATTCTTTAAACGAAGTAACCAATCAGCCAGCAATCATGAGTCAAACAAGGCGACCATGCAGCGTGAGTCAAATCGCGTCAACTCAGGCTGAGGCGGAGAGGGCGAAAGTGGAGACGGGAAGCTCTGGCGATGTGACGTCGGTTCTCTTCTCTCCTCTTCTCTTCCGTTGCTCCCCACTTCTTTTCTTCCTGTCCATCACTCCATCGTCTTGGACTATTCCACCAATTATTTCCACTCTAATTGATTAACCTTCTGTCTGTCCAACACATTCTTTAATCATGTTGGCCCGCGTCCCTCGAGCTTTCCCCTCCGCTGTTCGGCCATCTCTCCGCACGACCCGGATCGCTGCGCCCGTTGCGACCGTGTGTTACCAGCGCCAGTCGAACCCTTCCTCTGCTCGTCGAGGCTTCCAGTCAACGCCTTCGATTAGGAAAGGAATCTACCCGGACTCGGCTGACCCGCCGACGCCGCAGCCGCAGTCGCATAATGTCGCAGGCGCGAGCAGTCACGTCACCGAGCCGTCGCCGTTGACCGACGAGAGTTACCATCAATATTCGGAGCATTATCTGGATGTGCTGCAGAATGAAGTGGAAAAGGCCCAGGAAGAAGGATCGGACATGGAGGCCGAATACAGCGTGAGTTTTTGCTCTATGTATCTTCCTTTGAATGTTTCCCGTGGGCGGGGACACCGGGGGCGGTTCCATCAAGCTTCGCCGTGAGACGAGAATAGGATTGAAGCTAACCTCTTATGTCCAACAGGCCGGTGTTCTGAACATCATCGTCCCTGCCCTGGGAACCTATGTCTTGAACAAGCAGCCCCCCAACAGGCAGATCTGGCTCAGCTCCCCGATCACGGGCCCGAAGCGCTTCGACTGGATTGTCGAGGGTGATCAGATGCACGAGAAGCAGGAATCCCGGCCCTATAACAGCGGTCAATGGATCTACCTGCGTGATGGATCGAACCTCACGGATATTCTGAATGGCGAGTTGCAGCTGAACATCCCGAAGGATGTCTTTGCAGAGCAGTCGTAATCTCTCTGCTGTTGTTGGTCGACCTGCGATTGTAGCTTGTTTACAGCCGCGGGTAGACTCTACAAAAGGGAGAGCGATGGAGATGCAGCACAATGTAGGATACAATGTTATTATGGAAGCAGCGTCAAATTATTCATGTGGATAGCTCAGCGGCGAGTACTCTGCGTAGAATCCACAAATACAATACATATAATCAATCGAGATATGGATCCCAAGCCATCCATGCTCCCTAGTGACCGTCCTATTCCAGTCCTGCAGAAATAGTTGCTAAACATTGCCCTTTTGTTGACAACCCATGGCGCGGACGAACCGCTGCCTTGACCAATCGTACGTATACGGTGATTTATAAAGATCTTTTCTCTTCGACCAACGTAGGCGCCATCGTTGGGAAGCCCTCCCGAAGGAAGGAAGTAAGCGAGGCAATTACCCATGTAGTCGACGGGGATCCAGCAATCACGTCTGGCTTCACTATCTCGATGGGTGACGGACAAGACTGCGTCGGCCTGGAGTATCGGTGTTTCATATCTTGGAGCCGAGAGTCCTCGACCATCGTATTCCATCATCTGTCATCATTCTTCATCGTGATCTGCAGCACTTAAGCCTGAACAGCAACAGCGCCCGCGCCTCCGTTCTGGTCGTTCCCTGGGAGATCAGACTAGACATGGTCAGTAGGAATAACTTTTCCCATCCCCACCCTCATAAAATATGACAAGAAAAACTCACCTCATCAAAAATCACCCGAATCATCAAGCTACAACTCGGACACACGGCAATATCCTCCCCATCACGGAGGTCATCGATCGCAATCTCGAACCGGTCGCCGCACGGACAAGGGTAGTGGTAGATCTGGATGGCCGGATCGAAGGTCATATCTTCGATCTCGATCTCATCGTAGATGGAGAGGGCTTCGTCGGCCATTTTGATATATTTTCCGTCTTTTTTTATTGACGATTGGAGGGTCTTCTGGGGAGTGGCGCAATATTGAATCAGATCGGGCGGACTGATTTCTTATCGCGAAAAGTTTTGGCGGGTCGGTCAGGTGACTGCGGGGTGCCTCGGGGCCTGGATGTACCTGCATTGGAGCGCAATGTTCTTGATGACGGATATTCTGATGCTTTTATTAGGCTGAGAGTTGTATTCGTTATAGTTTGTCTGACAGTGCTGGTCTTCTCGATCTTCAGGTCGAGTGTACATCGCCAATGCCAGCAATAATACAGTCGCAGCCTGAGGCATACAACTTCATCTTATCGCGGACTCGGCGGTGAGCGCGCTGGATCAACATGAGAGATGCGAATAACATCAACCTGCACTTCATAACACGATGCTTCCCCCCTGCGATCCCACCATTCTGGAAAACAACCCTCAATTCAAACGGCTCTACCAGAATCTCACAACGAACCTCCTCAACCCCGACGGCTCCACCCGCACCAATGATTTGCAACCGGTGCGACGAGAAGTACGGGAAGTAAGTTCGCCGTGAGCGTCTTATATTTCCTGAAGAGGCTCCATCTGACACAATTTCTTATTCTGCTACCAGGAGTTGAATGAATGCCGCTTACGACACGCCAAAAGACACATCAAGAGACAGATCCTGCGGCAGCTGGCCGTTGACCCTGACAGCGGAGTCCCGGATGACGTGCGACCCTCCCTACCTTTCAACCCAAGCAAAGAATCCAATTGACAATGGCAAACGCAAAAACAGTACCGGGAAACAGCAGCAATAATCACCCTATACCTCGAATCATCCCCAACCCAACTCGACAGCGACATCGACCCCCGCGATGGCGCCGACGCGTTATCTCTTCTCGGCCCCGACATCGACGCCTTCTACGCTGATCTCCCGATCCTGATGCCCTCGTTCGCCAATGCACTGTCAACCACTGTCCAAGACCTCCGAGCGATCATCAACGCAGGCGACAGCCAGACGCGGGCTCCGCCCGCACCGTCAGAGACTTCGCGAGCGCGTGCCCGGAACCGCCAGTCGATGATCCGGGCCGCGGCGCAGGCGCCCCTCGCGCCGCAGATATCGGATCGCACTCGACACCTGCGTCGCATGCAGCTGTCTGAGATCCCGGCGTCCCGGGCTCGATTGGCGACGACGGCGGCGGAGGTCCTTGCTGCCAAGGCACAGGTCCTGGAGCGCGCGGTGGTTCTCCTCGAGCGGACGAAACATGGGGCTGTGGCTCGGGCTACGAAGGCGAAGGCGGAACATTTGGCGATGGTCGCAGAGGGTGTGGATGGGAAGTTGAGGTATGTATTTGTGTCGGTTAAAAGAAGGAAAGAAGGAAAAGAATGCTGACGACGACATGCGCGTGGCAGTGTCATGCAACTGGAGACCTCCGCGGCGATCAACACCCCCGAGATTGTCACAGCGCTGGGTCGATATCAGGAACATCTCAAAGAGACGCGGGAGCGCGTGGAGAGACAAAAGGCTCAACTTTTGGAGGAGCTCGACGGGTACCAGATTGCAGACACGGAGTCCGGGCCGATCAAGGAGATCGCGCGCCGGTATGGGGCCCTGATCAAGGAGATGGAGGGAGTCCGGATGGAGATCGAGAGGTTGAGGGAGAAGTAGCGCTGCATTTACATACCACCATTCCCATATACCCATTTTATGACCATCAGCAACCAAGTCCAGTCCTCAAAGTATATTGACAAACACAAAAGAACCCCAATCATACAATCATCAAACATTATCCATGCTCTATAAACATCCAGCTCGTCCCTCAAGGCAGCTCCCTCCAGATCCTCAATATAATCAACTTCTCCCACCCCGCCTGCTTCCCACTACTCCCCACCGACTCCGCACACCACCCACCCCCCCACGCAACAATCCTATCGCGCACCTCATCCGGCCGATTCTGCCGACAAAGAAGAACATACGCAACACCACGCCCGGGGTGCAACAGTCCCGGAATAGCATCTAGCAAGCGATCCGTCGTCTCCATGCCGTCCTTTCCGCCCGCATACGTCAGCGACAGGAGGTACGACTCGTGGTCGAACTTCTCCGACCGGGACATTCCCTCCATCGCCTGCTCCGTCGTCGCGGATGGTATTTGAGGCAGTTCCTCGGTGGGGACGTAGGGCGGGTTGAAGAGGAGGACGTCGACGCTGCCTTGCCGGAGGGGTGCGCCTAGGTCTGCCATGATGGGGGCGAGAAATGTGCTTGTTGCGCTGGTGCCATTGTCTGTGGTAGTGCCTTGTCGGTCTTGAATTGCGCGCTGCGCCGTTTCTCGTGTGGCGGCGCAGGCGTTCCGGTTGACGTCTGTGCCGAGGGCGAGAATGTCGCGCCTGCCGAAAATCTGCTCGGAGTTGGCGGCGACGAAGCCGAGGACGACGCCGGAGCCGGTGCCTACCTCGACGATGAGGGGGCTCGGGGTAGAGGTGGAGGTGGAGGTGGAGGGGCTAAAGCGGTGCGAGAGCCATGACGATTCAGAGGGGGAGGAGAGCGTGTCGAGGAAGAGGTAGGAGTCCTCGGAGGGTTCGTAGACGGTGTCGAAGGAGACGTGCGCTGTGTCTGGTGTGGGGAGCATGATGTATCAATCAATCCTTGAATTAGTCTATTCTGAGTGTGCTTGAATTGTGAGGAAAGTTATTTGAAGCTATACCGTCGGGGAAAAAGCCCACCGATCCGCTGATTGGATCGCGCGTCTCCGCTTTTCCAATCTCTCCCGGCCGCACTCCGGATTCCCATCTCCAACCGCGGCATATCGATCTCTACACTCTTCCCCTCCCAATCTCTCTCTACACACCATATAAAAATACACGATGAGAGCTTTCTCGCGCCTCCTCATGGCCTCCCCTTCGGGAATGGGCTCCAAGTCCAGCCTCAGCCAAGCCATGGCCCTCCTCCCGCCCATCCACCTCTACCGTCGCCTTCTCCGCGCCCACCGACGGAAGCTCGATCCCGAGATGCGCCTGCTTGGCGATAGCTATGTGAAGGCGGAGTTCCGGGCGCATCGCACGGTGGAGAATCCGGTACATATTGTATGTTCCCTTCTTGCCCTTCTTTTACTGCGAGTTTATGCACGCCGGATTGGGAGACCCGCTAATACGATCTAGATCGGCTTCCTCACGGAGTGGCAGCTGTATGCGCAGAAAATAGAAGGAGATTCGTGGGCCGGGGAGAAATTGGACAAGGCGAAGCTGGATAAGATGAGTGGTGAGTTTCGTCATAGCACAATGGGTCTTATGACCGTTGTCAATCCATGGTATGAATAATGCTAATGGTTGATCTGCGATATAGATCAGCAACTCGGACAGCTGTATGAACTACTCCAGGCTACCAGGAAATCCGAAGATCCAGGTAACAAGTCGTGAGTCGTGTGACTTGCCGTACCATGCTGTATTTTGTACCGAATGACGATGGCTTTCTTTGATTTTCCTGTTTCTGTTCAAGTGGGACGATAGATCCTGCTTCTGATACAACACCCCATGATACATCCCCTTCCAGGAATGAGAGAGTGGAACGACAGGCCAAGAGCCAGTCGAGTCTGGGAAGGATAGCCCATGCGGATGGATGATGGCTGTGGCTGTACGATACCGATAGGATGGAACCGACTGCGTGTGCATGAGACTGGGACGCGTGTCGGTGCGGCCTTGTATAACTCGCTGATGTATATAGTACTATACCAATAAACGAATCCTCTTCCATATCTCGTCCTCTACAATAGCATACATCCAAGTATTGAGCACGATGGCAGAGAGTATAGCCGGCTATCGATAACATCACTAGTGGATCGCGATAGTGGCCTCTGACTAATCCTCCCTGATTTCTTTGATTTGCTTCCTTATAGATGACTCTAATCTAGAAAACATTTTTATACCTCCAATCCACCTCCAACCCATACAGAAGAACAAATTCCCCCAAAGAAGGACTTAAAGATTTCAAAATACTCTAAACCAAGAAATAGAACAAAAAAAGAGAAAAAAATGCCCGCCCTCCTCGAAGACCCCAGCACTCGCATCCCCGCCCCAGCCGCGGCCGCCGCAGCAGCGCCGACTCTGGCCCCACGCACGGCAACCCTGAAAGACGGCAGCAAGGCCATCCTGTACCCCGTCACCGGCGGGCCCGACAGCGTGCCCCAGGAACTAGTCAAGCTGCTGCACCGGGAGTTCTCGGCCGAGATCGAGACCGGTTGTACGTATCCCATGGAGGAGCCGATGACCCTGGAGCAGTTCGCGGGGTACTGGTTTGGGACGTTTGCCGTGGTGGCTGTTTTGGCGGGGGAGCAGCAGGAGGGTGGTTTGTGCGAGGGGAGGGATTGGGAGAGGGAGTGTTTGGGGACGTTTTATGTTAAGCCGAATTATCCGGGTATGTATATGCATCTTTCCTTTTTCCCTTTTCTTGTCTTTTCCTTTTATTTCCATGTTTTGTTTGGAGGATTGGTGGCTGATGTGCTGATAGGGCGGTGCTCGCATGTCTGCAATGCGGGATTCATGACGACGGGGGCGGCGCGTAACCGCGGAGTGGGAATCGTCATGGGTGAGACTTATTTGGAGTATGCGCCGAAGCTGGTAGGTTCTCTATCTTTCTTTCCCCTTTATCGGACTGGGTGGTGAGATTGGGGGGCTAACACCGATGCAGGGCTATAAGTTTTCCGTCTTCAATCTTGTCTTTGAGAACAACGTCGCGTCGGTCAAGATCTGGGAGAAGCTGGGTTTCCGCGTGATTGGCCGTGTCCCGGGGGCCGGTCGGTTGGCGAATAGTGAGGAGTTGGTGGATGCTTTGATCATTGGGAGGGAGTTGGTCTAATTCTGTCTCGTTCTTTTGATCGTTTTGTGTATATAGATAGTCTGCATGGTTGGATGTGATGCGAGCTGGTTGCTGGTCCCGGCTCCTGAGGGGCGAGATGTCTAGTAGGTTTATGTACAGAATGGAGTGACGGAACATGATTGCATGGGCGGTCGTTTAAGCGTGATCGTTTACGGACTTGTTGTCGAGGTCTGGATTAATCAGATGGTAAGGCTGGTGACGCTCAGCGCGCCTACGTTTTCCGGCTCGGAGCTGGATATGAGATGGTTGCTCCAAAACCGCAGCCCCTCGATGCCTTCCTCTCTGCAAAGGATGCCTTGATCTTCGGCCATTTCCAGCTCCTCGGTTGCGACGCCCACGCTCCATTTGAACCGCTGCGCTGCCTCTTGAGCCGTGACGGCCTGCCCGAAGATGCGCCAGTCCCAGGCGACTGATTCAGCGGGCGGATGCTGGCACAGCTCCGCCATCCAGTCTCGTATCTGCTGGATGGTCTTTTCGTCGCTCCAGTCGTAACGCTGGACGACAAGCAGGCCGCTCTTGAACCGGCGCAACCGGACTGGGAGCTTCAGCTTCTCCCACAACCCTGCCGCTCGCTGGAAATCCGAAGGACTGACTAGCTCCACCCCGTTGCGCGACCGATTGAAGATGGCCCACAAGTCGATGAGACTCACAATCCCGCCTTCTCTCTGGAGAATCCCTTTGCGGTCATCGGTTAAGTATTCTGCTAGATTGCGCGAAAGTTCCGACAGGTACAAGCTCTCCGCACCAGAACCAAGCATATCCTTGGTCGTCACCATCCCCAACGCTTCCACCGATTCTGAAAGTACTGCACTGGCTTCCGCGGAGCCCTCATCGCTGGCCATACCCGATTCCCGCGCCAGTGTTTCAGCAAGGCTAACGATCTGCTTCGCGGATGCCATGAGCGCCTCCAGATCTTCGAACGCATTGCCGATGACTAGTTCATTGTTCCGACGAGTTTGAAGCCCTCGTTGTTCAAGGCCAGCAATGCCAACTGCGGGGGACCGAGTCTGTGCGGGAACCGCATCCGACACCGATGGGGCCGTTGTCAAACCAGGGGATGATGTGCGCTGCGACGGCTGCTGCGGTGCGGGGGGCGCATCATAGAGAAGCCATTTTCTCTGGACCAAGGCGCCTTTCAGCCTCTCGTAGAGAGCCTTTTCGCCCCCTCCACGGAACGAAAGTTTGATGCAGTCGGTTATTTCGGTACTCTTGATGCTTCCCTGGTTGAAGAATGGAGCCGGGGACTCCGAACGCCCCAGAGTATCACCTGTAGCACCCGGGGCGCCGGCGGGCCTGATCGGAGCGCCGCAAATTTCACATTCCAAAAGAGAAGGGTGATTTACAAAAGTACACCGGGGGCATGAGATCGAGGCCCCGTTCTGTGATGAAGTCGCGTTGCGGGTATCATTGTGCTCGGGAACGGCTTCCTGACCGGGCAGAGGCAAGGCAGATGCTGTCGAGGTACCCTCTCGGCTGGCTGCAGCACTTATGGCGGCCTTGAGCACGGTTGTGAAAGGGGGTTTGATGCCACATGCTAGACAAGGAGGCACTTGCGTCGATGTAGTGGCCGTGGACGGATCGAAGTTGTAAGGCACCGGGTTGGACAATGAGCATATGGGGCAAATCCAGGTGGCCAGCACTGGCTGTGGTGCGGGTGACTGGACCTGGGGAGTGGATATCCGCGTCAATGGCGACTGGGATCTTGTTGATTGCAGATGGGCTGGGTGCGAAGAGCGGGCTGGACTCGCCGCGGTGCTTCGAGACTTGGAGAGACCGGTCTTCCGCGGTTTGGGGTACAAGGTGATCTTAGGCGACGATTTCAGAAAACCAGCCTGAGGTCAGGTCAGCCACCACCCCCAAATTCATCCGAAGCGACATCATACTTGGTAATCCGCATGATCCACCTCTTTCAAGTCAATGCTGACCGAGTACTTCCGCGGCTCCTCGACTGCGACGTAGCATACTCGGTGCGACGTGAGGTACGCATGGCCGTCCTGATAGTCGGGAATTTTGTATTTGCTAATTATGCAGACAAGATCAATCAGTCCAATAATACCAGAAAGCAGAAGAAAGTCAAGCTTCAATTGTAAATCAGCCCACAGGGACCAGATAGTTTAGGCACTCACCCCTCATATAACCCCACCGCATCCTGAACGAACAACAGGGTCTCATCGGGCAACAACAAGGGACGAAGAGCAGTGGTCAGGTCCAACGGCTTGAAAAACATCTAGTAGACCAGACCTGAGGACTTCTCCACACCCAGGAAAACAGTGAAGACAGACGACTGAGGAAACATGAGAGATGATGTTTCGATACTGGATCAAGTGAGAGAGAGAGAGAGGGAAACTGCCGGTCACTGATGTCAGGCCAATCCGATACGGCAGGCGGTGAGGAATGCCAAGAGAAAACTCCTCTCCCACGTAAGCGAGTCTCCTTTCCTTATCCTGTCTATCTTCAACCTCACTTCTCGATCCTCTATCGTTGCCATCTCAATCAGACTCCCATCTTCCTATCTTTGATCTGTCTCTGGGTATCGTTTTTGACGGTCTTGGCCCCGTTCGTGCGAGACAACCGAAACGACTCTTGGTGTAGGAATCATACTTCGTCCAGTTCGTCCAGTTCGTCTCGAAGCAAACTCCGTAGTTCAGTTCAGATCGCGTCCTCGATTTCCATCGTCTTCTTTTTTCCATTCGTGTTATCAGTTACATATTCCTGTTCTCTTCCTTTTTCTTCTCTTTTCCCTCCGTGATCACCCCGTTATTCAGTTGCTTAGATATTGTTCATCATGAGCACTGGCATGCCTCCGTGGCGGTCAGGGTCAGCTGTCGTCACAGCCACCCCCAAAGTTGCTGGTCATGGTATGTCTCTCCGCGCGAGTGATCCCCAATATATAGCGATACTGACGTAGATGCAGCCGCCCCAGCGTACATCCCGGTTCAAGCACGCCGTAGCCTCGCCACTCCAGCCCCATCCAAGTCCGCCGTATCCCAACCCCCTTCAGTATCATCCCAGCCGTCGACAACGGAAGCGTCTGCTCGGAAACGAGTAGAATGGCCAGCACCGGTGCGGTCGTACGTACAGCGGTGTTTTGCGCCAGAGAACCAAATGCTCTCAGTCAGCAGGCAAGAGATGGAGGCCAAGTTGAAGTCCGTGATCACCGCCGCAGCGGAGAGAGATGAGCTCCACACCACCAACTGGGACGCCTTACCTCTCCCCCAGGTCATGGTTCAAAATGAACGAAACCGGATCCTAGCCAGTCCGAATGTCTCCGCTTGGGGAGCGGCAAGTACGGCTTCTCCCCGCAAAATTGATACCGCTGCCAACGAGGCATCTAAAAAGCGAAAGTCGGCGGAGTACCACGGGGATGCCAACGGCGCTCCCCCGTGGCGGCAAACTAACAGTCAAGTCCCTTTTGAAGACCGAATCTCGTACTCACCCACTGATAAGCGGCAACGCATAGATCAAAAGAATCCAAGTAAGTCCAAAGCTAATCTAGAACTGCGGAAGAAGCGGTTTGAAGATCCTCGGGCCCGGTACGGTTCGTCCCCGTCGTCGCGGGGCGAGTCCCCCACGCCTAGCGCCGCCAACCAAGGCCCCGTCGTCGGGCGGTGCCAGGACTTGGAAAAGAAATATTTCCGGTTGACGTCGGCGCCGAACCCGGACACGGTCCGTCCCCTGCCGGTCCTGATGAAGACGCTGGATCTCTTGAAAAAGAAATGGAAGAAGGATAACAACTACGGGTACATCTGCGATCAGTTCAAGTCCCTCCGGCAAGATTTAACGGTGCAGCATATCCGGAACGAGTTCACGGTTAGCGTGTACGAGATCCATGCTCGTATCGCCCTGGAGAAAGGAGATCTTGGTGAGTACAATCAGTGTCAAACGCAGCTGCGGGCTCTCTACACGCGGCAACTCGGCGGGCATCCCACCGAGTTCAAGGCGTATCGCATCCTGTACTTCATCCACACTCGCAACTGGACGGCCATGAACGATGCGCTGGCCGACTTGACGGCGGCAGATAAGCGGGATCTGGCGGTGAAGCACGCCTTGGACGTTCGGTCCGCACTCGCTTTAGGAAACTATCACCGTTTCTTTCAGCTGTATTTGGATACTCCAAACATGGGGGCTTACCTGATGGATATGTTTGTGGATCGTGAGCGGCTGTCGGCCTTGGCGGTCATCTGTAAAGCGTATGCTTCTTTCCCCCGACTCGCATGTGGAATGGTACTGACGAGATCTGCTAGATATAAACCCGACGTAAAGATCCGGTTCATCACTGAAGAGCTCGGTTTCGAGTCCGATGAGCAGAGCGCACGGTTCGTTCTGGATCATACCTCGGAAGAGTTTCTCCAAGAAAAGGACGGGACCGTGAGACTGCTCACCGGGGCCAAAGCCAGCTTCTTGTTAGAGACGGCCAAGTCATCGGCTCATCGGATTGTTGACATCAAGGGGCAGATCTAGCATCCATTCTCTTTCGGTGACCTACTATTCGTTTTTACGTTTCTTGCATTCGTGCACATTTCACGTTTTAACAGCTTCTAATTCTCCACCCATCCCTTGTCCGTGTTGCATTTCTCAGTTTTGATCGTTGTTGGCTTGGGCATTTTTCTTTCGCATCCGTGCAGGTTGACTTGATGTCTCAAGGAAAAAATATACCCGCCCCCGTCGATGGGGGACGTGCTTCGGCACGTGCATCGAATTATTTAGCATTGGTTCATTTCATTGTTGGAGTGGGCGTTCATGGTATGAACGGGGCGTCGTCGGCATGATAGTTATACAGCATTTATCGAATCCATTCATGAATCTAGAGCTTCTCACCCTCCGTAGCTATAAACGTCACATTATGGTCCATGAATTGCATGGTTGATTCTACAATGAATTGATGGATATATAGATTTATAGATTTATAGATAGACAAAAGATAGATACCCCCCATCTAATCCTACCCCGCTCTCTCAATCCCCCTCTCAATAACCCCCAACATAGCCTCCGTATTCCTCACATCAAACGGAATATGATGCTTCGAGCCATGATCATACAGCTCCGCCCTCGCAGGATCACAAAGCCCATAAAGCCGCATACTCCACGGATAAAGCGTATCCTGCCGCCCCACGATATGCACCGTCGGGACCGTCAGCGGGTAAGGCGCGTCAGGCGCGCGGTCCAGGATCTCCTTCCCGTCAAGCGTATACGGCGCCGCACCGCAGATGAACACGGCGAGCTTGAACAGCGGCGGGGCGGATGGGTTGGCGCGCGCGTGGTGTAGAATCGTGGCGGCGGCGAGGGCCGCACCCTGTGAGAAGGAAAGTACGGCGTCGAAGGGGCCCTCGCGGTGGATGATGTTCATGGTGTAGTTGATTGCGCGAATGAGGTCTTCGCCTGGGGAGGTGCCGCGGGGGTAGTGATCGTAGAAGGGGCCGTCGCAGATACCTTTTATTTCTGTTCCCACATCATTCAGTATGGGGTGGGTGGAAGGTGGAGGAAGGAGGGATGTACCTGGTTCGGGGTCGGCTTCTAGGCGGCCGTCGATGTATTTAAAGACATGGCCTTCGGTTTCGAGGGCTTGGGTGAGGCCGCCTAGTAGATTCTTAGTCCTTTTTTGATCCTTCTTTCATATGGATGAATTTATGGTGGATGGTTTGTACCTGATTGGATCTCGAAGATCTACAGGATCGGGTTAGTATAGGAAGTGGTTGGTCTGATTGATAAGAAAGACATACTTCCGCGCTTGTACCGGCGCCGTGAAGACACAGGAAGCGCATTTTGTCAGGGTCAGAGGTCAACGGATATGAAAAAATAGGTTGTCAGATAAGCGGTAGAGGAGAGGTGGTAGGATGTGACTGGAGAGTCGTGGTAGTTGAAGTTGTAGTCGTAGATGTTGTTGTCGTCAAGAAACCGTTGGGCTGATTATGGTAAATATGGGCCTCACGCTAGTCCGGTTGGAGTTGGTCGGGATGATCTCCAGCCTTTCTCTCGATTCTCTGTCGTGCTCTATCTCTTGATCTGTCATGTAGATGGATCGTTTGGATGGATCTTTTGGTCTATCTTTGATCCACCTTGATTTGTGACAATTGTTCAAATATTCAGTGCTAATCCATCCCTTACAGTATCGGTCTAGGGTACTACCATGAACGCCCAAGTTTATCTCCAGTCGCATCTCGGTGAATAGTCTGGTCGATATACATCCACGCGACAAGAACTCCAACTGCCTAAGACTATATCAGTGACTCGCGCGCTCAATGCTACCTTCGAGCTTTGAGACGAATCAATATACACGGGGCGCGATGACCGCAACGCGACGGCCCTGAGGTCATCTGCGCGACATACAAGCAGTCAAGAACAGGCCGGGGTTAAAAGGTAAGAAGAAGACATTCAAGATGGACATAGAAGGCTTGGTCAAGCAGTGAAGAAGCATGTGAAGGGATATGGAAGGGAGAAGTCCTCGTGTGGTTCTGGAATACTGATCTGTGGATGTTCTTGTCGCACGCAATGCTTGGTCTGTTATCACATGGGCATTGGTATACATAGTCGCTTGAATATTGACATTTCGATTTGATTCTAAGCTGACTCAGATATGAGTAGCAGAAGTATACAAATTAGTGTAAACACCTAAGTCCTCTATTATAGGAGTAGAACCATAGTTCGCGAGAATGTGTTGAGATATCCCGACTCCCCGCACACTATCTGACATTATTTGACGCGGTGTCACTTCCAACCTCAACATCCCCTGGACTTGCGCCTCACTTGTGCTTCGTCAATGACCCCTCTCGGTTGATTCCATCCACTCCATTCCTTACCTAAAACTTTTATAGGTCCATCTGATACCTCTCTCCGTTGATCATGCTGCACCTCGGTGGCCCACCCCGCTGCCCGGAGGATCGTCGCGCCCTTTTAGAATCCTATATTTTTATCCCCCACCCCAGAACAATCCGTTGACCTCGTCCGAATTATCCATCTCCTCATTCAGTCCGCTTGGATCACCGCCAACATGTCCAAGGCTCTGGTAGATTCTGCCACTCTCAGTTTGTTTGCTCGGCACGCCATTACCCATCCCCTGGATTTCGCCGCCAGCGTCGGTCCGACCTTGAATGAAGCCACTTTTGGTCTGCTGGGGTCCTTGTTTGACCCCCAACGAGATATTGGAGACTTGTCCGGGAAGGTGATCTTGGTCACTGGAGGTATGCGACCTTCTTCCCCCTTTCGTTTCTCTCCGTCCCAGGCGTTTTGGTTGCAGGATGCTAATCGGTCCGCCCGCGCAGGAAATTCCGGTCTGGGAAAAGAAACGGTCATCCAGCTCGCCCACCATCGTCCGTCTCGCATCTACATTGGCGCACGGAGTGCCACCAAGGCGCAAGAGGCCATCGAATCGATCCAAAAATCCATTCCGTCCCCCGTCGACATCAGACATATCCCACTCGATCTCACGTCCTTTCAGTCGATCCGCGCCGCCGCCCAGCAGTTTCAGGGGGAATGTGACCGTCTCGACCGCCTCGTGCTCAACGCGGGGACCATGGCCAACCCGCCCGGAGTGACCCAGGAAGGGTTCGAGATCCAACTGGGCACCAACCACATGGGTCACTTCCTCCTCACCAAGCTCCTACTCCCTACCCTCCAAAAGACCGCGCGAGAGGTCCCGGACGCGGACGTGCGCGTTGTGACCGTGAGCTCGCTCGCGCACAACACCGCCCCCGCCTACGAGGTCCTGACCTCGACGGACGCGCTACTACAGACCGGATCGCTCTCCCGGTACGGTGCGTCCAAGGCTGCCAACGTCCTCTTTGCGGCGGAGCTGGCCCGACGCTATCCCGAACTCCTCTCGGTCTCTATCCACCCCGGCGCGGTGTCGAGCCCATTGTACGAGCACACCAAGGCGTCGGGAGCCATCGCGCGACTCTCGGTGACCGCTCTGTTCGCGGTTCTGCGAAGCGTACGCTCGGGAGCCCTCAACCAGCTCTTTGCCACCGGCGTCTCGAGGGAGCGCCTGGTCAACGGGGCCTACTATGTTCCGGTGGGTCGGAAAGGCTCCAGCCAGTATGCTGACGATGCGGACATGGGCAAACGCTTCTGGGATTGGACGGAGGAGCAGATTGCGCAAGTGTCGTGATCTTTCATTACTATGTATAATAACGCTACAATGGATAGTTTGCATGTTGGGACCAAGATTGACCAGTTGGCCTCGATGATTAGTAGTTGGACATCATGTGACGTGACGTAATCAACGAACAGCCTCGGCTCAGCGGGTGGAAAAGGCGGTTAGAGGCGGAATGCCCCGTCTTTCTCGATCGCCGCCGACCTTCTTCTTCTCCTCACTCCTCTCCATCCTGTCTGGTGTTGTGTTTGATCTGGTCTCCCTCTTCACTCTTCGCTCTACATTTCCAACACATTCCATCAATTATGGCCATCCAAACCTCGACCGGGCTCGCCGCCCGTATGCTCACCAAGCGCGCCGCTTTCCCCGCATCTCGCCAGGGACTCAGGAACTTCAGCTCCGCCCGACCGGCCCTGAAGGAGATCCAGGAGGCGTACATTCTCAGTGGCGCTCGTACGCCGACGGCCAAGGTAAGAAATGTTCCGGGTCAATAGACGAAGGAACAGCCGTGATGGCTGACTTCCCACCAGTTCAACGGCTCGTTCTCGTCGGTATCCGCCCCCGAGCTCGGCGCCGCGGCCATCAAGTCCGCCGTCGGCAAGTCCAACCTTCCCGTCGAGAAGATCACGGATGTGTACATGGGCAACGTCCTTCAAGGCTCCGTGGGCCAGGCGCCCGCCCGTCAGGCCTCGATCTTCGCTGGGCTGGCCCCCACGGTCGAAGCAACGACGGTCAACAAGGTGTGCGCGTCCGGTCTCAAGGCGGTGGCGCTGGCCGCCCAGAACATCCAGCTCGGCCTGGCGGAGGCCCAGATCGCCGGTGGCATGGAGAACATGTCCCGTGTCCCCTACTACATGGCCCGCGCGGGCCAGCTGCCCCCCTTCGGCAACCTCGCCCTGGAGGACGGTCTGATCAAGGACGGTCTGTGGGACGTCTACAACAAGTTCCACATGGGTGTGTGCGCGGAGAACACCGCCAAGAAGTATGAGGTCTCCCGCGAGGACCAGGATCAGTACGCCATCCAGTCGTACCAGCGCGCCCAGGAGGCCTGGAGCCAGAACAAGTTCGCCGACGAGATCGTTCCCGTCACCGTCAAGGGTAAGAAGGGCGACACCGTGATCGAGCGTGACGAGGGATACGAGAACCTGCGCATCGACAAGCTGCCGACCCTGAAGCCTGCCTTCGTCCGCGACGGCACGGGCACCGTCACCGCTGGCAACGCGTCCACCATGAACGACGGCGCGTCGGCGCTGGTTATCGCCAGCAAGGAGCTGGCTCGCGAGTTCGGCAAGGGTAACCGTGCTCTGGCTCGCATCGTGTCCTCCGCGGACGCCGCCATCGACCCCATCGACTTCCCCGTGGCGCCGGCCAAGGCTGTCCCCATTGCCCTGGAGCGGGCCGGCATCACCAAGGACCAGGTCGCCGTGTGGGAGTTCAACGAGGCTTTTGCCGCTGTCATCAAGGCGAACGAGAAGGTGAGTTTCTACCTTTTTACTTTCTATCTTCCTCTCTTTCTCCCTTCACTGTGTTCTCTATCATTTTGATCATAATCTAACTCCAATAGATCCTGGGCCTGGAAAACGCCCGCGTCAACCCCCTGGGCGGCGCCATCTCCCTGGGCCACGCCCTCGGCAGCTCTGGCTCTCGCATCCTGGTGACCCTGCTGCACCAGCTTCAGCCCGGCGAGTACGGTGTCGCCGCCATCTGCAACGGTGGCGGTGCTGCCAGCGCCATGGTTGTGCAGAAGCTGGACCAGGTTGAGTAAAGGAAGGGAAGAAAAAAAAACAAAAAAAAAAAAGTCCTGTTACGCCTCTGCAAGTATCAATTTAGCGCATCATTTCGATCATTCTGTACCCTGATCCGGCTCCTTTCGCATCGCATCCACGATTTTGTGGTTCTATAACGAATATACCTATCTATATACCCATTGCTTTACTGGGCCGATCCATGGGCAGGAACATCATGTATACCAGTACTTCCGGGATTTTCGGATGTCAGAATGAAACGTGTGCAATGAGATATTCGATTTATTTTTATTTTCTATTCTATTTGTTTCCTTCAGTTCTAGGACGAGGAAATCGTAATCCACACTTTATGCATAGTTATGCAGTATGCTTCTTTGTAAGCAGGCGGTGTATTCTACACTTTCACCGCCTAATAAATTCCTGCAGAAAGAAAATGAAAGAAAAAAAAAAGTCAACCGCTCTTTTTGCGATCCGATTAGCATCAACTTTCACTCACACCTTTTTCTTCAACCCCCACAGCTATCATGGTTAAACGCAAGAGACAGGAAACGGCCAAGGCCGCTTCGACCCAGCCGTCCAAAACAATCAAACCGACCACCCCTAAGCCTGCCCCGACGCCCAAGCCGACCGTCGATGATCCGGCCGTCACCTTGCAAATCGTCACCGGGTCCTACGAATCGGTGCTACACGGCTTCACCGCGGCCGTCTCTCCATCGTCGTTCGATTCGAAGTCGGCCGACAAGAAACAGAAAGACGAACCTCCCACCGCCGACCCATCCCTCGTCCAGTTCTCTGACACCTTCCTCTTCGAAGCCCACGCCTCCGCCATCCGATGTCTCGCCCTCTCGCCGATGCCGTCTGCATCGGAGTCAGGCAGCGAAGCCCAGAAGATCATTTTGGCCAGCGGCAGTTCCGACGAGCGGGTCAACCTGTACTCATTGTCCGCGCATGCGCCGGCCGCGGGCGAGGACTTCCCGTCTCTCCCGTCGCTGTCGGGCCAGCAGATCCTCGAGAACCCTAAGAACAGAGAGCTGGGCACGCTGCTGCATCACGATGCCAGCGTCTCGTCGTTGAGCTTCCCGTCGCGCTCGAAGCTGCTCGCCGGCTCGGACGATAACTCCATCTCCGTTACGAAGACCCGCGACTGGACTGTGGTTTCTACGATCAAGGCTCCCCGGCCGAAGATGCAGGGCCGGCCTAGCGGCGATACGGCGCCCCCCGGGGGTTCCCCGGCCGGTGTGAATGATTTTGCGGTGCATCCGAGTATGAAGGTGATGTTGAGTGTCGGGAAGGGGGAGAAGTGCATGCGGTTGTGGAACTTGGTTACGGGGAAAAAGGCGGGTGTGCTGAACTTTACCCGTGAGATGCTAATGGGGGTGAAGGAGGGCAAGTGGAGCACTGGGGAGGGCCGGAAGATTATCTGGAATTCTAAGGGGGAGGAGTTTGCTGTCGCGTTCGAGTGGGGCGCTGTGGTTTTTGGAATTGTAAGTCATCCCTCCCTGTCATGTTAATCCCTGGGTGAGTATCAAGCTGCCTGAGTATCAAGTTGACTGACGAACTCCTTCGCAGGACTCCACCCCCATCTGCAGAGTGTTGCCGAGCCCCCGGAGCAAGCTGCACCAGATGAAGTATGTCTCGGTGGACCCCTCCTCCGAGGACAGCGAAGAGCTACTCGCCGTGTCGACCGAAGACGGCCGCATCGGGTTCTACTCGACCCAGAAGACCCGGAAATCCGACGACGAGGCCGAGTGCCCGATCCCGTACGCGGAGGCGGTCGCCCAGCTCGGTGGAAAGCCGTGCGGTCTCCCCGGGCGCGTGAAGGATTTTGAGATCATGAACCTGAAAGACGAGCCGGCCGTCGGGAAGAACGACTTCCTGGTGGTCACCGGCGGTAGCGAAGGTTTGGTCCGGGTGTGGTTGCTGCATGGAAAGGAACTTGTCGGAGAGAAATCCAAGCCGTCCGGTGAATCGGCGACTCCAGTCCGTCAGGTCGGCCGGCTCTTGAACGCCTACGAGACGGGACACCGCATCACCTGTCTCAAGGCGTTCGTGATGCTGCCCCCGTCCACAGCGGAGGACGAGCAGGATGAGGAGCTGGATTCGGAGGAGGATAGTGACTCGGACAGCGAGGCGAGCGATTCGGAGGCGTGATTGATGTCTATATTCCTGTATACCCTGAGAGACCTGAGTAACAATAGAACCATAACCATCACCATAACCCGACCAGGGATCCCTGTTTCACGCTGCGCTGAGACCGAGACTTCTTTGATATGATACGGCACGTTGCAGGCGCTGACATAAGCGACCAGGTCATCCCCGGCCGATCATCGATGTTCTGTTTCCCCCGATTGGAATTCTTCGTCTTTAAAAACAACCAAGCCATGGCGTGCTGGACGTCTCTCCGTTGTCATCTTCTCACTATGTCCGCCTCTTCATCTGCCTAGTTGACTATATCACCCGCGCCATGTCCGCCCGTCTCCTTCATCCGGACGAGTACGAGCTCGACGCTCGATCGTCCGTCGACTCGCAGGGGAGCTTCAACCTCGATGACGCCGACTTCGAGTCGCAAATACCCCCACAGCCCAGGCGCTTACTGCACCGGGTGCCTCTCCTATCGCGACTGTTCTCCTCGACCTACGCCGGATACCGCCGCCTCAAGCCGTCGCGACCGCTCATCTCCTCCGCCCCGCGATCATCCTGCTCCCGCCTCCTCCGCCGACTATGCTTCTACCATAATCTCATCATGGGCATCATGGTCGCCCTGATGGTCGGCAGTGCCATCCTGCGCCCGTCGTACTCAAATCCCCCGCCGCAGTACGCCACGCTCCGCGACGCCATCGAACAATCGACCGACCCTGGACGGGGCAACGCGCGCAACGAGAAGGTCTTCATCGCCGCCAGCCTGTACGACAAGAGCGGGGACCTCGCGGGGGGCGAATGGGGGTCGCGGGTGCTGCAGCTGGTGGACCTGCTCGGCCCGGACAACGTGTTCCTGAGCATCTACGAGAACGACAGCGGAGAGGAGGGGCGGAGCGCTTTGCGCAGCCTGGAGGAGCAAGTCCGGTGCAAGAAGTCGATCGTCTTCGAGGAGCACCTCGACCTGACCACCCTCCCGACCGTCACCATCCCCGGCGGGGAGACTCGCATCAAGCGCATCGAATACCTAGCTGAGGTGCGGAACCGAGCCTTAAAACCTCTAGACGAAGCCCAAAATCACTACGACAGACTCCTCTATCTCAACGACGTAGTCTTCGACCCCGTCGACGCCCTCCAGCTCCTCTTCTCCACCAACGCCGCCGACAACGACGGCGTCGCGCAGTACCGCGCCGCCTGCGCCGTCGACTTCGTCAACGCCTTCAAGTTCTACGACACCTACGCCACGCGCGACCTCCAAGGCTACAGCATGGGCCTGCCCTTCTTTCCGTGGTTCTCCACAGCCGGCAACGGCCACAGCCGCAGCGACGTTCTCTCAGAGCGCGACGCCGTCCGCGTCCGCAGCTGCTGGGGCGGCATGGTCGCCTTCGACGCGCAGTACTTCCAAAAGCGCAACCCAGCAAAAACCCAGCCCCTCCCGCCCCCACCGCCACCCACACGCTTCCGCGCCGCGCACGACCTCTTCTGGGAGGCCTCCGAATGCTGCCTCGTACACGCCGACCTCCAAGACCCACCAAAATCCAGCGTCGACGACCTCGCCGACACAGGCATCTACATGAACCCTTACGTGCGCGTCGCCTACGACAGCAGCACACTCTCCTGGCTGAGCACAACCCGCCGCTTCGAGAAACTCTACCCCTTCCTCCACAACGTCCTCAACCACCTTGTCGGCCTACCGTGGTCCAACCCCCGCCGCGAGGAAATCCCCGGCCAGCGCGTGCAGGACACCGTCTGGGTCCCTGATAACCTCGACAAGGGCGGTGGTTCTTTCCAGGTCGTGGACCGGCTAGCGGGGAATGACGGCTTCTGCGGCCGGAGGGGATTGCAAGTTATTGTGGAACACCGCGAGGAGGGGCAGAAGGGGTGGGAGAATATTGCTGTTCCTGAGTGATGTCTCTCTTTCTTCTGTATATTTAGATTTATCGTCTTATAGGTCCCTTCTTTTTCTTCCTTGTCTTTTTTTTTTAATTTTATATTTGTCTGTTTTTTTCTATCTGTTGTTAATCTTTGGTGGCTGGCTGTCAATCAAGCGCGTACGAAATTGAGCTGAGCGATTTGCTTGTTGTTTGCTTGCTTACTTGCTGATTTGTTTGCTTGTTGCATAGCTGGGTAGGTAATAATTGTTGTATACGAAGAATGTCTGCTTACATTGATACACACATGGTCCGATATATGCATTAGAATGAGCGTACTATATGGGCTGTACACTGACTGGCTGATGATTGATGGTTGATTGATCGGTCAATTAATTTAACTGAAAAAATAAAAAAACCAGACAACTGAACATGAGCATCAACCCGTCCGTCTTACTTCTAATACCCCATTATACAAATCAGAAGTAAGATAGAGAAATGCGACTTCTTGTGCGAAGTGGACAGAACATGAAATAAAAAACCTCCTTAACGCCGGGCTGTTTCAGTTTTATGCTACAAAGGCCCCAAGGCTGGGGTAATCCGCCAAGCCGATCAATATTGGATCACGATGTGAGATTCAATCATTTCCGACTACGCAAAAAGGCAGCAACCTGCTCGTGGCGGGTGACGAAGAACATGCGCTTCTTGTGCGATTTCCACACTAAGACGCCGATCTCCTCGGCGTAGCGGCAAGGAGCCTCGTACTCGGATAAGCTGACAAAATCCTTGAAGAGGAAGCCCGGGGTGGCTTTGACGCGGTCGCGCTCGAGCTGCCAGAGGCGGATCTGGTCGACGACTGTCGGGGGCAGGACGGAGGGGATGCCGGCTTGGTTGGAGGTGGCGCGGGAGGCGTTGTATTTGCGCATTTGCGGGTGGGCGTGGGTGGAGAGGTAGGAGATGATCTGGTCGGCGGTGATGCCCATTTCGATGGCGCGGCGGATGGACTGGCGGGTGATTTTGCCGGTCAGGAGGTTGGGGAAGCGGTATTTGAGGGTGGTGAAGAGGGCGATGAGGGAGATTTGGAGCGGGGATGAGGTGTATGCGTAGAGGCGGTAGTTGGTCTCGATGATGATGAATCCTGTTGCGGCTTTGCTCCCGCCTGAGGACGTGCCGGTGGGCCCGGTCAGGGAGCCTGCGATGGGGTTGCTGAGGGTGCTGGAGTCGGAGGTTAGGGTGGTTGCCAGACGGGTGGGGTAGAAGTGGCTGGCTTCCGTGGAGTCTTGGTAGACGATGCCGAAGTCGGTGAGGTCGGTCAGGGTGCGGAGCTGGTTGGAGGTCAGATTCCTCTTCTCGTAGGACTTCCCGAGCTCCAGGCTGCTGAGAAGGAACAGGAACGACAGGACTTCGACGCTGTCCATGCCGATGGCCTCGGCGCTCTCGACGTAGAGGATGAGGATGTGCCACACTTGCGTGCTGACATCTTGTAAGACGAAGGCGAATCCATCCTGCGTGATCTCCACGCGACGGTCCCGGACCTCCACCAGGTGACCGGCTTGCAGCAGCTGCTTGACGCCTTTGCTGAGACCGGCCTCGCGCTGCGCTCCCAGCCCACTCGTCCCCACCATGTACCCCAGAACGCCTTCCCACTGCCGTCGCGCATACTCATCAAGCTCAGGGATCGACACCGCCGACTGTGGGGGAATCTGCGCCAGCACCCCGAATGATTGGGTTTGTTCCGCGCCGGTCAGGGCCTGACGAAGGGAGGTCGAAAACGGGTTGGTGACCATATAAGCACGCACATTGTCGGATGTCACGGTATTCGATAGGATATGGAGACGACCTAAGATCGAGAGCGCATGATCTCGTTCCCTATATAGAACGATAAGAAAAAATTAGATTTCGTTTACCAGTGATGTAACACTAGTTATAAGCCACTCACTTAATACTACCGGACTTGACCCAGCCCTCGAGATCCCCCGCAGGGAGGGGATCCTTCAGATAGAGAAGAGCCATGACAAAGCATTTTGCTTCAATGCACCCCCACCGCCAGTCAGTTCGATTGTCCGGTTCCTGTCAGACCTGGCGATCGGAGAGCCACATACCCAAATCAGGCAGCATGCGCCGGAAGATCGCGAGAGCGGTCGAGGGCTGCTGATAGAGCTTGAAGAAGACGGTGCCCGGCAGGCCTTCGAGGTAATCAAACGGACGGGATGGAGCGGCCGCCATTCTGCCGGGTGAAGAGGAGAGACGATATCAGCTCCACGACAACATACTGGGAGAGTTGAGAGAGTAGGTTGTTGGAAGAAAGAAGAAATGAGCCTGAATGGATGCCACAAATTACGGCGGGCGCAGCGGCCTCCCCGCGCACAATCCGGGTTATGTAAGCAGCATAATGTACCCCGGTTATACTCCACAGTTATGCTCGATATACTCAACCCATCTTTATCATCTTCACATCTATATCTACATTGACTACTGCATCCCTCTGATCTAGAGTGTATAATGCCTGCTCTACGCTTCGTCCGATCTGTCAGTCCCCCACCCCATCCAATCAACATCCACTAACCAATCTCAGGTCTGGGAGTCCTTTCGGGCTACCTCGGGGCTGGAGCCTCGGTAAGCGTATCCGATGTGAACGAAGGAGACGGCGACTGATTTAGTTCTGTCGGTGAACAGGCTCCTGGATAATGTAAGCAGAGCAAGGATTGCTTTTGTTGCTCTGGTTGTCTCTGTCAGAACCTAGAATGCTGATGGTGGCGTGTTTAGCTCCGAGTGACGGCGGCCAAACCTGGCTTCGTCAACTTCGAACTCGATGTTAAGAAAGAGCACACGGTACTCCACCCTAATCTATTCTAGTTTCATAGCACTAACGTATGTGGTAAGAACCGTTTGAATATTCTCCATGGCGGCACCATTGCCAGTATGGGTAGGTTGAGCTTGACTCTTTTTCCTCCACGTCTAGGGGAATGATCTGACCCATGCAGTGGACCTGGGTGGCTCGCTGGCTGTTGCCTCTCGCGGTTTGTTCGCCACGGGTGTGTCGACTGATCTCAACGGTGAGTGCTGCCCGCAAACTCCTATCGTATTCCCACCGGCTTTCTAATGTCATACCCAGTGACGTATATCAGCTCCGGTGGTAAAATCGGGGACCGGATCTTGGCTGTAGGTTTCCCAGCAGCTCCTCACACACCCATACTGACAAACTCAATAGGAGGCCAGCTGTGACAAGTGTAGGTTCCAAGTACCATTGCTACAGTTTTATCATGCCTAACTAGATCTTAGTTGGCAAAACCCTCGCATTCACCTCCATCAACTTCCGCAACGCCAAGGGGGACATTGTTGCCCGAGGAAGTCACACCAAGTATGTCACCATCGATTGAGCATCGAAACGTTTACATTTTACAAACTAACCTGTCTCAGGTATATCGCTCTCGCCTGGAAAGACCCGCAGAATATCGTCGAGGAGCTTGGAGGAAAGTCCAAGTCCAAATCCGGGTAATGCTGCGGTGCACTTCGTTTCAGCCTATGGCCACAGTCGATACATAGATATTTTAGACAGCTTTAAAGCCATCACAGTGACTATTTTGCCTTCCAGGGGATTTGTAGCTACGTAATATTCTCCATCACGGGCGGTTCGACGAACTGTCTGGACAGTCAGCCTCGCAAACCTGGCGCACGCCGCATCAAGCAACTCCCAGCGTGATTGACGTATCATTTCAAATCGCTCCTACGAAGTAGCTCCAGATATACAAATATGTAGTAGCCATAGAGACAGCGACTTCAGAGCAGGTATACTCGCAAAATTGGTAAGTTTATAGAAAGGTGGTAAGTTAATGGGGTCAATATATATATAGCCCTAACCGCCCCATCTAAGACTGTATTTAAACCACATCAAAGTCCAGATAGCACTTTTGATATTTTCAATGAAACAATCAAATATTACCAAACAGGGACTTCTATTAAGCCTGGTGATAACAACATACTTGATTAAGCGCTCTGTCTCGCCTCGTTTATCGACGATAGAATGCAATGCATAATAAACGCCTGCGGCGCTAACTCCAGACCATCAACCAGATACGTCCTTCAACCCACACAGGGATACCAACAAATAAACACAGGAAAGATATTCATACCGACCAAAGGTTAGCCAGGTATAGATGCAAGTCATTATATACACGATCTAGTCTAAGAAAACTTCACTCCCTTACTGGGATCCCACGTCCCAGGCTGTCCGCCAAAGCGGATGCCCATCTCGGGATTCCACATCCCGGGCGCCATCGGGGGTCGAGAATTGGCTCGAGTTGGCTGCGGTGCCGTGAGGGGCTCAGATCGTGCCGCCGGCGAGGGTTGAACAGGTGGCTGGACAGGGGGATGGACCACCTGGGGAGGGGGTTGTGGTGCGGCTTGTGGTACCGGCTGGGGTATGGGCTGAGCTGGCGGCGCGTTGTTGTAAGGTCGGAGGTGTGGTGGGGAGATGTTCAATGATGCCATGGCTGTCACGCTGGAGATGTCCCTGGTTGAATTAGTATTAGTGCGTGATGAGATGGATGGTTTGATAAGAACGTACGACTCCATTTGGCTCGCTTCCATTCGGCGCTGATGCACGAATGACTTGCAGTCGTCGCGGAAACGTCCGACGATCTTGGCCAAGTCGTTGTAGAACTTCCGTCCGACCTCAATATTGGATATGATCTCCTTGTATTTGAGGTAGCCGTTTTCCAGCTCCTGCAGCGCCTTCTCTCGCTCCTTGGTCGAGGCGTCGCCAGTGTGCGCCCGCGTGAATGCCCGGTTTGCTTCCCGGACTTGCGCCGCGATCTGGTCTTGGTCGTGCTGCTCTTGCGTGACCATGGCGAGGTCGGAGTCATACGTGCGCAGCTGGTCCTCGAATAGTTCCTCGAATTGGCCTGCCGAGATCGGTTGCATGGGGAACTCGCGCTCCAGCCTGGCGGCTTCCCGAAGAAGGGCCCGACCTATCAATGGTGAGCGCCACTCAGGGGAAAACTGGGGAGGGGAATACATACTGATATCGTCCGACCGCGCCTTATCTTTCAAGGCTTGTGCGCGTCGCTTCCGTCGGCTCTCTAGTCGGCTCACATCGCTCAAACATCCACGGAGACGAGAAGACTCCTGTTCGACCTCCGGGGGAATGGCCGCTCTCCGACTGCTGGGAACGTACATCTCCAGATCACGGTTGGTGCCAGTGAGTACCCTGAAGACGGCCTCCGAGTCACGGAGTTTCTGTTCCACAAGATTATCGCTGCTTTGCGCCGACGTGAAGTAGCCGTCGATTTCCCCAGACGTTTTGTACAGCTTTGCGGCGGCCGACTCGGACGAGTCCCGAGACCACCGTTCCGTCCCATATCGCCGGCGCGAAGCATCGTCTTCGGCTTTCTCTGCCGCGAGAAGCTCCACCCCCTCGTTATATACGGCCTTATCATTCGCCTTCACTGTGGCGGTGTCTTCGATGGATCGACGGAGCCGGTAGAAGCCGTCTTGTTGGCGCATTTCTTCCGCGTGCGACACCAAGGTTGGTGGTAGCCCAAGCGGCTTTTCGAGTGCCTGCAGCGACCCGGGGAGGTTCAACGACGACAGCAAACTTCATCTGGTCAGCATAGTTTAAGAGTTATCTCGAGGGTTGGATCTTACTCCCGCAGCTTGTCTGTCATGGTCTCCAGCTCGCCAATGATCGTCTCATTGACCAACCGATCCCGACGATCCGAGTAGATGCTCGCTGCGATGTGCACAGCGTAAGGGACCAACTTGGAGAACAACGGCTGCCCCAGAGGCCCGTTATCGCCTAGCATAGAGATCGCATCGGTCACCTGCGACGGTGCTTTGGCCGCAACGAGGCACGCACGATCAAGCAGCTTCAACTCCGACTTCGGAGGCACCGGGTGAAGGTATATCACGTCGTTGTCTTTCTCCGCCCGTCTCAGATCGTCCGTCACTCGGTTTCTCAACCCTTGCAGATCTCCGAGCACGGTCCGGTTGATCCACCGCGACTCCTTCAGCGCTTCGTCGACACACGCCACGCTGTCCCTGAGGCGCGCGACCTCCTCGCCGTACTTGCGCTTCTCCAAGCAATCCAACGACTGTCGGTACTGCGCTGCCGCAGCAAAATGATGGTGCTTCGCGGTCATGTGGTGGATCCACTCCGGGCTGATCGCATTCGACTTGACGGCGTGGGCACCAGCATCCGCGTAAAAGTCCGACACCACAGCAGCCAGCCGAGCAATCGAGGCGTCCTTCAACCCGTCCTTGACAGCCTTCTGCCAGAAGCATTCCTGGGCCTGCGCCAGCAGCAGCTTCTCCAAGCTCAGCAGCGTCATCTCGTCCATGTCCTCCGGCGGCGACGTGCGAAGATCGGGGAGTATATCCGCGCGCAAGTGCACCACGATCCCCGCCGCTTGGCAGAAGTAGTTGCAAGCCTGTTTGAGCCCATCGGCCGTCGTGCGATTCACCGCGAACGCCAGCTGCGAGTACAGCGCTGCCAAGTTGAAGATGATGTTCGCCAGTTCAAAGCGGATATTGTTCTGCGAGACTGGAGATAGCAATGGAAGTTAGCGCATTGATCCTCACCACTGAATCCAAGCAGAACAACACAAATTCAAATAGGAGCAATCCATACCTGGCCGCGACGTATTCAGCCCAAACGCGGGAAACCAAGGGAATTCTACCCCGACCTGTTAACATCCAACCATCGCATTAGCCAGCTTGTCCACATAACTTTCTTCACTCCCCTCCCCCTCCTCTTTCCTACAGCTCTAAGTCTCGGCTTCCCGGAATAACCCGTCTACTCACATCAACCGGAAACTTCCCACCCAGCCACTTCAACTGCGCGGCGTACGTAACCAACCGGCTGATCCCGCTCACATGGGGTTCCAGCACATTGATAGCCTCATCCCGCAAACGATCAAGAATCAAAAGATCATCCGCGAACATATCCGGGCGCTGGTCATATTTCGACGAGATGTACTGCGTGATGGCATCGGATAAGGAGACGGTGTGGGAGCGTCGAAATGGGAACTGGAGGATATTTCTAAAGGTTTGAACCACATGTTAGTTTCATTATACAGCTCCTTGCATCCTGACTATACTGGGAAGAAAGGACAGAGTCATACGAAGCCATTGTCGCGGTCAAGCCACATCGGTGGACGGGGAATGATCGTCGTTATCGGAGGAGGGGGAAGTTTTTTGTTGATGTCGGGGAAGATCCAGTCAGCTGGAAACCCCGCCCGGGCAACGCATGACGTTGTGTTCAGGCAGTCAGGCATCAACGCTACTCTACTAGCAGTACTGCTACAATCGCATCATGTATCATCCATGCTGTTTTCTCTAGATATAATTGAAAGTTCTCATTGTAGTAATTACCCTCATACAATATCTAGTTCTCCTCAAAAACACTCTTCTGAAAGAACCCCACGATCTTGCGCGCAGCCTCAATCCCTACCAGAGGATCAAGCTGTTCCACGCTCATATTGGCAATCTCATTGATATTGTCTGTTTCGACAATCAGACGCTCCAGAACCGGAGGGGTCACGCCAGGGACCGCCCGTAGCATATCCTGGGGAAGGAGATTATAAGTGCGGTGTTCAACGCCCGCAGCAGCCATAATGTCGCCGGGATCGGCATCAGCGCCAAAATCCATATCTAAGCCAATCTGGACGGCGCGGACAGGGTCCGGTTCAGGGTTGTTCTTTTTCAACTCGGCGAAGATCTCGGCTGTTTGGTAGGGCGAGGAGGACCAGATGATTTTAAGGCGTGGGAACGTGAGTGTGAGCAGGACGATGAGGTGCTGGGCGGACTTGGGGCTGGATGGGTTGACCAGGGAGGTGCTGGTCGACGGGGTCGTGGTCCCTGTGCCGGAGGAGGAGAATCCATAGTCGGTGAGGAATGTAGTGCCGGGGGTTGAAGCGGACGCGAACGCGTCAAAGGTGAAGGATTTGTTCTGGTCGAATTCAATGAGAAGCAGAGGGTTCTTGTAGTGCTGCAGCATGGTCTCTGCCTGGTTGTAGAGTCGCCCGTTTCGGAGCGAGGTGATCAGATCGCGGACGGATTTGCGCTCGACACAGATGTCCGGCGTTAGGATGTAATCGCCAACGGTGAGCTGGCAGGGTACGATGATCATGTTGTTTCCGTGCAGTAACGACGGAAGGGCGCTCCTAAACTCGCGGACGTCCACCACGACGCGAGGCGGCGCTGCAGTGGCAGCTAATCGACCACCGCCTGCAATGCGGGTATTGACAGTTCGGAGGAATTGCTCTTGGGGGTCTTCAGCGCTTCTATCGTGGGTGATTGTAACAGCCATGTTCTGTGATCGATGTGAGCCAATGGTATGCAGTAAGGGTTGATGGATAGCCATACACTCTTCTCCTTGATGAGTTTCGTAAATGAGTCTTTCTCTCGTCGGACAGCACTGAGATACCGCTGCTCCTCTACGGATCCCCCATAGTAGATAAAGTATACACGCACATTCCTGCCCGCATGAGAACTGCGGTATACTTCGACTCGTCGGATAAACGCGGGGTCAGGCTCGTACATGATGATGTACCGCGGCCGAACTTCCTCCAATATGTGTTCATCCACGTCCCCGTCGTAGGGATGCACCATTACCAAGTCGTTCATGTCGTATAATTCGTAATAATCTTCCATATCGTCCAGGAAGTCGATGACGATCTCCGCCTTCTGCGCTTCTTCAATCTCCGTCGGTTGAACTTCATCTATCAACTCGGTGACCTGTCCAGGCTGCTCCACATCCGTCTGCACACTAGTGTTTGGCACCCGACCTGCAGCAGAAGAAACCGCTCCGCCGCCACGGACCCGGCGTCGCTTGTTGGGCGGAGCTCTCCCTGGCAGATTGGCGGGAGCGGGAGAATCTCGGCTTCCTCCAGTTTGTCGATCGCCATTCTGCTGAACTGAGAGGTTTTTATTGATATTGGACAAAGTCTTTTTCCAATCAAGATACTCCCTTAGTCTTCGACGCATCAGCACATCCGCAGAGCCCTTTTTCTCTGGCGCGTCATCAGCGTCATCTGCACCCACGGGCTTCTTGCTTTCCACGCTGGCATGCATGGTGCCGAGATATTCCCGAAGCTGTCGACATGTCCTCTGGTCGGTGCACATTATGAGCACCGTGCTATTGGATTCATCAGCCGGAAGTGGGTTGAGGTATGCATCGGTTTCGATTTCCGCCAGGACATCCGCCAGAACCTCCCACTTGGGCTGGGCTTCCAGGACAGGCTGGAGCGTGTCAATGTATGCATTGGTCGAGGTAATGGCTGCATCGCTATTGATCTTGCCCTGATAAACCCTGGACTTCGCGGTCTGAAACAGAACGTGGGCGGCATCAAGAAACAGCCACGGCGAATAGTTGTGCTTCGTCGATCCCGGCGGCGGAGAATGGGCGGTCACGATAGTGTCCAGATACTTGACAAACGAGACAGCATCGTACGTGAGCAGGGCACTAACATCCAGTCAGAACACAGACGGGTAGAAAGTATCGGGCGAAACGGGGCCACCCACTGTAAAATCGCGCGTAGATCACTCAGGTCACTAACAATCTGCCTAGTCCTGAAGCTCACGCGATGCCAAATCGGATCGAGTTGACGGCGTATAGAGACATCAAAACTTCTATGAAGCGCACTGTCAAGCGTCCATTCCGCCATATCAAGTCCAGCATTCGCCTTCCTCAACTCCGCAATACACAGCTCCACGCATTCCAGCACCGCGTTTTGGATCTCGCGCATCTTCTCGCTCATGGGAACTTCAAGCTCGATCACTTCCGCTTTCCGGTGCCCTTCGAGAGACTCGGCAACGGTGACATGAAACCGCGGCCACAGGGAAGCTTTGCGGAGAAACAGATTACGAAGGGAATTGGCAAGCGGAGCAAAGCCCGTTGTAAACGGCTCGGGCAGATCCGAAAATGCTTTCAGGAAGCCGGTTTTGTTGTTGTCGCGGAAAATGCGTATGATGAATGCCTCCGTCGAGGTCGCGATGACTCTAGCGGGTATCAGTAGATGTCTTTGGTGTCGGACGGGATGGCCCACCTGTCGGCGTGAAGCACGATCATCCCGGTGATCTTTTGAGGGTCAAGGAGTTCTGACAGACAATCAGCATCACAGAGATCAGACCAATCAACAAGCCCATCATACTAGATAATAGATCCACGACGAGTATTCTAGAAGTCACACTCAGAACACCGCCCTCCGCATAGATCTTCTCCCTATACAACAATCAATATCTTTACCCCACGAATCACCCACACACTCGAACCTACCGCATCGACACCGTCGCCCTCTCCGTATTAATCACCTTCAACCCCCTAGCCATCGGGGTCTTGCTAATAGCATAGTGTTCGGCAAGCGCTAACAACCAAATCAACACGATGTTCACCACGCCCTAACACATGCCAACTCCAACCTACCTTCCCCGATCCACTCATTCTCGCGATCATCCGCACCCACCACCAAGACGAGATTATTCCCAGCCGCATCATAAAAGTGTAACAAGTTCGTCACCAGGCGTAAAATACCCAGCCCCCGAGCCAGGATGACGAGCTCATCCTCGGTGCGGAGTTCGGTGAAGATGTCCTGCTGGTATTGCTGGATTTGGGTGTGTCAATACGGTTTCCGGGATCCCTCCGAGGCGGTGGATATTCCAGGCAGACTAACCAGAGGCAAGGACAGCTTCACCGGGACATTGGAGCGTTCTGGCGGCATGAGGAGCCTTTTGGCAGAGGTATGACGCAGGGGAGGGTGGAGGTGGAGTGCGGAGATCGTCAGTTGGTGGGTGTTTGTTGTGTTTGCATTGTCCAATCTACAACTATAACTACTACATGTTCTATTGTATTGTTGTTTGGTCTGAATGATTAATTGAAATGATTGTAGGCACTCGAAATAAAGATAAAAAGTATCTGTGGATTTCGGGAAACTATGGTTCATGGTCTAGTTTGGTAGTCTGCTCGGTCACGGCGTTGGATCCCTCCGCAGTATGTACTCGGTTTAGTATAGCCCTAGCCCATGACCCTCAACACTCATCCATATCTCTATACACATAAACTCAACTGTTCCATCGAAAAAGTTCTGCGCCTCCTCTGATTTACACTAAGAGAGCCACCACAAACAGCGATTTACATGGTGTCGTACCGCCGACTCAGGCCCACCCTCTCGAGAGATTGCGATAGAGTAACCCGAAACAAAGAGAAAAACGCGAGGAATCAGAAAGAGTGGGAGAAATTAAGAAGGGCGGACGACGAAGGACACCAACAGTTCTCCCAGCAAGGAGGCCGCAATGGGTATTAGTTCAAGCATGGCGAGAGGCGTCCACGCTGGACGTCTGGAGGGCTTCGACCTTGGATGGATAGACGGGTGATCCTCCGCATGATGCACTCTTGCTTTGGCCGTCTTCAAGACAAATAACGGGTGGCCTACAGCTCCAAGAATTTGTATCATAGGTTCGGAGCCGGACTAGAGGTACAAGAACTACTCAGTAGTAGACCACTGAAATGGAGATATCCCTTCCATTGGGTTCATTATCATCACTCATACCTAATCCCCATGAGACGCCACCCCAGTCTCTCCGGTAACCCCAGAAAATATACAAAAAATAAGATGAAGCCGCCAGATAACATCTACAAGAACTTGGAAATAAAGACGCATGAACGAGAAACAGAAAACGAGCAGATTGCACGGTGGCGACCTCACGCCGTTCCCACGCCACTTTTGGAATCGGAACTACTGTCCTGCATACTGGCCTTCTGCGACGCAAGGAACTTCTTGAACATGCCGGCAATGTCGTGCTCGGAGGTCTTGCCCTCCTCGGAGTTGCCGTTCTTCTCAGTGATCAGGTTCTTCAACCATTGGTTCTCCAGCTCCAAGGCGGTGACCCGGACCTCCAAAGCGTTGTTCTTATCCGTGGTCTCCTTGACGGTCTTCTCCAACGCCTGCTCACGCATCTTCTTCTTCACGCGGAACCGGGCACTGGCAGCTGTGTTCCGCCGGCGCTTGTCCTCCTCGGCCGCGTGTAGTGACGCCTCCTCGACCGTCATCACGGGAGTTTTCTGTGTGTTTTTGCGCTTCGGGGCCGGAGCCGGAGCCGGGGACGAGTTGGCAACCTTGGGAGTGGAGGCCTGTGACGACGTCGTCGAAGTAGGCGAGGGGTTTGAAGAGAGCGACTGGCTCGGAGCATTGTGGGTAGTCACCGACTCAGCGACCGACGGCGGTTCGGGGAAGGGCGCATGTTGCTGAACGGACGACGGCTGTGTGTTGACTTGACTAAATTCTTGGGCGGAGTAATCCGGCATGTTGTTGCCCAGTCCATCTGTAACGAGTTAGAACCCATGGCCACGTTGTCCATGGCGGCATATCCCGGATCAATCGTGCTAGACAAGACCACAAAAAGCAAAACAAAGACAACGGTATTTCTGGGTGGGGGAAATCCAAAATAGGCATAGATGCAGAGGAGCAAACAAAGGCCTGCGTGGCGTCACGTGGAATGGCGCCATAGTGAGGGTTGGTCACGCCAGGCGCAGGGCTCATGCACGTTGGCACAAGCCATCGCTAGATCACGGCACCGGACCCATTCTGAGAGCCAATGACAACCCAGGGAGATGATGCACGCAGGATTAGATATTTCGACGTGCAAGGCAAAGGATTTTAGTATAAAGGGTAACCCAGTAAGGGAAGATTGGCGCAGAAAAGCAAAAAAAAACCCTCGACGAAACAGCTAGAGCAGCCAGAAACGAGGGGTCTCGCAAGGACGAAGCCCTTGGTCCCCACCAAAACAATTCGAGAGAACGGAAAAAAGGAAAAAACACGCTGTGGTCTGTCCACCTAGCACGACCCCAAGATAACGGCCGCGAATCTGTAGGAAATCTTCCACTTACCACCAAGGAGATTCAAGAAATCCATGTCCGAGCTCTGTGCATTCTCGGGTTTATTTCCTTTCTTGGAGTTGCCATCTTCGACCGCATCAAAAGCGGGGAGATCGAAACTCCCAAACTTGTCAAAGTCGAAGAACTCGGTGTTGGTGAAGAGTGACAAGTCGGCATCGACATTGAACACGTCCTGCTGTTGCTGTTGCTGCTGCAGGGCCTGGTCGTAGGGAGAGGGGATGGCGTTCAAATCTTCCAAGTATTGGGAGAAGTTCGGGGCCCGGCGGCCATTGAATTCGGTCATGATGAATGGTTTCCGGCTGCGGTAGCCTCGCTCGCACAATTTGTCCTCCAAGCAATGAAAAATTCCTTCAATTCACACTGCGCGGCTTCGTCGGACCCGTTGGTCAGGATGGAAGTGGTTGTTCGACGTCTCTCAGTGAGATGACTCAACGACTTCGGACGCCTCGCGGGGGTTGGAGGTGTAGTGGCGGCGGTGTAATCGTGGACAGTAAAGAATTTGGCGATAGGAGGTGTGTATCCGGGGTCGATTTGGTGGATGGAATTTCGACGTCAAGGCGGGGAGTGTCAATGGAAGTGGGGAGAGGAAGAAAGAAAAGAGAAAAAGAGAGAGAGAGAGAGAGAGCAGGAAGAGGGACAAGACTTAGGATGAAGTGGGTCCCGGTGATCGGAGATGAAAGAACGACAATAGTCAGAACTGAGAAGACTTTGTGGACTGTAAGGGCGAGCGAAGGGCCGAGGTGGGGTCGCTGATTAATTCCCTGCACAAACACGAGGCTGAATAAGCTCTCCGGCCCCTTCCTGAACACGCGGTTGCCGCAAAAAGACCCGTTTTAGCATTCATCCGGAGGGGAAGCTCGCACGGTGCGCCTGTTACCTTTCTGTTCAAAGTCTAGCGCGAGAATCCTCCCACTTGGATTTATAATTTCCATTGCAAACCAGCAGGGATACTTGCGATAAGCATGATCGTGAGGATTCGGATGCATTAGGGCATTGTGAGCTGCTGACTCAATCTATGCTGGCATAAGTGTAAGTTATGTCATAGCGATCTTCAGGGTTTGCCACTGTGCGTTCTATCCACATTTCCCAGTTAGGAAATTCCAGCTGGCCGGAACCAGGTGGAACTGCGAAAAGATCCGGAAAAGGAGGTTACCGTGAGTGAGGTCAAGAGTCACTCCGAAAATGTCTCATCGTGGGGACTGTGGATACTAGGGCCCATATATCGTGTTGCACGAAACAGTAGGGGATGATATGGAGATGCTTGTCTTCAACCTGGTATGCTTTTGTCACACACTAGAGCAACTTGTAGGGCGCTTCTATCTACATCTAATCTCACACTAATCATCCCAGTATCCGCGCATCAAGTTTGCCAATATTAAAGGGACAAGATTTTCCACCTGAATCGTCTCAGAGTCGCGTTCGACATCAGGGTAAAGACACATGAATTGGACGGCAGCTAAGATTGTATATGCCTCTGTCATGACCACCTGGCGCCAGCAACGGCGTGTCTGGGAGGTGAGTCAGATTAAAATCCACTGGGAACGAGACCGTAAGTCCCACAAGAACAAGATGGTCCCCAATATGGTGACAACGGTCATATCTCTCAACGAGCAAAAGAAAAGATTTGAGACAGCACGCCTGTCTGAAGACGAGACCTCAAGATTGGTTTACAAGAAGAAGCCCCCATCCAACCCAAAGAACGGTGGATCCGACAAGACTTGGTCGAGCCTCTCTATACATAGAGAATTGATAAGTCATCGAATTGAGCCCTGGAGGGTGCTTCATGTTGGAGTTATCGTGCGCCATAATTTCCATCGATTTCGCATCTTTTTGGTGAGTTTTTATCGAATTCTGTCTACCCCCGAGCCGGAAACGGCGTTCATTTCTAACGACTTTCCCATTTACCTATCGCGGACGTGAGATAGGAACGGTCGTTCAAGCTGTCTCGCTGAGTGTTGTAGTAAGCCCCTGCAGCGGACTCGTCATTGGATGCAAAAGGCCTAGAGCGAGCAGACATTATAAAGCGCCGGCGAGCCTCTATTAATGTGATAGGAAAATCTCTGACAATAGGCTACATCAGAAAGTATCATACTACGTTTATTTTCTGTTGGCATGTCGGTCACACCAAGCTTGATCAAATACCGACACTGTATTTTAGTGCAGTGGCTGTCATGTTTGTATCTTGTATATCCCGGCTCTCAACATTATGCCGCTCGCTCCTGCTTTGAGTTATCTCTCGAGTATATGTATCTAGCTAGCTAATGGTATTTGGTAGACGACAAGCTTCAATATTCCTTCTTTTCTTCCCTTCTGCGTATCGAGACGTAGCCCTTAGGTGCTGTATATTTGAGCCTATACTGGGGAAAGTTATGTCCGTTCTACGCTTACATCACATCGACTACTTAATCAACCAAATAAGCATATACAAGTCTCAACTGTACTAATTGTTATATCTAGTAATTCAATGACACCGCAGGATGTCAGTCAGGCTTGGATGTATAGTCGCCCAAAATGGTCTAGCGTAAACAAACATGATAAACACCAGCTAACGTGGGTCAATTGTTTTCTCAACACCGCTTCACCTCCTATGTCCCATCTATACAATCTGATGAATGTTTGCTCTACATCGCCGGTGGACTCTGAAATCATTCCCTGTCAAGGTCAATTGTCGGTAGAGGAAGCATGAGTTGTGCATGGCCCCATTGATCACTCTGCGTCCCCGATTCCCTTCGCGCGTCTGGACCTGAATGTGGCAGGGACCGCTTCCGACTGACCGCGATTTGCGATCTTGACCAACCTTGACCACCTTTATCGAATCCCTTATCGTCCTCATATACTCCGGAATACTTTGTACCGTCTGGACGGCCCCATGAGTTTCCGACATAGCCAGTCCGGGCGACCAACCACGCCTAATACCCCCCCGCATCGCACCAACCACTCATCCTTTGCCAGCTCGTCGTCGGCAAATTCGTCGTTTCGTGGGGAGGAAGATGCGATCATCCTGGAGATAGGTTCGCGATGGCTGCGGGCGGGGTTTGAAGGGGAGAGTGCGCCGATGTGTGTCGTGGGATGCGGTCCTGAGGACTCGCGCCGGGCGGGGGACTACCGAGGCTTTCTGCACACCACCCACGACGGGGTGACAGCGGCCTCAGGCTCCCAAGATCCGGAGGACTGGGCGAGCGCTTATGAGCTGTGGAAAATGGATTTACGTGACCTCGACCTTGGGTTGGTCGAGGATCGCATTGAGCGGACGATCCGCGAGACATACAACAAATACCTCCTGACGGACGCCGGGACGTCGCGGCTCGTCTTATCCTTGCCCTCGGTGATGCCGTACCCGTTACTCTCCGCACTCCTGTCGTCTCTCTTCAGCCGGTGGCGCTTCCCGAGCATCACCCTCTTACCGACGCCGGCCATGGCGGTCCTGGCAGCTGGGCTGCGGTCCGCCCTCGTGGTCGACATTGGATGGGCGGAGACCGTGGTGACGGGGGTCTACGAATACCGAGAAGTGGCGACGAAACGGAGCACGCGCGCTACAAAGCGCCTACTGCAGGAGACGGGGAAGATGCTGACGGCGCTCTCCCCCAAAGGCACCGCACCGCCCCGACCCGCGAATGAGATATCGGCCGACTTTGAACTATGTGAAGAGGTGGTGAGTCGATTTGCCTGGGCAAGGCCTCGGGGGGACGACCCCGAACTCTCGTCCGTCCTCCAGAAGACCGTCTCGATCCCATGCCCGTCCAGCCCTTCCACCTACATAGACGTCCCCTTTGCCAAATTCGCCAGCCCCGTGGGAGATGTGTTCTTTGCGGACGGCGTCGCGGAGAACCAACTGGACGACGAGGAAAAATCGCTGCCGCTCCTGGTCTACCACGCGCTTCTGGCGCTGCCCCCGGATGCGCGTGGCCTCTGCATGTCCCGCATCGTGTTTGTCGGGGGCGGGTCCCACGTCGCGGGGATCCGATCGCGGGTCCTGGCCGAGGTCGCGTCTCTGCTCGATCAGTACGGGTGGAGCGCCGTCCGCGGCCAGGCGATCGAGAAGCAACGGCAGCAGCTGCAACGACTGAGTCTCGCCCCCCGCGCAACCTCCCCGGCCCATGGCACCGAGAGCCCGGCTGTCGCGGAGGAGGAGATCGACCCGGTCGAGCAGAAGCTCCAGCGGAACAAGGACAAGGACAGCCAGCCCCCGGTTCAGGGCGTCCTACGCGAGGTGGAATCCCTGGGCGCGTGGGCGGGGGCCAGTCTCGCGACGAGCCTTAAGATTCGCGGGGTGGTGGAGATCGAGCGGGAGAAGTACCTGCAACACGGACTGGCGGGGGCCAGTCGGGATCTCGAGTCCCACGGACATGTCCCCGATCGACGGTCGGGACTGCGCGCGGGTGGGGATCGGTCGAGTTGGACATTGGGGGGATGGGGATAAACCTGGACTGTTTATATGCCCAGTATTTTGTAGATACCCGTTGAACAATGGCTTTGTTTGTATGATTCCTTTCTATTCATCTCGTTCAATACTCTACAACATGCCATCTGGATGAACCTTCCTGAGGCCCATTCGGCATCCGGAGATTCAGACCGGTGCCTGTACGGTGCCTGTACGGTGCCTGTACGGTGCCTGAGGCCGTGACAGATCGACCGACAGCCGAGGCTCATTGAAGCGTATGTATGGTACCGTGTTGACCTCTCGAATACACAAATACACATACTGACACTTGGTAACTTACCAACAATTACACATCGGCAGGTCCATCCGGCTCTGCTTGCCGAAGACGCCACCTCCGATTGGCTGAGACCCCGATTAGTCGGCTCGGCCTTTGCGCCCGTGACTTTTCAACCGCGGTTGCTTTTCGACATTTACTCGCGCTTTGTTGCGGGGAATCTGGGGAAGTCTTTTTTTCTCCCCTTCTCCTTCCTTAATTGATTCCTTTTTGCGATTGTATACCCCTTGATTTTCATCTTTATACCCTCCTGTATAGTCAGTTCGAGAATACAGCATGTCTTCCCCTCAGCAGCGTTTGTCCTCCATCGCGAACCAGGTCTCTGGCGCCGGTGGGGCCGGTGCCCGTCAGCATCTCCTGAGCAAGAACCCCGACGATGTGGTTGGTACTCCTTTATTTCCTGTTGTATGGCCTGTACGGTGGATTGCTAACATGTTGGGATACAGGTCATCACCCTCGCCGTCCGGACGCCGCTCACCAAGGCCCGTAAGGGTGGACTGAAGGATACCACCATCGATAACCTGCTGGTGTCGCTGCTCACGGTATGCACTGCGGATCCCCTCTCCTGACGACCAGAGCAATACTGATGGATTAGACCGTGCGGGAACGCTCGAACCTCGACCCCAACCTGGTGGAGGATGTCTGCGTAGGCAACGTGCTGGCCCCCGGGTCCGCCTACGTCGCGCGCTCGGCCGTCCTGGCCGCCGGATTCCCCGTGACGGCCGCCGCCTCGATCGCCAACCGCTTCTGCTCGTCGGGCCTGCTCGCGATCCAGAGCATCGCCAACCAGATCATCGCCGGATCCATCGACGTCGGCATCGCCGTCGGCGCCGAGAGCATGAGCACGACCCCCGACGGCGGCGCCCCCGCCATGAGCCAGGAGATCGTGAACCACCCGATCGCCTCGCAGAACCAGCAGCCCATGGGCCAGACGTCGGAGAACGTCGCCGCGGAGTTCAACCTCACGCGCGAGGCCCTCGACCGCTTCGCCGCCAAGAGCTACCAGAAGGCCGAGCAGGCCCAGAAGGCCGGCTGGTCGAGCGACGAGATCGCACCCGTGCGCACCCAGGTCAAGGACCCCAAGACCGGCGAGGTCAAGGACGTTGTCGTCGATCGCGACGACGGCATCCGCTACGGCACTACCGCTGAGGGCCTCGGCAAGATCCGCCCTGCCTTCCCCCAGTGGAAGCCTAGCATCACCACCGGTGGCAACGCCAGCCAGATCACCGACGGCGCGGCCGGTCTCATCCTCATGAAGCGCTCGCGCGCCGAGCAGCTGGGTCAGCCCATTGTCGGCAAGTTCTGCGGCGCGACCGTCGCGGGTCTGGAGCCTCGCATCATGGGCATCGGCCCGTCCATCGCCATCCCCAAGATCATGACCAAGTTCGGCTTGTCGAAGGAGGAGATTGATATTTTCGAGATCAACGAGGCGTTTGCGTCGATGGTGAGAATATCTTCTTTCTAGTATCGGATTACACGGTTTTACTAACATTTCTTATAGGGTACCTACTGTGTCCAGAAGCTGGGTCTCGACGAGACCAAGGTCAACCCCCGCGGTGGTGCAATGTACGTCCTTCTTGCCTCTTTCCCTCAGCTTTTTCGAGAAGAAAAAAAAAACTAATTCCAACAGTGCCCTCGGCCACCCCCTGGGCTGCACCGGCGCTCGCCAGGTCGTCACCGCGCTGTCGGAGCTGCGCCGCCAGAACAAGCGCGTGGCTATCACGTCCATGTGCGTGGGAACTGTACGTATCTACATTTTACCCTCAGACATATCGCATATACTAACTAATCTGTTTAGGGTATGGGTATGGCCGGTGTGTTCGTGTCTGAGCATTAGATGGGACGAGAGCGGACTTGTATATATTGATCTCATAGTGGAGTTTAGTCAATGCATGTATAGAAATTTGACAATGACTAGAAGATTCTCTGACATGACTTATGATTTTGGGGCGGATATTATGGGCTGGTTGTCGTATACTTTAGTATGATGACTCTTGTCCGTCATCCATATTGTCCATGATAGCTGTCGCAGTCACTATTACGACACTGTTCTCCCCAGTCTGTCCTAACAAACTCCATGTCTCATGTCTATATCGTGGTGAGGACGAAATCATCCCATCAGCGTTATTCGTCCCATCGTAATCAGGCTAGACCTTACTGTAGAGGGGCATTTTAACCCGGGAGGGGGATCTATGTAATTATTCAGTCTCGTCAACATCGATAGTACTACTGCTCTTTCGGATTCCACCCTGGCATCACTGAGAAGAATGGGTATGTACTTAGGTGTGCTCACCTGGGTTTGGGAAACTGCCACCCAGTACAGATCTTCTGTGAAAATCTACGACCAACTTGATAACGTGTTTGAGACGGCTCTTGCGGTAGATATATGATTTGACATATAAGATAACGAGGAGGAATAAAGAGAAGGAGTCACTATACAGGTGCCTACTGGGACAAGCACGCTTGGAGGAGGAGGCATGCTCAGGCTGCTTGGATCGTGGTGTTGATTATGCCGAGGAGAGTGTACTATCAATAGAGTAGGTTCATTTCCGGCACCTCCGCCGGCTTAAACGTGGGACAGGAAGGGGCGATGTATCTAAGCTTAGAAAAGAAGAGAAGCTTATTTTCTTTACCGGATACCGCCAGCTAGTTAGATACATTTACCTGGGAGGCAGGCGGGCCAGGAGCGAGCCATATAACTGTTGATGGTGTGTTTATATTCACTGGAGAGACCTTTAGTCACTAGTTCCTATCATGTAAGCCATGTAAGCTTTGAAAATATCTCTTGAAATGTGGGGAAGAACAATATAGACCTACATTGCTTTGGATTGGCTCTGCAAAAAAGGCCCCGAAGGTGACTCCATCTGGTGAAGGGTTTGAGGGAGTGGCTGTGAATGGATTATTTGGAGTAGTCTAGATAGAATACTCTCTTGTTGATTATCGAGTTGTTGAGTGGCTACAACTAAGATATCGAGAGCTGGGTATCTGGGATTTCTAGCCCTAACTCGGGTGAATATAACTTCAACTTCAACCAACATACAATGGTATGCTCTAGCAGTATTTTATACCTTTCTTGATGCTTTCCTGAGCGGTACTATACTCATAGCATATCTTCGTATCGGTGTCCTAATGATGATGCCATCCAACCTAGTTTCGCATTGGTTGATGTCCACCTGACGGACAAAAAGCTTCATCTCGAGTCCATCGTGATCCACGACCTTCGACATTGTCGTGTGAGTGACGAGCTTCAAACCTTCTTCACAGAGACCTATATAAGAATCTCAAACCCCCCGAGCCTTCAACTGTGTTTCTTCCCTCCTCCATCCACCTGCTTTATCCATCGTTCGCTTATCCATCATCGTCTATCAGACTCTTCGTACTTTCGCTTGCAATCTACGTCACACTAGTTAAACTTCATCGTAACTTCATCAACTCATACATCTACCTCTATTCATCAGCTACCAGCTACACATCATATATATACACATCAATAAACCGAGCCTCAAAAATGAAGTTCCAAAACCCATTCTCCATCTCGAGCGAGACCCGCGAGAAGATCAAGGAGAAAAGCCGCTGCTGCGCCATCTGGACAGTGCTCCCCATTGTCATCCTCCTCGTCATCATCATCGTCATCTCCTGCAAATGGGATGACATCAAAAAGCTTCATGAAAAGCACAAGACCAACTCCACTCCCACAACCAACGACATCACCACCAACACCACCATCCCAGGAAACCCCACTAACACCAACAACAATAATAACAACGACCCCACCAAAAAGTCGTCCATCTGCACCATTGTCCCAAAGGTATCCTACACCTTCTACGGATACCCAGACAACGACCCACCAGGCGCAGACATCATGCACGACTGCGGCCGCGGCACCAGCGCCGGCGGCATCGGCACCTTCGCCAACCCCCTGACGATGGCGACGGCCCCAGGGGAGCTCAACAACTGCGAAGTCGTCTACTCGCCGTACCTGCGCAAGTACCTCATCAACGAGGACTACTGCGAGCAGTGCAAGACCGACTGGGTCAGCCACATCTGGCATGTGGATATCTGGCTGGGTGGGAACTCGACCACCCAGGGGACGGAGCAGCTTGACTGTGAGGGGAAGTTGACTCCTGCTGAGGAGAGTCAGGTTGTTGTTAGGGATCCGTCGAAGGATCTGCCGGTTGATGGTGAGTTTCATTCTTCTTATCCTTTCCTTCTTTGGGTGTATGAAGAGTATTGGCTAATAAACTCTAGCTTCGGTTTTTTACACCCCCGGCGACAAAGCTGCTTGCAATACGGCAAGCACCTACTTAGATGCCGTCGTGGAGGATTACTGTTGAGATTTGGGTTGGGGGGTTACTAAATTGTCCCTGTATGGAGTGTGGTGTTTGATTTGATCATGTTTTGTGTTGTTTCTTTTCATGTCTTGTTATGTATCTGCTTGGGATAGCTCATTTGATATCATGTCATGTTTTCATTTGTTTGTGTGAAAATGAACTTCCCTTCTCAACTTCTCTTTTTGTAGAATCGCTGTAGAGTATCTCAGTCCATGATTGTTTAGTAATGTTAGGAGTATCTAGTTGTGGCATGAGCAGATGTTCGGTCATCGCTTGATGAATGTCAAGTCCTATACTTTCCCAGTACGTGTGTATGCTATCCATAGTAGGTATGTGTGCCATCCGTAGTAGATATGTAGACTGAACGCCATCTAGTTCACCCCGCATAGCGCTCAAACGCCTGCATCAGACGTGTTAATTCATGATCAAGTTCAAAGACTTATGGGCAGCGATAATGCACAAGGCCAGGGTCCTACCCCATAGCTCATATCAAACTTAGGGTTATGCGGATTGTCAAGGCCAGCTGGACTTGAGCAGTCCATCCCACCTGGCTCTCAAGCCGTGCTGCTGAACGATGATGTACTCATCATAGCCATAAGCTGCACATCTGATAGGCCGGATCACCCTGGCTTGAGCTCTCGCTGCTTATTACATCCTAGATCCGTGAACCGACCCTACCTAGGATAGATGGCCCCAGAACCCGCCCATTGATAGAGAACGTATGAGCGCATCCATTAATCATGCTCCTCCTCAGTCAACCCTGGACACCCCTCCATCTCATCCGTCTCATAGGTATACTTGCACCAGAAACAATACCGGTGCTTCTCACGCAAATACTGCACAACACGCGCCAACTTCTCGGGCGGCTCAAGCGCATTGAACTCGTCCAGCTCCGGGTCTTCCTCCTCAGTCTCTTCCTCTAGAATTCGCGACAAATCGGGCTTCGTATTCCCAAGTGCCTCGTGGTCGTCCGGCTCCAGCGTGGAATCTTCATACCCTGGTAACCGCGAGCTGGGGAAGAAAGATGACGGTAGCGACGTTTGCAGAATGTGTCGAGCCTGTACGGCCCGCTCGCGTTCCTCGCGCTCTCGTACGAGTCCTCGGTACAGCACGTTGATCTGCGCCGTCGGTTTGACTCGTGTTTTGGGCTTGGATTTCGCGTCCGTCTCGTCCGGCGAGGTCTCGCCCTTTTCCCCATCGCCATCTTCCCGCTGCTCTGAACGAGCCCCATCATCCGCACTTCCCAGCGCCGCAGCAGGCCCCTCTCCCTCCCCCTCCGCCTCACCATCCAACCGTTCCGCCACCTTCTGCGCAGCATGAAACTGCGCCTCGGCGCGTCTCATCTCCCTCTCCAACCTCACCCGATCCCGATAATCGCCCTCCTCCTGCTTAACCTTCTTAGCCACCTCAGCGGCCTCCTCCCGAAACTTGCGCTTCTTCTCACTGTCAAGCCCAATCCCGCCCCGATCCTCCTTGATCATCAAATCCAGCGGCACCGCCAATTTCTGCGCCTCCCGTTCCACACCCTCCTTCTTACCCGCTTCTTCCCCCGTCGCAGGCTGCGGCGTGGGCTGCTTCCCCAGCGCCTGACCAGGCTTGAATCCCAGCTTCGCCATCATCTGAAATCCCTTGTTGGATGGGTTGAGGGTGCTTGTTGCGAGGGCGGCGTCGCGGCGGGCGGCTTCTTCGGCGGCGCGTTCGGCTTTGGAGGGGACTCGGGCGCGGGCTTCGGCCTGGAGATACTTATTAGCTCCTTGCAGAGGAGATTGGCTTATTGATATTTGAAGTTGATACGTACCTCTCGCTGTTGTCGTCGCTTTTTCTGGGAAAAGGTCTCTTTTTCTTGGGGCTCATCAATTATCATTGACATGTAGTCTTCTTCTTCGGAGTCATTGTCTTTGGCTCGTGCGGGGTCGGTCGATGACATTGTCGCGTGATATCAGTTGAGGATATTATTTCTTTGATTGTACCTCAAAAAGTCGAATCGTTCTGTGCTGATAGACCTGGGAATAAACAAATAGATGTGGGAAGTGACGTGCGGGGAAGAAAAAGTCAGAGATATATATGATGCGGAGAGAATCAATACATTTGGCCGGCAGAATCGACTTTATCTCTCCGCTCTCACCTGAGCATATCTAGTACAATAGACCCACTCGCTTATTTATAGAATGATTGTGGTAAAACACTGGGAAAATGTCTATACATATACTATCGTTCTTCAAGTCCAACAATCCAAAAACCTATGTACAAAACAGGCAAAAACCAAACGGACCCGCTCAAATGGTTTACAAAAATCAACATGCGGCTGGCCAGGAGATAGCTAAGAACAGGATATAAGAGCACAATCCAAGACAATGAGGGCATTCGCTACATGCAAAATTTCGTTTGTCGTGTATCACATATCTGCCGTCACTTTCGTTAGGCAAGAAAAATAAATGAAAAGTAAACAGGAGGAAATGGAAAAAAGGATGGGGGAACTCGACGTTGTCGTGCGACGTCGATCCACAGCAATTGGGATCACCATCACTTCGCAGGAACCCGCTCGTAGAAGACAATATAGGCTTGTTCGTTGGTTAGACGGTCTTTGTATCGCATGTCGCGGGGGTTGAAATCTGTTGACCGCTCGTCGTCGAATTTCCGCCAGCACTGGCGTTGTGCATCTCGGACCAGCGAGATGTAGTGGCCGCTGCCCATGGAGGACCCAATGTGGCGGAGCACGCCGTAGGCATCGTACGTGAAGGGGGGAGATACAGGCGACAACGGGTCATGTGGCCCGGTTTTGTCCGGAGCTGACGAGTTGGGCGTCGTGAAAACAAAATCGTCCATCCGTAGGCCGTGCAACGGGAATTCAATCGGCGTGTGGATCTTGCGTGCGCTGTGAGTCTTGGACGCCGCAAATCGCTTGAAGTGGACGACCAAGATCTGGGGCGCTCGGGTGATGATGATTTGTTTCGTTGCCACTCGCTCGCATTTGCAGTATGGGCACTTCCATACTTCGTCGCCGCTCAACATCTCTTCTTGGCAGTAGCTGCGGAGGCACTGGTAAATGTCGCCCGTACCGGACGGTGGAATCTCCACGCTGATACTGTAGAAGGCCTCGTAGGTCGTGGAGGTCCGCTTGCAAGTGGTGCATCGGAGTCGACTGGCGTGCTGACCCGCGAAGAGCGACGAGATGAACGACTCTTCGCGATGGCGGTACCGATCCCATTCGATCTTCGAGACTTTGGAAACCGGCATCCGCTCCCGTTGCATTTCCTCTTCAAAGGTCAACGGCCGCAGAGGGTTTCTCTGCCAATTGATGTTGAGGTCTTCATGCAAGCAGTCCACAACGAAATCAAAAAACTCCTTGGCGTCCTGCTGACGGTCGATGGCCCACTCTTGATTGAGTCTCCCGGCGAAGTTGCGGAACGAGGTGGGTTTGATCACCTCGACGTCATTCTTCCACAATGACCGCACCAAGTTCGCGAAGAGCCCTGGCATGACCCCTTGCGAGCCCTTCCAGTTTTTTTGGATGTAGTACCGGAACCGATTGTCAAGGAAGAACTTGCTCAACATGACCGTTGCGCTCAAGCATTGGATGGTGGAGTTCATGTAACAGGTCACGCCAAAGTTCGTCAGACCGGTCCGGGGAAGCTTGATCCTGTGCAGCAGGCTGTTCGCGGTGTAGAGGGCAGTTTTGGAGGCCGAATTTTGGCGCTCCAGGGTGGGTTGGATCTGACGCCCTTCTGAGACACCACTGTAGCTGGGGCGCGGCACCGCAGGCGGCGGTCGAGATGGGACCACAGGGGCCGAAGCCGCGTAGTTGGGGGCTGATGTTCCAGCTGGCCGTACGTGCGGCACCACCATGGACTGTTGGATGGTGTGTGGCTCAGGGAAACGGCGCAGAAAGTCCTCGTAGGTATGGACAAAGGGCGACACCGGCGCCTGGGCCTCGTCTCCTTCCTCCTGTTCCGGCTCTTCGGTGAATGGTACCTCTTCGGCATAGGCGCTCGCGTCGATTTCTTCAACCTTTGACTGTTCCATCCACGCTGTAAGTTCCTCCGGATTTAGAGGCCGGTATTCCCGAAGTCGCCGTTTTCTCACTTCTAAACTGGAGTTGGCGCTGACCATGGTCGGCACTCTCCCTAATGGTCGCCCAGGTTTTGCGACGGGTCGCTTTACCTGTAGAGAACCCATCACCGCTGCAGTGGACGATGTGGCAAGGGATTGTTGACCGAGCAGATCAATCCACGCGTCTAGCCCGCCGAGAAGGAGTGCCGGAGGCCGCCCATCTTTCAAGGGTTTGTACGCGTTGAATTCGTACAGCGTATCGTGAAGCGCCCTGAGATGAGGCGCGGTGGTTCCGACGGGCGACCCAGCGAGGTAGCTGATCGACGACGTGCTTTGGTCATAGTACACCACCAGGTCGAACTCATTGCGCCGCTCGAACAGCGATTGCTCATGCTCAGGTGATACCACCAGACGTTCCTCAAGCTCTTCCGCAGATACATTTTCTTTCAGGGCCACCGGCTCGATGCAAATGATCGACTTTGCATAAACGTGGCCATGGTCGAACTGGTCTCGAGGGCGCACGTCAATCAACATGACATTGTATCTCCGAAGATAGTCGAGCAGATCGTGAGCGCTAACCGTGGGGGTGAGAGGAAGATCGGCAGTGCTGCTTTGAAGCTCCTTGGCCTGGTGGATACCGTTCGGTGTATAGGATCTGTAGGGATTGTCGTCACGACTCGGACTCCCGCGGGGAGAGTTAGGGTTAGACAACTGGGAGTATCTTGGATTGACTGGACGCGAGCTTTCCGTCGAGGTCCTCGGAGGATGCAACTGGGGCTGGGATGGCACCGACCAGATCGGACTGTAAGCCGGGTCTGGGGCACGAGGGAGTGAAGTTGTCACTAGCGGTACCTTGGGCGGTAAAGCAGGGGCAGCATGGGATGTACCCATGGTGCGGGGCCCCAAGGGCCGCCTTTGCGGAGAACTGAGGATGGAGGGCTGTGGCGATCCATCGGGCATATACGACCGGGGGCGAGGCGGGTAATCGCCATTAGATCCCTCCGCCGAAGGCATTGGGTCCGTCCCGCTTGTATAGTTAGTTCCATTCGTCGTTGCGCTCTGGGAGCCTTCAGGAGGCGACGCGCGCAGCCGGGCAAATCGCTGGGCAAGTACATCATCTACGGGAGTTGAATGCCGATTCAGGTTTGCCTGTACCTGGGAGATTTGCTGGAATTTCGACGGGCTTGGCAGGCGAAATCCATTGGAATCGACTTGGTCCTGGCGACCTCGAAGAGACTGGCTTTGAACCGTTCCGGCAGATGGCATCTCAAATGTGGGGAATACAGACTGTCTTTTCGGGGAAGCAGTAGGTGGAACGTTACTTCGAACGTTATCCTCCATGATTTGATGCTTGATGTCGTCCATCGTCCCTTGCTTGGTCCGCACAGCCTACACCCGATGGGTTAGTCGCAAGTCCATTCACCTACTACAGAGCAGGCGCAAAAGCACCCGCCTATACCACCAGACATCGGACGTTGCACGTACCATCATCAAACTTGCGAATTCTTTATACCAGCCTGGGCGTTGGTTCACAGCTACTCGGTAGTCGGGATGACGAGGGATGAGGTTGACGGTGATCTCGGACGCTCGAAGGTAGTGAACGTACGCTTTGTCGAGTTGATCGAAATCCACAAGGGTCCTCGCTTGATCGATAGCCTCCCGGGCCTTTCTTAGCAAGTCGCTTATCTGTATTGAGCCACGTTAGCGGACCGCGCGAACCACCTTCACGTCAGTCGGTGTAAACGAAGCCAAGACTTACCGAAGTCTTCTCATTGACGTCCAAGGCCGCCGCCTGATCCTGTAGATCCTTGATATTGGGGAATATGGGTGGCTGTGCGCCAGCGGGGGGCGCATGGTTGCCATTAGGACTGGCCCCTCCACTGGGAGGCATGCTACCGCGGGGAACGGGACGGTTGGAGTTCTCCCACGGCGTAAAGTCCGGCGGGGATGGCAGAGACGCTGCATCCAAGGACATTCTCCAACGACCAGGGTGAAAAAGTACCCTAGCACATTACCCTGCGTGGTGAAAGTGCAGGGCACCTAGGCGTACAGCGTCAGAGAACACCGGGGGCGGGGATGCGGGATCCACGACAGGAGAGGGGACGAGGAGGGAGGAAGCGGAATGAAGTCCAGTCAAGCGAGATCGCGGACATCAAAGAACGTCAATATTAAGGAAAAAGCAAAGAGATCATCAGAGGAAATGTAGATGACCGAGAGGAAGAGAGATGACAGGCAACAATGAAACGCTGCAAGGAAAGGGATTCGCAGACCCGACGATGGAGAGAGTCGAGAACAAGGGCCGCGTATCCAACGCCTCACCGCCCGCCGATTATGACGCCACTTGGGGAGCCCTGTGGCCTGACCGCCTGAGGCAGCAGGGTCGGGTTTGCGGGGATCACGGGGTAGGGCGGTGACGGAGGCGGTGAGCATTTATCGTGACCATTGATCGCACGGATTAACTTTGTCAAGAAACCATCCGTATCGATGTCTACGCCCACGTGGGATCAAGTCCCAGCGACAGTATCGAATTCCTGATGTCGGATTTACATACATACGAAGATGCCGGGCATCGTTTAAGATGGAGTCTTGGAGTCTTTAGACTAAGCCAATGGATGCAATTCAGCCAAGTATCAACCGTTTACCGCATCCCATTTTGAAGCTGCACAATGGGCAAAGAAGTCCTCCAGTGGGTCAACAAGGCAAATGGCTCCGAGATTTTCTTGGGGGCCATGGACGTGATGGTAAACGCGGCCACTGGTCTCTTGCGGTCAAGCCTACGGGGTAATCGAGGCAAAATCGGACCACCTAAAAAAGACTTGTTCACGGAAAGCCTTGGGTCGGAATATTCTCCGAGAAGCGAATCGAACCAACTGGTAGAATTACTTCTCGTTTCAGCTGGAAGCTTAGCTCAGAATTCGCAAGCTTGATACGGGTCAATTCTACCCTGGAAGACACAAGATAGCACAGAACCGAGGGGTATTCCTGGGGAACAGGAGGCGGACATGACCCACTCAGGTGAGAGCTGGCCGACTAGTAATGGCTAATGGCAGAAACAGGTGTCAGCTTGTGAGTCGGGTCGATGGTTCCAAGGAGTATATTTCTTGCCCGATATTCCTTGCCCGAGGAAGCCTAGAAGAAGCCAAGCCAGTATGGTTTGTGTGGAACTGGTCTTCCCAGTGGCACTGACATACTGTACGAAGACATGAACTAGCAAATATTTCTACGGCTGCAATGGCCAGCTAGTTCCCTTTAGCTATCATACGAGGATATAGTTGGAAGCAACCTAGCTGTGAGGCGTTCACGCGAAGCCGTGGCCTCGAACCGAAGACAGAAAAACACCGCAGAAGATGAAATCGCCGAAAAGGGGCCCAAAAATATCCCCGAGGAAACGTGTTGCTTCTATGGCGTTGGATTGCCGTGGTACCTTACTGAACCGACGCTGTCTTTTACCGAGAGAAACGCCGAGGCGAGGTGGGACAATCGCGAGGAATGAAGCATGGAGTACGCTACGACAGCGTGAGCTGGCGGGATATAAATTGCACAAGCAGGCCGCTTTACGTGCTTGATCTATATTGATCCATTATCTCGCTTTCTTGGTAGCACCAGCCTTGCTTTGATGTCCAAAATGCCCGACCAAGACTTGGTTCGCATCGACTACGAAGGCCACTTTGCCATCATCACGCTCAACAATCCAAAAAAATTCAATTCTCTGACACAGAGCTCTTACTACCGTCTGGCGAGTCTAATGAGAGAAGCCGATGCGAACAAGGATGTCTATGTCACTCTGTTGATAGGTGAAGGGCCCTTTTTCTCCGCGTGAGCCAGCCCTTATCCTGCCACAATGAGACCGGGCTAACGAGGTGCTTTCTACCAGAGGAGCCGATCTCAAGTCTAGCGCCCCTTCGATGGACGAGATGCTGTCCCGCCCCTATTGGCTTCCTAAGCTGGTGAACAACAACATGGACGTTGCAAGAGCCTTCTACAGCCACTCCAAGATCCTAGTGACCGCGTTGAATGGGCCGGTAATCGGTCTCTCAGCCTCGCTTATCGCCCATTCCGACTTCATCTACTCAGTGTCTGACGCATACCTCTTGACCCCGTTCAGCTCTTTGGGCCTTGTTGCGGAGGGGGGCTCCAGTGTTGCCTTCACGCACCGAATGGGTCCTGGAAAGGCCAACGAGGCACTGATCCTGGGCCGAAAGATCCCCGTCAACGAGCTTGTCCAAGTCGGTTTTGTCAACCATGTCTTCGCGGATAAGAACAATTTCCGAACTCAAGTGTTGGACTATCTGCGTCAGGCGTTCGGGCCCCAGTTGGTGGGCTCCAGTCTGCTGGGAACCAAGGCCCTGATGCGTCGCCGGATCGTCCGGGAGCAAGACGAAGTGGCTCCGTTGGAGACTTTCCAGGGCCTTGACCGATTCTGCGAAGGGATCCCACAGGAAGAGATGGCCAAAGTCATCGCTGGAGGCAAGAAATCCCGCCTTTGATTACGAGGCTATCGGTACTGCGTTTATTTTTACGCTGGGTCAGGGCCCCAGTACCTGAATTGAATCAAGTTGTACACTCCACTCTCGGTCTCTAGGCCACCGATTATTGGTTGCAATTTCGTAGATCTCTTCGGCATCTTTTCGAGCGCCAAGCGTTCCAAGGTTACCGAAAAATTGCCGAGGTACGATTCACTGCGTCTGGTATTTTGTGACATGCCTCCTATCATGACAGCATTCTCCAAAATCTCTCTGTAGTCAACATGCTGCCTCATTCGGACGTAAGCGGATCCGCTTCTAGGTCCAGGAAAAGAGCAGCGGCAGCTTGCCATGCGTGCCACGCGCGCAAAGTTCGCTGCAGCATTTCGCAAACCGGACCACCCTGCACGAACTGTTCTTTGGACAACGTGAGCTGCCAGGCACGTCCGCGGCAGGGTCAAAGGTGAGACTCGGGTGGATCCCAGATGCGCTGGACTCTCAGTTGACAGCCTTCGCCGGCCTCGGGGAACTATCAGAACAAGGCGCCGCGGCAACAACCCACCGCGGACTTCTAGTGATGCAGGCTCAGTCGTCCAGGATGCTGTCGATCTCGGCGAACCGATTTATCGCCCCATGACTGGTCACTTCGGTCACCATTCTGAACGCCAGGATGGCCGATCAACAAGCCCCCATTCCATGCTGCAAACGGCCTGTTCGCCGGTATATGGTAAGGGCCATCAGCTATAGTGCTATTGCTCGTGCCTCTCTGACTGTCACGCAAGGGGATCCACAGGGTATTGCACTTGTAGCCGAGGTGTGCGAGCCCCAGCGCCAGGGCAAAAGTGGTCACTTTATTGTTGCTTCTTTGGGCTCGGACAACATCGATCCTGACACACTCGAGTATTTGAAACGGAGGGGTTGCTTCGACCTACCCCATTTGAACATCCAGCAGGAACTCGTCAAAGCGTACTTCCATTATGTCCATCCATTCTTCCCAGTCGTGCAGGTTTCATCCTTCCTCCAGGCTTTCGGAAGCCGGGAACAGAAGGGGACCAGCCTCCATCTGCTTTGGAGCGTGTTTTTGGCGGCCGCAAATGTAGCCTGATATACTTGTATACCGTACTAAGTAATGAGCGATGTCGCTGACTTCTTACCCTCCAGTTTGCAGACACCACAACGGTGCAGTCCGCGGGTTTCGAGTCACGGAAGGCGATGAAACGCTCAATGTTTTTACGAGCCAAGGCATGCGCCCTGTTACAAAACATGAGATACAGTCTAACCCAATGTAGGCGTTATACGATGCGGGGTACGAAAAATCCAAAATAACTCTAATCCAAGCAGTGCTGCTGATGGGGTTCTGGTATGCCGACACCGAGGATAGAATTGGACCATGGCACTGGAACGGCGTTGCCATCAGCCTCTGCCAGAGCATAGGGCTACATCGGCAACCAGATGCCAGCTTCAATGGCTCTCAAAATGGCTCATCCGTTGATCGGGACCTGTGGATGCATTTATGGTGGTCGTGCTTTTTCCGAGAAGCGTGGTTGTCCGTTGGTATGGGAAGACCGATGCGAATTGACCTAGAGCACTCGGATACGCAGAGGCCTAATGCAAGCGTCTCTGAGCGTCTTTGCTCTGGGCTGACGGAGGCTCAGCGTCAAGAATATCTTCCAGATAGCTCTCACGATCTGTTTCTGCTGTGGGATGAGCTACTCTGTGTGACTAGCATTCTGTCTCGAATCTTGGCAGTTCAACATCTCGCCAAACGAACGCTTTTCAGCCAGTCGGACGTAATCGACCTAGATCGCGAACTCAGGGGACATCATGGACATCTAGATTACCTCCGGGCGGATGCCACCGAGCCCGTGCTGACTCTCCATATGCATCACTTTGAATTATTCTTCGAGTAAGAACGACTACCGGGTAGAAACTGCGATCTCTGACTCTTGCAACCAGGTCTACACTTCTCATTCTTTACCGCCCATTCATCCTACAAAACCTCGGCCATCAACCCGCCACCACTCACGACAAAGTAACAAGAGACTGGCTGTCAAGCGCGGAAAGAAAAGCGACCACCGCGGCCATGAACACCACCAACATTCTAAGTAACATGATCACAGCCGACATGATCCGCCTCTCCCAATCACTGATGTAAATATCTCCCCGCGAAGCCCTGCCATCCCAATTACTTACATGCGCTAGTTGCATTGCGCTTGTGCCGACGTTACAAATCCACCTCCTCCACTCAGTATCCCCGCGGAAGTTGGTTCAACGCTTGGGGTGTCATCAACTGGACTTGTGTATGATGGTCGTCAACGAGCTCAAGGTCACTTATTTTGGCGCAGAGATCCTATCTCGATTATTCACGCGAGCACGAGATACCATCAATTCCAGACGCCGTGGCCTGGAACCCACGCCTGTCGGGCCGGATACTGGCAACGCGCGCAGTCCAGAGGGTCGAGGCCGTCACGGTGACGAAATGCCAATGCCAGCGTCGTCTGTGGTATGGGAGTCTAACGTTCCCGCTGATGATTGGCGCGTGACGGACTCAAAGTATGTTGATTATATCATATACGAGTGTCTAGGAAGATATAGCTAACGCAGTAATGACTAGTAACGTGTACGATATGGATGTCAATGACATTCTGAGTCAGTGCATTTTTCCCGATTTCACAACGACTCTCGAGGCTATTGGTTCTGCAGGGACGTCACAGACGTGGAACTAAAGATTGTGGATATCGAGTACCAGATTGCAGTAGTGACAACAGTACTGCCATTTCTAATTCGTAGCTTATATATTGCTGAATATGTAGGGAGTTTGATTCTTGCCATACGTATCTCATTAGACTAATCACTCCATTTTGATAACGTACCGATAACCCGCGGCATGAACTGCTCACTTCACCCCTCAGCAAAGATAAATCGGCTGGGTGGGTCAGGGACTACACAAGTTTACCGCGGAATTTACGTCTCCACTTTTCTAGTTCCACCGTGGAGATCGAGATACAATGCCGCGGAAATGAGTACTAGCACTTGAGGCCGAACTTTATTTTCTCGCCGCGGTGTCAGTAGTGCTATGCCTGCCAGGGGTGTTTTATAGTAAGTAAGGGGCTGTTAGTTCATATGGGGTCGAGTATTTTCTACTTGCGCTAGCAATTGTGTGGTAGTTATGACGGTGGAAGACTATGGATTCTACTATATGATGTACTTTGTTCTATTGCTATCCTCGCCCTTACATCTTTCTTTCGCGCTATTTCATCGTGTTCTTGATCCTCCCTTATAGGAAAGGCTAATTGAAAACTTAGTAAAAGCAACAGGTCATCCAACGGACCGTATCGCAGTCAAGTACATCCTCCTACTGTGTTAGCAAGCAATCATGGACTTCTTGGGAATATCCGTCCCGGAATGACACTATGTTACGTAGAGATGACCAGTACATTATGTTCATCTCAAGATTCCGAAAGGTATCAAGGGACTAACTACCCACACATAGATGTGCATATTGTTAAAGTAAACGGAATTCCCGGAATGAAAGAGTGATTTCAGCCAACTCAACTGTAGAAAGGAATATGCTCGAGGAAGAAGGGAGAGATAGCCTGCGTTGGAGCGATATCAGTGGCTTCCCCCCTACATGAGAAAAGAAGATTCCCGATGAAACAGATCTATGTCCCACGGCAGGAAGCACACAATGACACTATAATTAGATATGAAACCAAGCCACGCGGGCAAAACCGGGAGCAACATGCATGGTCGAGGAAGTCTAATGGAATCCCAGGAATTAGGTTACGTGCGACCACGTGACGCGCCGATTCGGACCTGCCGATCATCAAAGCTTGGCCTTTTAATCCAACCTCTTATCTCAGACATATTTTCCAGAGCATAACCTTCGCAGGAAATACAACCCGGTTAAGTCCCTAAGTCGAGGGTACTCATAACGAAAAAAGGCACCAACACAATGGCTGTCAATCCGGAGCCACTCAACTGGCCGGAGGTGAGTTATGTTGGACTTATGTTGGAGCGCGCAGGAATGACGCGCATCGGACTCGACCACCCAATCAGAAAGCCTGTTGCCGCTGACAATCGCGATTCAGATCTGCTCCCAGCATGAGAGAGTTCTCTCGTCACATGTCGACTTGCTCAAGTCTCTTCGGGAGAGTGTCACGCGGGACGATGATGCTGTGCGCCTGGTCGCATCCATGGTTGAGAGGACGACGAAATTGATGGCCCAATTCCAGGTCGTCAAGAAGCAGCTGGTACGTAGACTCTTGTTCTTTTTCGTTCTACGGAGATGAAACAGTTGTTTTTTCGGAATTTCAACATAAAATTGGGGTTATAAATAGCTCAAATAAGCTTCCACTGACTCGAGATACAGGTACAAAGTGAGTCGCCCTGGTGGTCCCTGTCGTGAGTCGATCTGACCATGGGATAGAAAACTCAAATGGGCGAGATCCCAATCGATCCGCCAGCACAGATTCGCGCAACCCCCGCGACAACCACCCAAAAGAGAGAAAGAAAAGGTCACGATCGAAAATGGGGATGGGTGAGCTAACACCCCCGTCGATTACATCCGAGCAGCCACAGACGTTGGCTTTGCGTCCACCAAAGCGAAAGCGACTAGATGTGGCCGTGTCTGGCGATGATGAGGATGTGCGGAATGTGACGCCCGTTTCGGCTGAGACGGAAGACATTTCGGAAGAGGTGCAACGGCGACTTGCCATTAAAGACGAGAAGCGAAAGAAGAGGGACTCCCAGCTCGAAAAAAGGAAACGGGAGAGTCTGGCATCCAACGGGAGTACCTCGTCTGTGGGGGCTACTGCGAAGCCAAAGAAAAGGCGCCGGGTTGTCAACCCTGATGCTGGATCTCCTTCTGGTAGTCCCAGTCATGTCAAAAGAGGTGATCCTAATGATGAAACGGACGATAATGGACCGGACGGGAGGAGACGGGTAAAACGACACAAGCACTCTCTATAGTCCCCTCGTTAATGCAATGGAACTCTGATACTGTCCAGCTGACGTTCAAATCTCGTACCTTCTACGGCCATTGTGTCCCCGGTAGCCGATTGGACAGAGCTCAATTTCCCAGCGAGTATGATGCTCGACTATGCGACACCACGGTCATTGTTGGTCACCCTGACCTCACAGCCATCTTAGATATGCTTTTCGACGTCAACGCTTTTATACTTTCTCTGTTATTAGTAGGAACCCGGCACAGTGAACACAGGCTATAAGATCCCCCTCCCTCCCGTCGTCCCCGCGTGCTGGTTTCTTCCCTTCTCCATCACTCTCGCTGTTCTACCATAACGTACCATCCACCACCAGCATCACATTCACACTCAATCATACCACCCACGCACAAGTTGACACTTGGGAATGTGCCGAACACCAGTCCACGGAACATCATAACAATCTCGACACAAAATAATCACCCCTGTTGAGGAAAACATCAGTCAGTACGCCTGCACTTGGAGTGTTGCCATTGGCAATAAAAATCATCGTCTTCCATTCCGTAAAAAAAAAAACCTCAAAAATTCTTAAAACACCCGCCTTTTGTTTTACCTTTTTGTCCTCACGAAGGAAAAGCAAAAAGGGATCCGCTCCCTGTGAAACTAGCCGGAAAGCTGAGACTCACTGGGAATCCTTTTTTCTCAAACCGTTCCGTTGGAATCTGTTCATCCACCTCCTAATCTGATCATCTTATTCGCCTATTCACCATGTCTAAAAAAGCCGGAGTCAACAATGTGTCTTGCGCAAGTGGCTTTTCCCTGGCCAGGGAAACTGGATCTGTCACGGGTAGAAGCAGCCAGAGTGATCGTCTTATAGTGAGTATAGATGACCTAACCGAAAGAGAATATGGGCTGACACATCACAGAAAGACATACACATCCTTCTCTCAAGCGTGCCGTCCTCCCGCGCACAAAAGAAACCCACCTGTCAACCCGTAAGTCATTCCATGCATGAGGGAAGAAGAGAAAGACTACGAGTCCATAACTGACCAAAGCAACAGCGTCCCCCTCCCCGATGCGGAGAGCGAGTGCAAGTCAACCAGGGGGCTTCAAGGAACCCACCTATGCCCTCTCGCCCGCGTCAACCTCGTCATCAAACCCCTCCTCAAAAAGCCTCTCCTCAGCCCTCTCCCCGCCCCGTCAAACCCGCTCCCAATTCCAGAGTAACGCGGCATTCTGCCACGGTGAGTCCCCTCTGACATCCAACCAGCACGAACGACGTATACTGACACTGCCGACAGATCCCACGTCGTAAAAACGACGGGGACGTGGAGATGACCGACGCTCCTGGCACTAAGCCCGTGAGTAATCTCCTATCTCCGCAATAGACGGACCGCCAATAACGACTTCGATTAGAAACGCCCCCGTCGGAATAGCATGCCGCGGGGTGCCCCTGCAATCAGGGTGGTAGATGTGGAGATGCAAGACGCGCCTCCACTGCCCATTGTGGACGAGGTTTTGGTAAGTGTTTGTCCTTGAGCCCAACGATGGACAGAGAGAACATGTGTTGCTAACAATATGTCAGCCCGTCCCAAGCTACCTACCCCATTGCGTTTCTCTCACTTACTACCATGGGTGGGACATCGGCACCGACGAAAACGTCGAGATGACCGATGCGCTCCCGCTCATGGAGTAGTGAATCCGCCCTCATCATACCTCTCGGCAGCCACCGATACATGGCTGACCATTGACCTAGTCGGGTAGAAGGCCCGATATATATATATACCTATTTTGTAAAGTGCGTATCCCGGCCAGGGTTATTTCACCTCGACACGTTCATAACATGACGGCGAGGACGTTTTCCCCTGTGTCCATCACTTGCCTGAATGGGGGGAATGGCACCATTATTTTGTGTTATATTTTGTTATATATCCTGTTTGTTTTCTTTTCTTTTTTATGTATATCTTGCTTGGGTTTTGGGTCATGTCTATGTTGTTAGTCTTGTCGTTTTGATCTTGATCACATTCCAAGTCGTGCACGATTTCCGGCCGGGTTGGGCATGGCTTCTGGATGAATCAATCAAAAACACAAAAAAAGTTCGAAAAAAGTTCGAAAAAAGTTCTTGAGACACCATATATCGGTCTAAGATTCGTAGGATGTAGCAATATCTATCAGCAGAGGTTATCTTGCAACGCATGAGGTGGGTAATATGCTGACGGGCTCCATTCCGGAGGAACTATGAAGTATGGCAAGTCGATCACTAAAGCCTAACCTACTTCTCGTCAGAAGTATCACCAGACGTATCTGAAGCTCCGAGAAGCCAGACGCTCTGGCTGTAATTAAAAGCAAATATTGGAGAAAATGGCCTAGGTCGACGAGATAGCCGCCGGAAGCCGTCAAATAGGTTTGGGAATTAGAGGATGTTGGATAGGACTCTACACTACTTGAGACACGAGCCTATTTGCTTCTTCCCAAAATACTGGCAGCCAGGCATTACGCTGGACTGTGTCTGAACTTACGTCCACTGTGCTGGCTTTTATGCCATAAGTTACCGTGTGTACGCTTGAGTGCAATATAAAATATAGAATCTACCATGAAAACGAGTTGAGTAGAATTGAAATATGATGGGATGGGACTTAGGGATGCTAGATCGTTTGTGTCAAATTCGTATCCATATTGTGACTATGGTAATTAGGGCTAATTCATGTTGCCGTTCATGCGCACCGGCGCAAGATGCCGACACGGGGACAAAACCGGCAACTGTCACTACTACATTGATTATCGTCATGTTATTAATATCTGTTTCTTATTCTTTTTCAATGACCCAAGTCTCTATTGTTTCAAATTTCATGGTATCCATGAGTGGAGATGAATTGCCAGACACCTACTTGCCAAACTAGCTAAGATACAGATCGCGGTATATTCTTCTACCATCTGACCTTCTCTCAATACTTGATTCATCCAATGTTAGTACATAAGTATAAAGAGACGCACAAGTCCCTATAAAAGTCCACAACGCTCAAGCCAAACGCCATACCCATACATGCAATATACTATACATCCCACCAGCCATCATTGCCTTTTGAGGAGCACAAAAGAAGTTCTCCTTTCATTCCTTATCCTCATCACCCTCCCCCTCATCCTTCTTCCCCCAAGTCCACACATCCCAGATATGGTCACGGATCAAATCGCCATACCCCCTCCCCTCATCCAGCGCCTTCTGCTCCTCGCGCAACCTCTTCTCCTTCCACCCCTCCGACTCCCCACCCATCCACACCTTCTCCACGACGCCCTTCTCCTGCTCCCTCCGTGCCCTCAACTTCTCCAGCTCCTCCTCAGCCGCCGCGCGATTCGCACCGGCAGCAGCCAGCCGCGCCTCCTCCGCCTGGATCTGCGCCTCGCGCGCCGCGCGCAACTTCGCTTGTATCTCCTCCGCCCGCTTGGTGGGCATCCCCCAGCCCCCTCCGCCGCTGCTGCTACCTTCAGGTTTGGACTCGCCGCGAGAAGACATAAGGTGCTCTAAGGCGCTGCGGCCGGTGTGAATGCGGGTTGTGTGGTTCACGCCGGCCAGGAAGGAGAAGGTGAGGAGGGCGGTGAAGTGATCAAGTTTGCGTGGCGGTAGGGCAATGAGGATCGGGGCCCCGAGGACGAATCCGTAGGCGACGTAGTCTTTGAAGCGCTCGTAGTCGGCTTTGCGGAGGTCCGCGGTGGAGGGTTGGTCGGTCATTTTGGTGGTTCTCTAGTTTGGTTGATCGTGAGACGATATCTCTAGGATTGGATAATCTCGGAAGATTTTGACGAGGTGTAGTTAATGCTGGAATATAAGTTTGTTGGGGGATTTGAGCCTTGAAGGATATGGATCTGTTGATTGTCGCGGCTTTACAGGACAATTTTTTGGATCGCGAAGATCACGTGTCGATCTGTTTGTGATGTTTGTTTAACCTCAGCCAGTGAAGTCACGGGATCTACAGGTATAGATCGAGATATCCCGTCACACACACTCTCTATATATATCCACATTGTCCCAATCTGAGTGGAATTGGTCCTATTGAATCCATGTTTGCCGACATATTCTTAATGGAAGTCTACTATGTTGTGCGGTGGCCTTGTTGTGCCAGTCTTATCTAAGGCTGACAATCACTATGAACTATATATCTCTGGCAGTGAATGCACATATCAGAGTGCATGACATCTGTATCTTGAGCAATTTATCATTTCTCCCACAGACTATTAAAAGGGCCAAAAAATGACATATAGTTATCTTGATTGAGAGATATACCCCTGCCCATATCCTCACAGTCTCTGTCCCCCATAACCCAGGCAAGACGACCGCGTGCAGCCCTACGTGGTGAAGGATTTCTTCCCGAGCTCGGGGGTAACGAACGACGAGGAAACCTGGGCGGCGATTTAAGCCAGACGGACTCGGTCACTGTCTGGTTCTTCTAATATTTGCATCATTACAATGTCCGCCGTCTCTCCGGGTCTACGTTGGACACATTAGCACAATACCAGATACACATGGGAACAAGTGTTCATTCAAATAAATTTAGTCTATCTATGTACTCTGCATAGCATGTCTCAACTGCTCTCATGCTAAACCCTATCCCTTGTGAGGTCGAATAGCAAGAGTAGGAGCAACATAGTCAAAATGACCCATTCCGCCCAAGAACGCAACGTCCTGAGGTCCCTTAGGCGCATATCCAAACGGACACAAGAAGTTGTGAGGGAAGCCCAGGTCAAAGTCATACCCGGTCTCGATCTCCGCCACATCTTCCGCCGTGAGCTCCAGGCTGAGGGCTTCCACGTTGGCTTTAAGATGCTCGACCTTGCGGCCGCCGACGATGGGGAAGAGGTAGGGAGTCTGTACCGAGGATTAGTCATTATAACTTGAAGCGAACAAAGAAAAAGAACGAGTACTAACCTTCTGCAGCACATATGCCAGAGCCACTGAGGTGAGCGGCACCTTGTGACGCTGGGCGACCTTGTCTAGCACGGCTGAAACCTTCTCCTCACGCCCAAGGGTCATATGGGGGGTGTTGCGACCACCCTCCTTGGCCGGCTCGCTGGGGGCCTTGAAGTATCCTTTTGTCACAATTAGCCTGAACTTGCCCATCCGGCAGAGAAGGGGAAGAGGACATACCACTACCCAAGGTCCCAAAAGCATGGATAGCCATGCCTTCATCGCGACACATGGGAATCACATCACGCTCCAGATCGCGGGACTGCGCCGAGTATCGTCCCTGATAGACAGAGAAAGGACGGAGTCCATGGGCGCGCGCATAGGCATTGGCCTTGGTGACTACCCACGCCGGGGTATCGCTGATACCGAGGTACAGAACCTTGCCCTGGACGACGAGGTTGTTGAGACTCTGCATGAGCTCGGAAATATCCGTAGAAAAGTCCCACGCATGCACAAAGTACACGTCGATATAGTCAGTCTGCAAGTTGCGCAGACTGTTATGGACAGAGACGTGCATGGTCTTGGTGCCGTTGCCGCCGTAGTTGCTCTCCATCACGCCCTGACCGGTCATGGGCGAGAGGGTATACTTGGTAGCGACGACCATCTCGGCGCGACGACCCGGTGACTTGGCCATCCACTCGCCGATCCATTGCTCGCTCTGGCCGCCATGGTAGGCGTTGGCCGTGTCGATGAAGTTGCCGCCCAGTTCGTAGTAGGTGTCGAGAATCTCGAAGGCCGTTTCCTTGCTGCATTCGCCCATCATGCCTGCCCAGGCGTTGCCCAGACTCATGCCGCCGAGCGAGATGGGACTCACGCGGACTGACGCCGTGGGGGCTAAAAGTCTGTGGCGGCCGAGGAGGCTCTTGGGATGAGGGGCCTTCATTGTTGCTATTGTGATTGATTCAGTTGGGATTGGATTGAAGGACGATAGGTGAGGAGCTTAGGATTGATAATTGATGATTGATTCTCTACTGACAGGAGTGCTACGTCCGTTACTGTTGATTTATATTGGCCTTCGACTGGATCAAATCGACCATCGGGTACAGAACACCCCTCCAGAGGTTGATCTAGCTGCCGCCTCACAGCCTGTTCCAGGTACAGCATCGTGAAGACCCCGAACTGGATTGATAATCAAGCCCGGAGATCGGGGATAATCCATCGCTGTTAAGCGTTATCACCGTAAGTTGTCGCTCTCTGATTTAGAGCACGGACACCGACCAACGAATAGGGTTATTAGCTCCCCAACTCCACCAGAGAAACAAGCTGGATAGTGGACCGCGTCTGGGGTCGAACTAGTGCTTATTCAATCAAGCCAAGTTTGATAGGCGAGAATCCTGGGGGTAATATACATCCATGCTAGTCAAATCTCAGCCGCTGTGGCGTCCTCGCCAGTGATGTTCAGAATAGCCTATAAATGAGCCCAACACGAGAAATCTGACGGGGAATCCAACGGCCTCACTTTCATCGATCTTACTCCCTAACGTAATGGCCGCTTCAAAAACTCTCGTTCTGGTGACCGGTGGTATGCAAGCTGTCCCCCCGTCGCTTTAAAAATCCAACCCCGAGACAGTGGCTAATTAATGTGCAGCAACCAGCGGAATTGGCTTTGAGCTAGTGGCGCAGCTCCTCGCCAAAGGAACATACCATGTCTTTCTAGGCGCGCGCAGCCCCGAAAAAGGCCACGCAGCGGTGGAAACCCTACGGGCCCGAAACCCGGCAGGATCCGTCGAGATGCTCCACCTGGACGTCACCGAGGACACGACCATCGAGAGCGCAGCTTACTCTGTGCAGCAGACGCACGGCCACCTCGACATCCTCGTCAACAATGCCGCCGTCTCCGCAATGACAGGTGCCAGCCTGCGGGAGCAGATGCGCGCAGCGTTCGACGCGAACGCGACAGGTCCGGCGGTAGTGGCCAGCGTCTTTGCGCCGCTGCTACAGAAGTCTACAGCGGCATCGCGGCGCATTATCAATGTGACGAGTGGGGCGGGGTCAATTGAGAGGCGGCTGGATGCGTCGTCGCCGATTTATAATGTCCAGCAGGTGCAGTATCGGGCGAGCAAGACGGCACTGCACATGGTCTCGGCTTGCCAGTTGGTGGAGTTTGCGCCGTTTGGAGTGAAGGTGTTTTTGTACGATCCGGGCTTTACGCAGAGTAATCTGGGACCGCATAATACGGAGGCGAATGGGGCGAGGGCTGCGGCGGACTCGGTTCGCCCGTTGATGGATGTGCTGGAGGGGAAGAGGGATGATGAGGTGGGAAAGATCTTGCATAATACGGGGAGTTGGCCTTGGTAGATGAGCTCTGATTTCCCTTTCACTGTATATGGTTTAACCTTTGATCCTTTTTTTCCCTTGTAATGAGGGTGAGAAGTGGAGTATGGTGATTCTATATATCGGAATCCGTTTTTTCCCCCCCACTATAGGCCAGGAGAGCACTCCGTACAATAGCTATCACCGACAGCCTAATGGGATATTGACTGTACAGATAAGAGCACATACTCAAGTAGCAATCCCTACCAACGCAACTATTGTTCTCCATAGGTACTGCAGCCATGACACCCCTCAAAACCCTACTGTACGGCCTCCTGGCCACCGCAACCCATCCCAACAACGCCCGCACTATGTCATAGTGGGAACCAGACCAGCAGGCCCCGAAGGTGAATTGGTGATAGAATTATGTTGTCTACCTTCCTAATAATCTCCCATATGGGTTTCTCCTTTTCATTCTATCAGTAACGAGCGCGAGCAAAGGTGTCTGTGAAAAAACAGACCTTGAGAATATCTTCCGGAACATATTGTACTAGAAACGGGGACAACTCGTTTGTAGCAGAGGTTCAACGACTTCTGAATTTCGTCGTCCTGTGATAAGACGCGGAAATAGTCAGTTCACGAATGGTTTCAATCATTTGACACGACTTACACAAAGTCGTCACCTCGTTGGACGTTCTTTGAATTTCAAGTGTTGTTAAGGACATGTTCGGCCTTGCCAGCATCTTTTATTACCCTTACGTGGGACTACGAGTCGTACAAAGTGACCTGTCCAAGATTCAGGAGCCTCCCAAATAGCAACCCTAGTGGTGCTCCGCATTGGACGGACGCTTTACAAAATCTGCAAGGGGTACGTAGAGCTTTGAATGGTGCCCGTATACCGCATTGACACATGCATCAAATAGCAGTAGCTTCTGTTAATCTAAGTTGCTTTCAGATCAACATCAGAGAGGCTGTAAGTTGGTATGCGCTTGGAGACTGCCGAGACACTAAGGTCCGAAAGTGAATTCGGTTCCAGGACATTAAACTCGGCCTGATGCGTCCATTCTTTCCAGATGCTGGGCCTGCGCCTCTGTCTCACTCTTCTCGCCCGCAACAAAATCATGCTCTTCCGCATCACGATTGCCGTAAAGACCGATTTTATACCATGGCAGAGCGAAGAGACGATCCATGCTCTCTAGGGAGCGGCCTGCCGTCTCGGGCACGCTGAACCAGACCCAAATACCGCCGATGATAGTGACAGCAGCAAAGCACCAGAATGTACCTTTCGGGTCAATGCCACCGGTTGCCACAGGCAGAAGCATGTTAGGGACCGCTCGCGCGTTACCGTACTGGTTGGCAAAATGGAGGGTCATAGCCATTGACGTCGCCAGAGCACGGATGCGCTGGGGAAATAATTCTGCCGTGAGAAGGTACTGCATCGAATTCCAGCCAAGAGCCCATCCAAATCCAGAGACATAGATCATTGCAATAGCTCCTTCACCAGCACCCTTCATGTTAGCTGGGAGCTTAAAGTCATCCTCCACGCCCATTTCTGGAACAGCTGTCAGAAAGGCCGCCACGTAGACCATCGAAATAGCTTGTACGGTGATCCCGAGAAGAAGGGATCGCTTGCGCCCAATAACATCAACCAGGAAGAGTGCACAAAGAATGGCCGCGATGAATTTCACAATGCCAAAAACGGCCGTGATCAGCAGATTGGTGTTGCTCCCCGTAACCCCTAGTAGATGGAACAAGTCTGAAGCGTAGACAGTAATACTGCCGGCACCGGTCCACTGCGATAGTATTTGGCACATGAAAGAAACGTAAATGCGGTAGAGGTTGGCGGGAACTAAGAATGTTTCCTTGATGACGCTAATAAAGCCAGTTCCCGTCAAGGCCTCCATCTCAATTTCATGAGCTCTCCGAATCGAATCGATCTGGCCCACGACGTATTCGTGGTCCGAGGGGAGATGGCAGAGGTGCGAAAGGTTGTTGACTGCCTTGTCGATTTGGCCTTTCTTGATGAGATACCGCGGGGATTCAAACTGCAGAAAAGAGAGCAGGAAGATCACGCCTGCAAACATGATATGCAGGCTTGTGGGAACAAGCTGTACAATATCAGCTTTTGCAATTTGGAGGTTCATGCAGTGAGTTTTATACATACCCAGCGATCATGAGTTTCATCGCCCAAATTAACCTATTTCAACATATCAGATTGCCATCCATGTAGCTCTATACGACCTTGAGAAAATACCTCGCAGCCATAGTTGGCAAAGTAAGCAAGCACAATTCCCAGGTAAACGAAGCCGGTAAACACACAGGTGCAAAGACCACGGATGGAAGCAGGTGCCTGGTCCATTCAGTTAGCCCTATGTAGGTGTCGCTCTCGCCTGTCTGTGGAGCTATCGCCCATCATCACGCATTCACCATAAGAGACAGGCAGGTAGGGATACAAAGGCTCACGTCACACCCGAGTCAAAACTTACAATCTCAGACAGATAAACCGGGCCAACGACGACAGTTTCCCCAACACCGAGTCCGGCAACAAAGCGGCCGGCGTAGACAGCACCCAAGTTGCCACCATTTCCCAGAAAGATAGCAATTCCCAAGATCCACACCAGGCACAGCTGCCGAGTGGCCCAGATCCGGCCAATGCGGTCACAAATCAAGAAGGCACTGCCATGATAAACGAGCAGATCAGCACGTTGCGTTCCCAAAAAAAAAATAAATAAAAATAAAAGAACAGGTGAAGGTCAAGCAATTACAAGAGAGCCCCTCCCACAGATCCAATCTGAACCATTGCCGACACATTCGCTTTGATATTGGTCTGCTCGACCTGGCTGTAGGATTCGTAGTTGATGTATTGTTGAAAATCCTTGGAGTTGAAAGCGCCCGTGACGAGACCCTCGTCGACGCCCCGTGCTGCGCCCATCAAACCAAATGAGATGACCGCAAACCATAGGCGCCAATTGAAGACCTCCTTGGGCTCTGGGAGGTCTTTGATGCGGAATACATTGACCGGTTTTTTGACTCCGCCAGCCATGATGAGTAACAGTAATGCTTGCGAACGTGTTGGAATTCAATGTAGAAGGTTCCCAAGTTTGCAACGAACAGAAAAGTCACCCGCACAAGTAGAGGCCGGACTATATAGTTGAGTCCCTGTCGGGTCCAGCAATTAAGATTCTGTGGGGAAACGCGGGGGAACAGGGGGTAGCACATTTTCTTCTAGTCGTCGAGGACGATTTGCTGCCGGGAAGTCGATGTCCGTACCTAAATCAAATCATATGGATCGTATCCTACAGTGTACACCAAAACATACAGACTTGGGTTGGCGGTTCTGGGCATCGCTGGGCAAGTTCGCACTAGAGAATCGGTTTTTGCGGGGTGATGTATGTCATTGGGTCGTGGTCGTCTTGGACGAAGTCAGTTTCACCCTCTCTTGGGTTTCCGGGGTATTCAGGCCGTTGCTTGGGATGTGTGGGGCTGGTGGAGCAGCGAAACTGTCAAGCGATGGAGCGGTCCCAGAATCCCCGGCGTAGGATTTCTCGGAGACTCTTCCCCCGGTGGCCAATCCTAGACCCATCTTGTTGAAGCTCTAGGAAGACTAGCTACCTGCAGGTACCAGCAGTCTGACCTCTGACTACGCTGTCATCTCGTCGTGCTGCCTCATTGGGCTTTATGTCTCTGTAGTCTATGACTCTACTACGTCTGAAGACACTGCGGTGGTACAAACGACCACGTTTGCCGTGTTTTTTCTTGATGAGATCCACTCAAGGCAGCATCATATGAAACTCCCCCTTCAAGCACCAGGATCCATACTGGACACTTCATTCGGCAGGGGCACGATACTCCGAAAGAATAGCTGAGTGTTCTCATACACCGTGAAGACGATCCCCCCTCCCATGACCAATCTTCCCAGGCGCATCGTGCTACCGCGCCAATAGCCCCTCAGGCCGTGGGCCGAATAAATGCTTCGAATAGCAGCAGCAGTCCCTGCGGAGCCGGACGTCTGCGCCCTCGTCTTGATCGAGTCAAATGGCTGTGTCGTGTAGACCGTGATTGTGCCCGCGATCGCCCCAGTGACGAAGGTAGTTAATGCACTCTGCTGAACGCCATACGCGAGCCCCATTTCCTTCAAGATATTGTAGCTTCCCATGCGCACGGCCGACGTCGAGGCCTGCTTCATGGTCGTGGGAAGAAGTCCCTTGTATAGCCCGTGGACGCCTTGGTGCCGGATGATCCAGCGGACAGCACTCGCCATCCCATTAAGCCTCCTCCCCTGTCCGCTCTTGGCATCGTCGATAAGCGCCGTTTTGATGCGCTCCGACGGAGTCACAGCAACCACGCTCTCCACGGCCCCAGCACACATCCCGGCCAAGATACCCTGACCGAGACTCGCGTGGCCAGACGGCCCCGCGAGCCGTTGTTTGATAGCATCGTAGGCAAAAAACCGCACTCCATCCTTGCCCATGTTTCCTAGCACGAGGGAGCTGCATCCGGTGTACAACGCAAGCGGACCCTGTCGGGAAACAATCTGCGCGATGACCCGTAAAGGATTCCTGGTGTTGAAATCATTGCGAAGCTGCACGCTCGTCTTTGCGAATTCAAAGGGGTATGTCGCAAACCCTTCTGCTGCACCTGCCACGCAGCCAGACAGCAGTGAGATTGCAGGGTTGACGCTTGCCTGGAGAATATATTGGTGATCAGTTGATAAGGAAAGTCTCAAGGAAGAGCGTTGAGAGAAAAGACTCTTGCTGGACCAGGCACGTAGCGAAGGCACTGACCTTTGGCACAGTCGCGGTTCCGAGATGACCCATTGTGCAGTGAGGGGGGGAGCAATGATATCAATAAAGCTACTGATAGACCGTACTCGAGGGCTAGTCTGACGAATATTGTGCCATCTCGTGGGTTATATCTCAACAGCATGTCGGCTCTCTCCCATCGGTGGTCATCGACCCCGGCGTACATCTTCCGGCCGAGGGACTGATAACGGAGCATGAGGTTCCGAGGAGTGTCCCGGTCTGCAATAAGACCTAAAAGGCCTGAAGAGATCAAGTCACCTATTACATTGTGTGAACCGACTCCTGAGCCAGGGAGCCCTACTAGGGAGGCGACACCGCAACTCATTCTCCGGTTGCAGGCTCATGAGCATGGCACGGTAAGGCAAAGGCAATACGTGCAACATTATTGAAATCTAGACGACGGAGGTTGAGTTTATGCTTAATCAGATATAGTAAGCGGCTATGTTGTCATGGGAAGGTCTTATTCAAAACAAGAGTGACAGGCACTTCGTATGATGTACCATTTCTTTTGGCTCCACCGTATGCTAAATACAAAACGCAAATCCAGTAATCACTCAAGTCTACAACCTGCTGGCGACGGCGACCTGAGTCTGCTGGGGCTCGCGTTGCCCCTGACTTTTGCTCTTCCTCATTTTGGCAGTAGCCGCGGCGGCCTTGCCAGCTCTCCGACCAAAAACAGCGCCTGAAGTCAAGCCACTACCACCGGGATAATTCGAATAGAACAGCCCACCCATCATCTCCCCGACACAGTACACCCCGGGGATGGGCTGTCCCGTGGCCGAAGCGATCATCTGTGCGTTGCGGGCGTCCACTTTGAGACCGCCAAAGGTGAAGGTAATGCCACATGTCACTTTGATGGCGAGGTAAGGGCCCTGGTCCAGCGGCAGGGCCCAGTTCGACTTGGCCAGTGCCAGTTGCTTGGCGGATGATTGGGTCGACAGGCCATCCTTGATGGCGGGATCCCATTTGGCGGATGGGTTTTCACGGCGATGGGCATAGACGGCCTCGTTGTATTCACGAAGGGTGCGCAGGAATGCCTCCCGGTTCTGGAGGCCACGGGAGGCACACTTCTCGGCTAGCTCCTCCAAAGTATCGGCGGAGATATGTTCGACACGTTCTTCTCGGTATTCCTCTGGTCGCAGCCACGGCTTGGTCCGAGAATCCCAGACCTGGAATGCAGATTGTTCGGGCTGCTGGAGGATCGCTCGGCCAAACTTGGCATATGTGTAGTTCCGCATGTCGATCCCTTCATCGACAAATCGGCGGCCGTCAACGTTTATCATGAGCCCGAGTGGATAACCGGACTTGGTGAACTCGTTGGAGGCCACTCGATCACCGGTGTTTGGATTGGCGGTGGCATCCCAGGCCACCGAGTGGCAGCCGGACCAGTTGCCGACGGGCTGAGCCCCGAGCTGTTGGATACCTAGCTCAAGGACATCGCCGGTGTTGTATGGGGTGCCTCGAACCATTGCAAGATCCCAGCCAGGACCGAGGAACTGACTCCGCATCCGGGCATTCGACTCAAACCCACCAGCCGCTAAAACGATCGCCCCAGCTTTGATGACACTCTCCTGGGCATTAGTCTTGACCGACGCAACGAGGCTTCCATCAACCGCGTCGGTCTGGATCCCGCTGAGCGTTGTGGACCAGGCAACCCGGACTCCATGCCGTTTGGCAGCAGCCCGGTAGTCGTCAATCAGCCCTTTGCCTCCATCTTGGGTTTTGAGACTCAGCCCGCCCCAGAACTTGATCCGGCCGTCAACCTCATACGCCTGTCGATTGAACGACAGCTGAAACCGTATCCCTTCGCTTGCCAGCCATTTGACCGCGGAGTTGGAGTCGGCAACGAGGGCTTTCGCGAGCTCTGGATCCGACCTTCCCATGCAGGTTTTCTGCAGATCCGCCATGAAGCCCTCGGGTGCGTACGGAGCCAGGTCGATTTTCTGGGCTTGCTCGCGGGTGACGTTGTTGACAATGGGCAGCAGATCCTGGAGTCCCCCATGGGCTGTCCGGTAAGCTCCCGCGGTGAAGTAAGTGTTGCCGCCTGCCCACTCCTCGGGGCATTTGTCTATCAACAACACGCGGTCGGCGCCGGACTGCGCTGCTGAGATGGCGGATGCAAATCCCGCATTTCCACTGCCCACCACCAGGACATCCACTTCTTCCAAAAACGCAGACATGTCGAATATCGTTTCGTCGAGTAAGGGGGAGTATAGGACCGCGGTATTGGGCAAGTTCGTTAATATCTGCAAGCTTGACCGAATGTACCACATTGCCAAACCAAAGGGTTTATAAGGAATCCAGTTCCATTACACATCGGTCGGTGGTTAGGACGGAGTACGAGCTCCCGGGCGGGGAGGGGGGGGCAAAGCGCCATCAGATAGATACATGTCGATAGTGTAATAGAGTGGAGGCTGATGCTTCGGTCATTGATCGTGCGCGACCCCAGCCAGAGACCTGGACAATCCCCGGAGAGTCAGTCTCCGGCGGTTCCCCACTGGCGTAGGTACGATTCGGCCCTCGGTCGGACATGGCGATGACGGAGATTGACCACGCCAAATGGAGAAAAAAACAATTTTCTCCTTGATCAATGAAAACCCAGTACTACTTGAAGACGGACAGATCATTTCATTGAGACATTTCCAGTTGGAATCCCTAAGCCGCAACTACTGTAGGCCTCGCCATATTGATTTCTCGATGACCCACCCCATCGGGTACCCGCGAACCCGCCAAGAACCCCATGAGCCCCTATATTACAGAATAACAGACGTATTACGGAAAGTGACTCATATAAATATAGGAGCAGTATACACACGTACAAGCCGCCGTTTCGCTACTCTCACACGGGTAGGAGGTCGATACGAGAATGGCAGTAAGCCAGGATCTGGAAGAAGTGGTTCTTTGTAGAAGAGAATGTCTACAGTTTGCCACAGGAATAGGGAGGGGAAAGGAGTTACTGGTTTAGGTGTGCCGCCTTTCCAAGTCAAACTATGCAAGACTAGGTAACCGAGCTACGAACAAGTTGAGTTCGTACCCAGGTATTGCACTACATACGTGCACTACCTACACCAATCAAAAAAATGTATATTGTTGACCGACTGATACTTCCAAGGCATTGTAATCGAAATCCCAGCCCTCTCATGCTTGATCGATAGACGACAATGACTCGCAAATCCACTACGGGCAGGTCGAAGACTGTCGTCAGAGCGTGTCAGTCCTGTCGAGGGAAAAAGATTCGGTGTGACGCCTCGAGGCCGCGTTGCACACCTTGCATCAGTCAGAATAAGGAATGCGTCTATCGTTTTGGAACCCCGAGGGAACGGTACGTGAGCATTGGCGGCTGTTTCATCGTGAGTCTTCAAATTCAGGGTTGTTTTTGACCTGGCTGTCTAGACCCACGCTTGCTCGAATCAATGATCTTGAACGGGAGCGGTCTGCCCTCACATCATTTATTGAAAGTCTCAAGGATGCATCGGTAGAGGACCGAGATCTGTTGCTCTCGTCCACCTCGCACCGTGAAGTTCAACGTGAAGCGCCTCGGTTGGCCTCGGAATCAGAACCCCAGGTGCAGGAAGACTCCGGCGAGCGGGCAATCCTTACCAAAAGCGGCCACGACAGCGGACGCCGGGGAAGTTTGATCAGTTGTATCGAGTCCGAAGAAGATGAGCTAGACGTGGTGCAGTTCATCTCGATCGATGAGTCTGGAAATCCAGAATCCTTCGGGCCGTCATCTGCATTGTACGTTCCACCGTATAATGGCCTGTCGCCGCGGACGGGCCTGACTCGGAACGTGGGACAGGAGCACAGGAAAAATAGCCTGATCGCGAATGCTGCGTTACAGCGACAAGCCGAGCATCGTCTCGCTGCCTTGCCGGATATTGCGGGCGTACCGACTCACTTGGCGCTGCACCTACTGAATGTGCACTGGGCGCGCCAGCACCACACTTTTCTCTTGACATATCGGCCAGCGATCATGCGCGACATACAGCAGAACGGACCGCACTCTTCAGCATTTCTCCTGAATGCCATATTTGCTTGTTCGAGCAAGTTCTCGGACCATGCGCAAGCCCAGCCATTATTTTTTCTCGAGAGGTGTGATCAGCTTCTGGCAGAGCAGCAGTTGTTGATCTATTCAACCATCCCCACCGTGGTCGGCCTTTTATTACTGGGATCGACCTACAATTCCCGCGGCGAAACCTCCAAGGGATGGCTGTTCACCGGATATGCGCTGCGGATGGTGTATGATTTCGGACTCCATCTTGACCCCCAGGAAACGAGCGACAGCGCCGAAGAGATCGAAATCAGACGACGAATCTTTTGGGGAGCCTTTATCTGTGACAAGCTGCAAAGTCTCTATCTTGGGCGGCCGCCGGCTATCAATGTCCGAGACTGCCAGGTTTCCCGCGACTTTCTCGACACTTTCGAGGAAATGGAAGCGTTCATCTCCTCGAACCCCTTGGTGTCTCCCATCTATTCGGTGTCCACATTCCGGCAACTCTGTGCATTGTCCAAGATCATGACCGTCATTATCAACAGATTCTACGCGGTCGGTGCCACCGTTTCCAACGCCGTTTCGAGCCTGCAGATGGTGGAGGCGGCACTTCAAAAATGGGAACAGAATCTCCCCCCAGAGCTAGACGTGTCCGAGCATCTCCTGCCCAGAGACAGTTCCAATATAACTCAAACGGAATACCCGGCGCCGAATGTCCTGAATCTGCACGGGATCCACCAGTCTCTCATTATCCTGCTCCATCGCCCCTTCATCTCGGATGGTCACCTGCGAGCTACCACCGTGCCCCTGCGGTCTTGGGAGCAATGCACACTTGCAGCGGACAGGATCTCTGCCGTTGCCCGGTGCTACAAGCAGGCTTACGGTCTTGCCAAAGCTCCTTACATCATGGCCTACTGCATCTACGTCGCTTGCACGATCCATGTCCGCAATGCAGCCAGCGAGGGAACTGGAAATCATTGTGGTCGCGCGGCGCATGCTTCCCTTCTCACCTCGAATCTGGATTATCTGGACGAGATGTGCGCGACGAACCCAGGCGTCAAGCGTCCGGCAAGCATCATCAGGAAGCTCATCTCGGCGAACAACATCAATCTGGCAACCGGTGAGTTTGAGCTTTGCCCTATTTCCCCGCCAATCAACCCTCGGAGGGAGGATAGGAGAATTGAACTGACTGCCGCAGAGCCAAGCGTTTCCTCAAGTCAACCCGCACCCGAGCTCAATTTGGAATTCATCTTTGGCACGTTTCCCGGTGGAGCGGAGCTGCTCGGGCATGGGCAAGGCCACGGACAAGGACAGGGGCAAGTACAAGGGCAAGTACAAGGGCAAGGGCAAGTGCATGGAGCCCACGGCATGGCTCTGGATGTTGATTGTATATTAGATCCATTGTTCGGCTTCATGGACACGTCTATGATGCCGAAGCCTGATAACCTTCCAGATTCTGATGAACTTACAGGGGGCGATCATATGATTTGAGGTCTGGATCTATGGCCACAATCATGAATTGATCACAAAGCTGTCGTCTCAGGCCCCGGGCTCAGAGTGTAACGGATAATACCTGGAGATGGCAGGATATTTGTATGACATTTCCATCGTTCGCTTCGTGGCACTCGATATTTGTCTAGCTTGAACGACGAATCACACTGGGCCAGGAGACGCTTTTTTTACATATGCACCTCAAGGTCGGGTTATCAATATTTCCACTAGCGATCCTAAATTTTTCTCCTTGTAAATGCGACTAGTACTTGGGGCATATCAGGGCAGCTGCCACGAATAAAGAAGTGAGAACCTTTTGGTCTGACACACAAGCCAGCGGTTGAAGGGACTCAGCAGATCATGGGGAGGTAGCTCATACCTTAGCAAAGGTAAGCCCAAAGTTTCCACAAATGAACAGCCCAAATACTCACTAGAATAAATATGATCAATTGCGGTGTTCGTCAATGCAAGCCCCTAACGGCGAGATGCATTTTTATGCCTCCAATCAGGAGGTACACGTCTTTTCCCGTGGGATGATGTTCAAACACGCTGGAATTCCACATTTTTGATGCTTCGCCGTGCGCGTTGACTCAGAAACATCGTCGACAAATACTGCCAAGATCATGACTATTCACAGTTCAACACCTCTGATAGGGAATGGTGGCCAATTGACTACCTGCTCCACTTAATCAACCCATTTTTTCAGTTCACCATGGCTCTGATGAAGTCGAAAGATGTTACAATTCATAGCGCGTTTCTTGTGTACAGGATACTACTAGATCACATTAAACAGTCGAATCAAAAATGAAGAAAAAGATGACTTCCCCGTGACCATGATTTTCTCTACAGTCCCAGAACTTCCCTTGCTCCCAAATATAAGCCCTCTGCATTTATTACTCGACTTGTCATGATAATACTTCAAAAAGGCACTATGAATATTCGAGAACATGTTTCATGCATTACCAACAACAAATTACTATATCTTTTAATTGTAATATTCCTAGAACCAGAAATATCTAGTAAATCAATAGACTAGGACATGCCTATTATTCTAGAAGTTATATTATTTATTATATTTATAGTCAATTATAATTATAAAAGATTATTATCTATAAAAGAATACAATATTCTAGTTCTAATGATATAATCTTCTTTATACTTCTTCTTTTCTAGCCTCTCTTCTTCTTTCTTGTATAATTTATGACGTATTATGTCTAACATGTTCTTATCACTCTCTAGGATACTATTCTCTCAATAATATCACAGAAATATGCACTGCATCAATGACAATCATGCGGGTGTATCTGCCACTATTCATGTGAAATCATACTATGAAATCATCCTAGAGAAACAATGTCTACTGCCTCTTCCCCTTCGCGGCCTTCTGCCTCAACTTCCTCTTTTCCTCCCAACGCAGCCACCCCGCCTCCGCCAAATCCTCACTCACCACCAAATCCCTCAACCGCACCAACCGGGCAATTCCCATCTCCAACCCCCACTCGATCCATCCCCGTTCCCGCAGAAAGGAAGTCACCGCGAACCAGCCCACAGCGCACACTACACCAGCCGTCGACCCGACAAGGACCTGCCTCAGGGTATGGTAATTCAAGTAGATCCGACTGGCAGCGACAGCGACGGCACCAACCGCAAGCACCGCCAGCACCACCATACGCACCGCCAAATGCGACGTCGCGCCGGGCGTATGCCGCACAATCAGAAAGAGCGTCAGATACACGCCGAAGAAAGTCATGAACTGCGCGTGTGACGAGGGCATCCCGTAGCCTTTGCCGTACATTTCTACCGGCCGTTAGTTTCTTTCGTTTTTTGACGCCGGTTCACCTGACCTGGGAAAAGATCATGTAGACATACGCTGCGGCCGCTCTTCCTTGATGATCCGCTTGAGAATAAAGTTCAGCGCCTCGCATCCCATTTGGCCCACGAACATAAGGAGCACTTCCACCTCGCGTGTGGCCCATACCAGCGTCACATAGATGACGCACAGGGCCTGCGGAACAAGCGCGAGCCACGCTGACAGAAAAGACAGGCGATCATCAGGGTTCTGGGATGGTGGGGTCAGTTCTGGTGATGTGCTAGGTTTAGAGGGCCGCATACATAGTTGACGTGAGTTAGAGAGAGCGATGCCAGCCGTGTTTCCTCCATGACGGCTCGCTGTATCCCAAGCGTTTTTCTGCCTTTCTTTCTTTTCGGACTCTCCTTCAGGGAGACAAAGAATCGAGGTTGGTGATGGTCGAGCGTTCGTTTGTCGTTGCTGCAGGTCATGTGATAGGCGGGTTGTTGTTTGGTGTGTTTGTCTGGCGTGCATCTCTTTCTCTCGTCTCGGTCGATCTTTTCCTTTTTCTCTCTTTCTCTCTTCTCGATATACTCTTCCCCGGAGATTACTTTGAATAACGATCGTATTCTCTAGAGTCAGGATGTACAACTCGATTATGATACAACTCAATCATGGTATGACGACTCCACTAGCGAGTTTGCCCATACTTCTACATACGTATACCCGCTACTGTCCAGCTCCATCGAATCATGCTTGTTAGGATCAGTCCCCAGCTCCTTCTCCGCATCATCCGGAATCCCATCGCCATCCGTATCAACAGTGGCACTACCCCCGTCCAGATCCCCTGGACCTCCCATGGTGGCTTCGTCGGAGATCAACTCACCCTCTTTGCCCCAGGTTTTGACCTGCGCGATCAACTGCGTATCAACACCGTCTCGGACTTTGGAGGCCCCCGCGTCTGCATCCTCTCAGCTTAGGTTGCTCGAAAGGCAAGGAAAATGGAAGCTACTTACGCTCCGTGATGTAGGTCACCGCCTCATCGGGAGTCATGGTAAATGCCACTTCCGGGTAGTCGTGCTTGGTCGCGACGAGATCCATGCCGCCGTAGTTGGCAGCCGAGGCGTCGAGCTCGCTGCCGTTCAGCGTTCCGTCCCTGTCGGAGTCATAGAAGTTGGTCTTCACATAGCCGTGGAACTCTGCGTTTCCCCGAGTGAAGGCCGTGACGCTCGTGGATGGGCCGCTAATGAAGTAGTTGCCGATGATGTTGGCATCTGCCATGTCATAAGCATTTAGTTGCATGTTCATAACGTTTTCAAGTACAACATACAGGAAGCGCCGCTGGAATCGCCGGCGATATAACCACCTCCGCCGCCCCAGTTATACACGACGTTGTTGGTGAACTCGTTGACGCCCTTCACCTTTGGATTGCGGGTTTTGTTATCGATGTACAGGTTGCGCAAGAGCGAGACACCACCGTCCGTCTGCATAAGGCCACCGCAGGAATGTGTCTCCAAGCCCTGGGAGATGATGCTGTTCTGCACAGTGATGTTGGCTGCCTCCCCGTTGATAGAGAAGGTCTCGTCACGGCCCCAGGAAACCGACACGTGGTCGAAGATCATGTTGTTTCCTTCGGCGATCCCCATGGCGTCTTTCCCTGACGTGCCTCCTTTGCCCATGCGACTGTACAGTTGTCAGTGCAGGGAATTTCAGTTGGCTCCGCTCCCCTCTAGTCTAGACGCTTGTTCACAGGGATGCAATACACACGTACATTCGTATATACCGAACGATGGCCTCGTCGGCGTTCGAAAATGACCATCCATCCCCGTACACCGTTATCCCGTCGCCCGGTGCCGTCTGCCCGAGGATGGTCACGCGGCTGGAAACAACCATCCGGTCCTCAATTTTGATGACGCCGCCGACGGAGAAGACGATGACGCGGTCTGGCTGCGAGACGCCATCGCGAAGAGAGCCTTCTCCAGAATCATCGAGGTTGGACACCACGTAGACTGAACCCTCGCGGCCGCCGATCGCGTTGGCACCGAACCCTTCTGCGCCGGGGAAGGCGACCAAGGCGGAGACAGACTGGAGGATGACAAAGAGGCTAAGTGCCAGGGAAATCTGTATCTGCATTTTTGGCGGACTGGGACAAAAGCTGGTCAAGTCCCACAGGATACTCGTCTTTGAAGCATACGGTACATAATTTATAGAAATAGACGGTGACGGAGTTGGCTGAGACCGCCAAGCTGATAGCTGATTGTTGCAGAAATTAAAGCTCCGTCAGTTTCAGTGGGCGATCACTGCGTTTCAGTATTAGTATGGGGCACCCAGAGCGTCCTGAAAAAGTCCACCTATCATGGTGATCGGTGATGGGGTGTTTAAGGTGGAGGTTGATCAAATCATGGTATTGACTAACGGAGAAATTTACAGGGATCGCGTGCTACTTGAGAGGTCATCTTAAGTTGACTCTTTCGTTGGATAATCACCTCTAGTGCTGCATGTGAAGAATGCAGGTTACTAGATACCAATTGCAAAAGCATGTAGAAGCAAGCAGTACTGAGATTGTCCCGCCATAAAGGCATTTGCATTGAATTGATTGACATACAGGTCAACGTTGGGCCCCCCGCCATCCGACTCCAGCATACCAAATGCGAGCAGACTCACGAGATACCCGGTCTGATCGCAACCCGCGTGGACTAGGAATCTAGGCAATGGCGCAGCCGACCTTGCCCCGACGTACATTATTTAGATAGCTTCAACATTATTCTAGCCCTCCACGCGTCCTTCTCCTACGGCGAGGCAATCTCAAGGTCCTCCGCTGGTGGTCTTCTCGAGGATAGTCTTCATCATTTCGTTGCCAAGCTTGACAGCCTCGGGGAATCGAGGAGCGAAGTACTCCTGGATCCGCTCGAATCGGTCACGGTAGGACTCAAAGTCGCCAAAGGACACACAGTCGGACCACGCCTATAGATGATCAGCCATGACAAAATCCTCTTGGGAGAGATCGCACAAGGCGGGAAAGGCGAATTCAGTGAACCTACCCGAGCCGCGAACGTGAATTCCAAATCGTCCGACCTGAAATGGCGGTCGTCGATCGCAGTGTCCAGGGCTTCCTCTAGAAGGTCGGGACTGCGGAACAGGTATTCAGTGACACCCAGCCAGAGACGGAATAGCTGATGCGCACAACCCATCGGTTAGTTACTATGGTCGCGAGCTCAAATGTCATCGGGTGGGGATAGCCAACACAGGACCACATACAGGAGTCGAGCATATCATGTGGTCATAGGGCACGATACCGAGCTTCGACCAGCAGTCGACAATAGCAAGCAAACTAAGGTGGCTGTTCTGACGCTGCTCCTCGCGAGGCTGATTAGAAAGCGAGTAGCGGTCCAAGACGTCGTCTTTCAACAGCAAGTCCTGTCGCGTAGTGCCCGCTCGGAAGACGGCCTCTCCAGCGGCCTTCACCCGGCTCTTGAGCTCATCCCGACGACCCTGAATCATGAGCTTGTACAGCTCAGTGACAGACTCGGCATAGGTGCGAATCTGCCGCTTCGCGGCCGGGTTGAGGATGGCTAGCCCGGCGTAGACGTGCCACTTGTTGGAGTAGATGCGCAGGGTGATATTGATCTTGACGTTCTCGATGCCGCCGACCCAGCGGCCGAATTCCCAAGGGAAGCAGGCGTTGGCCTGCCAGGCGGTGCCCATGCTCAGGAAGGCGGCGTGCGTGACGGCCTGGGTGTCGGCCGTGATGCGGTCGTGCATCTCGCCGGTAAGGTAGACATATTCGGAGCCGAAGCACGAGAGGACCTCTTCGACTGTGTGGAGGCTCTCGTCCGAGGCGCGGTGTTTGATCAGAACCTGCAACCCTCGTTACCATGTAGCCGTCAGATGGGGCCCATGAAGATGGTACGAATCATCATGATGGATCAATCAAGGCACGTATCATACCAGCGGTTGGCCGTTCGGGTTGACGTTAGGGCCGTGCAGTGAGTGGCAGGAGACAACTTCTACATCCGGGGGGAGGTGTTTATCGAAGGCTGCCAGCTCGGGGGCCTTGCACGAGGTTTGGCCGCCGACGATCGCACCGAGCTTGGTCGCTTTGCAGACAGACGCACAAGTCAGACAGGCTGATAGCAGGTAGACGATGGGGGTTTCCCTGGCCAAGGAAACATACATGGGCCGTACTCGGCTACTACCCTGTCGATCACACCTGCTTCTACACTGTAAATAATATAATCGCTAACCCTTGAAACCAGGTGCCCATTGGGAAGGATGGTGACACCACTCTATGAATACTATAAGTTGAGGGACAGCGTTGGCTGCGAGTTCCAATGCACGTACGAGGGAATCGAATTCGGTTTTAAGAGACTCATAGACGTCTGCTTTGTCACATGCATTTATCCTTGGAAAAAGTAGCTGGGGTTAGTATATCTATTCGGTTCTATCGTGTATAGCAAAAAATGCGATTATGTGAGAGCAAAGCAAAGCAACCTAGAAGTGATCCAGTTAGCACAGGTCCAACAGAAACACCGTGTGAAATGATCCAATGAATATCAAGGATATGAAGTTCAGACACAAGAAAAATAAGGTAGCTTGTAAGTTACATCATCGACGATCCGGGCGTTCTCATCCGACCAGAAAGGCGTTTGAGACCCCCGGACCATGCTCGAGCCAAATGCACTCTAGTCATCATAAAAAAGGTCGACACAAGACGTGTCGGGGCAGTGGGCAAGGGGAAAGAATCACAATAGAAAAGAAGGGTATCTTACCTGTTACCAAAATCGCAAAAGCTGGTGTCGAAAAAAAAGAAACAAACCAACAAAATCGAATGCATCAGGGATCGCGTGCGAAGAGATTTACCTCCACCCTGCCCGGCTAAGCCGCTGGGCATACATTTTGCCCATGTCGCCCATGCCGATGATGCCAATCGAGGCCGTCTCCTTGTTGAATTTGACCATCTTGTCCAGCTACGACCGAAGTCGAGGGCCGTTCAGGTTCAGAGAATCCACAGAGGGAAGAAACCAGTCGAATTGAAGCAAACACGCACACCAATATGAGCTTCACTCTCGATCCAAGCCCGGAAAGAAAGCAAAGTCAAGTCGAGAGAATGGGAGGGTTGTGGGAGGAAGATGAAAAAGGTTGCAGAAGCGACGCCGAAAGAGAATTTTTAAACTGATTTGGTCGTGACTCTCGGGCCGACTCCGATCCCGAGAGCTAGAGCCCCACCTGCATAACTGGGATAGATGACTCAGCAACACAACCCCACTGGTGTGTACGGCTCACGTAAGCGGTCTGGATCGTCGTGTTTCCAGCTTCACAGCTTCATCTCTCTCTTCTCTCTTCTCTCTCCTCTTGAGACCATTGTCAATTGCTCTATGGTCCTGATTCTCTGTCGAAAGATCAATACGTCATAGATACACCCACAGTTGCATCGTGGGGATCGGAACACATGATCCATATATAATCCGTCCTGTTTTTGCGCCTGACACCCCCAATGGAGAGCTCTCCTGAGTCGGGGCTATTAAGCCACCTCCAGAATAACCTGTCGGAGCTAGGATGGCCCGGACTGCTGGCAATCTTGGTGGGTTCTTGCATCGTGACACGGATACTCACGGGGATCTGGAGCAATGGGCCCAAGGTGGAGGAGGGTCAACCGCGACGGGTTCGGACGACCCCGTACTGGTTTCCATGGCTAGGACACGGCCTTTCGTTCGTCTGGAATCATGTCCGCTTGCTTACCAAAGCTAGGTTGGTTGCAATGCGCATGAAGCTCAATTAGGGTGTACAGCAGGGCTAATCATCCCCGCAGAGACTCCATGGGAGAACCAGTGGTGGGCATCAAGTTAGGAGGGACGAAGCACAGCGTGCTGGTCTCTCCATCCGTGGCCAAATCGGCCTTGTCCTCCCCAAACACCTCATCCACGGCCGTGATCAACTACGCGCTGAAGACGGTCTTTGGGGACCGCGGACCTGTCCAAAAATCGAGCGCCTCGAACCCCCACCTGCTGCAGCTGCTGCACCACAACATCCCCGACCTTTTCAGCCGGGAGCCCTACGTGACGGAGATCTCCAACGCCGTGTGCCGTCTCATCGAGCGTGAAACGCCCAACCTGGTGACCTTCAACTGGAGTCCCGTGGACCAGACCCCGTGGGAGCGGACCTGCGACGTCGACCTCCTCGAAGGCACCGATAAGCCCACGTGCGAAACGAACCTGTTCGCCCTCATCCGCAACCATCTCGGCCACATCACCACGACCACCATCATGGGCTACGCCGTCCTCGAAAACTTCCCCAACCTCCTCCCCGACCTCTGGAAGCTCAACGACCAGTTCGTGCCCCTCTCCATGGGCCTCCCCCGCTGGGTGCTCCCCGGCACCTCCGCCGCCAGCGTCGCGCGAGCCCGCCTCCTCGACACCCTCACCGTCTACCACCAAGCCTTCGTCGCATGGGACGACGGCGCCGACCCCGGCGTCAAATTCCGCGACCTGGACGACATCTCCGAACCGATCAAGGAGCGCGCACGCGCCCTGAAAGCCGCAGGCCTATCCCCTTCAGCCAGCGCCCCAGCCCACCTCTCCCTCCTCTGGGCCATGAACGCCAACTCCCCCAACATCGTCTTCTGGCTCCTCCTCCACCTCTACACCAACCCGACCCTTCTCGCCGACATCCGCGCCGAGATCGCCCCCTTCGCCAAAGCCCACCGCCCCACCCCAGCCGAAACAGGCTTCCCCTTCGTCGAAGCCGCCCGCATCGCCCTCGACACAGACAACCTCCTCGAGTCCTGCCCACTCCTCCGCGCCTCCGTCTCCGAAACCCTCCGCCTCGACCTCGCCGCCCTCTCCTTCCGCACCCTCACCGCAGACCTCACCGTCACCGAATCCCCCGAAGACGCCGCCCTCGCCGGCCGCGCCAAACCCCTCACCTACCTCATCCCCGAGGGAGAGAGCATCCTCGTCCCCCACGGCGTCCTCCACACCGACCCCCAGCACTTCTCCAACCCAACCCAGTTCGACCCCCTCCGCTTCATCCAGACGGATCCCGACACGGGCAAGCTGCGCGCTGCGCGCGACCCGATCAGTCCGTTCGGCGCGGGCGTGTCTGCCTGCAAGGGCCGCGTCTTCGCCGAGAGGGAGATCCTCTCTTACACCGCGGCGATCATCAGTCTGTGGGACTTGCAGCCTGCGGGTGGGGGCGGCGTGTGGAAGATCCCGGGCCATAAGCAGTCTAGTGCGGCTTATTTGCCCACGAGGGATGTGCGGGTGCGGTTGACTGCGCGGGTTTAGGTTAGTATACCGACTATATAACTACGGAAGTTAGTAAGCATGGGTGGAGTTTTGAATTGATTACTATTGCAATGTTCATTTATGTTGGGACGTTCGATTGATAAATTGTTTTTTATAGATTGTTGTTTTCAGGTCGATACTACTGCTTGGGTGATTCCATTTTAGATGGATGAGTTTGGTCGGTTGGTCAACTGTGCAGTCAATTCAGGATCTATCTACAAGCCTTGCTACATACAAAACCATCCATCGCGGACATGAACCTCTACGGTCTGTTTATATTGGCAATATAGTGACTATCAGGCGAGGGAGCTTCAGCCAGCGTGTTCGACGATCTCGCTGACGAGAACGCCGTCCTTGACGTAGGTCTTGATCTGTTCCGGGAGCGGACACTCCTTGGTGTCGTCGTCGGTGCCCTCCTTGGGAGGGAGCATGACGTTGATAGCGGAGCATTTGCTAGAGAAGACCTCTGTGTTCAGGCTCTGGTGGCCGAGGTAGACGACGGCGCCGTCGACCTGGTCGAGCAAAAGGGTGGGGACAACGCCGTCGATCTGGAGCGCGAACTTGGGGCACTTGATGATGTCGAGGCTGCTGACGAGGGAGTCCACGATGAGGGAGAGCCCCGTGCAGTTGTCGATGGAGATGGCGTTGGCCTTGCTGGAGACCTTGATGATGATGTTGTTGCAGCGCGAGATGAGGATGGAGTGGTTCTGCTGCGCGGGGATCTCGACGATCTCGCCGGGCGAGAGGGGCCCGTCGAAATTCTCCACGAGCCACTTGGTGCCCTCGAGGTCCTTGCGGGGCGGCTTGCGGCCGCGCATGCTCTGCGGCTTGGGCTTCTTGTCGGGCGCCGGGGAGCGCGAGCGGGCCGCGCTGCTTGACGCCTCCGACGCGGGCACCAGCGAGCTCGCGCGCAGGTTGGGGTTCTTGTGTGTCATCTGCGACTTGTCGACCTTGCGGAGACCCGCCGTGACGGCGTCTCCCTGGTTCAGCTGGTCGAACACGGCGGCCATGTCCGGCCCCGAAGAGGCGGCGGGCGGCGGGGGGACGCCCGGGGGAGGGGGTGGTGGCGGAGCGCCTCCGGCGGGCACGTTCAGCTGCGGGACGGGAGGAGGGGGAGGAGGCGGCGGGGCCGCGCCGCCAGCGCCAGCGCCGGTACCGGCTGCCTTCACCTCACGCAAAGCATCCTGTGTGTCCAACCCGTTCTGGTCATTCCACGTCAGACCCTGGGGGTAGTGCTTGCGCAGGTAAGCGGCGAGCGACTTGAAGATCTGGTAGTAAGCTTGAATATATTGCACATGGGTGCGGTCCCTAGTTGGCGGTCATTAGCTCTCAGCCGCCCCCATCACCGTAGCCGGAATACCCACTTCTCCTTGTATTCCTTCAGGACTTTGTTTCCGTAGTATTGGATGGCACCGACGATCTCGCTGACGAAGTCGGCGGGCTTGTATTCGAAGAACCAACCCAGGCCCACAATGCCTTCGGAGACGGCGCTCAGATGGTCGAAAAGGGGCGATGCCCGGTTGGACTCGCGGACATTGTTGATGGCGTCGGAGGCATTGTGGAGCTCCGTCATGAGCTCCGTGGGCTGCACGGTGGGCTTCTTGGCCTTGGTCGCAAAGAAGAGGTACGTCCGTTCGGCCTGGAAAGCGCGCAACACGGCTTTGGACTGGAAGAGGATCAGTCACCATGCCCCTGAGAACCCCCAACGTACATCCGTGGCGATCTTACCTGTTCCTCCACCAAGCCCCCAATCTTTTCTCCCAGCGCGACGTAGTTCCCGACCTCATCGTGGATCAATGCGTCGAAGTCCTGGATCTGGGGAGGGACCGCGGCAGTGGCGGGCTCAGCAGGGGCGGCGGGGAGAGGAGCGGGCGGCGGAGGGGGCGGCGGTGTATGCTGGGTGGGGAGGGATTGCGGCGCGGCTTGGGCAGCGATGGTCTTGGGCGATGTGGGATCGTCCAGCCCCAAGGCCATATCCTCCAGACGGGAGGTTGCGGCCTCCAGCCTGTCAGGGGTCATACCATATTAGCGGTGATCGAGGGAGGTTGAGCCAGAATTTACTGGGCACTTTCCGCTGTATGATTGCAATCGTACAGCAGGGTAGTCTTTGCTCCAGCCAAAGAGAAACATACCGCTTAATGAGGGTGGTTAAATTATGCATATGGCCGCCGGTCGCCATCTTGATCAAGCAAGGAGGCAGAGCCAACCAAATCCACTTGACAGATGCAGATACAAGACAGGGGAGGAGACAAGGGTGCAGGTGGTCCAAAAAGGAACGGAGGAGGGTGGAGGAGCAGAGAGAGAAGCCCAACCAAATTGAAGGTGAAGTTGAAGTTAAAGACAAAGGAGAAGAAGCAGAAAGAAGAGGAAGAGGAGGAGGAGAGGGTGACTGAGGCGGCCAGGCGTCCAGGTGTCAAGGCCGAGAAATGACGATGCGACAAGCCTGAGGCAGCCCATGGCCCACATGGACCAAAATGGGCTTAGCGTAATGTACCGTACGGTACGGTACAGAACCGATTCCGATCCGACTCCGAATTCCTTCATTGACGCCGGTGATCCAACTGTCAACCTCAGTCTACATCAGCAGAACCTCAAAATTGCACATCAACATGGGCTGGCTCTGGAAGTCGTCCCCCTCTCCTCCCAAGGAGAATGCCATTCCTCCCGCCGCCAACGATGCGCCCCAACCACCACCGCAGGAACCCCGAGCCTTGACTCGCGACGAGCAAGCCGAAGCAGAATTCAAGCAACTCCTCGCGAGTCTAGAAAGTGACATCTCAGGGAAAGGACCAGCCCAATCGTCGTCATCAGCAGGAGACCAAGCCGCTGCCACGCCATCCGCCCCGTCGTCAACCACCGCGCCCTCGTCTTCTCCCTCCTCCATCGCCCCCGAATCTCTCTACCCAGACAGCATGTCCTGCCGCTCCGCATTCGACTACGCCTTCTTCTGCCAATCCTTCGGCGGACAGTTCGTCAACGTCTACCGCTACGGGGAACTGCGATCCTGCAGCGAACACTGGGATAACTTCTGGCACTGCATGAAGACGCGCACGTTCTCGGACCCTGAGCGCCAGAAGGCCGTCCGGGAACATTACCGGAAGAAGGCGATGAAGTATCGGACGGGGCCGAGCAGCGAGGATGTCTGGGACATGCGCATGCAGCCGGTGCGGGACGCTTTCCAGGGGGACTTTGCGGCTTTGGAGCGGGAGATGAAGCTGGAGGAGGAGGAGGCTGCACGGAAGGCTGCTTGATTTGGTTTATTCGTGTTATGTTGTGGGTTCTGTCTGATTTCTGGTTTTGATGGCTGTGGATTAGATACCTTGCCCTTTGTGGGAGTTCTTGTATAATATTTGATGTCACCTCTCTGTACAGTATGATTGATGTCTGGCTCATGAAAGTCATAAATTTACGCGTGGAGTTTGCTCTTCTGGGTAGGGTACAGTGGTGCCTTGCTACCATGATTGAGTACTGGGATACTCAGATCGCAAAGAATCATTGTACGCTGTTTATAAAACCGACTCGATTACTCGTAGTTAGCAAATCTAATTCTAGATAATTGTCCAGAATACATTGCTTGTCGGTCACCAACATAGAGACCCGTAAATCATATACTAAATCCAGCCGCGGCCCCTAAACACACCACCCGCAAATCATCCCATCCAGCTTTCTCTCTCTCTCTTCCCCCCCTCTCCAATTGAAATACTCAGTCCACAACAACGATACTCCCAACTCCAATTACCTCTCTCCAACAACCTCGATTCACCCATCATGGCCGATCTTCTCGCCTACCTCCCTCCCTTCGAAGGTCTTCTCCCCAAATGGCTCTTCCTGGTCAGTTCCGTTCCGTCCCAATCCGCCCCCTCACACCCCAAACAGGAAAAAAAAAACAACCAACCCCTAAACAAGAAAGAAAGAAAGAAAAAATCCGAACAAGAATAACAAAAACACAACTAACCCCAAAATCCAACATATACAGGTCTCCGTAATCTCCTCCGCAAACAGCATCCAAGCCTACCGCTCCGACGCCTACTCCGCCGAGCTCTACAACGGCCGCTCCAAGCCCGACGGCCACCCCTTCACGAACCCGCTGTCATCGCGCACCTTCGCTACCTGGACCTTCCTGTCGGGCGTGATCCGCATGTACGCCGCCTACAACATCACCAACTCCGTGTCGTACGATCTGGCCGCGTGGTCGTTTGGGATCGCGCTGTTCCATTTCCTGGGCGAGTGGGTGAGCGGAACGGCGCAGTTGAAGGGTCGTTTCGTTAGTCCGATGATTGTGGCGTCGTCGACGCTGACGTGGATGGTGACGCAGCGGGAGTGGTATTTGGCTTAGTTGGTTTGGGGATATTGGGTGTCGTGTTTGTTTGTTTGTTTAGTCCGTGTGGAGTGGCTACGTATGATATCTCGGGGGGAGGAACAGAAAATGGAAGAGAAAAGGTTGGTAGAATCAGATAAAAGCTCTCTCTCTCCCTTCTCGTGTCAACATACGGACTTCGGAAATCCATCAGTGGTTCATCTTCTTGCGGTACAGCTCTCCACCACAGGCCCGTAGTCTGGCGGCCGCCTGCTCGGGCGTGATGTCACGCTGGGGCTCGCCCATCATCTCATACCTACATCATGTCAGCGACCTTCTCGGAAGGGGAAAGAAATGTGCAGAATATACGCACCCAACCAGGAACTTCCGCACCGTGGCGCTGCGCAGCAACGGGGGATAAAAGTGCAGATGCAGATAAGACGACTCGACCTCCTCCTCAGTACCATCGAGCGGCGCCTGGTGGATACCCATGCTGTAGGGAAAGTACGTCTCGAAGAGGTTATCGTAGCGACGGGTCGTCTCGGCGATAGCCTCCGCCAGCAGGGTCTTCTCGTCGGCATTCAGATCGACCAGGGCGCGCTTGTGCTGCTTGCTGACGATCATGGTCTCGAACGGCCACACGGCCCACCAGGGGCAGACGACGAGGAAAGCGGCGTTCTCAAACACCACGCGCTCCTGCTTTTTGCTTTCCAGGGCCGCGTACGCCTCCAGCATGTGCTTGCCGCCGTGCGCGGCCCGGTACTTCTGCAGCTGCTCCAGCTCCATGGCGGGCTCTTCGGGCAGCGAGCTGGTGGTCCAGACCTGGCCGTGCGGGTGCGGGTTCGAGCAGCCCATGGCGGCGCCCTTGTTCTCGAAGATCTGCATGTACCGGTATTGCTCCTTGGGCTTGTCGAGGCTGGTGGTCGGCGCGTTCGGGGGGAGGGTCGTGGCGGGCGCGACGACGGCGAGCGGCGACTTGGGCGACAGGTGCGCGGTGTAGATCTCGGTCCAGGCGTCAATGACGGGGACGATCTCCGCGGGGGTGAGGTCCGCCAGGGTGAGGTTGTGGGCCGGGGAGAAGGTGAGCACGTAGCACTTTCCCGTCACGGGCTCGGCCTTGAGGAAGAACGATTCCACTTCTATGGTTGCGAGATGTTAGCGCGGGGGCGGGACATGATCCCATCGCGGAAACACACCGTCTGCATTCTCCGGGTTATAGGGCGCCTGCTCCTCTTTGACCGCGCTATAGTCGTTGACGAAGACGAACGTCTTGTCGTACTTTGGGTTCGAGTCGCCTTGCGCGCGCTTGTTTCCGGGACACAGGTAACAGGCGGGATCGTAGCTGGAGAGGGTGGTCTTGGAGGGACCCTCCTGCTGGCCTCTGCATCCATTTGTCAGTTGCTCACCTCGGATCTCGTTTCTTCACGGGGTAGTAGTTGATCGAAATAGTGCTGCGCTGGATTCTGGACTCACTGCCAAGGACGCTTGGTGCGGTGGGGAGAGACAAGGATATGAGATCCGCGGAGAGGATTGAACCTCCGGTGGGAGATGTCATCCAGGACGTTTTCAACCATCTTGGGCGGTAGACAGGAAAAGCTGGACGGGATACACGACTGTCAGGAATGTGGAAGAAAGAAGAGAAAACAAAGGGAAAAGATGGCGGGGTTGGACCGGGCGGGGCAGGAATCCGCGGGGTGAAACATCGGCTTCGGCACCCCATCGGACTCCGGAAACCCACACCGGTCGGCATGGGGTTTATTGGGATCGCCGGGAGAGTCGATGGGATTGATCTTCAAATGCAATGCATTTCCAATGGATCATAAATTTTGTCATATACGATAACACCATATCTAATCATGCCTTCTGGAGCATCGTGTTGGCCATTTTCAATGGTCATCCCCGGCATTGACGGCATCACGGCTACCCGAGTGGCATCCCGAGCCGAGAATATCACCCAGCCAATCTCAAGCGTAGGGTGGTGTGCATCATGTCTGATCAGAAGTATAATACATTTCTAAAAGTGTACCTGATACAGACATCAACCGGAGTGGAAAAGTGTCATATGTACACCGTCGAAAAAGAAAGAAAATTAAAAAGACATGGTATCATCGATAGATCTCGTCAAATGGCCGCGTGTCCCGGAAACAGCTGTCCCAAACCTCGTTCACCACCTTGGTCGCATGCGCCTCGTCCTTGCAGGTCGGTCGCGCCCGTACCGACAAGATCGCCCGTCGTCGCACACACTCCTGATGCTGTTGGGTGAATTTCCACTGTCCTCGCCGGAAAAACTCTCGCGCCCATCGACATTCTCCGCTGAGGGAACTGGCCCGGATCTATGGCTCTGGTTAGCAAAGAACAAAAAACCCCAGATCCAACAAGACCGTTGGAGGAGTGGGGGCATAGAACACTGACCTCCGTACACGCAGCATGGCGTAGGTTATCCGTCCAGTTCACCTTGAACCGCAAATGGTCATAGGCATGCACCATCTCGTGGGCCATCGTGTCCTCCAGATGTCCCTGGTCCTTCATTTCGTTGGCGCAGATGCGGATGCCGTACTCCGGGTCGAAACCACCGGCTTGTCGATTCGTGCATCGACGGCAGTAGATGTTGTGGCTGGAAAGGTCACCGCCGAGTTGCTTGATGCTGTCGCTCATGTACCGGACGACGGGGCCTAATTCCATAGAGATTAGTCCACGTCTCCCAGAAAAGTCAACGCAGACGCGTAATCTCAAGAGTCAGACTCACTGTACTGCAACAAATAATCTCGCTGGTCTTCACAACGCTTGCAATCCGCCGCCTCGTTGCGGATGTCTCGCGCGACACGAAACTGCTCCTTTCCTTCATCGGTCATCTTCCCCGACATGATCGCGAAGATATTCCGCCATTGCGTCCACGAATCATCCCCAGGGGTATACCCGGTATCTCCGGGCTTCTCCGTCGGCGAAGGAGACTGCGAATCTGGCATCCTGTCGAAATTCTGGGCAGTTGGCGCAGTGAGTTGAAATCAGGACGTGAAGCGCAACCATCGGGTTCGCCGAATCTCTCCGCGGAGGGCGGTGTGGACGGGCAGAACCAGGAGGACTAAACTGGTCTCGGAAATAGTTGGACATCCCACTAGACGATGACTCGATCGATCGAGAGCGTCGGTTCGCTTTTCTCTTGGGTTCTCGAGAAGACTCTTGGACAGGAAGTCACTAGTGTTTTTGTTTGGGACGCAATTTATTGATGTGGTTGGGCTATCCCAGTCCACTCTACAATGACCACCACGATGGCTTCAAAGCCTCTCACTATCGTCATCAAGCTAGGTGCGGGGAGTCGGACTATGGCCTCAATGATCCCAGGATTGTTTGGCTGACCGTGATTTCTTTTCTCTTGGTTCAGGCACGAGTTCGATTGTCGACGAAAAGACGCATGAGCCCATCCTGTCGATCCTGACCTTGATCGTCGAAACCGCAGCGAAACTCCGTCGCGAGGGCCACCATGTAGTTCTCGTCTCGTCCGGCGCTGTGGGAGTGGGGTTACGGAGAATGGACATCGATGAACGTCCGAAGAACCTGCCCCGCATACAGGTATAAGCCGCTGTTCAGAAATCGCAAATGGATTGAAACCAGCTAATGAACCCTAGGCCCTCGCAGCGGTGGGACAGTGCAGGCTCATGAGCCTGTGGGATGGTCTCTTTGCACATCTTCGGTTGCCAGTTGCCCAAATACTGTTGACCCGCAATGATATCGCCGATGTAGGCTGCCATATCTCCAGACGACAGTCCGCATGATGTGTCTAACCCGATTCTAGCGAACACAATACATCAACGCCCAAAACACATTTGCACAGCTGTTTGAAATGGGAGTGATCCCGATCGTCAACGAGAACGACACCTTGGCGGTTTCGGTAGGTGATCACGCTCCTTTGGCTTCTTCAATGATCTGACCCTCTATCTCCATAGGAAATCAAATTCGGCGATAACGACACCCTCTCAGCTATCACGGCCGCAATGGTCAAAGCCGATTATCTCTTTCTGATGACGGACGTCGACTGTCTCTATACCGCCAACCCCCGCAGCAACCCCGACGCGCGACCTATCGAGGTGGTGCACGACATTGCCTCCATTACAGCCGACGTATCCTCGGCCGGTTCGTCGCTAGGGACCGGAGGAATGAGCACCAAGATCGTAGCGGCTAGGCTCGGCATGAGCGCCGGCGTGACCACCGTGATCACCAAAAGTTCCAAACCGGGTAACATCCACGCGATCGTACAATACCTCCAGCAGATCGAGGGACACGACACGGACGCTTCCGCGGACACATCCTCCCCCGAGACCTCATCCTCAGAGCCTCTAACCGCCCCGCTTCACACGCGATTTATCGCGTCTGAACGCCCAATTCAATCGCGGTCCTTCTGGCTACTCCACGGCCTCACGCCCCACGGAACCCTGTACATCGACCAAGGCGCATACATCGCCCTCCAAAACAAAGCTAGCCTCCTTCCGGCCGGGGTCCTGCGCGTGGACGGTCATTTTGGCCAGCAAGAAGCGGTGCGTCTGGTCGTCGTCGGGAGAGTGTCGGCGGACTCCTTGAACGGCGACTTCCTCCACCATGACCAGGAGCCCAGAGAAGTCGGACGGGCTCTGGTCAACTACGGCAGTCTCGAGATCGACCGGATCAAAGGTCACCGCAGCACGCAGATCGGATCGCTCTTGGGCTATGCAGACAGTGAATATGTCGCGTTCCGAGAAAACATCTCATTCTTCCAGGCCGATGGGCACACCTGATAAGGGACACTTTCAGATGTGATACCAGTCAATCAACAAAAAAAAAAAAAAAGAGAGAGAGAGAGAGAAGGCACAAGGCCGCGGTTTGGCTATATATAACAAAGAGTAGTGTGATTGATTTGTGAGATTGCATGGTTTGAGACCGCGCCGCAGCGGTGCGTTGGCCTTGACTGATTGATTATACTATACTAGACGCACCAGCGATGCCCTATTGGTTTATACCCTGTTGTTGAATTTCAATTCCATTCTTGTCCAGTCTACACTCCTGTCCTCCCTCTACTCCATAACTACCGGCGAAACGCGTAAAAACAAACCCAGACAAGACCTCCTAAACTATGGCAGAGGACCCTAACACCCAATGGAAGTCCGGCGAAAAAAAAAAAAAAAAAAAAAAAGAAATCCAAAAACACAATGCACAAGTTGACAGTGATGGAAAACACAGCCAAAAACACGACAAACATCACTAACCACACCCTCCACGTGAGCAGCATCTCCACACAAGCCCATATGGCGACTTTATCCTCTTCTATCCGAGCTCCACAACTTCCCCAGTGTTTCCCCCCTTTTCTCTTCGAGGGGAAAAATGATTCAAGGATACATAGTCCTCTCTTGGGCCAATACTGACGCTTGGGCGCATACGAAAAACTCATCCCCTTGATCGGGATTCCTCCATTGCACACGAATACCTCCGCAAACAACAAGGAGAATGCGCATCCCCTCAACCGACTCATCGCCGAAAGCGGGCACGTGGTCATTGGCTCTCTTCACCATTCCAGACTCTTTGTTGAAGGTCTTTCCCAAGTCGGGCAGTTGGTAGAAATCGAAGTTCCCACGGAGGGACGAAATCCTAGCCCATTTCTCGGCTGACCAGCGGTAGATATCTGTTAGTCTCGAGTGCCTATTTTCCTCCGAAAATCCGCTGTCTGGTCTCAGGAGCCAGCACGCCGGCTCGCTGGCTATGAAGTCGGCCGCCCATTGTTCCACCTGCCGTGCGCGGCGCTCGACGTGGTGCTTTGCCCAGACCCCGGAGCGAACCTGACATGGCGGGATCCCGTTTGCCAGACGAGAAATGTCAGAGCGCAATAGCGAGGCATCGCCAGGGTCGGCTACATTACACCCACCGTGGGTTGAAGTTAGCAATCTGTCCGACGAGGATCGACTACTGTTGCTCAATGTTATAATGGCTGGAAGGCGCACTTACCTTCGATGAATCTGTCCAGCAGGTACTTGAGCCGCGGACCAAACGTTTCGTCTCCTTCTTCATCGTCCTGACCTTTCTTGCCGTCAAGGTACCAAAATGGATTGTCGTACATTTTGGTAACGATATCCTTCTCTATCAAAACACACAATAGGTATTTCGTAAAGTCCTTTTTGACGGAGAAGGGGAAACGGCTCAGCAGGGATTTCCAGGGTATCTGAACGCACCATCCGTCAAGACTACTGATGATTTTTTTTTTCTGGTCGTCCGACAAATGGTTCACGTCTTTGAGTTTTTCCACGCCAAAGTAATTTACCCATCGCCTTATAGCAATCTCGTTTCTGAGTTCACGCCCGATTTCATCGTTCCCCTTGGTCAACCATTCGCCGTTCTTTCTGTCCCACATATTGAATGGACAACCATGTCCAAAACGAATTATCGACAGTTCATCCGAGGTAAGAAGGGCGATTGCATCCTCTATTGGCCTAGGAGCTGGCTTGGTCTCCTCCGTGTCCTGCTCTGTCTTTTTGGCCTTCTGTTTGCGTGGGGGTGGCGAGGAGGATTTCTAGTATCGGCGATAGTCAATAAACCGACACGACAATCACAGCAATCTTCAAGAATGTTTCGCCGTGCTCACCTGAGCCTTGCGCTTGGTCCCTTTGGGAGCCTGGATCTTCTGTTTTGCCCCTTTTGTCTTTGCCATGGTTGAAAATACGTTGCCTGAAACAGGGGATGGTGTGCTAAGAATGAAAATGACAATGACACAAAAGCAGATGAATACAAGAAAAGTCTTCTTCTTGTTTTCTGGTTTCTTGTCGTGATGGTGAATAAGGGATACCGTAAGAGAGATGGTGAGGAGCGGAAGGAGAAGGAAAACAGAACATCAGAAAGGAAACACCTCAAAGGACAAAGAGACTTTATATGTTCCCGCCACCCGTGTCTTCCTTTTGAGCGTAGGAGCGGAGTTTCTTTGTTCAAACGGTCTTTATCCGACCTTTCTTGCTGGAAAACGAGACAGGCCGGCTACTTTGTTAACATCTTCGGGAGGCTGCAGTTCCATAGATGAGATGTAAAACAATAATCAAGACATCGCTCCATGATAATTCTGAAGATAGCTGAGACACAACTCATGGATCTGCCGAAAGTAACTCTATAAAGACTGCGATGTGCTTCCCTCGTCAACTTCATGTCTCCACCACTCACTGTATCTCTATTTTCTGCGCTTGTTAAGTAAATCATCCACAGGAGCGTACTAGCAACATGCAACGAGGCGCTGGACCCAGGCTGGTTTTGGCGGTTGATTACGGTACTACTTCAACAGGTCAGGTTCCCCGATATCGATGCCAAAATCCGGCGACTAACTGTTGTATGTTAGGGGTGGCGTATGCACTTGCTGACGGCTTGAAAGAGCGTCCAATTTTGACGCTTTCGGGGTGGCCTGGTAGTGAAAAAAGCAAAGGCAGGCGTCTGAAAGTCCCATCTCGCATTTCCTACCGACAAAGTCGCGAACTACCATGTGATTGGGGCTTTCGATGCCAGCCGGCTTCGGAGACTTATGCCTGGACAAAGCTTCTGTTAGGGGTTCAATACTCCTCAGAGCAGCGTTCCGACACAAATCCTTTGAACGATCCGATCTTGGAGAGAGTCATGGGGATGGGCATCCTGGAGCTGCCTGGCGAAAAAAGCGCCGTCGAAGTCATTGCAGATTTCCTTCGCCATGTAATTGAGTACGTGCTAACACAATTACCTGAATCCATTGCCAAGGATTGTCAGGTTATTGAAGGAATCGACTTCTGGATTACAGTGCCGGCCACCTGGTCCGCAGAACAAAGGTCCCTCATGAGGCACGCTACCCAAAGAGCGGGATTCCGGACAAGAGCCGAGGATAGGGTGTTTTTCTTATCGGAACCCGAGGCTGCAATGCATGCAGTCGCCTACTTGAATGGGGTGGAACTTCAGGTAAGGGTTCAGGATTGGGATGTTCAAGTACACACGCATCAGAGCGAGCTGACAACCACCTAGCCCGGTGATGGGGTGCTCGTTTGTGACTGTGGGGGTGGCACAGTGGTAGGTTGGCCCGTATACTCTACCTTCTTCCATCATGAGGAGGGCGTCTTCTCATCGGCCGTTCCCTAGGATGCCGCTTCTTTCCTTGTCACCGAATCCGAATCGCGGCCCTATTTCAAACGGCTTAGTGAAGACATTGGTATGTATGGCACCGACGATGCATGAACGCCTCCGTAGCTAAGGTCTTGATTATAGGTGTCAGATGCGGCGGCACGGATATTGAGGGTAGTTTCTATCGGTATCTGGAGGGAAATCAGGCTCGTTCTTTCCAGCGCCTGCCCATGAGCAATATATGTGCATGCGACAACCCGTTTACGGAATCAATGGAAAGGCTATTGGCACAGTATGACGGTCGTACGGGTGGCGGTCATTCGCTGCAATTGACACTCCGGACACAGCGGGAATGCACAATTCGCTACAATCTGACATCACGCCAATTCTTCCTCGACGAAAACGAGATCGGCGATCTCTTTGCTCGGACTTTGGAAAAGATCCATCGATTGGTGATATCCCAGATCGCAGAGGTGAACGAAAGATTTCGAAGGAGCGCTATCAATGTAAGCACTGCCTCGAGCGCTTTCTGGTTGCTCAGATGGGATTGAAGCTGATACCGAAGTCGTTCATACAGAAAGTCGTCATGGTAGGTGGGCTCAGCGCCTCGCCCTATCTTCAGATGAAGTTGAACCAAATCCTGGACGAGACTCCGGGAAATATTACCATGATAGTACCCCCCGAACCGTAAGACCACCGTGACTTCCCAATCCAACAATAGCCTTGGGAATCAGACTAATATGCATACTCCTCAGCGAAATGGCTGTTGCTCGTGGAGCGGCGGCTTGCGGGCTCCGAGGGCACGTTGCTCCAGAGTCCACATGCCAGCGACACATCGGTCTGGAACGACCCCACCCTGCAAGAGCCAGACTGGGAAGCATGGGACCATTGGACCCGGAAGTATGCTGGATGATTAGAAAGGTAACAGGTCCCACCTGCAGTTGTGATCAATTGGGGAAGCCTATGCAGCTTCATACTAACGGGGGTGGTGTTATGCCATTGCAGGGCGAACGGTTTTCGACCGATGTCTATGTCACTTCAATCATCCAACTGCCCTACCAGCCAACGTGGCCGCCTACCACGACACTTCGTATATACGATTGTGATCTTGATGCAGCACCAGATCAAGCAAGTTGCCCAGGTATGTATGATGCATGATGCTCTCTGTCAATCTCACACGTCCGCTGACCGATCATGCTTTCATCCAGGGGTCCGTTGTGTGGGCCAACTCGTCTGCAACTTCGGCGACGTAGACCTCAGCAAGCTTGTATTCGAGGCCGTTGGAGGACAGGGACTATATCATCTCCAGATCCGAGTCCATGCAGCGCTGACTATGACCGATGGGGCTGTGGAGTTCACCGCATATGCATTGGGGCAACAGATTGGACAGACGACGGTGGAGTAAGAAGAAAGAAGAAGAAAGTGGAGGGGATCCACTCCGATCACGTGTCCAGGCAGCAAGGCCCCAAGAAGTGATGCCTCAGGCGGTCAGGCTGGTGGGGTCAAGTCCGTCACGATCCCAGCATCGCTGGGTAAAATCCTCGGATTCCACTTGATCGCACCCCACTTGGCAGCTGGACCGTCAACGTTTCTTTGTTTGTTAGCTAGATTGTTGCAATTTGAACCAAAAATATGGCCGATGCAGAGCTTGAGGAGGTGAATCCCCTACGCTTGACCCCGTTATGCGTCTTAACGTCGCGGGTTGTTGAAGCTTCGTTTTAACCTCTGTACAGATAAGACGCGCCCGTCTTGCGCAGCTGCAGCAACAACAGGGCGGGCCCCGGGGCGGCGGCGGAGTTCCACGCGGGGGAGGTGGCGCTGAGGGTCAGGACGAGCAGAGAAAGTAGGTTATCCTCTTCCGACCACGGACCGTGAGGACGTACCAAGCCCCGTATCACTGACAGGCTATATACAAAGGCAAGCCGAAGGTATGTGACGATGAGTAGATTGCCCAACAGTCGCGAGAGAGACACCCACGGACAACTGAATCGCTTACCCCAAAACCACCGACTCCAGCTGAACGTCGCTCCGCCATCTTGAATCAAATCCTCGAACCCGAAGCCGCGGATCGCCTGGGCCGGATCCGACTCGTCAAGGAGTCGCGCGCGATGGATATCGAGAACCGACTCATCACGCTGGCGCAAACGGGTCAGCTTCGACAGAAGGTCTCCGAGGACCAGCTCAAACAGCTGCTCAACGCCGTGGCGGAGAACCAGCGCAAGGACGAAGAGGAGCACAAGATTGTGATCAACCGACGGAAGGGCGGCTGGGACGACGATGATGACTTGTTGGATCTGTGAACGTCGTGGCAGGTTGGATCATAATGAATGAATGATGTGATTTTAATTGGTTGTTTGATGATGCACCGTCACTGGATCTGTACTGTGTGCGTCTTGTACATCGCATGATGTGTGACAGCGAGCTGTTGAATACCGAGCTTTATATCTGCGCGTATTGACCAATCTACGTGCCTTGGTACACTGTCAACAGCTTCGCCTGGGTCAGCTGTATCTATACAAATACATTAACACTCCGTTGTTTCATATACATGCTCCCAAATATGAACCAACGCTTGCTCAGTTTGCTATAATACAGTGGGTCCTAAAAAAAAAGAGAGAGAGGGAAGAGGAGAATCGCCTACGCATGTTGGGCTAACTTCTCCTTCTCCCGCTTCTTCTGCTGCCGAATCATGCGTCGAATATCCCGCATATCCGGCGGTTGCTCGATCCCGAGCTCCGCGCGTAGCTCGCCGACATCCTTCTCCAGGATCTTTTCCCAGTAGACGTTGATAACCTCCTTACTCCCGAGTCCACTGCGCACCGCCCAGGGCAGATACAGCGAGAAGAGGCGCTCCCGCTCAGCAGGCTTGAGTCGCACAGCGGCGAACAGGCTCAGCCCCGTCATTGGGATCACCGTGTTCAGGAACTCAAACGCCTTGAGGGCCAGCTCGCCCTCCGCGAAGACCGGCAGCCCCGTCACGGCGTGGTAGAAGTCGTGACACTCGCGGTACCGCTGCATGACGTAGGCGCACTCTTCGTCGTCGATGTACTGTACGCTGTCGCGGGTGTCGGGCGAGACGCCTTCGCGGTCGAGCCAGGCGGCGTAGGTGCGTCCGACGGAGTTCTCGGGCAGGGAGCGGAGGTAGGGCAGACGGAGGGATTCGGAGGTGATGCGGGGACGGTCGCGCAGGATTTGTCGCCCGGTTTGGTCGGACAGCATCGCGTCGCGCAGTCGGTAAATAAAGTAGGGCGTGGCTGTCGCTTCGCCGCAGGTTGCTACTAGGTCTGGGACCGGCAGAAGCGGGTGGTTAGCTGGCGTTGTCTGTGGCTGGGGGAGGACTCGACATACCTGCTCTTCGGGGATTCAAGAGAGCTCCGACTGCAGATCCCACGGCCAGAGCACCCCGTTCGACAATCGACAGGGGGACATGGCCGGGGTAATTGGGTTGCGGGCGATTGAGGACGGAAAAAGGCCGCACGCGACCGCAGCTCAAGGCTATTGTTTGTGTTGGTGTCGTCAATTCTCTGACACGAAGTAGAGCTCCACTCCTCTTTAAGACCGACATGATGCGTCTGGGTGTATGGACAATCCCAACCTGGGAAGGGTGGAAACAAGACTGGGATGGAAGTGGTCCGATGTTGCTCGGAGACGGCGGGCCAAGATAGATAGGAATCTCCCCGATCGGCGCGGGTGGCGGTCATGCGATCCCGTACCGCGATGGACAGCTCTATACAGATATACAGATTCATGCCATTAACATTGAAATACAATCTGTAGTAGTCTACAATGGTAGAAACACAGCTACGTGGTAGAACCAGGGCTTTCCCTCTCCTGTTCTTCCCACTTCTCCCGAACTCTCCTCCGCAGTCCCCCGTTCGCTCCCCTTCCCCAGATCTCTACTTGGTCCCCATCCACCGCTGTCTCAACCTTTTGAGGACCGTCTCCGCTGCTGACAACTTCACTGGCGATGACCTGCTTGCGCTCTCGCAACTTCTTCTCACGCGCTCGTGCATGATCGACTTTGTGTAGGTAGATCGCGTAGATAGTCACCTCCGCAACACCGACCACCACGGCCACCAGCAATGATACTAGAATGCGCACGGCTTCCGACACCCCAGCTCCGCCCCCCGGTTTTCCTCGACCCCCAGGTGTCTTCCCTGCCAATCCACTCCGCCAGATAGACGAGACTGCGGTCGTTAACAGCTCCGGCGTAGGGAAGCTCGTCAACGCCCAGTAAACCCCGAACCCAGTGATCAACACGGAAAGAAAGATGTTCAGAACGAGGGACGGAGTCAGCGGATCGGGGTACTCAGAGTCGGGGCCCCCGGATGATTTGGTATCGTGCATGGAGGCGAGGATCGGGGTGGATGAGGAAAAGGGCGACGCATGGCTGTGCGATACGGATGGGTTGGTCACCAGTCGGTTATACGCGTCGGCTTCTGCGGCGGCGATGAGACGGGCTTTGGACGCAAGGTATTCGGGGGACTAGTTGAAGAGCATGTCAGTGTTTGATTTCTTGATTGGAACACAGACATTCCATCCTTTTTGCCATGGTTCAGAGATGGAGAACATACCGGCTCAGGTTTCGGCGGCGGCGGAGGAACGTACACCTTTGTCCCTCGAAGCAGGGCGTCTAGACTTGTGGGTGTGAGTCCCGATCGATCATGGCCGTCGTCGTCGATAGAGGAAGTCCGACGATACCGCGCCAGTCTAATCAATTGATCATGGGAAATCGGAGCTGCCAGCGAGAGCGACTCGGGCAGGTCGAGCTCCTGGCGGTTCTGGGAGGACACGGTCTCGAACGCGGAGAGAATGGGGGGAGTGGTAACTAAAAGCACCATGGTCGCAGTCAAGAATCAGTCCAGAAGAACCTCTCATAGCATATTATAAGGCACACGCGTTCAACAATATGGAATCAGAAGGAGAAGATTAACTTGCTGAAGAAGAAGAGAGATAGTAGGATGGCGACCATTCCCGAACGGGTAGATTGCTCCCCCACATCACTTCCATCCCATCCCTCCATCTGCATGAATCTCTTCAGTCCGACAACAGTCAACACTGCTGGTCTGTCTTGTACCTTTTTGTTCCCTCCGTGTCACTTCCTATAGGTCTATCCAGCTGGGCTGGTTTGATTTTCAGTATGGCGCAAAATAACCCCTCGTGAGTAATTTTTTTTAACCTCCCAGCTTCGTTTGACTGCCTCGTTTTATTCCTCTACCCCACGTACCGGAGGGACCCCGCCTACTACCCAGATTGTTAAGTCTAGGGAAAAAAACATATAATTGACCAATAATACCAGAGTCACCCCCCAGACCAACCCTCGTGGTATCCCCGCCGCCCCGTTCGTCGACAACGTATCCGACTATGTCTCGAGCCGCGCCGACGTCGAGTCCACCCTCCGCTCCTTCCAGGAGATGATCTCCAAGTACCAATTCATGGAAGTCAATGCCTCGCGCCGCGGGGCAGGATTGCGCGACAAGATTCCCGATATCAAGAAGACCCTCGAAACCGTTCGGTTCCTACAGCTACAGAAAGCCAACTCCGGGGCACCGATGGACGCCAGTTTCGAGCTGAACGACACGCTGTATGCGCGCGCGACGGTCACCCCGGGTGAACTGGAGGAGGTCTATCTGTGGTTGGGGGCAAATGTCATGCTGGCGTATCCGTTGGCCGAGGCGGAGACCATGCTGAGCGAGAAGCTGGCGGCTGCGGAGCTCAGCTTGAAGAACTGCGAGGAGGATTTGGAGTTTTTGCGGGAGCAGATTACGGTATTTTCTCCTTTCTTTTTCTTTTTCTTTTTCTTTTTCTTTTTCATTTTTCATTTTTCATTTTCATTTTCATTTTCATTTCCTTTTGTTTTGAAATGGGGACTTCCGGCTTGACGCTGGGCTTGACTGTTAATGGATGCTGACAATGATAACAGACAATGGAGGTCGCTACTGCGCGTGTCTACAACTGGGACGTGGTCCAGAGACGGAAAGACAAGGCTGAAGGGAAAGGCGGTGATGACGAAGATGAGAGTGCCGGTAAAGGGAGGCCAGGTGGTTGAACTTGCTCCCAGTCTAACAAATACATTCCCACTGCCATGTCCTGGCCTTGTACGTTCCACAGACCTGGAAACAAAAGTGACATAAGTCCGTTAGGTGAATATATTAAGGGTGATGACCAGCTGCTGCGCCTCTTTGATTTGACAAGACTAAACGCCACAGACTATGTTCTAGATGTATAGGCTTATATCGAAACACCAACAACACTCCTTGAAACAATTTAGCAATATACCAAAGCACATAGCCGTCACTATGATCTACCTACCCGTTCTTGCAATCTGTCTCCCGTCCGTGCTTCTTTCGATGGTTCTGATATCCAACAGTCCATCACTCCGTCATGGTGACATAGTCTGGGAATATCGCCCTGGACATACTACAGACGGTCAACCGCCGACAGAATCATGCCATTGTAGAGTGATTCAATTACTCGTATTCATTACTTCATGTCGACGCTATACTAAATTCACGAGCCGCTCCCACGAGCTATAACAAACCACAGAAGGATCCCGAACCACCCAGCCCCATATTCATTATCCGATATCGATGTCATTCCGGACAGTAACACGGCGCAGATGACAGGATGACGACTGATTGACCTATATCAGGCAGTCAGAAGCAAAAAGTATATAAAGAGTCGTAGTCTCCTCTAGTCTCCCATCCTCCCTCCCTCTTCATCCTCCATCCTTTCATAGTCTTCTCAGTAAAGTATACATCTTATTCAACTTACCTCGACAAAAAAACCACTTCATACTTTCCAACGCAACAAAACCAACATGCCCACCAACCCAACCAAACTTCTCCTCCCTCTGGCATCCCTCCTCCTCCTCCAAGGGTCCATAACCAGCGCCTGCGAGGTATGGTCCGGCGTACAACACACCTTCTACGGCTACCCGGACAACGACCCCCCCGGCGCAGCCATCTCGCAAGATTGCGGCCGCGGCTTCACCGCAGGAGGCACAGGCACCTTCAGCGACCCGCTGACGATGGCCACGGCGCCGGGCGAGCTCGAGAACTGCGAGGTCGTCTACGTGCCGTTCCTGAAGAAGTACCTGCGCAACGAAGACTACTGCGCGCAGTGCGTGGTCGACTGGCAGAGCGGTCTCCGTCACATCGACGTGTGGACCGGCGAGAGCACCGTCAATGGCGGGGAGGACCAGATCAACTGTGAGAAGCAGTTGACTACGGCCGAGTCCATTTATACCATTGTTCGGAGCCCCAGGGGGGATTTGGAGGTTGACCGTGAGTTTTCTTTTTTTTTTTTTTCCTTCCGTTTTGTTGTGCGTGTTGAGGTGGATGTGTTGGCTAATATGTCTTCTTTACAGCCAACCCGATTTACACGCCCGATAATGACGGCCAGACCTGCCATGCTGACCGTGTCTACCCCGGTTTCGACTCGCAGCAGTTCTGCTAGAGTCGTTTATTTGTTGATTGGGGTGGGGGAGAAAGAGGGGAGCAGGGGGCGTCAAGGGAAGAGGCGGAGGAGCAGAGGCACCAAAATCACATTTCATGTTTAGATAGTTACATCTTGTCATTTTATTGAACTTTTTGCAAACCCATTCCATCGTCTCACATGTAGCTTCGTATATATAACCAGTCTCACGCTGAGGCAGAAGCAGTCCAGACCGTGTAACCCTATCAAGTGGATAAGGGTATCGACATCATCCCATATACAAGACGGCTAGCCGTAGAGTCCCTAGAGATCTGGATCGCCAATTTGCTTGTCAGCTTTTCATCTCCACAATCAAGGGCTCCTGTATCGACTATCTCGCTTGGACTCGCGGTACGGGCATAATAAAACGGTTAAATAGATAGTGTGCAGTCTTCTTGGCGATCAACAGTAAGTCTCTGTTAATTATCTCTGCCCTATTCACAAGCATAGGTGGCTAGAGAAGCCATGGTTATGGAAGTCGGCATATCTTCGAGGGCCGGGTTGTCCTGGAGAACGAAGCGCTTGGACTTCGTGGAGGTCTATATAACGAGGACGGACCATGGACGGGTGACGAGGCTTCTGGCGAGCCTTCAACAGCAGTCCAGCTCGCTATACCCTGGAAGTTCCTTTTTAAAAGCGCCCAGTGTTCCCAGACGACGAGTGATGGTCTTCCTGAGTTGTTGGAGAAAAAGTGGTATACATTATTCAAACAGGTATCGTTATTAATTTGAAACATTTTGCTTTTTTTTTTATCCTTCTCCAGCGAGGACTTTTCGTTGTTGGCAATGCAGTTGTACAGTTGACTTCATGGTGCGCGTCTGAGCCACTCATTGCGGAACTAAATTACCGTAGTGTAGTAGTGTAGACTGCACATATTAGGCATAGACCGGATTGTCCTTGATGTGGAACTTGAAGCCGTCTTCCTCAGAGTCCGTCCGTTCGACCTCCTCCAGCTGAGCCCATTGCTCGGGGTATTTGACTTTCGCCCACTTTTCAACTTCGTCTTTCCAATACTGGTAGGGGATGGCGTTGTAAAGAAGGCCGATTCTGGAAATATGCGGGTTAGATTTCTTCCGCGGAAAATAAACGGACATGGGTAGTTCTTACGAGTTGCGGGTGGGTAAGCATCCAACTTCCTCTGGCATCCTGTCAAGGGCCTGGGTAGCCAGTTCGAACTCGCATTGCGCCGCCAGGGCTTCCACGTAGGCCATGTACAATCGCCGATCCATGGGGATCTCCAAAACCTTAACCTTCTTCATCATTTTCATGGCTTCCTGGGCGCCGTTGTGGTGCTTCTCGCACATTTTGAAAAAGATCGCGATCGTCTTGTCGGAGGGGCCCTCGTCTGACTGGAGGATTTCACGGAAGATTTCCATGCTTTTCGCTGGCTTGTCGCAAGCGGCATATGCGAGCATCAGGGAGTCGAGGATGCGCGTGTTCAAGTCAACCTCGACATCTAATTTGAGCATGTTGTGGACGGTCTCGAGATGGGTGTCGTCCAGTGTTCGGGCTATCCCTTGGAAACAGCGGGCGTACGTGTCCGGCTTGGGCCGCCGCGAAAATTCTTCTGCCTGGCGCATGTGTCCAAACACTAGGAAGGCCAGGTCGGCTCTGCCCCTGTTGAAGAACGAGGACATGATCTCGCTTCGGATGCCCACGCCCATTTCGGGAAAAGCAATGCGAAGTAGGCCATACATGTCCCAGACGTCTTTGCTATCTTCGTTAAGGTCCATGATGTAGTTGGTCAGTGCCTTGCGCACTCTTGTCCGTTCTTCCGAGTCATACAGGCCAAGACGTGGGCGGAGCAGCTCCGAGACGCCCTCCCAGTCGTGGCGATAAAGCAACATGTGCGTCAATGCAGCGAGGGTTTCCGAATCCAGGCGAACGTTGTTCGCAAACAAGGGGTCGAGAATAAACGAGACTTGTTCAAACAGAGCATCCTCTTGTCCGGACAGGCAAAGCATCTTGATAAGTCTGTTCATCAACGGCAGATTCGCGCTGTCAACTGCCATGGATGTTATATCGCCCAAGCTGACGATGAATTCCATTGTGCCAGGGACGTCTCCTGCTTGAACGAGGGTGTCTAGCTGTAGGACATGTGTTTGCGTGTCGGGCTCCAAGCCCCAGCGAGGGATCAGAGACGCAAACTCCGTAGCCAGCTGAGGATTGCCGAGGGAATTGGCATATTCAATCAAGTCATTTACACAAGAAGTCGTCAGCGACGATTCCACCTCCGGGTTCTCGGCGATCCACTGCTCGACCGTTGCGCATATGGCGTCCAGCCCTTTTCCACTAGCAGCTTCCCAGAGCACCAGTGTAGCTATGGTTTCAGTAATGGGTCTCTCCCGAAGTGACTCAAAGACCGGTCTCGCCCACTCTTGATCGCCCCGGATGACTGAGTGCTTGATTAAGGCCTGCTTGGCAGCAAGAGTAGGCTCTTGGTCGTGAAATAGGCGGCATTCGTAGATTGTCTGCGCGCCACTCAAAAACCCCTGGCTGATCAGAACATTGACCAGCTCCTCCTGGGAGGCAGGATCGAACTGGATGCCGTATTCGTCAAACTTCTCCGGCATCTTTTTGAGATGGTACTTGTCATTCGCGATGGCATACCCTTTCATGACTGTCAGCCATGGCGAGGGGCAGGTCTTTTGCAACCTGGACCAAAACTTCTCCACCACGTGGCGGGCTTCGTCGGGATTGCCCTGCGAAGCTTGCAGTCCAATATAGGCCAGCAGTGCCGGTCGGCTAATGTGATTGGGACCAAATCCATGATTTGCGCAGAGTTCCAGAAAGGCGAAGCGGGCTAATCGTAAAACAACGGCCCGGGACTCATCGGTGCACTCCGTTTCCGACAGGACAAATAGGACATTCTCCAAGTTCTCGGTGGAGAAAATCATCTGCCACTCCTCCCGCTCCAGCTCTTCCTTATGAGCCCGCAGGTATTTCCACGTTGTAAGGAGCAAGCGGGAGTGGAATCCAGTAATCACCTCCACATTCTCGGCGCGTGCCACGAAGAACTCCCGAAATGCTTTGGCCAACGTTCCATTTGCTGGTCCCCGACTCTTGTCCGACAGCGCTCGCATGAGATCTCTCATCGGTTTCAGTCCCTTTTCGGAGGAAAGAACGGTAGACGCCGGGGCCTCGGGCGGGGCGCTAAAGGCGAACAGTGACCGTCGTGGGGTATACTGGGGATGGGGGAAAGCAAGCTTTCGCATTCGACCATTCCGGACCGTATGAAACAATCGACAACGGCATCGAGTAGACGACAGTGGTTCGTTGTTGAGTATAGCGCGAAAGACGCCTCTGGTTAGATGCGACTGCATGGTGTCTTGTTGACTCGTAGACTGATGAATTTCCTTCAAGGGAGATCGTGATCCTTGAGGTCAATTCAATATGAGAAACAGTACACCATTCCTTGCGTTAATCGATCCAAATGAAGAGAAGTGGGCTGGTAGTGTAATTTGTCGCCAAAAAAAAAAAATCCCACGGCACGATGTCATGAACGCGAAGAAGCTCAGGAAAGCTCGGGGAGATGGGCGTTCAACACGTGACCTGCCGTCATGGCGCCGATTGTTACCGTACAGTAACAACCACTACTTCTACTTCTACTTACAACTACAACAGTCACCATGATCAAGTCCCTTCTTGTGAAGAACACCGGTGGTTGATTTTATCTCCTTCTAATTTCCTTTGTATGGACGTTTGTACCATTATCAATTTTGTCTGTCAAACAGCGACTGTCAAGCGTACGGAGTGTATATCTCGTATACTTGTACTGATTTCCGTACTGGAGATCGTCCGGCACCTGCAGGCCTGCCTGACGAATGTGCTGATAGGGAACTTTGCGGGGCCTCTTCGCGAGGGTGCTGACTGCTGAGGGTTCGAATCATTCGAGGACACGGGCTGACCTCCTGGATGCATGATTGCGCAGAAACGTGCGCCGTTGTTTGACTGGAGTGTGACCGTTGAGATCAACCGACCCGCCGTGGGACACGATGTCTGCGTTAAACACTGCGGCTCAGAAGTCGCATATTACTCAGGCCTTAGTACGTGGTTACTATATCCTCTTCCTGTCCCCATACCGGCTTTCTCTTGAAAAATGGAGTGGTAATAGAACATGGGACCAGCTAACCGCGAGGGTGTGTGTTAGAGGTTGGAGCGGGATGTGTCTTCAGCTACCTCCCAAACCCAGGCCCTAGAGGCGGCCATTGAAGTGGTGGAGCATTACATGAAGGCGTTGAACCTCGCAACTGTCCAAAAAGACAAGCAGGCTCTAGATGCAAAATGCCAAGAATGGCTGACCCGAGCCGAGAAGATTAAGGGCGCCAAAGATTGGCAATCTGCGGCCCGCGTGCATTCCACGGGCGAATCTGGGCTGCGGCACCCGTCATCCACCCGCAAACTGACGACTCGCGAGGAGATCATTCTTCTGGAAGGGGCAAAGTTGAATAACTTCGTGTTCCCTCCTTGGACACATCCCCCAGCGCCCAGCGAGTTCAAACTGGAGCGCGGGAAAGAGCCGTTTACGTATGTACCTTGAACAGTGGCCCCATTTCGGCGCTGGCATGTCCGTCGTCGTGTGCACATGGTCTAACTAGAGTCAGCGATCACCCGGAGCTCCACCTGTCCAATGTGCAGAGGCAATTATTCGACGGCTGGAAGAGGCCTCATGAGTTGCTGGCGAAGATTAATGAACGGACGGGGCACACCCTGACACCTGTGATGTCTCCGAGGGAGAAAACAGATCTGGTCCAGGACATGCTGACGGATTGCTCGGTTGTTGCGAGCCTCTGTGCAACGACTTCACGAACCGAACGGGGCTTATCCAAGGTTTGTTCTCTGAGCCCTCTGATTCCAGCATGGACGGTGCGACTGACCAGTGCAGGGCTATCTCCCTGTAGCATTCCCCTGCGAGTCTGGGCAAACCGAGATCTCGCCGGCAGGGAGATATATCTTTCGCTTCTACTTCAACGGGTGCTTCCGAAAGGTGATCGTCGATGATCGCTTGCCGTCTTCGAAAACCTCGAGGTCACTCCACGTGGTCGATCGAAATAACCCAGATTTCCTGTGGCCTGCCCTGGTAGAAAAGGCGTATCTAAAGCTCCGGGGAGGATATGACTTCCCAGGGAGCAACTCTGGAACCGATTTGTGGGTTCTGACCGGTTGGATTCCGGAACAGATTTTCCTTCACCATGAGGACGTCACAAGCGATGATCTCTGGCGGCGGCTTTACCGATCATTCTGCCACGGAGACGTGCTGCTCACCATTGGCACCGGTAAGCTGACGGAGAGAGAGCAAACGGAAGTCGGACTTGTGAGTGAGCACGACTACTCGATATTGGCGCTGAAGGAGTCCAAGGGGCGTCGCCAGATGCTAGTGAAGAACCCGTGGGCTGGAGCGGATATGGTTCATCAGGACATTGAGACAGCGCTTGATTCCGTTGAGCTGACCCATGACCAGCCGTCTTTTGCGCCTGGGTCTTTCTGGATGGACTGCGACAAAGTTCTCCAAAACTTTGAAAATCTGTATCTGAATTGGAATCCGGGACTCTTTAGATACCGCGAGGATATCCACTTCCCTTGGGATCTCACGAGCGGCAGAGGCGTTGCTGGTTGCTTTGTGAAGAACCCGCAATTTTCAGTGTCCACCAAGAGCGGGGGTACTGTCTGGCTGCTGCTTGGAAAGCACTTTCAGACAATCAAGCACCGTGGAAACATTGATGACGCTCCGGACAGCGCTGTGGAGCATGAGGAACCGGGATTCATCAGCATCTACATCTTCAACACGGACGGGAAAAGAGTGTCTCTAAGTGATGGAGCCCTCCACCGCGGACCTTATGTCGATTCCCCCAATACCCTCATGAGGCTGGAAATGCACCCCAACACGACCTACACTGCCGTGATCTCGGAGCAATCCCTACCCTCCTCGAATCAGAATTTCACACTTTCCGCTCTGTCCACAGCTCCCGTGCAGATCGCGCCCGCGCAGAATAAATACAAGTACGTCACCAAAGTCCAGGGATCATGGACCGGTTCGATGGCTGGCGGAAATGCCGAGTCCCCCCGGTATCCCCAGAATCCCCAATTCGCCATGAAGGTCTCGAGCGCCACCGACGTCTCCCTCTTGCTAGAATGTCCCGAGACGGAGATCGCGACACACATCAAATTATTCTGGTCCAACGGAAACCGCGTCGCCAGGGTTCGGAGTCGCGACATCATCACGGACAGCGGTGATTATCGTCGGGGCGGGTGTCTCGCCGAGAAACAAACCCTCGACGAAGGGATCTACACCATAGTGTGTTCCACCTTCGCCCCAGACCAACTCGGCCGATTTACACTCTGGATCTCCTCCTCGTACCCGTGCAAAGTGGATCCCCTGGCCCCGGAAGCCGCCGGACGGCTCGCGAGCATATCAGACATTGGCATTTTACCCCCAGGGAGCGACCGCATGCTGGCCCCCTTGCGGGTCCCACGGCTTACGCGGATCAAGCTCATCGCACGGAGCCGACAGTCTCTGATTGGGAATCACCCCGTTGGGCCGTCGCCGGTGCTCATGACCGTCGAGCTGGGCCAAGGACCGTACAAAGAGATCCTCGCCAGCTCTGAAGATGGACACCATAGCGATGCCATCTCTGGAGTGCGGGTGTCGGACTTTGATCTGCAACCGGGCTTGGAAAACCAGGGCGGCGTTTGGATTGTCCTCGAGCGGATCGGGGGCCCTGGGGGACAAGTAGAAGATCACTTCGAGGTGGAGGCTTTGGCCGAGGAACGGGTTGATTTTGGGGAGTGGATTGTTGAAGATGCCTGAGAATCTGTAATTGCCCAGAGTAAAGCTGGTTTATTATGAATATCATGAATGATTGAATCTCTAGATCTTGCCGATGCAGCACCATACACTGTATATATATATTACGGTGAGCGCAATGGTAAACCTGGTGAGATTACCAGGTTGGACGACCTTCACACAATCCTGATTATGCATTTCATCAACCATCCATCTTAATACCTATGAGATTCTAGAGTAAAAAGAAACAATTTCCGTGTTGGCGTATCTCGAGTATAGAACTGAGAACTGGTGTGGCTAACCGGATGTGGCTGATTTCGGGGATCCTCCGTCGCGACCAGGAATTTCTCCCGACACTCCATGAACAACCTGCATTTCTCTCGGTGAAAAGCATCTTTTCAACACCGACACATTCATCTTGACCTTTGACCCAAGTCATTCGGTCGATTCCTAAAGACCCCGCCAGATCAGGACGATTTTCTCCCCATCGCATCGGTCACCCCGCATTACCCCTCCAATTCCGCATCAGGATGTCCTCCAAGTCACAATTGACCTACACGGCCAGGGCAAACAAGCACCCCAATGCCCTTGCCCGGCGCCTCTTTGAAATTGCCGAGGCTAAGAAATCTAATGTCACCGTCTCTGCCGATGTGACGACGACCAAGGAGTTGCTGGACCTGGCTGACCGTACGCACTCCCCACCCGAAGACCTTGAAGCTCTCTCGTTGCGCACGACAGCATTGAATTGTACTAACCCGACGTGTCGCTACTACAGGCCTTGGACCCCACATCGCCGTGATCAAGACGCACATCGACATCCTCTCCGACTTCAGCGTCGCCACCATCGACGGGCTGAACGCCCTGGCAGCGAAGCACAACTTCCTCATCTTCGAAGACCGCAAGTTCATCGACATCGGCAACACCGTCCAGAAGCAATACCATGGCGGTGCGCTGCGCATCTCGGAGTGGGCGCACATCATCAACTGCGCCGTCCTGCCCGGTGAAGGCATCGTGGAGGCTCTAGCGCAGACAGCCTCCGCCGCGGACTTCCCCTACGGCCCAGAGCGCGGGCTCCTAATCCTCGCCGAGATGACCTCCAAGGGATCGCTAGCGACGGGGTCATACACGGCCGCATCGGTGGACTACGCGCGCAAGTACAAAGGGTTTGTGATGGGCTTTGTGTCGACGCGCGCGCTGAACGAGATCCAGTCGGAGGCTACCTCCGCGTCGGAGGACGAGGATTTCGTGGTGTTCACCACGGGCGTGAACCTCGCGTCCAAGGGCGACAGCCTGGGCCAGCAGTACCAGACGCCGCAGTCGGCTATTGGGCGCGGCGCGGACTTCATTATTGCGGGACGGGGCATCTACGCTGCGCCGGATCCGGTCGAGGCGGCGCAGCGGTACCAGAAGGAAGGGTGGGAGGCGTATATGGCCCGCGTTGGGGGCAACTGACTGCCGAGTAATCTATACTACATGCCTGTCACTGGGGTTTCATCAACTAGCATTAGTTATTTCCATCCATGGTGTAGTAATTCGTGGCGTTCGCGTGGTTGTCGGCATAAACGAGGCTGTGCGCATAGTTTCGGACATCGTGATTATAGTGCTTAAGGTATTCCACTTCTTCTCTTGATCAACCATCGTGTTTCTGGTTGAGTCATATCCTGTGTCCACTATTCTGACCAGCAATTCCAGAGTCTACCGGGCTATACCCATGCAGATCCAACAACCGGAGTATCCGATGATTGGACGTTGAATACTGGGATACAGCTGAATCAAGCTTCACTCCACGTGGCCGGTGAGCAGCCTCACTTTCCGAGACAATGGAAGGATACACGCTAACCAAGGATGTAGACACTCTAGCTATCAACCCTTGCAATTGTGGAAATTGTCTGACGGTTTCTGTTGAAAGTGCGCTCCTTGTGGCGTGTACCCACGAGGCTGACACTAGGATTAGGCAGATGGCGCCTCTCCTCATGACTCAGGGAAAGGGGCCTTCTTTCGAATACCTCGCCAAAGATGATCAATCCAATAGGTACCTGAACCCAATTCGGCACCGGGTAGGTTCCTGTCGCAGATGATCACCGGGGTTAGCTAGGCTGGGGGCTGTGCTTCCCTTAGAGCTCTGGGGGCGATGCATGATCGACGACTAAGTGATTACGGCTACTACTATAATTATCGCTTACAACCGGGATTAGGGTCGTCTAGGCTGAAGTACTATTGTCTTGTCGCCGTTCAGCCCTGTCTATTCTGTCCTGGCCAGGGTCTTCGTCGACAATAGCTTCCCTGCTGGGCATGGCCCAGGTCCTCAACGACCTCGATCCATGGGTATTTAATCCACCCCTGGACTACCGCTCTTGACGGATGGCTCGTTCCTCGCCGTTAGTGTTTCATTCGTCACGCCTTTCAATCGTCACTTGGCGCGAACCCATATCCTGTCCCGACATTTGAAGGAATAATCAGCATGCAACAACGGAGAGCGGACAAACCGCGGTCACGCGATGGATGCATCACTTGCAAGTAGGCTATCCTCTTTTATCTCGGCTGGGACCATTAGCTGGACAGACGCTGACCAGCTCAGGATCCGTCATGTGCGATGTGACCAAGCTCGCCCGGCCTGCGGGCAATGCACGAGAACCGGCCGCAAATGCGACGGATACGACTCCGAACTGTCTCAGAGGCAGCTCCGGGATAAGATCCTCGCGGGAAACGTCCAAAGGCGGCCCAGCCCCAACGGACGTATCATCCTCTACCCCGGGACAGTCCCGGAGCGCGAGCATGTGGCCTTGTTCTGTATCCACACGTCGCAAGCGTTGGCCGGCTTCTTCCCCTCTGATTTCTGGACCCGCCTGCTTCCCCAGCTCAGTCAAACCGAGCCACTGGTGCGCCATGCGGTCGCTGCGGTCGGTGCCGCCCATCGGATATACCTAGGGGTAGGCCATCGAGAGGAGGACTTCATGCTCCAGCAGTACAACCTGGCTATTCGTAACCTGCTGTCTCCGCCGTCCCCACCCGCGGGTGAGCCCAACGGCGCACGGCAGTCTCACCTGACGCTCCTCGGCTGTAGTTTGTTCGTCTGTCTCGAGATGCTTCGGGCCAACTACGACCAGGCGCTCGATCACGTCGACTCCGGGCTGAAGCTGATCTCGCAGCAAAGCGACCGACTGGACGTACCGCAGCCGACCGCCGACGCCGATACCATCAATCGCGAGTTGCGCGACCTGTTCGCGCGCCTCCACATGGACCTGGCGAGCTTCAACCGCGGCATGAGACCCCACGTGACGAGCATTGGGGCCGGGCATGCCATGCCCTTCGCCTTCACCGACCTGGGTGAAGCGCGTCGCCATCTGACCCTCTTGATGAACCAGAGCATCTGCGCCGCTCCCGCCTTGAACACGCGCCCCGGAGCGGGAGCCAAGCCGTCCACCTGGGACCCCGGATTTCGCGCGATGGTCGAGGAATTACAGGCGAAACTCGCTGCACAGGTCCGGGAGTTCCAGGCGTGGTCGGGCGCGCTCGATCGGTTTCTGCGGACAAAGCAGGGGAAGGCGGCTGATCCACGGTCGGTGCTAGCTCTGCGCATCGATGCCCACTTCGCTCGAGAAATGACATCGGTGGGGTCCACCTTAATCCAGTTCCGCGCTGACGAGCCGGAAGCCGACCGTTTTACCCCCATTGTCTCGATGGTCGAGGAGCTTCTCCTGTTGGAGGATCGTCGCCGCGAGCCAGGCGATCACCACCGACCGTTCTCCCTGGAGGCGGGCATCATCCGCGCCCTGCAATGGGTCGCCACTCACTGCCACCAGCCTGTAGTCCGTCGACACGCCATGCGACTGCTGTCGGAGTGTCCGCGGCAGGAAGGGCTCTGGAATTCGCAGCGTGCGCTCCGGATCGGAGAGACCGTCATCGGCATCGAAGAGGCGGGTCTGTCTGACCTCCCGACCGAGCAGCGCATCCCGCGAGTCCCGCATTATCTTCGTCTCGCCGTGGACGACTGGAGCGCCCGAACGACATCGATTCTCCTTATATCGGAACCGGACGGGCCAGCGGGGGAGAAGCAATATCGGCAAGAAGTAGTGGACTGGTCATGACGGGTGGACGAAAAGACGAAAAGAACAGAATGGCCTCTCTCTCTCGCCACGAGATAAGCCAGGAGATACATACCCAAAACGCATAGGCTATCAGAGCGAACCCAATCGAACCCACAATATATCCACATGGTCTGAATGACGCGCGCGAATAGTTACTTGATAAGATAAGAGCCCACAAACAAAGAAAGCGACCAGAAAGGAAACGGAATTTGTCAATTAACCAAAACCCCCCGATAATGCCCATCCAATGACGGCCAAACAATCTCCAAGCCATGGGCTTCTCCACCGTGCATCCTTTCCCCGACGGTCTCGTCCATCCCCTCCCGTTTCTCCACTCTTCCTAACTCTCGTAGTTTGGTTTCCCCTCGGCCTCCACTCGCCTGATGGCGAAGAGTGGAGACTGGAGTACACTAGGTCTACCCCGGATATCGCGCGCTGCAACGCTGCGAGATAACGACCCAGAAGAGGAGAAGATGCGTTGCTGTTATCCCGGTTTTTTTTAAAAAAAAGCCCGCCCTTGCGTGGTGTATTTGCATCTCCTCGTGAGGGGAAGTTGCGGTGACGCTTAATCGGATATCGATCTGGCGGCTTTAAATCGGGTGGCTCCCCTCCTTCTGAATCCTTCATTCCTGTCAACCTTTTTTGCCCTTTCTCCAGTCTGTGGCTTATCTAGTGTCTTTTTCTTGTTCCACTAGTTGTTTGCCCGCCATGGCCGACGAGAAAGCCGCGCCGCCGCCCACGGTGGAAGTAGAGAAACATGTCGACCCCACCTTGGAGAAGCATGCCCACGATGCAGATGAGGCCATGCAGGCCATTCAGGACCTGCAGGGCGAGGCGATCGAGCTAGACGAGGCGACAAACAAGCGTCTCTTGAGGCGGATCGACTGGCACATGATGCCAATCATGTGTGTCGTCTACGGCATGAACTATCTGGACAGTATGTTGCTTCTCTTCCAGAGCGACGCTATCGCCCGGATGGGATGTTAACCAGCCGGAAATGACAGAAACCACACTCTCTTACGCTAGCGTCATGGGGATCAAGGAGGATTTGTCACTGAAGCATGACCAGTACCAGTGGCTGGCCAGTTTGTTCTACTTCGGTGGGTGACCACATGAAGACTGCATGGCGTCGCGTAAGCCTAATTCAAAATATCTAGGCTATCTGGCATGGGAATACCCGACCAGCCGTTTGCTGCAGATGCTTCCGCTGGGGAAATATTCCGCTGCGTGTATCATTATCTGGGGCGGCATTCTCTGCTGTTTCGCTGGCGTCAAGAACTTCTCTGGCGGCGTTGCGATTCGGTAGGACTCTTTCCGTGACGCGAGGCTGGTCCATAGGCTAACTGAATCATGCAGCTTCTTCCTCGGAGTCTTCGAAGCGTCTGTCACCCCAGGCTTCGCACTATTAACCGCTCAGGTAAGCCCCATCCTCCACGTCCAGGGCAGTCCATCTTCTAACAATCCACCGCAGTGGTACACCAAAACCGAACACAGCAGCCGGGTCAACATCTGGTTTAGCTTTAACGGCTGGGGCCAGATCTTCGGTGGCCTCGTGGCGTACGGGATCGCGGTCGGAACCCGCGTCCACGGCTCGGCCATCGACCCCTGGAAGATCGTCTTCCTTGTCACGGGCTTCCTGACCGTCGCGCTGGGACTGATATTCCTCTGGGTTGTCCCTGACAGCCAGCTGAACGCGCGGTGGCTCAAGAAGGAGGACCGGCTGCTGGCGATCGCCCGCGTCCGAGTCAACCAGCAGGGTATTGGGAATAAGCATTTCAAAAAGTACCAGATTCTGGAGACTCTTATGGATCCGATGACTTGGGCTTTTTTCTTCTTCTCCATCATCGCTAATATTCCTAATGGTGGTATCACGAACTTCTTTAATCAACTGGTCAGTCACCCTTCTATTTCCATATACAACCTCCCTCCACCATGATAGCTAGCCTTTCACCCTGCCTCAAATGCGATCCTAACACTCGTTCAGATCACCAGCTTCGGTTACACAGAAGAGCAAAGCTTACTCTACGGCACTCCGGGCGGCGCAGTCGAGATCGTCGCCCTGCTACTTAACGGATACATCGGGCAATACACAAGCCAGCGCATCCTGTGCAGCATGGGCGGGCTGGTAACCTCCATCGTCGGCATGGTCCTCATCGTGGCTCTGCCCCTAAACAACAACGTCGGCCGTCTCATCGGCTACTACATGACACAAGCTAGCCCGACACCATTCGTCGCCCTGCTCGCGCTCATCTCCTCCAACGTCGCGGGATACACCAAGAAAACCACAGTGGCAGCTTTATACCTGATTGGATACTGCGCGGGCAACATCATTGGTAAGCCATTCATCCATTCTTGATTCCCAACCCGAAAGAACGAGAACAACAAGGGCAAGCAAGGAATAAGGCTAACAAGCACAAAAAGGCCCCCAAGCTTTCCGCCCCGAAGACGCCCCCCGCTACGTCCCCGCTGAAATCACCATCATCGTCTGCTGGGGCGTCTGCCTGCTGATCATGACCTTCATCTGGTGGTGGTACGACCGCGAGAACAAGAAGAAGGCGCTGAAGCGAGCTGCGCCGGACTATGTCCGCATGGAGAACCAGGAGTGGTTGGATCTGACGGATAGGGAGAACCATGAGTTTGTGTATTCTTTGTAGATGTGACTGGTTGGACTTTTAGTAAAGTATTATTTTATGATGATGAATATGTATATCTATTTATGTGGATGTGAGTGTGGGTATAATGGGCGTGTGCATGCGCTATGATTCCAGCGTGATGATGCATCTCAAGCGCTTGATTAATTCTAATTATCTGCTCCAAACTGTGACATGAGACAAGCCAGTAACGAACTAGACATCTGAAATACAGTGTCACATAATCAGTAGTCTCAAAGACCAAAGAGGGCCCCATTTCCCTATAATCAACCATTCAGTAGATTGATCAATCGACCAACCCGTCAATGTAAGAGTACATTCAGAATTTCTACCAATATACTCAAAAATACAGGTCAATGCAAGTCAAAACAAACAAAGCAGCCGACTCAAGAATGTCCCCGCAGTGACAGCCCACACATCGACGCAGGGGCGTAGGCCGGACATCTCCGGCGCATACATACTATGCAATATGCAAGCAGAAGCACAGATAACCGATCACATACCTATATGCGAAGGATGATCAACAGGTTGACACACTATACATTGATCTGCGAGGTGTGTGCATCGGGTGGAGGTAGTGAAGTAGGCGCGCTACTGCATGTACTATGCTGTGTAAGGTGTATTGGACTGAAGCGCATGCACTATGCTGCTGCGTTTGCGCTGCGGGAGAGTGTGGGGATGGGGACTTGGTGTATGCTATATGTATGTATGTATGTATGTATGTGGTGGGTTTATTCCTACAGAGGTAGGTAAGTAGGTATATGATATAGAGGTAAGGTGATGATCTTAGGGCAGACCGTTAGCTGGCTTGGTTGAGGAGGTTAGACGGCATAGTGATGGACGTATTGAATTCAGTAGGGATTGTGAACTTGAAGATCAATTACAGACGCCTCAATCCCTATCTACCGACTCGAAATCCCCATCTACCGACGCTCGATATGCCCATCTACCGCCTCGATATCCCGAAGTCTTGGCACTGCGTCAACATACATTTAATGTAAATTCAACATTCGTAATTCCGACTCTCTGGCCAATAAACGTAATATTGTACAAACCACCCAGAAAAATAAAACAAAACCTATGCGGGATATTATTATACATTCACCGGAACTTCCCCGGGCACAATCATTGCCAGACAATTATACATCCTCATCCAGGACAACCGTGCCATGCTTGCTGTCGAAATCATCCTGCTTGGCGCGGTAGGCACGCCCCTTCATGGCCAGATCGCGCAGTCGTCGGATATAGACGTTGGAGGCCGCGTCCGCCTCGTCCTCGCCGCGGCCTGACAGAGCCTTCTCCCGGCGTGTCTGGCAGGCATTGTACAGCCTGCTCACCTGCTTGCCCTGCAACTCGCTCAGCTCGTACTCCACGGTCCACTTGTCGTCGGCGCGGAAGACCATGGGCCGGTCGACGGGGGAGCCGTTGACGAGATTCTTGACCACTAGCGTCATCGCCATGATCTCCTTGCCTTTGAACAGGTCGGCTTCCTCGGCTTCGAGCTCGGCGAGGAACGACTCGTCTGGGGGCGCGGACGAGTCATACGCGGCCTGTGCGTCGGGTTGGGCGTCAGGCTGGGAGTTGGCTGCGGGCTTTTCGGGGCTGGCAGGGGTCTCGTCGAGGTCGTCGTTGCCGTCCTTGGGCTCCAGATTCAGGATTCGGCGCTGGTACGCGTCGATCTCGGCTTGGTTCTTGGTCTGGATGTACTCGATCTCGTCGTTGGTGACGGGCTCGGCGAATATGTACATGAACGGGGTCTGCGCGTCGCGGGTCTCAAAGTGCAGGCGGATCGACCGCTTGGGGAACTTGGCGGTCACTTTGTCGAGGATCTTGTTCCACAGCCCGATGCTCAGTCGGAACTCGGCGTCGCCCAGCGAGGTGTCCGTCTGTCCGTGCAACGCCTGGTCCATCTCGGGCAGGCTGACGTACTGGAAACCGAAGATGCGCTCGATGTTGTGGAAGGCCACGAAGATACCGTCCATCCGGCCGATCCGGACCTGCAGCGAGTACTTGAGGAACGCGGCTCGGATCATATCGTAGTACTCGCGCTCGTAAGACTCGTACGCTCCCTGGACATGGCGAATCTCGTAGCCCAGCCCGTGCTCGAAGTTGCGGGCATCCATCCGGATGGAGACGACGGCGCGGGTCTTCAGATCGAACATGCCTGTCCCAGGCAGTCGCGGGTCGTAGGCGTCCAGCTGGGACCGCATCAGGAAATCGCCCATGGTCGAATAGTGGTAGGCCTCGGGGATGGCCTGTTCTTCCTCGGCCGAGATCTTGTTCTCGTGGGTTCGACGGTAGCGCTCAAAGTCCTCCTTGGGCAGAGTCAGGAGCTTCTCCATGGACTTGCCCAGGTTCATGAGAATGTTCGCCGAGTCGAATTCCTTGTCCGCGTCGATGGCATAAGTCCCATTCTGATACCGGAGAAACATGGCGGCGGGAGATCGCAAGAGTCGCGTGAAGCTGCGCATGTGGTCTGGGAAATTCTGGGACATCATCCGCGTATCGACACCTCTCCAGTTGGAGAGGAGATAGTGGAAGTGCGAGAGAACCGAGGTCATACTCGACGAGGAACCGATGTACTTCTTCTTCTCGGCTCGGGCGATACCGGCGAGGGTTTCGTCCTTGGAGGAGGTGATGTAGGCTTTTAACGCGTCAAAGTCGAACTCGGACACGGGCATGATGGAGCCCAGGTAAGGATCGAAGTTGTAGACGCGGGACCGCGGATCACGGAGGTGATAGACGCCGGGGCTAGACACATCAGCTTTGTGTATGGAGAGAGGACATCATGGATGAACATACTTGAACAAGACCCTCTCCAATCCGAACGAAAGCCGCGGGACATCCGGTCTTTCATAGTCGAGTGCTAGTCGCAATCAGTACGCGCCCCGGGCCAATCCACAGGTCAGGTCAGATACATACGCTTCATTTTCAGATTGCTCGTGTCGACGGACCCGGTTTCCTTGGGAAATATCGAACTCATGACGAACGACAAATCCTCGGGTGTTTCCTTGCTTCCCGAGACATTGGGTTTTCCGTTCTGGATTTGCGTGATGATCGACTGCACGGAAGCTTGAACAGGAGAGTTCTATAACCTGATTAGCGAACCGATCCAGCTTCCAGGACATAGACAGCGCGACTGACCGAGACCGCGTCTTTACTTCGGGGTTCGCGTTGGTGGGATTTCCGATTCGGTACCATCTCTTTCAATTCCTGGGCTACCGGACCCTTGACCTTTTGTTGCAGCTTCTGAGAGGCGATCGACTGCGATTTTTCACGAGTCATCTTCTGGTTCTTGGAGCGATCTAACGCGGCAATTCCGGACACCTTCCGGGTGATGCGAGGGGGTCCAGCTTTGTTCGACGGTGCGCCCGCGGGGGCCGATTTCGATTTCTTGCCATCATCTTGATTCGTTTTCTTCGACCTCGCGTCTTTCTTTGGTTTTGGCGAAGGTTTCTTCTCTGAATGCGACGGTTTCTTCTGTGACTTCGCGTTTCAATGTTAGCGCTCTGCTGATCTGTCAGCCAAGAGCTGTCGCCCTACCTTCGTTTCTTTCACCGGCGAGTGTTCCGTAGATTTATCAGCCGATGTGACCGGTGACGCGGCAGTCGTATAAAAGCGAGGAGACGAGCGCGAACCCAGACGCTGGGCTAGACAGGAGAAGCAGACATGTTCGCGAAGAGGGTCTGAAACAGACCGCAACGAGGCGCGAAACATACAGACCAATGGATGGAATTCAACAAGAAAGACAAAAATCAATCAAATCCAGTGAGATCAATCAAGAGTCGGTCGAGGCAACACAAGTCAACAAGTCAAACAGTCCGAATTGAAGGAATGGCTCTGGAGATCAATCGTATCAATCTCCCTGTCGGGCTTATTTGATTTTATTTTTTATTCTGCCCACCCCATTCATACCGCCTGCCCAATTCGGCTCCATAATCCCGGCAACCTGATTGGCCAGGCGCAGCTGCATCCGGAGAGCCCAATGGGGCAAGGAGCCGACCGTCCGCCCACCTGGAGTGGACTCCATTACCATACAGGAGGGGCACTTCCCATCCAGGAACTAGATATAACAATGATGCCACTCCCAGATCATTCTTTCTCTTGTTTCTTCTTTTACCCTCCCTCTGGATAATCCCATATCGGTCCTCGACGGAATTCCTCTTTGATTCACCCCGGAGCTCTATACACAATGCAGGTGCCTTTGCTTCGGCTTCAATGCGGTGGGTATCCCCACTTTTGGTTGGAAGGTCAGGCTAATTAACGGACTGAAGGCGTCAACAGCTATGACTGGGGTAAGTGGTGTATCAGCGGTGTATCGCGTGGTGATTTGAAAGCTCCCCATACTAATTGGATCCTGATCAGGCAAGGTTGGCCCCGAGTCCGCCGCTGCGAGATATGCGGCCACCACGGCGACCCCCGACTTTTCCATCGACGCCGAGAAACCGTACGCGGAGGTGGTTTTATCCTTCCACTGTCCATGGCCGACCCGCTGACTTGGTGTAGTTGTGGATGGGCACGCATCCTTCCCTCCCGTCCAAAGACCTCGAGACTCAGCGCACCCTCCTCGACATGGTCCAAGACAATCAGGCTCTCATGTCGACGGAGGTGAGCCAGAGATACGAGAATAAGCTTCCGTTCTTGTTCAAGGTGCTGTCGATCAGGAAAGCGTTGAGCATCCAGGCGCATCCGAACAAGAAACTCGCTCAAAGGCTTCACGCCAGAGATCCCCAGAACTACCCCGGTGAGTGGGAGATCATGGTGGCCTAGCGTTGAACGTGCGTGCTGATAAGTGCTGGGATAGATGACAACCACAAGCCGGAAATGACCATTGCCATCACGCCCTTCGAGGGTCTCTGTGGCTTCCGTCCGTTGCAGGAGGTCTCCCACTTCCTCAACGCAGTGGCACCTCTGCGTCAGTTGGTCGGCGAACAGGCGGCCGCCCAGTTCGAGTCGGCAGTCAAGGGCTCGGAAGACTCGGAGGATGTTGCGGTCGTGCAGCGCAACAAGGATGCGCTGCGCGCAGTCTTCACGGCGCTGATGAACGCCTCGCCGGAAAGCATCGAGACGGCCGCCAAAGAGCTGGTGGCCGCCGCGGAAGGCTCCCCAGCTACTTTCGCTACCTCCGCGACCACCCCGGAGACGAACCCGAGTGACCCGGCCAAGCTGGCCGCGATCGCCGTTCGCCTCAACAACCAATTCCCGAACGATATCGGCCTCTTCGTCTTCTTCTTCCTCAACTTCGTCGAACTGGCCCCCGGCGAGGCCATGTTCCTCAAGGCCGACGACATCCACGCGTATATCTCCGGCGACATCATCGAGTGCATGGCGTCATCCGACAACGTGGTTCGGGCCGGGTTCACCCCCAAGTTCAAAGACGTCGACACGCTCACCGAGATGCTGACCTACTCTTACGCGCCGATCGAAGCACAGAAGCTGGAACCCACAGACTATCCCTACGCCGTGCTGAACGTCCCCGCTTACTCGAGTGCCTCATCCTGCATGCTCTACGACCCCCCTATTGAGGAGTTCAGCGTGGTCAAGACGGACCTCTACCGGACTGGGGCCAAGGCGACCTTTGACGGTCTGGCCGGCCCCAGTATCGTGATCTGCACCGGTGGCAGCGGAAAGATTACCGTGGGCCACAAGACGGAGGAGATCCGCGAGGGCTATGTGTTCTTCGTGGGTGCCACCGCTGAATGCGCCATTGAGAACACGGGGACGAAGCCAGATGAGGAGAACGCCTTCACCACTTTCAAGGCATTTTGCGATTTGACGGGCAAGGAGGATATGGTCAATGGACACTAGACAGTAGTCCGGGTTCAATATATCTTCTTTCTACCCTAGCAAAGATAAAAATAAATCTCACAGAATAACAGTGCATCTATTCACAGGATGACAATCTCACTTTCTCCCACACACCCAACCCCAACCCCAACCCAAACCGCCAAACCAACAGTTACTTAGGCACCGCCTCAATAACCGACATCAACTTAGGATCATACGGCAAGACATTCAACACCCTCAATCCCGCCCTATCCAGCAAAGCCTTCCACTCCTTCGTAGTCCGCTCAGCACCCCCATTCGCCGCAAACATCGTAACATCAATATAAACCGCAAACTCAGGCACATCCCTCTCGGGCAAAACCATCTCATCAATAATAATGCGCGAGTCGGGCGCCATAACAGGGACAATATTCCTCAGAATCCGCACACACTCCTCATCCGGCCAATCATGCAACACACGCCTCATATAGTAGAACTTCGCCCTCTCAATCGGCTGCGGCGTGAAGAAGTCATGCGCAATCAGCTCCACCCCCTCAGCGGGACCCGCACCCGCCAGCGTCTCCGGCATATCCTGCACGACCACCCGGCCGGGGACATCGCCGAATTTGGCCCGGAAGGCGATAGCCTGCTGGCCCTGGCAGCCGCCGAGGTCGATGAGGAGCGTTTCGCCGGGGAGGGAGCGGGTTGTTGCCTCGGAGCGGACGGGGTAGACGTCGAACCACCAGTTGTCGTAGTACATCATTTTCATGCCCTTTTCGAAATGCTCCATGTGTTCGGGGTGCTGGGTGAGGAATTCGAAGGAGGTGAGGGTGGTGTTGTGGGCTTGTTGGAAGGCGGTGTCTTTGCTGGAGGTTACGGGTTTGTAGGCGCGGGCTTTGAGGAAGGAGGGGAGGGCGCTGAAGGCTGGGCCGAAGAGTTCGTATCTTTTAGGATGGGTTAGTTGATGGTTTGGATGTATGAGTAGGGAAAGGAGGAGGAAAAGGAGAAGGTCACTCACTGGTGCGATAGCAATGCAGAGGCATGCTCGTCGGCGAGGATGCCGGTCAGACGGTTGGCTTTGAATTCGTCGTCGCCGGTCTGGTCGATCAGATTGAAAGTTGCCTGGGCGCGCAGGACGCGCTCTATAGATCTTTAGCGGAGTCTTCATATGAGGTTATCCCCAAGGGATATATGATATGATCTGATTTCGCAGTAACAAGCACCCACCTAGAAGCTCCGGCGCAGCACCCGACTTCTCCGCCAACTGCGCCGTCGAGAGCGACCCTCCATGGTCTCTGAGCATCTCAAAGGTACCAAGGTCAATTCCGACCTTGGCCATACCGAACCTGACTGGCTTTTCGTTGGGTTAGGGTTAGCCAGGCTCGTATCTGTCAGGTTGGTGGAGGTCAAGACACTCACTCCGTCTGCCATCAAGCTAACAAGATCCAGGTCCGACCGGAAGAAGGTCTGGAGGTTGTTGATCTCATGCTTGATGCTCTTGCGGGTGTCTTCGTCGGCTTGGGTATATATGTCTTTGATTTTCTGGATGGCTGCGTCCATGGTTGTTGCTGTGCTCGCGTGAGACTAGTATAAGGAGGCTAGGTAGTTCTGATCAAAGAGATAGTACGGCGGTTGGATTAGATCTGGAGATCTAGGGTCTTATTTATACGCATGTGTCTCTCGTAAAGTTCGGGGAGTAGGACAAAGAAAGGTATACCCTTTTCGAAAGCAAACCCTAGTGGTGGGATCAGCAGAAGCAACTTGCAGGACCAGGGTGCCTGGCGTCTATGCTCGATTTTGAGTTGATATTACCGTATTTGCTTTGATTTCCATCTTCTGTTCTTGTTTTCTGATGTTCTGTTGAACGATGGTACTATCCTCCTTCTACAAGCTTCAACTCTGCTCTCTCCCGTACCAGCAAAATAGACCTCAAGGAACAACCAATATTTTCTCAACCTGATAGTACAAATCAACATCACATATAACCATCAATTGACAGATAATGGTCACTGCGCAGTAAGCTGAGACAACATGTCAAATGCTGACCATGCAGCGTTTTGAAGGTTGCACAAGCACAACCTTGGACATCAGCCATCTGAAGAAAGATCTCAATCAGCTGAAAACAACACTGCTAGCAGAGTATACCATCCGTCAGGTTCAGTGAGTTTCTTATATCAGTATAGCAATCGAAGCCCCCTGTAGATCTCGCTCTGAATTCTAGCAATTCCAACCAAGGTTGCCGTCAAGATGTTCCTATTCTGTACTACCAACCAATCTGACTATTTCATGAGATCGCATTCCACGCATGAGATTTCTTGCAGAGTCGGCTCGGCATGACGGCGCTCGTGCAGAAGAAATGCCGCGGAAAGAGGAAACTTTATTGTCAGTATCCGCTTAGGAAGATTCGGCTGACTGAAGATTCCAGGTCATCATGGGGTCTTGGATGATGGTAGCACCACCATCAGTCTGGATTCTAATTCTTGGAGGATATCTCAGAGTTGTAATCGAATGAATGGGTTCTGTGCGTCTGACTTGTCTGCAGGTGGACAGCGAGCCAGTTGGCATCTGAATTGCGGGACGTGGTCGTCCGTGCCATGAGAGTTGCGGGTAAGAAGGAAACAGCCATGTGTTTAGGCGTTGTCTTCAGATATTGGGAGTGGATGGGATTCTAGATAGTGGTCAATCAGCAAGAATAGTAATGGTGAGGAGTTCCGTATAATTCGGCAGATGAAGAGAGAAATATATTGCCCCATGAGATATATATGTAGCTGTGTCTGAACTGGAAATCACTTTCCCTTGATTATAATATATATTTCTGGCGGGAATCGTGAGAAATATATGCAGTTGATAGTCTAGATCATGAGAAATGGGTGAAAAGTCACACATTGCATAAGAAATGTCCAACTCTATTATCCTATCAGGCGACAATCCATTGTATAGAACCATGGTATAGTATCTCCATCTGGGTGCTCTGCAGAAGGATAGCTTACACGTCCTGACGATAGTTTGGTACATATTAAGAGTGCTGTAGATATACAGCCAGGTTACATATGCCAACTCGAAGAATCATGTATACTTGGACCAACAGATATAAATAGGGTAACAACTCATCATGCTACCATACCTACATAGCATAGAATGGAGTGTGTTGTTGACCGATAAGATAAGGCCAGGAACGGCGGGCCTGCTGGGAATCGGGAACCTCGGGTGACTGATTCGTCGGCCTTTTCCACCCCTGAGCTTGTTCCATTTGACTTCACTACACCGGATGAGTTTGTTGATTCCTCTTCATCACTGACAGCTACCCTCCCAATCTTCGCTTGAAACAACTCTCTCACCACCGCGTCATCGCACCGCGTCGCCTGGTCCATTCAGGAACCACCAAAGCCGAGGTCAGACATTATCTGGGGGCCAAAATCAAGGCACATTGATATTTCAAGAGTGGATTTCGCTCGAACTGCGAGACCACCATCTGCGTTGCTGCCGATCCGAAGCTCTCAAAGCACAGATGTCTATCAGTTGGGTTCCGTGCGGGGGATTCCTGGCTGCCTAGGTTCCGCTATCGTCACCGTCTACGGATAGGATACATGTGCTAGCGAATATTGTCTTGGCTCGCAACAACAACCAGCCCTTCGGTCGATACTACCCCCAACGAAGACCAAAATAACTCGGTTTCTCGATATTTCACGATTGGAGGAAACAAGGAAGAAGAGGGTGGAAAGTGTGAAGAAAAAAAAAGTGACAAAAGTGACATCATGGCCTGGTATACACTACTGCCCCAGGAGGCCGAAACCTGGGTCGTTCGCATCTTCGTACGTCTTCCTTTTCCTTCCTTGGGCGTTTGTCTTTCGGACTATCGTCCGTTGTTTTTGGTGACTAACGATGATTGTGTGGATAGTTCTTCCTCGGCTTGATGACGATCATTCCCTGGGCGGCCCTCCTCCTCTTCGATCTGACCCTGTACCTTTGGCGAATGCTGGCGTGGGAAATTCCGGTGATTGGAGGGCGGGCGAGGGGACGGAGACGACCGCGTGCCCCCAGCTTAATTGAGAGACCGGATGGACAACGGAGGAAGTTCGGACTGATGGGACATGACAATACTCATGGAGACAGTGCGGGGGAGCTGAGGAGAAGGACTAAAGGGGGGGAATAGCGAACTTCCTTGTCCAATCATGCTCGCTCGCACTCTTCGTCTTCAACTTTGTTATGATTTACGGTGCGGCTGGATCGCTACCTGAGGTTCGGGACTTTGATATCGCCAGTTGGAGCTGCCCTGTGGTCTGTGACACCGGGGATAGCCAGTCCAATGCATCATTCGTCATAAATCGAGACACGAACATCGCGTGTGGAGCCCATGCTATTCTGCTCTTCCGTCATGCCTTCGTGCTCACACTCCATGTTGATCCCGAGAATCCTGTGGTACACGGCCATTCCCACCAACAGTCACCCAGGTCCACCTGTCTATCATTGTCCACACATCTTTTGATACCCAGCATTATACATGTATATATCGATGCTGATCTTCGAATTGCATATACTAGAGAGACCATGTATTTTATAATCGGGGTTCAGGTCAATCAGCGTTGAGCGGAGGTTTGAGCCAATCACGGCCCGAACGGCTATCTAATTCGCAGGTATATAGATATATCATTGTAGCTTAGGTCCCAGTTGTCTTGCATCTTCTCCGCATCTCCCACTTCTACGTGTCCCGGGAATTGAAGACTGTTGTGAGGAATCTTCATATCCATTTCATTCGAATAGACTAGAACAAGTAATGGCACACCATGGATATATCGACTCATTGATTTTCTACATCGAACGGAACCCCCTCATCATTGTGTTCATCGCCCTCGGAACATGGCTCTTCGGATACTGGAACCGAGTATGTCTCTCGTTCGCTTCGGGACATCAAATCATACCAAACAAACTAGTGTTAATCCCCTGTAGAAGAACCCAACCCTCGATCCCAACAGCCCTGAAAACACACCGCACAAGGCAAACAATGGCTACCCGCCCATCGAGCCTCTCCCGGCGTTCGACTGGGAGGCAACAGAACCGTTATCATTTCGGCCCTTCAAGCCGAAATACCATCTGACGATGGGTATGTTGACCCGTTCCCGCGGGTTCATACATAGACATCATCTAACAACGAGACAGGTCTAAGACAGCTCGACCCGTCAGATCTCCTCCAGATAGACAGAACCTACAAAGACCGTCTCGCGTTACGTGCCCAGCTTCTGAACAAGCACCCCGACACTGTCGTCGGCGTGAACGGGGACAGCGAACAAGTGCAGGCAGCCATTTACGAGCTATACGAATTCGTACTGGGTGTCTATCTACCCACCCGGTACCCGACCATGTTCCAATTGACGACTACTGATGATACCAATTCGGATCAGAAGGCCCAGACGGTCCTCGAAAGCAAGGTCACAGGAAAACACATCCCGATCAAACTCGCACCCCACTCCCCAGAAACAAGCCGCAAAGCCCTCGAGACACTCGGAACATGGGTAGACGAAGACTTCATCATCCTGCTCCCAGAGAAAACCACGCCAAGCGACAACACAGACAGCGAGGACGGCGTAGACGAGAAATACGTCCTCCACGCCTACACCGTGCACTTCCCAGCCGGGTTTGACCTCAGCAAGAAGCTTGGGCGTCGGCTGGCTGAGATACACACGCCAGTGCCTGGGTACGCGGAGAAGCTCGAGAAGAGCATGGATCGCTTCTTTGCGCGCCTTGAGGTGGGGAAGTTCGTGCAGCGGGTGAATTGGAGTGTTACACTTGATACACCGCTTTTTGCGGCGTTTGGGAGGACGCACGGGAGGAAGAATGCGGGGGAGGATGAGAGGGAGAAGGTAGCGGATGAGGAGATTAAGGTGGGGGAGTTGGATGTTGATACGGTGAGTGGTCTATCCTACCTTATTGCACTTGGTGGCTCTGGGGTAAATAGAACTGATGATCGGATAGACGTTGCTTCGATGTGAAAGACAGACGCTCCACCGTCTTCCACACACCAAGGCCCTTGTGTTCGCCATCCACACATATACGTATCCACTGCAGACGATCAAGGATGAAGGACTGGGCGAAGAAATGGCCACAGCCGTTGATGGGTTGAAAGAGGGCAGTGCGCCTCAGATTCATTGGTACAAGCGGGGTCCGGTGTGGGGAACGGCTGCGAAGGCATTTTTGCGATCCTAGACTATGGATTGGTTGAGGTCTATATAGTTGATATCTTTGCAACAACACGGTTGTCAAAGAATAGAATGATGGTCTGACGGATGAAGTAGATGAGTTGTCCAATCATCCAAGCATAAATGACACATTAGTCATCACGGATCGATGAGCCCAACCAATAACTATGGACGGGACCGAAAGTAAATAATACCTCAGGCACTCCACTTTTTCCTCACTCCCCAGTTCCACAGTCATGGAGCTCTCCACGGTCCTTATCATTGTCGCTGTTTACGCTGGTACGTGCCCAGGATACTACCCAAGAGTCCATCTTCTTATAGCTGACCAAACCAGCCATCCGCTTCTATTTCAGCCGCAGAAACAGTAACTCCGGAGCAAGCATGGCCCACGGCAAAGTCATCGAGGTGGACAAGTACGCACCCCTCCCTCAGTACAAGGCAACACAGACGGAGAGAAAAGAAAAGCCAGATACTAATGCAATGATTCTCCAGCCCCGTCATCTTCAAAGCCCTGACATCCTCGGGTCCCGTCGTCGTCGACTTCTTCGCCACCTGGTGCGGACCCTGCAAGGCCGTTGCTCCCGTTGTCGGCAAGCTCAGCGAGACCTACAGCGATGTGCGCTTCATCCAGGTCGATGTGGATAAGCTGAAGACGGTGGCGACGGAGTTGGAGGTGCGCGCTATGCCGACTTTCGTGCTGTTTAAGGATGGCAAGGCTTTGGAGAATCGGGTTGTGGGGGGGAATATGAAGGAGTTGGAGGAGGGGATCAAGGGGATTCGGTCTTAGGTTTGGATTTCTTGGTTGTGAGGAGGGGAGGTTTGCTGTGTAGATGGTTTATGTCCTGTCATGGACTTTTGTTCTGTGAATGCCTTGTACAATGGTACAGTGGCTGGAGTTATTGTTGTCCACGTGCTGCTTGCATTGTGTACTCCGTACATCATGAATAAACATGGTGAATCTGCTTCCACAGTGATGAGTGATAACATACAATTGAATCATAATCTCACCACACCAGTTACAGAAAGATAACGAAGTAAATACAACTAAACGACTATATATACCCAGTGACTATACAGGTGACTGTTTAATCAACAGACAGTGGATCTGCGGGGCCGAACGTTGAAAGTGAAACCCATGTTTGCTGCCCCAGGCACCCAGGCCGGCCCGCGAAAAATCTGTCACGCCAACCACCAGTCAGTCTCAACTCCTCCCAAGCCCTACGCTTGCGCCCTACCCCTAAGCCCTCATTTCTGCTCTTGGAAGTCAAGACATCCATCCCATCCCATCTTGACCGGTCGGTTCTAGTCGGATCATGGTCGATACAGAGGATCACATGTCGCCGATTGATGGCAAGGGGAATGTAGATCTCCCTGGATCTGCTTTGCCCCAGGAAAGTCACGATGGTGAGTCTACGCGTGCATGATTCTACTGCCGCCTCGGCGTCTGTCGGAGCAGCAGGGAGATGATATGGACTTTTCTTTCTTCTTCCATCTGAATAGACCCTCTTGTCTGAAACAAACAAATGAAAATAGCTAATGGGTTGGCGTTTCTATGCAGGCAACCTCAAACTGTCCCACCCCCCACCCGATGTAGACCACGGTTCTGCCTCTCCTCCGGCCTTTAAGAAGAGGCGCGTCGAGTCCGAACAGCCCGAGTCGACTCATTCTCCGGCCCACTTTCATGAGATACCGGGTACTAAGATCGAGGAAGAACTGGTGTCTGCGTTGGGGTCGGGTGTGGTGGAGGGTCACGAGCAGTCTCATGGGCAGTCTTTCGAGCAGTCTTTCGAGCAGTCTCAGGAGCAGTCCTACGAGCTTCCTCGGGAGCAGTCTTACGAGCAGTCTCACGGGCCATTTCATGAACAGCTTCCAGAGCATCCTCAGGGGCAATCTCAGGACCAGCCTCTAGAGCAGTCTCACGAGCAGTCTCACGAGCAGTCTCATGAACAGCTCCCAGAGCATCCCCAGGAACAGCCTCAAGAGCAGCCTCAAGAGCAGCCCCAGGAAAAGCCCCAGGAACAGCCTCAAGAGCAAACCCCGGTGCCATTTCAAGAACAATATCAGGAGCAGTCTCAAGGGCAAGCTCAACAGCAACATCAAGAGCAACCTGGGGAGCAAACCCAGGAGCAAGCCCAGGAGCAGGTCCCGGAACAGGCACAGGAGAAGCCTCAGCAGGTGCCCCAGGAGCACCAGGATGACAAACATGGTCAGATCGAGAGCTCAGCAGAAAGCGCGATTGCCCCAGAGTCGAATGCTGATATTGACCCCGATATGGCGATAGTCATATCGAGCATCATGAATCATGCAGAGCGTGTCGAAGAACAGTGTGTTGTCAGCCAGCAAATGACCGATACCGCGGGTCAGATGGCCCCCAGGCCTATGGTCTTTGTCAAGGCCAATTCGCATCTCAAGATCCAGAGTTTGCCCATTCTAGACAACCTGGTAAGTTATCACCTTTTCCTCCATGTTTCTTTGTGCATCATGTCTCAACTTCTGACCCGGTCTTCAACCTAGTCAACACAAATCCTCTCTTTGCTGGCCAAGTCCAGCTACCAAGACATCACCTCGTTCGTTTCTGAACCCGACTCGGAAAACGGACAGGCGTACGCTACGATGCGCTCTCTTTTCGACCACACGAAGAAAGTGTATTCTACCAAGAGATCTTTCCTCTCCGCCACGGAGCTGGAGCTCACGGAGCCTTCCCAAATTGATATCATCCGAAAGGCAAATCTGGCTTCGTTTGTCTCCAGTATCTTTGGTACCCAGGAGATCGGCTTTTCGGAGTTGAACGACAACTTTCTCGATGTGTTTGTCCCTGAAGGCGGGCGATTGCTCAAGGTCCAGGGTGCGCTGTTTTTGGAGCTGAAGACCCAAGCATTCATCGCCTCGATGAACAACTCAGAGCGGACGCGGACCGAGCTGCTGTACGAACTCTTCCCTGATGATCTCGAGCAGCGGCTCCTTGATCGACGTCCCGGCACTCGCCAGCTTGCCCCGAGCGAAACCGACTTTGTGAACCGTGCCGGATCCCGTCGTGATATTCTCCTTAGCGATATCAACAACGAGGAGCAGCTGAAGGCGCTCCCCGACAAGTATCACTGGGAGGATTTCCTCAGGGATCTAAGCTCTTACATCACGAAGAACTTCGATCTCGTTACCAACCAACACGTTTGTTCCCCTTCCACCCTCCCTCCCCACCTCGAAGAGCCGTCGGACCCTAATCAGCCTGAAAAGAAAACAACCAAAGGACGGCAGCCATCCGCGTCTAGTGGTGAGGCGCAGGAGTCCCCGAGTGCCCCAATCCAAGGCCAGTTCCCCGCTGCCTCCCAGACTCCCGACGTTCCTGTCGACAGAAATATGCACGGTGATCTGGTCGCGCGGGCCGCTCGTGCCGCGCAAATCGCTCTGCAGGGCCACGGTTTCAGACGGTCACAGCAGCAATCCCAGCAGAGCCAGCAACCACCACAGCAACAGCCACAACCACAACCACAACAGCACCACCAACCGCAGCAGCACCAACAACCCCCGCCGCAGCAGACCCATCAACACTCGCCCCCCATTCAACACCATCAACCTCCTCAGCAACCAATGCACCAGCCGACCTCTCATATCCCCCACGGCTATTCCCCCGCGCAGCCCAGCCCAGCGCCGTCTCAACCGCCGCAGCATCAGCAATACCAATCGAGCCCTGCGCCGTCGGGTTATCAGCAGGCGCCCGGGCAGCTGACCTTTCAGCAGAGTCCCCTCCAGACCAACTTCCAGCAGTACAATCACGCCCCCCTCCACATGGGTGGAAGACCGAATTCTGGAGCGGCCAACCACGGTTACATGCCTGGCATTCCCCACTACTCGCAGTCCCAACCTACCCAGGTCCTTTACGAACGGGCGCGCATGGCCGCCTCCGCCAAGTCGTCCCCTAGCAGCCGCAAATCTGGCCTTCCCAGCCAGCGTCGACCCTGGACGACCGAGGAGGAAAATGCGCTCATGGCCGGTCTGGACCGGGTTAAGGGACCCCATTGGAGCCAGATTCTCGCCATGTTTGGGCCCGGAGGCACCATCAGCGAAGCGTTGAAGGATCGCAACCAAGTCCAACTTAAAGACAAGGCGCGCAACCTGAAGCTCTTCTTCCTCAAGAGCGGCATCGAGGTTCCCTACTACCTGAAATTCGTCACGGGTGAACTCAAGACCCGTGCCCCAGCGCAGGCTGCCAAGCGTGAAGCTCGCGAGCGCCAGAAGAAGCAAGGTGAAGAGGACAAGGCCCACGTCGAAGGGATCAAGGGGATGATGGCTCTCGCAGGGGCCCATTCCCAGCAGCAAGTTCCCATGGGACACGGCCACGACGCCATGTCCGCATCTCCGGGTCTCCCACCTGATGCTGGCGCCCATAATACATTTGATCAAACGGCGGAGCAGAACCTGATGCAGACTCTCGGCCAGGAAGTGCATGGCGATCAATTCGGACAGCATCAGCACCAGCATCAGCATCATCAGGACCATGTTGATCCCGGTATGCATTTGGGGCAGTAACTTGCTTTTTCTTCTTCTTCCTCCAACTTGTTTTCTTTTCTTTATCTCCTTCCGTTCAGCCACTCTTACGGCCATGTTTACTTCTGCATCCTCACTTTAATCACCGCGTTTTCCCAGCAATGGCCATCATCCTTGTACAACGCGCGTTGGTGGTCAGTTTGCAGGGCGAAGTTTCCAATCATCAACTTGTTGGATGCTACGGAGGGATATATCACTGGGGTTTTTTACTTATTTCTTTTGTACCATCATATGTGTAATAGCTCGGAGCAATTAGCGGAATAGCGAATCCAACCTTATGTACTTTATGACCGAGTTGTGCCTTGTTGCCTTGTTGCCTTGTTGCCTGACTGCCTTGCCCCGTGATCGGAGCAGGATCGGCGCCTGGAGAAAGTGGCGACAAATGAGCATCCGTGGATATCAAATGCTATTCCCTTCCAGGTTTAGCACGACTGTGGCTCCCCCGAAAATAACAAACCGCCTCCGATCTTCCTGTTCCTCTGGAGACCTCATCTCTCGTTTGAGTCATTTCCTGCTTCAAGTCGAGAATCATGGTGAGGCAGCTTGTTTGGCAGCGGGCGACCGCTTCGCGTAGAGTGAGTTATTCCCGAATCATGGACTGAAAACCCTGGCATTAGGCTGTTTCCCCGGTTTTTCCACTCGTCCCTGCTAACCTCCACTTTTTTTCTGTTATTAGTTGGCTCCGAAATGCCTCTCCCCGCAACATCTGTTTAGTCGCCGTGGCATGGCCACGGAGGCCTCGTCGGCGTCGAATCGCATGCCTCCCTACCCGAAGATCCTGAAAAACCTGGAGGAAGTCCGGCGCGTGCTGGGATCAGGTCGTTCCCTGACCCTTGCGGAGAAGATTCTCTACTCCCATCTGGCGAACCCGGAAGAATCCCTGTTGACGGGGACCGACAATGGACGGGACATCCGGGGGAAGGGCAATCTGAAGCTCAAGCCCGACCGCGTGGCGATGCAGGACGCGTCGGCGCAGATGGCGCTGCTGCAGTTCATGTCCTGCGGGCTGCCCTCGACGGCGGTCCCCGCGAGCATCCACTGCGACCACATGATTGTTGGTGAACGTGGTGCGGATACGGATCTGCCCGCGTCGATCAAGGGCAACAGTGAGGTGTTTGATTTCTTAGAAAGTGCCGCCAAACGCTACGGGATTGAGTTCTGGCCGCCTGGAGCGGGTATCATCCACCAGAGTGTTCTGGAGAACTACGCTGCACCGGGGTTGATGATGCTGGGTACGGACAGCCACACGCCGAACGCGGGTGGCCTTGGTGCCATTGCGATTGGTGTGGGTGGTGCCGATGCGGTGGATGCGTTGGTCGACGCTCCGTGGGAGTTGAAGGCCCCGCGCGTCCTGGGTGTGCGCCTGGAGGGCAAGCTGAACGGCTGGGCCACTCCCAAGGATATTATCCTGCATCTGGCGGGTAAGCTCACCGTGCGCGGTGGAACTGGGTTCGTCATCGAATACCACGGTCCGGGCCTTGAGTCCCTGAGCTGCACGGGACAGGCTACCATCTGTAACATGGGTGCGGAAGTGGGCGCCACTACGTCCGTGTTCCCCTTCTCCCCCGGCATGGTGCCCTACCTGCAGGCTACGCACCGCGGGGATGTGGCGGCTGCGGCCGCCAAGATCGCTGCCTCGGGCCCCGGGAACCTCCTGCGGGCTGACGATGGAGCCCAGTATGACCAGGTCATCACTATTGACTTGTCGACGCTGGAGCCGCACATCAACGGTCCCTTCACCCCGGACCTGTCGGTGCCGCTGTCGTCCTTTGCTGATACTGTCCGCGAAAAGAACTGGCCGGAGACCTTTGGCGCCGGCCTTATCGGCAGCTGCACGAACAGCTCCTACGAAGACATGACGCGCGCGGAGGACCTGGTCAAGCAGGCGGCTGCAGCCGGCCTGGAGCCTGCGGCCGACTTCTTCATCACCCCCGGCAGTGAACAGATTCGCGCCACTCTGGACCGCGACCAGACGCTGTCGACCTTCCGCTCAGCGGGCGGCACCGTGCTGGCCAACGCCTGTGGCCCTTGCATCGGACAGTGGAAGCGCACTGACGACGTGGCCAAGGGGCAGGACAACGCCATCTTCACGTCCTACAACCGTAACTTCCCCGGCCGCAACGACGGCAACCGCAAGACCATGAACTTCCTGGCCTCTCCCGAGCTGGTCACGGCCCTGGCGTACTCCGGGAAGACGACCTTCAACCCGATGACGGACAGTCTGAAGACGCCGGATGGCAAGGAGTTCCGTTTCCAGGCGCCCACCGGCTCGTCTCTCCCGGCCGATGGCTTTGCCGACGGCAACCCGTCCTTCATGCCCACTGCGGCCGTCCCCGACGCGACTGCCGAGGTCGCCGTGTCGCCGACGTCAGACCGCCTGGCGCTGCTGGAGCCGTTTGCTCCCTTCCCCGCGGGCGAGCTGTCGGGCCTGAAGGTGCTCTACAAGGTCAAGGGCCAGTGCACGACCGACACGATCTCGGCCGCCGGCCCATGGTTGAAGTACAAGGGCCATCTCCCCAACATCTCGGCCAACACGCTGATCGGTGCCGTCAACGCCGCGACGGGCGAGACCAACGTCGCCTACGACGAGGCCGGCAAGCCGCACGGGATCCCCGAGCTGGCCGAGCAGTGGAAGGCCGCCGGCCAGGAATGGCTCGTGGTCGCCGAGGACAACTACGGCGAGGGCAGTGCGCGCGAGCACGCCGCCCTGCAGCCGCGCTACCTGGGCGGTCGCGTCATCGTCTCGAAGAGCTTCGCGCGCATTCACGAGACCAACCTCAAGAAGCAGGGTGTGGTGCCGCTGACGTTCGAGAACCCGGCCGACTACGATCGCATCGATGCCTGCGACCAGGTCGACACGGTGGGTCTGTACGATACGCTCCAGGCGGGCGGACAGGGCTCGGTGCAGCTGCGCGTGCAGAAGCGGACTGGCGAGACCTTCACCATCCCCGTTCGACACACCTTGAGTCCGGACCAGAGTGCTTTCGTGTTGGCTGGTAGTGCGTTGAACCTTCTGGCGAAGAACGCGCAGAAGAACTGAGTTTGGATCTCTTTGTGTTAGACTAGATGTACATACGTAGATATATCCTATAAAAGCGGGAGTGTTTTTATTTCGATACAATGCGTTATATTTCTTTTGTTTTCCACGACTTCCTAGTCGTGGTTAGTTGTATACAAAGTCAGTCCTAGTATGGTATGTGGATCGTGGCGGAGAATTTGCCCGCCACTCGTTGCTGGGGCAAACTCGGCCCAAACAAACGGATCTTCCCACAACCGCCCACTTCTCCTCTGCGTTTCAAAGGGGAATAGTTTCCAGAAGCCAGCTGGAAGTGACTGCAATCCCAAAATAAACAAGTCACTACGATCGACACCGGTGTTTTGTCTGATCTGCTTACTAAAGATTGTGATTGCCCCACCACTGGCTCTCTCTGACATCCCATCAACAACCCCTCCTCAGACTGTCTGTACTCGGCTTCAACCTCAGACTGGGATATCTACCCTCTGTCCACCGCCAACATGGCCAAAGAAAGTGATGTCCCGGTGCCTCCCATCACCCCTCGCAAGCCCAACGAACAACCCCAGCGTGCAGTGAATAGTCACCACCCAGAATTCGGCAAGCCGTCGCCCATCGGCCCTCCCCAACACCGTCACCCCCAGCAGAACAACAACTCGAGCAACCCCTTCAACATTCCTAAAGCCAACCGTCCTCGCGCAGAACATCACCGCCCTCACCCTCACCAACAGCCACGACCCCAGAACTACCCCCCACCAGGCGGTGCCCGCCCACCCTTCGGCACCCCAGGAGCATTATCGACCCCGAAACGCGGCCCGGCGTTCGACCCCTTCAAGCCCGTCCGCCCATCAGCCTACAACAACAACCGCTTCTCCAAACCAGTCGACAGCGATGTGGTTGAAATCCGGCGACCCGAAAATGTCACCTTCGGCACCCCGCGCGCCCCCAAGACCTTTTTCGCCTCGAACCCCTCCGCCATGAAGCCGAGCAACGCGAACAAGACGCTGCAGAAGTTCGTCGATCTCACGGGCGAGGGCGGGTTCACGCCGAGTGCACCGTCCCGGCATGCGGGCTTCGGGTCGATGGACGCCAACAGCTATGTGGATACGGCGAAGGCGAATGAGAATATCAAGGCTCTGTTGGAAGGGGCGTTTGAGGATGAAGATGAAAAGCGACAACCTAACGGGAAGAAGAAGCGCAAGAACCGCGGCAAACAGAAGAAGAATAAGCTCAAGGAGAAGGAAGAGAAGAAGAAGGACGAGAAGCCGCCTGTGACTAGTGACAAGGAGGTGGAGGATGAGCTGGATGACCTAGCTGCTCAGTTCCGCGGTGTCACTGTTGGGGATCCTAATGCTGCCGCGGAGGAGAAGGAGGGGACGAAGAAGAGTGCTTCGAAGCAGGATGTGACGGATGATGTCGAAGGTGACTCCGGCCTTCCGGATGATAAGGCGGGCGAGGAGCAAAGTGAAGAGGAGGATGAAGAGGAAGAGGAAGAGGACGATGGCACGGTGGAAGGCCTGAAGGTCAAATTGCTCCAGCACCAGCGGGAAGGAGTCAAGTGGATGTGCGACAAGGAGACGGGTCGAAACCGCGGCAAGGGTGTGCTGCCCAAGGGCGGAATTCTCGCGGACGACATGGGTCTCGGAAAGACCGTGCAGGCCATCGCGCTCATGCTCACTAACCGCAAGCCTGACAGCGGCATTCGATATACCGGCCCCAAGGAGGACGACGATGAGGATGCCAGCGACGACGAAGACGCGGCTAACCGCAAGCTGCCCCCCGGCGTCAGCAAATCGACCTTGGTTCTTGCTCCTCTGGCCCTGATCAAGCAGTGGGAGGCCGAAATCGCAGACAAGGTCGAGTCGAGTCATAAGCTGCGCGTGCTGGTCTACCACGGAAACACTCGGGCCAAGGCGACGGACAGTCTGGAGGACTACGACGTGGTGATCACCACCTACGGCACGCTGACATCCGAACACGGGGCCGCCGACAAAGGGAACAAGAAATCGAACCTGTTCTCCACCTACTGGTACCGCATCATCCTCGACGAAGCCCACACCATCAAGAACCGCAACGCGAAGGCGACCCAGGCGGCTTACGCGCTGGACGCCGAGTACCGGTGGTGTCTGTCCGGAACACCAATGCAGAACAATCTCGACGAGCTCCAGAGTCTGATTCGATTCCTGCGCATCAAACCTTTCAACGACCTCGCAGCCTGGAAAGAGCAAATCACGAAACCCTTAGCCAACGGTCGCGGAGGTCTCGCCATCCAGCGTCTCCAGGTGTACCTCAAAGCGTTCATGAAGCGCCGGACCAAGGACGTCCTGAAGCTCGACGACAGCCTCAAAGCAGGCGAGACCGACTCCAACGGACAGCAGAAGAAATCCTCCGGATTCCAAATCACCAAGCGAGAGGTCATCAAGGTGAAGGCCGAGTTCATGCCGGGCGAGATGAACTTCTACCAGCGTCTCGAGCAGCGTACCGAGAACAGTCTCGAGAAGCTGATGGGCGGTGCCAAGGTTGACTACGCCGGGGCATTGGTGCTCCTGCTGCGTCTCCGACAGGCGTGCAACCACCCGGACCTGGTCAAGAGCGACCTGGCGAATGACAAAGACGTCTTGCTGCAGAACGGAGCCCTAGGCAACCAGCCTGCGGCTGCGAAGCCAGATGATCTCGACAGTATGGCGGATCTGTTCGGTGGGCTCAGCGTTGTGACGAAGAAGTGCGATATCTGCCAGACCGAGCTGAGCAAGGAGGAGGCTTCCGCGGGAGGTAGTCGGTGTCGAGAATGCGAGACGGATCTGGACGTTGATTTCACCAGTGCGCAGAAACCCAAGAAGAAGAAGACCCCCAAAGACATTGTGGATTTGACGGATTCACCGTCGGCCAATCGTTCGAGTGCGAAGATGGCTCGGGCTCGAAGGAATAGGAAGGTTGTCATCGATAGTGATGATGAAGAGGAAGATGATGGTGAATGGATCGTTCCGGAAGATAAGCGGACTGCAACCAATCTCGGCAAAGCCGGGGGATCAGACGACGAGGACGCCGAAGGGGGTGGGGAATGGCTCGTTTCAGACGACTCCGACAGCGACTCCGACGACTCAGGGCCCGAATCACCCACGCAGCAGCGCAAGGCGTCCAATATCCGCGATAATCGGTCCGACACCGAAGACGACATCTACATCGATAGTGGGGCGGGCAAGAAGCAAATTCTCCCATCGACCAAGATTCGGCATCTGATGAAGGTGCTCAAGAGCGAGGCGTCCGACCATAAGTTCATCGTCTTCTCCGTGTTCACGTCGATGCTCGACAAGATCGAGCCGTTCCTCACGCGCGCTGGGATCGGATTCGCTCGATACGACGGCAGCATGCGGAACGACCATCGCGAGGCGAGCTTGAACCGGCTGCGCAACAACAGCGGAACGCGCGTTCTCCTCTGCAGTCTGCGAGCCGGCGCGCTGGGTCTGAACCTGACGGCCGCGAGCCGGGTGGTTATTCTCGAGCCGTTCTGGAATCCAGTATGTTTTTACATTATCCCGCACTTTTTAAACAGACACTAATGTTCTCCCAGTTCGTCGAAGAACAAGCCATCGACCGCGTCCACCGCCTGAACCAAACCGTCGATGTCAAAATCTACAAAATGATCGTCAAAGACACAGTCGAGGAGCGCATCCTCGACCTACAAGACCGCAAACGCGAGCTCGCCAACGTCACCATCGAGGGCAAGTCCGCCGCCGGCAAGCTCACCATGAACGACATGATGGCGCTGTTCGGCCGGGACGCCGAGTCGCGGTTCACCGGCGAGCGAGGCAATATCGACCTTACCCAGACGACGCGGCTGTTGAACTCGAGTAATGATGAGGGGACGGCGCCGCAGAATTTGCAATATGCGTCTCAGGGCAAGAACCGTAAGCCTGAGAGTCGAGTGTCTCCTACGGAGAGTTCTGTCTATGGACGACGGTGGTAGAGGGTTGGTTGGTTGGTTGGTGTTGGCGTATGGATATATGAGGGAGTGGATGAGGTGGCATTCCCTTTTCGGTCTTGCATTTGGTGTTTAGTTACTTTCGGTTAGAATAGTGGAATATGGAGTATCTACTTCTGATAGATGTATATTGTGGTGTAGACTGTCTGTATACACGGTGCAAACCAGACAAACAAGCTAAGCTCCGCATCTCCGATATCACCGGATCTGCTTCACTTCATCATCATCCACTCTACAATTGACTCTTCTATTCTCCTCCACTCTTACATTCAGAAACCAACACCCGAAAGAGAGCAACTCCACCTATGCAACCTCCATAACGCCCACGAAACCCCCCAAACCACAACAACCCCCACAATGGCACCACCACCACCATCACAACAATCACAACCACCGAAACCCTCATCCTTCCAATCCACCCCCAAAATGCGCATCTCCCCCAATCCCACCCAAACCCCCAAACCAACCTCCAAGCGCACCCCCCTCCTCACAACCTTCCGCACATACTACACCACCCTCCGCACTTCCTACACGACCCTCCCTCTCCCCTTCCGCCGCACGCTCCGCACGCTCCGCATCCTCGCCCCGCTCGTCCCAATCGGCCTCTTCTTCTCCGAACACGTCAGCCAAATTATGTGGGTGCGGGGCCCCTCAATGACACCCTATCTCAACGAAGACTACCACGCGACGCACTCGACCAGCGATATGGTTCTCGTGAACATGTGGCCGTTCGGGGGCGGGGGGTGGCCGTGGCAGCGCACGAGGAGGTTGGAGAGGGGGATGGTCGTTACGTTTCGGTTTGTACCCTTCCCCTCGTTTACTCTTATAAACCATTTCTCGAAAGGAGTACACACAAAGGGGATATGATAGCTAATAAAGACGGAATCAGATCACCCGCGAACCCCTCCCACATAGCCGTAAAGCGCATAATCGGCCTCCCGGGCGACCGAATCACGACGCGCGCGCCGTGTGTCAAGCCCTCGCAGATTGTGCCCTTCAACCATGTGTGGCTTGAGGGTGATGCCGCGGATCCGCGGCATACGCTGGATAGTAATTCTTACGGGCCGGTCAGTATTAGTTTGATTACGGGGCGGGTGGCTGCTGTTGTGTGGCCTAAGTCGAGGTGGTTGAGGTGGGAGGATTGGGAGCGAGAAAGCCTGGGGGAGGGGAAGGGAGGGTATAGGCGGGGGACGAGGGAGAGGGTGCTGAAGGAGGCGGTGCAGTTGGAGGCGCCGCGGTTGCATTGATCTTGGGTACTTTGTAGTTGGTTGGGAGGGGGTAGAGATAGAGATAGAGATGGGTGGGTGGGTGGGTGTATATTATCGTTGGAATGTATTATATACTGTTATGATAGATAAATGACTATTGGCACAATATGCGTGCTATAAAGAGGATATCGGCAGCAGCCAGCCAAAACATAAAAATCCAAGACAAACAACCAAGAGGAAAGAGCAAAGAAACTAAGGTACACCTCTTCTAGCCGACGGCGTCACAACGCGAATATCCTCCGGCTTCTCCTCCTGCAACCGATCAATCTCAGACGCAATACTCAACACCCATCTATCCTTGTCCACGCGACTCCTCGCCTTGAACACAGCCGTGCGTCCATGCACACCCAGCCTCGAAACCTGCTTCAGCGTCTGGCGCTTCTTGCCCTCCTGGCCGAGCTCGTGCGCGCGGAACAGATTCTTCCGCAGCGGCTGCCACACGACGAACGTGATGGCCGTGTCCTCGTCGCTGCTGGTGTACATGTCCGTCGAGAGGTAGACGCGGGGCAGGGCGTGGTGCTGGCCCGGGTGGTTGCTGTCGAAGGTTTGGTTGGCGTAGAGGAGGTCGTCTTCGGTGAGGATGCCGGAGTAGATGTAGCAGTCGTTGAGGTCGAGGGTGGTTTCGAGGTGCGTGTGCGTGTGGGGTACGTTGACGCCGTTGCGCTTGCGGAGCGCGCTGCGGAAGATGAGCAGTTTGCCGTCTGTGAGGACTACCTCGCACTGTTTGAAGGTCGAGTGGCGGCGGGGTTTGCGGTAGAGTTGGCCGGACATCTGGCGTGGGTGAGTATGGGATTGGACATGGAGGTGGGGTTCAACGGGGAAGGAGGAGAGTGACATACCTTGATGGCTCGACATCCTGCTAGCGAGCACATGTTGTGAAGCAGCGGCGAGGCGAGCGCCTTCTTGACTTCCCATTTACAGGCGTACTGCCCCACCATCGACTCCAGCTCCTCGTCGATACCCAGCAGCTCCAGATTCCGCTGGCGGATGCCCTTGAGCTCCGTCGAGTCCGCCGCCGAGCGCAGCTTCCAGTACCGCACCAATGCATCAAGACGCGTGATCCATTCGTCCTTGGTGACATCGTTGTACGCCTGTAACCGGACGACGAGCCCATTGTCCAGACGCAGTTCGAACGTCCGATCGTCGTCGAACTCCCGGGTGTCACCGTCGTCGCGCCGCGAGTCCTGCGCGTCCGGGTGGAACGCGACGTCGGGGCCCGCGCCGACGTTCGGATCCGCGGGGCAGCTGTCGCGCTGGACGGGACGCACTTCTTCCACCTGGCGCAGGTCGATGAAGCCGTCGGAGCGGGAGATGTTGTGGAGGTTCCTGCGCAGCTGGACGACTGCCTCTGTGTCGTGTTTCTTGATGTGTTCTTCATTCCCGCTCGACAGCCATTCGATGCCCCCGTCGTGGAGCGGAAACGGGTCAACGTGGTAACACAGCGGGGAGCCGCTCATGATGTCCTGCGTTGACGGGATGTTGGAATCATGTTCGCATATCCGGGGAGGCGGTGGCGGGAGTGTCCTCGTCGGCCGACAGAAGAAAAGGTAGTGGTCTTGACAGAAAAAGTACAGACGTTTGTAAAACATCTTGTTCCGGCGTTGGTGCACGCCTCGCTGGGAGGTCAGGCGGATCAAGAATCCCTCTACCGGCTCGGGCTCATCCTGCCTTCCGTTGTCGGCTACAATATGGGTGCGATAGTGTTGTCGGGGCCGGAGCTCCAGTTCGTGGGACGTCTGCATCGCCATGGTACCGTACATTTTCTGCTCGTTGATTCCGAAGACCCATTCTAATCGGTCGTAGCGCTTCCAGGCTAGTCCCATCTTCTCGGTCTTGGACCACTGTTTAAGGACGTCAGCCCACTCGGATTCCTTGGAGAGCATTTCCATGCATCCGCGTATGATGGACGCAGCGGCGAATTTCTCGCGCGCCGCGGACCGGGTTAGGGCGTGGTCCTCGTCATCTGAGCGATTGGCGTTAGCACCCACGTCGATCTGCTCAAATGGCTTCTGAAAGACCAAGGACACGCCAAGGTCCGGCACATTGATCGCCAGCGAGGAAGGCCGACGCCAGCCCAACGCCTGGCGGAGGAAGGTGGACCATTCAGCCGCATGCGCCGACGACTTGGGTCGTATGATGAAGATCTTGGTTCCATACTTGGACGGTCTCCAGATCACGATGGTCTTGTCCAGCGACGAATACAGATTGACGCTGACCGTCTTGCGGTCGAGCAGGACTTCGTAGTAGGGTGAGATGCGCGCGCCCTTCTTCTGGATATCGGGGATGACGCGGGTTTTGTACATTTGGAGACAGAACCTAGCCGAGGGATCCGAGGACCTCCGGCAGACGACCAGGAATTCGCGCCACCGGTCCACGACCCTGGTCTCCATGCGCTGGCTGTGATTCTCCATGTAGTCGTCCGGGAGTTCGCGCGGACTCTCCTCGACCCGGGCCAGCATATGCTCCGCCTTGATGATTTCGCCGCCCTTGTTTCGTCGCCGATGCGGCAGATTGTCCGCGACAGCATCCTGCGTTCTGGATATCCGCGAACGGGCTCTTTCCTTCTTATTCCACAAGTTGTCGTCTATTCCGGTTCTCGAGGCCTTCTGTGCCAGCCAGATGGCGGTATTGTACACGGTCCCGCGTCGACTGGATGCGCCCGGCGCATTCGGGTCGGTTCCGTCCGGTGCCTCTCTGGGTTCGCTGGGTATGGGTGGGGTGGGATGTGAATCTGTCGCTTTACCTTTGCCCTTGAGCGGCGGTGGTCGGCTTAGCAAAGGGGTGATCGACGTTTCGCTGGTATTGATTATGGGGGTTGACTGACTGGCCTCATACTGACTGGTTTCTTCCGTGGGGGAGGGTCCCAGGTCCGTTCTACTGGAGCGTTGGAGGGTGGACACCCGGGTTTTACCTTGGCTTGGGGGTGGTTCCCGTGCGGTGTAGTAGGATTCCGAGTCACGCCTGGTGGGCTCCGGCGGTCCCTGGTCTCCCTGGTCCTGGGGGAGTGTGTTCTCTGGTTCCGCGACTGTCGTCGGGTCTCCATCGGTCTCCTCTACGGACGCTATCATGCGGAGGTCTCCAGACGGACCGGATGTCTCTGCTCCATGATCGTCCTCCCGTTCCGTCTCATCGTCCTCGGAAGAGGACTCTGGGGAGGGAAAGTCCCCCGTGCCAGTTGAATAGCCGGGTCGCGGTTGATCGGAGCCGTCTGGGCCGGTCATGAGACCCGTGTCGGCGGAAAAGGTGGGAGCCTTGTGTTTTTTGAACTTCCCCCTGGTCTTGAACCATGATTTGCGGTGGTGTTGAAGCCAGCCCTTGGGGATGGGACCGATGAAGTATCGCCTGCTGGTTACGTGTACATGTTTGGCGGAGGCGTACCGCTGTTGCTCTGGTTAGTTGTGGGCTCTCTCTTGGTTGGAAGATCATACAAGCTTCTCTGCGCTATAGGAATCCGAGGCTAGGCCATGATAATGGTGATCCTGGAACCAGTCTTGTGTCTCGTCCTCCATGGTATCAGGGACATGTTGAACTGGGGGAGGAGTGCTCATGGCACTGTGGGGGGGAGATCAGGAATGGATGGATGATGCATCCACGGGTACCATCAAGCCGTACGTAAGTAGAAAGGAGAATAGACTATAGAGAAAGAGAGCGAGGAATGAAGGGATAGGACTAGAGGGATCGGGATGATTTGCGCGTCGGATGTAACCGATGACGTCGATCAACCGGTGTTTGTTTGGTTTGTGTTGATGCCTCAGGGGGAAGTCTTGGCTTGTTTTATACAGAGTATGGAGTCCACATTACTCCTGCAATCTGGAATATATAAGGGACTATTGAATCAATATCCAAAAAGTTTCCGGTATATGACAGGTTTCAAAGCGTTGGTCAGGAGTGTCTATCAAGATGTCAGGTCTGGTGCCTGGTTCATTCTTCGATCCTTGAGCAATGTAAATAGTAGTTGGTACCTTTGATAGAGACCATCGAAGCATACAGTCCTGTAACTACCAGTTCTGTAACTACCAGTTTCCAATTTGCAAATAACCCCCAATGAAGTAGAGACACCGGAATCAGAATGCGATGTGTCCAGAGCTGTCTCAATCTAGTCAAGGTCGAATGGTGGGGAAGTTGCGTGGCCCGGCGGTGAACAGGAGTACCTCGTCCGCCCGCAATAAGAACAGGTATAGCGATGTACTCTTGTTTCATCTGCCCCTCTTCCTCTTCCTCTCTCTTCCTCCCCTTTTCTTCCCTCCACATCTATATATAAACCTCTCCTGACTTTTTATCTTCCCCTTCTTCACCTCTTCTATTCTCTATAGCCTCCATCAACCTCTATCCGCCAAAATGTCTACCTGGTTCGACACCATCAACCGCTCCTTCGACAGCGTCCCCATTGACGCCGCCAACGACCAGGGGATCTCCACCACCGAGTTCCTCGAGGCCGCCGAGTCGTTGACCACTTTGTTCGGTATATCCACCCCCCGACCTACTGCATTGGAGAATCCCAACACTAATAATGTAGACGTCCTTGGCTCCGTCGCCTTCAACCCCGTCAAGAATGATCTTCTCGGCAACATCAAGGTCCGTCTACCCCGCGACCCCTCCTTCAACTATCTCAAGGTCTAACCAATCTTCCCACCACAGAAAGTGAGAGAGAGGCAGCAGGCTGCCCCCGCCGAGTCGGCCACTCTCCAATCCCTCGTTCTCAACGAGCTCAAGACCAAGAAGCACGTCGCTACCGAAGGTCTGGTCTGGCTGGTCCGGTACGTATCCTACATACACAACACACGACCTCTACAACCACTCCCCCTCACCCCTCAAATTATAACCATACTAACCAATATCATGATTACAGCGGCCTCGACTTCACCGCCCAATCCCTCCGCCACAACCTCGACCAGTCCTCCTCGGAGCTCTCCGACTCCTTCCGCCAGGCCTACGGCAACACCCTCAAGCCCCACCACTCCTTCGTCATCAAGCCCATCTTCTCCGCCGCCATGTCCGCCACCCCCTACCGGAAGGACTTTTACGCCAAGCTGGGCAGCGACCAGGCGCAGGTTGAGGCCGCCCTCCGCAAGGAGGTCAACGCTCTCGAGGAGCGTGTTGCCATCCTTAAGGCTTTCCAAGAGCGCAAGGAGGCTAAGTGGTAGATTTTACATTCTGGGGTAGAATTGAATTACAATATACATATTCATAGCATTTCCAATGCGTTCCGTTTCCTGGGTGTATTCGTAGGGATAGTCGAGGTAATTGCGTGTTTGTTTACACGGCTAGTTCGGGACTGTTCCGGCTGTACAACATTTTACATCACCTGTCTAAATCCCCACTCTTTGAATCAATACATAAATAAGATATAAGATAGATATGATATAATATACATATTTACATTGACCAGTATATCGACCTCTACTCTATCTAACCCAAGACACAACCGAGTAAACCCCACGCCAAAAGAAGAAACACAAAAATAGAATGAGAAGAGAGTGAACCCATCTACCTCCCTATCTACACCAGATAAACCCACCACGTCTATACATTACCCAGCCACCTAGAAGCCAAAAAGAGTGGAGTGGAGGGGAGAGGAGAAGAGGACAATATCCAGTGATCACCAGTCAGAATCAAAGCATACATGCACAGTCAATCCAGCATCACGTGCATGTAGTATGGTATGGGACAGGAATGGTGTCAGGCCAATCAAGCCGACTCCTGCGTTGACTGGGAAGTAGAGGAAGCAGCAGGTTTTACATCCGGGGACGAAGCGTTGCGCTTAGAAGAAGCCACTGCGTTCCTCGCTGCCGACGCCGACGCCGCGCGCTGAGCAGCAGCGGAGCCATCCCGCAGACGTTTCAGACGCTCGCTGCGACCTTCACCGGGAAGGCTGCCCCAAACAGGTTCGATGGAGTCAGCGCGCCAGTTGGAGCGACGGCCGGCGTAGGTGCCTGTGCGGGTGGGCAGGTGGACCAGGGGGCTGGCGCCGGCGCCGGACTCGCCCCACATGCGGACGCGCTGGAGCTTGCGCAGCTTGGCGAGGCCGTAGAGGCAGACGACGCCCGTGATGGCGAAGCAGGTGACCGAGACGGCGCCGAAGCCGAGGTCAGATTCTTCGATGAAGTTCTTCAAGTTCATGCCGTAGAGGGCGGAGAAGAGGGTGCCGGTTGCGAGGCCGAGGGTGCCGATGCTGAACTTGAGGTCGAGGAGCATGAGGGAATTGCGGTTGGCGTCGAGGATGGCTTTGACGCTGTTTTGATGATTTGTTAGTGTTATTCTTCTGGTTTGGTCCGTCTGGCGGATGCAACTTACACTTCCTCTGTGTTGCGGATACTCGTGACCAGGTTACCACTCGATTGCACGATTTCATCGCACACCTTGTGATACGACTCGAGGAGCATCTCCACCTCCTGGTGATCGTGCTCCGGGCGTTGAATGCCATGGGCGCTCTCGCTCAGATACATCGCAGCGAGGTCATCATCCGCCTCGAGGAGATCCTCAATGGCGTCGCGAACCAGCCTCGCCTTCTGCTCAAAGGTACCCAGTCGCTTAGAGTAGATAAGAAGATGCCGGAGCTTTTCCCGATCAATGTCTTCCTCCAGAGCGCGGAGGACCCGCACGACAGGTTCTTTGACGCCGTTGAATTCCTCCTCCAGACCCGTGGTCACGCTGATCATGATGGCCTCCAGCGCGCGGAACTCGTACGGGAGGACACCGTCGCCCTGCGACTGCTTCTGCCGCAGCTTTCCCTCCAGGTCGTACACGAACAGCGACTGCATGTAGGAGTCGGTGGAACCGTAGGCGTCGAACACCAGGACGCGGTCGGACTTGATCAGGACGCGCAGATGCAAGAGGTTGATGAGGATGGCGCTCGGGCGCACCAGAATGTGCGGAAGGGTGGATGAGTCAATTTTGCGTAGATCTCGTGGAAGAAGGCCGTACTATAGATCGTCCATGAGTGAGCTAGCGGTCCCTTCACCTCAAACAGACCAGCAATAGACACCAGTCGATAGAGACAGACAAACCTTAGCAATCAACTCCGTCTTCTTGAACTCCCCATTAACCAGCGTAACATCCCCATTACTATCAAACTCGGTACACCTCAACCGCAACTCATTCGACGCCTTCGCAGCCAACGACCGCCTAAAATTCAAGTGTCCCTCCCGCTCATCATTCAACAACGGGCCGGCGCCCGCGCCATGCTCAAGTTTCGCATTCGCCGCCTCCTTATTCCGTCTGAAATCGAGCAGCCTGCGCAGAAACGGACGACTTTTGGTAGACGACGCCCGCGAGGGAGGCAGCAAGGGCTGTGCAGCGGACGACGGGTTCTGGCCAAGCGCCGCTCGGCATCGGGATGCGGATGCGCCGCCGCGACTTCGCGAGAATCTCGGGATGTGGAAAAAGCTGGCTTCGAGCGATGGCCGACACGGGGCTGCACCACTATCCCTCCATGTTGATGAGGGAGTCCACGAGTCGTGAGCGGCTGATACCAGATGTGATGACGGCGGCGGCTGCGCTCTTCGGGATGGTCGTGCACAGGAGACACTCGGCGTGAAGAACAAGGACGATTCGGTCTGGGAGCGGAGAAAACGGAGGAGAGATGTCGAGGGGACGGATGGTTTCGGGGACAGCATTTCTGTCTTTGACCGAGTCAGAAACAGCGCTGGACTTGTTGATTGCTCCCCAGGGTGTCTTCAGTTGGTGAACATGGATTGATTTGGTTGATCTTCTTTTATTTGGGATTATTTTTTCCGCGGAGATGTCGGATCAACCATGTTCCGGGGTATTCTGTCGCCTCCTTACAGATCTTGACAGACATTCAGGGATATTATAGAGAGACTGTTCAGTCAAGCCCAAGCGCCGTATGATAATGTAATCTAGTAGATCTATCTAAATCGTCTGACAATATAACTTGCGACCACTCTAAGATCAATGCGACCCATTCGCCGCGCCCTTCTCCATCCGCTCCACATAATCCACCAGATCCTCAATCGTACACACCTTGATACCCCATTTCTTCCCGAACTGCAAGCACGCATCGCGTCGCATCATGTCGTTGTTACCACCGATGGCCGGCACCCCAGGGACCAACTCGCCATCCTCAACCAGCTCCGCGATCACACCCACCGGCGCCTTCCCGGCCAGCCGGCAAAACTCAACAGCAGCCTCGGTGTGTCCGCGGCGCACGCGCACACCCCCGTCTCTAGCCTGCAGAGGGATGATATGGCCCGGACGCCGGAAGTCCTCGATGCGGGCAGTCGGGGAAGCCAGCGTTCGGCAGGCGAGGGCGCGGTCATGTGCGGAGATGCCGGTCGTGACGGAGTCGTCGCTGGAGTCGATGGATATCGTGTAGGCTGTTCCCTTGGGGTCGGCGTTTTCGACGACCATTTGGGGGAGGGCGAGGCGGCGGGCGATGTCGGCGGTGATGGGGGCGCAAATCAGGCCACTGTCGTACCGGACATCAGTAAGGACGCGATTCACCGGTGTACTTTCCGTCAGGGGAGAGGAGGGCCTACCTGGTAAACCGGACAAGGAAAGCCATCTGGGCGTCTGTAACAGACTCGGCCGCGATAATCAGATCACCCTCATTTTCCCGGTCCTGCGAGTCGAGAGCGATGATAAATTCGCCATTCTCTGCGTGTCGCATGCGTTAGCCCTTCTCTTTCCACCGACGACCCCCCGACACTGCGACGAAAACGACAGACGGAAAGTAAAAGAGAATCACTAACTAAAAGCAGCAACCGTATCTTCGATCGAGTCGAATTGCAAACTCGGTTCCGTCGAGGCAGGCATTATTATGACTCGACTGGCAATATGCGGGGCAGATATCGTAGCGGGGTGTGTAAAATAACACAATGCGAATTGTGCTCTAGAACAACTGAAACCGAATCCGAGACTCTGGAATTATGTATTGCACAGTATCGCGATCACTCCACAACAAATATGTAAAGGAGTCGTCCAAAGAATCTCTGATTAGGGGGGTGGAGGTTGATCGGTGCCAAAGCGGGGAGGACCGGAGGTGGCGATCGGAGTTAAGTTTGGATGGGGCGATGTCAACTGACAGTGACTGCAACGATTGAGGCGACGATATTATATACTCTGGAAAATGGAATAAAATTGCCAGTGGGAAGAAATCAATGGATGTCAATGCCAGAGAGGAAGTATGTGGAAGAAGAAGAGAGGATCAGTCATGGTTTTGTCAGAAGCCGTGATGCTCTTACCAATTCCGCTGCCGAGGCCGAATCGCTTGCGGGCCGAGTACGGTTGACACTGGGTGGTGGGGAGATTGTCGGTCTTGAAACACTCTTTTCTTCTATTTTGTAGGTAGAATGGTTGTCGGGCTAATCTGATACAATTCATGCTTCATTACGGTTTTATCTTTTCATATTACATCTTTAGGATTTGCCTAGAAGTACTATGGATCATGTGTTTGAACTTTTTTTTTGCATTTTATATGATATAAACAAAGCACCTCGTAACAGGACACGAGTATAATATGCAAGAAAAAAAAAATACTAATAGATAAATAAGATAAAATATGATGAAAGAACGAGGTAATCCCACGATAGTGCCCTGTCAAGGAGGCAACTACTCCAGTCGTGGAGGGATCGACTCTGTGGTAGACAAAGGGGACTGGGAAGTGCAGCACGGCACGATGAAACCCAACCCGAATGGCGGAGCCGGAGAGTGTTGATGAAGGAGTCAAGCAGCTAGGAGAGCACTCTACCACCCAAAAATATCACCCACGCTCAAAACACTATACCGCACCCCCGCAACAGAGAACAACACCAGCACGACATCAACAACACCCAGCAGAGCAGCGCCCATCATGAACCGGGGGTTAAAGATGCGGTACAGCATAAGGTGCCGACGGAGATGGCCAGCCCACATTGTCGTCGCAAGGTTAACGGTCGCAAAGTAGAGCAGGTATGTACAAGCCGCCTGGACGACGTCAGAGAGGATCTTGATCGTCGGGCTCTTAGCCTTGGCGGACTGCGAACCCGTCTGGTCGCTCAGGTGGAGGGGTCGTTTCCAGAGGACGGTGAGGGGCACGGCGACGGTGGTGAGGATCTGGGGACCGAAGGTGTTGAGCGTTACCAGGATGGGGGACCATGGGTATTGGACCGTGGACAGTGGGATGAAGGCGGACTCCCACTGGATGCTGCTGAGGACGGCCTGGTGGCCGGTCGTGAAGTAGTGGAAGGACCCCAGGAGGGCCAGGACAACGGGCCCGATGGACGAGTTTGTGGACACCAGGGCGTTCGTGTCGAGGATTTCGAGCAACGACAGGATCTGCCAGAGCAGCAGGCCGATGGCTCCCTGGCCCATCGGTTTCTGCATGAGGGTGATGGCCAGGCAGAAGTTGATGACGAGAAGGAAGAACCGCGTTCCGTAGACGTTGCCGAACCCAAGGATGGTGACGGTTGTGCGACCGGGTTGCTGCGTGGAGGTTGGAGATTTGGTCTTGGCCTCGGGCTCGGAGTCGCCTTTGTTGACGTCGATGCTGACGCACGGCTTCGAGTAAATATACCCAGTCATGCCAGCCGCAAAAGCCAAGGCGAGCACCAGCTGAGAGACGAACACGCGGATCGTCTTCAGAGTTTCCTTGCTCACCGGAAGCCAGTCGCCATCGTCGGCGCCCTCGAGCATCCAGAAGACGGACGTGAGGACCAGCCCGACCCGGAAGCCATATCCGATCCAAAGCGTGGCAATCCCCTCGTAGGACTTGGACCCAGCATAGAAGCCCTTGACCACGGTGGGAAGCACGAGCGCGACAATGAAAGGAATCGCAAGCTGCCACGGGGCCGAGGTCGACGAGGTGGCGCTCGCGTAGTACGTCGAGCGGCAGAACGGCATCTGTTCCTCACGGCAGAGACGCGAGAACGAAGCGATGCGTCCGAGGATGATGAAGAGGATCGAGTGGTAGACTCCCAGAACACGGTCCGCGGTCGACTTCTGCCGCATGGAGGAGATACCCGCGACGGCGCCGAAGGTGGAGAGGAAGAACAGAAGGATGTCGTCTTCCCAGATCGTGTACGAGTTGGAGGCGAAGCCGATGGACTGGCTGACGGTGAACACCAACGCAAGCCAGCCCCATAGGGAGTTGGGGAGCGGCAGTGTCAAGCGCGATGGGGTGCCAAAGATCGCGAACGAAGCGGCGACGATACTCCCCGAAGCAGCCATCAAGGCGGATGCTTCCACGGCCGGCATGTCCAGCACCTTGGTGACGGCGAGCAAGACACCAGCCACAGCACCCACGCCCGAGCCGATTCCAGCGGATGAGAGCAGGGGCGCGGTAAGCTCCGTCCGGTCCGCCTTCATGCCTCGCGCATAGAACACCAGCAAGGCTACTCCCCCGGCGAGAACCGCAACACCCTGCAGCATGCTCGGAATATCAAACTTCGCCCACAGCCCACGGCAGATATCCAGGGTGTTGCGCTCGTACTCTCGATACAACTGGTAGGCTGCTGCCACGTTTGACTTTCCACCCTTTGCCAGAGTGTTTTCGGCTGCTTCCCAGAGCCCCAGCGACTCGTACTCTTGGCCCTCGTCCGCACCGTGGCTCAGAGCATACGCGTGCTGGTATCTCTTGATCTGAGCCGCGGTCAACCGGTTAACGGTCATCAGGTTCTTCCAGTCGTTTCCGCTACGGCCCGCGAAGGCCTCATCGATCGGCGCGCCCAGGTTATTGAACGGGATCGGCATTCCAAGGAGTAGCGACAGGGTCGGAACCAGGTCGATCTGAGGGACGAATCGTTCGCGGGCAAACCGGGGCGGCATCACCGCTTCGGTGCTGGTGCGGCCGAATATACCCTTCTTCGAGTACATCCATAACGCAGCCTCGACCTCGTCGCTGGATTCCCCGCCATGGTCCCCCTTGGAGTCCATGCCGTGGTCGCCCATCACGACCAACAGAGTATCGTCATCGATCTTGGCGATCAGTTCCCGGATGACTTGGTCCATCTGCCGGAGCTTTGCACCCATCGCGACGTGGTTGGGGCCATAGCGATGACCCGCATGGTCAACACCCAAGTAGTGGCCGAAGATGACGTCCCATTTGGTCGAATTTTCGCGGCTCAGGAGCGGAAACAGGTTCTCCGTCACGCCGTTATCGACGGTGTGCAAATCCCAGACATTGAACGAGTCGAACGCCCGGGTGAGGTTGGCGTCGAAGTAGCCGGGGAAGAGAGCGTGCCAGGTATCATCCCCCAGCTGGACCAGAGTCTTCCCCGCGGCGCGGAGCTGAGCGACCAGGTTGTCCTCGTCGATCGCGGTCCCCGCGAAGTTGGAACCGGCATCGACAAAAGTCGGCAGCGTTCCGCTTGTCAAACCCTTGAGTCGTTGGAGGGTTGTGGTGGGGGGGTCCGCGATGAAGGGGAGCAAAAAGGCGTTCTCCGGCGTATTGACGGCCGTCTCGTACAGGACCGGGATGTTGTCATGGAACAGATGCGCCATTTCACTCTCTGAACTGGGTGCGAAGGGCACCGTAAAATCGTATCTCAGAGCATCGATGATGACCACAACCGCCTTATCGAATGTCTTGGGGTGCCAACACCCTTGGCCCGCACCGCGCGTAGCGGACTGCGCCGATGGGTCGGCATACGGTAGCACCTCACAGGACGATTTATTGTCCAGCACCATGCGCGTCAACAAAAATCCCTTCGTGAAGAAAAATATCCCAACCACGTGTAGGAACCTGTTTTTCATCCCCACGAGTCAGTAAAAAAGAACATTGGTCCGCAAGGACACGTGGTGGAGGGGGCGCAATCTCACAAAATCCACCCGAGTACCCCCATCAACCCCAAGTGTTTGGATTTAAAATCGCGTTCCATCCCATTCATGAAATCTTCCTGTTTGAGACTTCCCTTTCCAGTCTGGGGTTGCATCCCCGGCGGGATTTTCGATCCCGGCGCCCTCCGCGGAACGGCCGGGTCGGCGGTTCGCGACAGCGGCGATCGAGAGGACGACACGCCATTGAGGTTCGGGCTCGCAAGGCCTGGCCCCGAATCGAATGGAGAAGCCATCGCAGGTGTACCCTTTTTTCTCTCCGAAAGGTTGATGTGTTCGCGCGAGGAATTTGTCGTGGTGAGGGGGATCCACCAGCGCAAGGCTGCCCTTTGGAGGTCACGTCGCAAAGACTGATACCGGGTGTCGTAAGAACGCGAGCGTTCAGGTTCAAGCGCACTGGGGGGTCAACAAGAGACTCATTGAAAGGGCCGAGTTGCGTGCGATGCGGGGCTGCTCCAAAATGGACAACGTTTCCAAATTCCTGTTCCGTTGTTTTTCTCGGTCTGAAATTATTTTTCCTTTCAGGAGCTGTGGGACGGGGGGGGATGGTGGTGGAGGGTGCTCCTTAATGGGGAACTGGGAGTTCAAACCAGACACATATTCAAAATTGCATCCAGCTTGGGTCATGCGATGGGGAGGAAGTACTCCGCGGGAGGACGACTAACGTGTACTTCTCCAAGCGGGCTGTTGGGAAGAAAGAAAGAAGACGCAGAAGCAGCTAAGGAGTACCGATTGGAACCCCCCAAAAACCCTCCGGGCTCTCCGTGACGTCGGCGCGTTCGGCAGCTAAGGTGAGAATTTGGCCGCTGTTATTGGCCCAGACGGTGTCGGAATTTCCAGAAACCCTGCCGAGTGTGGAGCCTTTGCCGATCTGGGAGGGAAAAGTGTCTGTGGACTTGGCGCTATGCAGCAATAGGTCGTGGATGGAGTGGAGAACAGGAGGGCTCACGCGGTGGTAATTGACCCTGAGAAAGGGTCGATCAATTGACACAGACTATCCTGCAGACCGCATCGAATCTGCAGTGGATTTGGTCTCGAGTCGCTGCTTATGTCACGTGATACATACTTGTCTATGCGCAGTCATCTGATATTGTACTCCGTGTACGATGGTATGATGATAGATTGGGCTGCTGAGGTCGACTGGGATTTTATCAATGAAGTATAGAAGATGGGGTTGAATCCAACGGTCATCAATGGGTGCTAGTGTTGTGTAATGTCTAAGTACAAGATTGAATACCTCGGAGCGTTCTTCCTCTTATAGAGTGACCCCACAGGTGCTAGCACGTAATACGTATACCCAACATATACAAAAAGGCAAGGGCACCGATGGAGAGTATGCAAAAGAAGCATTGTACCGGGTCGTGACAAGTATCATAAACTAGATGAAGGGTACTGGTTTGCACTGGTCCATTCCAGGCAAGCTGAATCGAGTATGGAAATAACAGACATAGTCACAACAATGACTGGCTAGAGGGCATGGGAATATGTATAGGTGATAGAGATAATGTGATATAGAGGAATCGGGTAAGGGGCGAAACAAATATCCTGCCAAAGGAACCAACGCAGGTGCGAAAAAGTATCGGATTGACTAGGTCTTTCCGACTCCGCCATCGCCCATAGCGACTCCTACCAAACTCTGCGGCTCGCCAGGCACCGTCTCCGGGGACCGGGGTGAGATCGGGCTCGCACTCAGTGCAGCATCTCTCTCCCGCTTGACTCGGAAGAACGCCAGTTTCGAAAACCGGTTGAGCTGCGCCCAGAAGTGGCGACCAGCCGCGTGGACGGAGATTCGCTCCAAGAGAGCGGCAGTGGCTTCACGAACAGTGCGGTCAGAATGGAAGAGGCCCATGCTGATGTAGAACAGTCCCGCTTGGTTTTCGGGAGTCACCGTGAGGAGTTGGCAGATCCCGGCGTAGTCTTTTACGGCATGCGAGAACGCAATGTAGACGGCGCCGGCGTCCGGCGCAGAGAGTTTCAAGGTCCGCAACCGATCGTGGTGATGATGCAGATCCGGTTTCTGGATGGGGCGTGCCGGGAAGTACATCGCCGCGATGTCTTGGATGAACGAGTAGTAGGATCGTGTCGAGCGCCAGCCCTCGATCCTCGAGACCGATGCCATGAGTTCGCGCTGCTTGGACCCCTCGTCGGCCCACACGTAACCATGGCCGCGGAGAGTAGTAGGGTCTAACGGATCGGCTTGGTGGCCGCTCGGGCTCTCCGGCGACAGCTCTTCATTGGGTCCGATGATGTAGAGGTTTGAAGCACCGTAGACGGTCTCTTCGAAGGCCGCAGCGATCCGCGTGAACTTGGTGATGTAGGCGCGCCATTTCGCACGGATGGCATTTTCACCATACCGGTTGGTGATGCTACGTTGAACATCTTCCATAAACAGATTGTCCCCCGTCGGGTCTGTGTGGGATGCGTGGTGGTTGTAGGTCAATGGCGTCTGTTGTTGGAAAAACAGCATGCCTTCGGTGACCGGAGCAGCTTCAATGTGACTGCTGATTTTCATCCGCCCCGTGGGAAGGTCGCAGAGAAGATCCCACCACTCAGGATGGTTGGCAAACGTGGGGTTGGTCACTCCAGCAATGAACCCCGGTACTTTCAAAAGGTCATCGATCTTGGTGAGATCGGTGTAGGGAAAAGCGTGTCTGGTGAAACCGCGGAGGATCCCGCCGGACGCGAGGGCACACGCTGCGAGAACGGCTTCGGCGACTTCACCCGAAGGACGGTTATGTCCCAGGAACACGACCCGTTTTTGTGTGAGCATGGCGTTGACAAGCACAATGATCGGATGAGTGTAGGCGCCACTGGTAGTCAAATGAGAGTGGAGGGGGAACGGCTGGGGGTTGGTAGAGTGGGTGGCAGAGAAGATTTGGACGAGTTTGATGAGAGAAAAATCTCCCACAATCTCGGGCCAGATCAGAGTCGGCACCTTGACCGGAATAGGAATATCATGGTAGACAACCTTGGACTCAAACTCGTGAGTGTCGCGTGGCAGTGCGTATCGCGAAGTCAGTTTCTTGGGCGAGGGCGGACACTCATCATCGTTGGGCTCCCCTTCTTCCGCCATGCGCTGCTGGATCATCTTCTCAAATTTCTCGATGAAGATGTCCTTGGAGTTGCTGGCTTGCAAGATGGTCCGCTCAAGAAGCGACAACTTCGGCAGCAAAGACAGGTCCATATTGTTCACGGCTTCGTACAGCGACGCCAGCGTTTCTGGATAAGGAGACTTGAAATAGTCCTCCAAGGCCAGAAGCAGCAAAGGCTAATTCAGGTCAGACGAACATCCCTTTCCGGGTCGGGAGGGAGAATCACCTTGTATATGTGAAGGAATGAATGCCGCGTACAGATCGCCATGGATTTCACAACCGCACCACTGTAGACCTGTCAGCCACCATAATCGAAAGCAATTGAGAGACTCGGACTGGGGAACGTACCGTTTGGCTGTGTTATCCTGTTTCGTATTTACAAGATTCAGCACATACATCAAGGGTGGCCCCTCACCCCCCTCCTCTTCGTCTTCGCTGCTTTCATCGTCTTCGGACGCCTCCTCCGCGTCCTCGTTTGGAGTGCCGTCGCCCTCGCCGCCCTCCTGATCGTTCCTTTTGCCCTTTCTCTTCTTCTTCTTTTTCCCCGAAACGGAATCGTCATCGTCTCCGTCTGCGCTGGTGTCCTTGTGTAAAAAGAAGATGGTCCAGTCCTGACTTCTGACGTGAGTCTGATCCGGAAGCATCAGTTCGGCCAACATGCTCTCATCCCCACTGATAGGCGTCGGGTACTGATGTTCCATGATGGGGCCCCGATCAATATGGAACGAGGCCACCAGGATATATTCGACATGTCGCTCGGGGGAATCGCGGGGGTATTGTGACTTGCATCGTCGGGGCGCAGTGCTCGCCCCAACACGATCGACGGAGCGGCGACGCACCGACGTGTGCGAACTGCTGGGAGACCGGGTCTGGATGAAGGACGGGGATGGTGAGAGTCGAGGCAGGCCGTTCGCCTTGGAAGATTTGGTCGGCGAATGCGCGGCATCGTCCGATGACCGGAGGGGCAGCGACAGGCTCATTTTGGGGCTCGGCGACAAGGGTGGACCGGTGGGAGAGAGGGTATGTGCCATGTGTGCGATTGGATTTCGATCGGCACCAGGCCGGTGCGCTCGTGGCTATGCAGCAATATTCAACCTAGATCAGAAGCAGGAGTACCGCATACTCCACCCAGCGATACGGATAGTGGGCGACAAAGCTCCTCGGGGGAGGGAATGCGGAGTGAATCAATTGATAACCACAGTAGTTAATCCGCTGCTGAACAGTTGTCCGCCCTGACTCAGGGAGCTTGCAGTAATTCCATGGCCCATTGAGGGTTGTTCTGCAGCGATCGATCGGAGGTATGTTCAGATAGCGCGTGGTCCATTCGCATCGGATTGAATTCAGGGGAAGAAACCCTGCGGGCCTGAGGCAGGCACCCCCGCGGTTTGTTCTGTTTGACATTCCAGTTCCACATCTATATAAACCCTACGGAGTATAAGGATTGAGCTACTACAAATGTATTGAAGATCGAGGGTGTGATACTCTGGATATTCTGCGCTCTTCTATTTATTATACATCTTATGGAGAAGGAGTCAACAGACAGGAACTTTTCGTTTTTCTAGCCCTTGAATCCTCCCTCAAATTGTACATACCCCATCAAGGCTGCTAAGATTATACGCGGAGTTATGACCACACCAACTAAACAATGACTAAGCGCAATGCATCACATCATGTGATTAGCATGATCCCGGTATCCCGATAAGGCCTGAGGTTTCTAGAAATTTGCTGCGTTCGGAGTCAATCTGCCCATCGTTGAAGAGAGACCAATTTCATTTGTGTCCGCGCAACTCCCGAGATATCAACCATCTCAATCTTTCCTCGTTCCCCAGCCAATGGACCGAGGGTCAAGGCTGCGATGAGAACCTTCCGCTCCTCGCTCCGCGCGCCGCCCCGGCCGTTCTTTCAGCAGATCCGACACTTCCACCCCACAAATTCCAGACCGTTTGTTCAAGAGGTGCTGGAGGTGTCCTCGGGTTTCGTTCACGGGGTCCATACATATAGCGGCCTCCCATGGGCCCTGTCGATCCCATTGACTGCGTTCATCGTCCGGACGACTGTCGCTCTGCCATTGCAAATATACACCAAGGTCCAAGCTCGTAGACAGCGAGACCTCATACCTCTTCTCGATTCCTGGCGAAGGTACTACCAGAATGAGATTAATACGGGTATCCGGAAAAATTTTACAAAGCCAGTCCCCCCTGCAGAGGCGCGCCGGCATCTCAAAGCCAAGTTAGCTGGGAAAACGCGGGTCCTGTACCGACGCTGGAATGTAGCCCGGTTTTGGGCCCCTCTTCCCTTTCTACAGGTTCCAGTTTGGCTATGCGTTATGGAGAGCCTTCGGGAAATGTCTGGGAGTACTCGCGGCCTGGTGCCTTACCTCCTCTCGTTCCTTGAGAGCACTCCTTCGGAAGGAGGAGGCTATGTCCCTTCGGCTGTCGAGCCGTCGCTGGCGACGGAAGGCGCCCTTTGGTTTCCCGATCTACTCGCCGGGGATCCAACGGGGATCTTGCCCTTAACGCTGACCCTGTCCATACTGTTGAATGTTCGCACCGGCTGGAAGTCGCCGAAGATGTCCGAGATCACGGATCTACCTCGGGTAGAGCGAGGGCGGCATCTGTCAATGAAGCTGCTGAAAGGATTTGTCCAGGTTCTGGCCCTGAACATCGGTGCCTCGTCCTATCTGCATGGGATGCCGACCGCGCTCATGATCTACTGGATCACCAGTACCAATATCGCGACCCTTCAGACCGTTCTCATGGACAAATACATGTTTGCCAAACCACCGCTCAAGCGTTGGAAAGAAATGCATATCTCATATACGGAACCCGAACAGAAATCGTCTCCCAGCAAGAAATGAAAGATCAGCTCGCGCTTATTGTTGACAGGGGCCTTTTGTACATTATAACATCGATAGAGAATGGGCCCACTTTAAACATAAGCTAATACAAAGAAATAAATACATTGAACTCTCGATCTCAACCTTCCATCGGCAGCATGACCGGCATAGCCTGGTCTTTTCCATACGGTCTACAACTACCTACAAGACGCTGAATCGCGGGCAATACTAAACTCTCGAGAATAAACAATTGAATATTTTATGAAAGAACATAAATTAGTCCAGGTATATTGTCTATTGTAATAAGTAATAAACAAACCCAAAACAGCTGCAAGATATGCCATATTGCCACCAGATCGGTCTCTGGTGGTGGATCCGGCATTTAATCCCGTCACTCACTTCCCGCATTTATCAGTCTCAACCGCCTACTCTAAACCCTGCAACATCTACATCCCTTCGAACAATTGATTTTCTACACCATACCTCGCCATTCCTTTCTTTTCCCTGCGCATGCGAGCATTCTCCACCCAGAGCCTGCGGTGGGTGAGCCCACGTCGCCCGTCATGGAGTCGGATCTCCGCGTTGGCGCCGAGTAAAGCGCGTCCATTCCGCGGTGCTGCATTTCCAGCATTGTTTCGTCCACAGGTCCGACCATTCTCTGCGTCGATACCCTCCAGGTCCACATTCGATAGCGAGTCGACCATATATGCGCTGTCCACAGCATCCGGGCGAGCAGCGATCGCAGTCGTGCGGGTTTCCGGTCCAGCATGCGTGCAGGTAAGCCACTAGAAATGTGATTCTCATCTCTGGCGGACAGTACAGAGCGACTGACAATCTGGATTCGTCTTGTACGAGTAGATCTACAACGCACTATGTCCCAACACGCGACTCCCCCGACCGCGAATGGCAGCAGTCCGCACGCTGTACGATCCCACCCGCGACCCGTCCGCCAACAGCGTCCTCGATGCCGGTGCGCTGGTGCTATACTTTCCCGGCCCGAAGACCGTCACAGGGGAGGATGTGCTTGAGCTTCAAGTGCACGGTGGACCGGCGATTGTCCGATCCGTCCTTACGGCCCTCGCGCGACTAAATCAGCCAGCGCAGTCAGTTCGCTACGCTGAGCCTGGCGAGTTCACCCGGCGCGCGTTCATCAACAACAGATTGGATCTCACGCAGATTGAGGCGCTTGGCGATACCTTGGCGGCGGACACAGAGCAACAGCGTCGACTCGCCGTCCGAGGGGCCAGCGATGCTCTGTCGAAAAGATACGAGGAGTGGCGCCAGCAGCTGCTCTTTGCGCGCGGGGAGATGGAGGCACTTATTGACTTCTCGGAGGATCAGCATTTCGACGAGTCGCCCGACGAATTGACCTTCTCGGTCTCATCGCAAGTGCGGAAACTGCAGGCGCAGATTAGATTCCACATCCAGAACGCGTCGAAAGGAGAGTTACTGCGCAGCGGGATCAAAGTTGCGCTTCTCGGAGCTCCGAACGCGGGCAAGAGCTCTCTCCTGAACCAGGTTGTGGGCAAGGAGGCGGCCATTGTTAGCACCGAAGAGGGGACCACGCGGGATATCGTGGATGTGGGTGTGGATCTGAGCGGATGGTACTGCAAGCTCGGGGATATGGCTGGGATCCGATCGGAATTGGGGGCGCCTGCTGGACAGGGCTCGTTTATCATCGGGGCAGTGGAGCAGGAAGGGATCCGTCGTGCGAAGGCGCGGGCGTTGGATTCCGACGTGGTCATTGTGGTTCTCTCTCTGGAGAAGCGGCTTGACGACCCGTCGCTGTATCAGCTCTCCGTAGAGCCGGAAGTGGCCAGCGCTGTTCACGACTGCACGCAGGCTGGAAAGTGCGTCGTCGTCGCAGTCAACAAATGTGACCTACTGCCTCAGGAGGACCGGAACGGACAACTGGCCCAGCAGTTGACTGCAGCAGTTGGCATCCATTTTCCAGATGTCCCTGAGAGACGCATCTTCTTCATCTCCTGCAGCGAAGCCCAAAAGGGCATATCCGTGGACCCTTCAGACCCAGGTCAACTACAAACCTTCCTCCGAGGGTTGGTCACCACATTCGAAGAAATCACATCACCCCTAGGAGGGGAAGACGGCGAAGCCGGAACATACGACGCATCCTACTGGGAGGACTCACTCGGAGTGACGCACCGGCAGAGCGCTAATTTAGAAAGATGTCTGCGCCATTTGGATGACTTTCTTGACGAAGCACAACCCCAGAGATCGTCGGTGGACCCCGCCCATGGAATGGAAGTGGATATTGTGACTGCCGCTGAACACCTCCGATTTGCGGCTGATGCTCTTGCTAAGATTACTGGGAAGGGCGAGAGTGGGGATGTGGAGGATGTGCTGGGGGTTATCTTTGAGAAGTAGGTTTCCCTCCTCTTGTTTGGGAATATTGGAGTATGGCTAATGCGTTGGTTTAGGTTCTGCGTAGGGAAGTGAAGCATTTGGGTACTTGCTTTTTGGAGTTACTGCATGGCATTGCATTTGAAGCGCTAGACATACTGTATAGTAAAACACCCTGGTTCCATATCGCGTTAACACCAGGCGTACTTGCATGATCCACATGGCTAGCACTGGCCAAGTCATATCCCTATCATACAGACTACGGCTTGCGTGAAAACATATCTCGAAGCAATCGAAGAAATAGAGTTGGTATCCTTGCATTTAGTTATCGACAATCATCTTGGTCATCACTCATATCAGCAACGTCTATCTATGTAGACAAGTTCGAAACAGCCAGATAGGTGCTGCAGAATGGGATTTATTCGTCCTGCGTCACCGTCATATCCAGAACCTCCACTCGCCCCCTACCCCGAGTCTCATTGCCCACAAACTCATTCAACCCTTTGAAGGCCCCCGGATCCGCAAACCCGACCACCTCCCACTCATCCCCCATCACCTCCTGCGTCTCCACCGACTCAATGTAACTTAGGACCTTATCCTTGACAGTCCCCGGAGCCTTCGCCGCCGGCACCGGCAGCTCGGCATCCGACCCCTCATCCGACTCCTGATGCTTCCCCGATTTCTTCGACCCCTTCGCATTCTTCTTGCCAGTCTTGGGATTCGACTTCTGCCCCCCACCCTCCTTAGCCTTCGGCGCTCCCTCCGCTGGCCCCGCCTTAACACTCTGCTTCAGCAGCGCCACAGGACACGAGACCCTCAGACGCATGCGCGCGCGCATAACCGGAATCGGCTGCCAAGCAATCAAAGCCTTCATGGCCTCGAGGGCCTGAATCTTCGCAGACTTCTTCTCAACAACACCCGTCCACAGCGGCTTCTTCGGCCGGGCCTCCTCCGCCTCGCCATCCCCATCCTGACCCTGAGTCTGCAACTGCCCACTGGCAGAACTCAGCTGATCCAGCGCCTTGGCAATCATACCAGACGTGTACACGCGCTTCGTGTTCGGATCGACCAACCGGCCAGAGACAATATCCAGCATTTCGCGCTCCACGCGCTCGATGATCTCCTTGCGCTCGCGCTCGCCGACCTGCACTTCGCCCTTGCGCAGGATCTCCTGTCGGATCTCGTCGGAGGAGACGTCGCGCCCGAAGGACTTGGCTAGCTCGGCGGAGGGGGCTGTCTGGGCTTTGGAGACGGAGAGGAAGATGGTGGGAACTTGGAGGACATTGTCGAGGTCTTTTTCGGCGCCGGAGCGGTATTCGAGGAGTTTGTTTTTGTAGCAGGCTAGTTCGAAGCGTTTTTTACCTGGGGAGAAATCATGGTTAGCGGGGTGGTGGGGTTGGAAAACGGATTTTTCTCCTTTTCAATTTTCATCTTTTTTTTTTCTGCTTCTTCTATTTTTCCTATACTAGGAGCGATGATTCTAGACCAACGAAATGTATACTAACCTTTTTTTAAACGCACGATCGATACGTTGGTAAATTTGATCTGGTTGGAGGGTTGTTGGATAGGCATATTGATGTGCGTCCCAGACGCAAGATTCCACGATAGTCAACGGTGTGAAATAGATACTGCACGGTACCAGCGAGAACAGATCCAAGTAATATGAATCAACAAACCAGGACAAGTGAGGTTACAGAGAGATGGCTAAACCGGTTCTCGCGATGACGCTGGATTTTCCGTCAGGTGACTCACCGATAAGCCCCCCGATAAGCACGGATGAGTCATTCAGATCTAGAACGCGCACGGGCGGTGATTGGCTGGCCGGGGCCCAGACTGCCGCCGAAGTCACTTCTTCCCACTGAACGTACCTGTACCATTCCTCGACACTGTTGAAGACACAGGACCGGTCGACGGAGTACTGTGGATGCGTTAGCCTGTCAAGCGGTTAGTGACTCTTACCGGATCGATTCAACCATGCGCCATGAGCAAGCGGTCGTTCGAAGAGTCATTGTCCAGAGGTGGCTCGCAGCCGCCGGAGCATATCGATAACGCGCAGAACAGATCATTGCCTATTAACGACCTCCTCTCGCCCAGTCAGGAGCAGTATTCCTCGTCGCAGGCCAAGAGACCGCGCAACTTCATCGCCACAGTGGTATGTGTCTGACAAAATTTGCCTTCCCTGCGCGCGTCGAGCGAATACGCCGCGGACAGATCTGACAGATGTGATAGGCGTGTGAAACATGTCGGCTGAAGAAGACCCGGTGCGACGAATCGCGCCCCAAGTGTGGATTGTGTAAGTCGCTGGGTCTAGAATGCGTCTATAATGAGCGCAAGTCCTCCAAGTATGTTTTCCGCCCCCCCGCATGGATCCGTGCGTCTTCGCGCCAGGCGTGGGTGGCTGCTGACTGGCGACAACAGGCGGGATCACTCGCTCAGCTTGATTATGAGCACACTCCATCGGCTGGAGACTAAGCTGGAGAACATTCCGTCGGCGATCACGAAGGATGTCCGGTCCCTGCAGGGCCAGCTGGGCCGTGCTCTCGATCATCCGTCCGAAGGGAATACCCCGAGATCGGGCACGACTCATGGCGTCGGCAAGCCGCCGACGCCTGCGCCAAATGACCTGGCGCAGGCTCTCACGCCGGACGAAGCGGAACCGGATGACTTTGAATTCGATGAGCAGGCCCATGTGCCCAACCCCAACGGACAGGTGTCCATCTCCTTCAGCCAGCATGGTGTGATCCTGTGGCCGGGGGCACGAGCGGTCCTTCCGCAGGTGCTTCTCGAAGCCCACGAGAGGCTGGGGAAAAATTATGTCATTGATCTGGAGATGAAACGGCCCCAGCTAATGATGTACACGGCGCCCTTTCCGGTGCAGGCGGGAGAAGACTGGCTCGAGGCGTTGCCGCTAGCTATGATCAAGGGACTCTCGGATGCCTTCTTCGCGACCTTCAACCCGTTTACCCCGATCATGGACAAGAATTTTTACTTCACGTTCACGCTGGGTGCCGCCATCGGGAGTGGGTTCGGGTTCACGATGGAGAGTTGTCTCGTCCTCAACGTCCTAGCCTTGGGCTGTCTAGCGGTCCAGGCCCACCGCGAAGGGAACTACCCACTGCCGGGGACCCGAAGCGGGCGATTCAAACCGCCTGAGTGGATGGACGTGATCCATGAAGACCCTCCCGGGCTACGATTCTTCAATGAAGCTCGCCGGCGCATCGGGTTTCTCATGTGTCACAACGATATCCAGAGTTGCCAGTTCTATCTTTTATCTTCGTATGGACCCCATCCATGGCTTGATAGCTTAACGAAACGGTGGCTGACCATGCTGCAGTGTATACTATACCCAAATCCTTCGACCCATGGACTCGTGGGCGATGCTTCACCGCGCCGCCACGTCTTGTCTCTCAATGCTGACCAAGTAAGCATAGTGTATTCCTTCTGACCTTGATAATACTGACAGTATCAGTCACAATGTCAACTTCGACGAGTGGGAAGGCGACATGAAATCTCGCGTGTATTGGAACTGCCTGATGAACGAGACGATCCTAGTCCAAGAACTGCACCTCCCCCCAAGCGGACTCGCCCGACTCGAAGAGTTCGTGCCTATACCCAAGTTCATCAGCTTCGAGACCGTCGGCTTCGTGTCCACCCGGTCATCATCGTCTTCCGATGAAGTCGACGACTCCTTCTTCCAGTACCACTTTCTCGCGCAGGTCGCACACCGCATCATCCTCACTCGAATCCGCCACTCACTGTACTTTTACTGTACGTTCAATATATCCTTCTAAACACCCCCCTCTCACCCCAACCTATGCTAAACTCCCCAGCCGACACCGGAACCTTCCCCCTCCCCGCCATCAACGCCGAACTCCACCACCAACTCGACCAATGGCGCCTCAACCTCCCCTCCGTCCTCCAGTTCCCCGACACCCTCCCCACGACTCCAGCCGCCGTCTCCGCCACCGACCCCGGCAAACCCGCCCCATCACCATCCCCGATCTCCCCCCACCCCCAACAAGACATCCACCACCACCGCCCCCTAACCCCAGCTACAGCCATCTCCGAAGCAATGCTCCGTGGCCGCTACATGATCGCCAAGTTCCACATCGGCCGACCCTACCTCTACAAAGCGCTGCGCATCCCACAATGCATCTCCGACGAAGACCTCGAGCAGATGCGTATCGGGCTGCGAAACGCCATGAATTGGCCTGTCGTGGGAGGCATCTTCCACTCCATGAAGAGCTGCATCCCGATTAAGTTCGCGTTTTGTTCGCAGTATGTTCCACTGTCATAACCCTATACACCCCAACCCAACCCAACCAGTCAATGAATGAACCAGACTAACAAACGCGATGTAGATTCTTCGGCCAAGTACTCCTCTTCTACTGTATATCGCACTCCCACGATGCGCGGCTGCGGAGTACCCTACCCACCGGCTGGGAGCAGTGGAGTCAAGAGATGATGCAGTTCCTGGAAGATTGCGCACCTTATAGTCCCGCTGTGGCGCAGGATTTGGAGCTGTTGCGGCTTTTGTAGTTGACTGGTGGCCTATAGGGGTGACAAAGGCATGCATGGTATGACTTGGTCAAATGTAAAGTGTAAAAATACTGCTATTATATCAACCGGGACACTACGTTCTCGCAAACAACACATGATGACTATATATATGATATCAAGATAGATGGACAGATAGCATTGTAAAAGCAAGTAAATGTGTCGTGTCAAATTGTGAACCCAGATGGGATGGATATATCGTATAACTAGAGCATGAAATAAAAGACCGTGGTCGAATGGTGAATCTCCCATAACTCCGGGGCCATTGAAAAGTAAAGAAGGATTGTCGGACATTCGCGCACATCTTTGACTAAGATGGCGAAGAGATGTCTGTACAGTCCCAAAAGAAGCAAGAATAGGAATGAAACCAACACATCCAAATCACACCAGAACCGTCCTTGAAGACCCCATAGTAGAGCTCTGTCGCCACATGCACCATACCATACCATACCATCACATACCGCTGAACCAAACCAAACAACCAATAAATAACAAGCGTAAATCGTAGCCGAAATCAATAAAAAAGGAGACGCAAGAGGAGCAAGGAATCATATCAAATCATCCTTCCCCTCCGCAGCAACCTCCTCAATCGCCGTACGAACCGCCCCCACAGCAAACGCCGGTCCCCGCCCATCACACTGCGCCATACCCTTCAACCTCGCCGAGATAGCCTCGATATCAACGAGCCCCTTCTTGAAGAGCTCATGGTTCTGAATAAAGTCCCACGTTGCACCCGCATCAAGAAGCCTCTCGCCCGTAATCTTGCACACGGCGATGCGGTGGCGCGGGGACGCGTCCTCCCCGTCCGGACCCCCATCGGACGAGAAATCCGTGGGCCTATACTGCATCGGGCCGGTGGTTGTGGCGGTCGGTGGTGGTGAGGGCTGGCTTGGGTTTCGGGCGTCGAGGGATTGGCGGGAGGTTGCGCGAAGGATCTCATTCTCGGTGCTGAATCTGGCGAGGTCGTGCTTTAGACGCTCGTTTTCGGCGAGGATGGCGCTGGATTTGTCTTGCAGGGAGGTGACTTTGTCTTCGAGGTCGCGGACGTGGCGCTCTTTGCGTTCGCGGAAGGCTCTTTGGCTGTGGTTTGGGGGAAGAAAGTGGTGTTAGTTTGCTCACTTGTTGATACGGTTGGATAGTTGTGTAGATGACTTACGCGGCGCGGTTCTGCGCTTTGCGCTTCGTCTGCGCCGGCATAGAGGTGTCCTTCTCTTCGCTGCTGCTGGGTCCTAGACCCCCGGCTTGGTCCTCGGTGCCATCGAGGGATGTCACTTCCGTGTGGCTGTTGCGAAAATCGTTGCTAGAGGAGGACTGTTTCGAGAAAGACTCTGGGGGCGATTGTGGCGGAAGGGCGTAGGACCCCGGGGGCGGCTGAAACGCTGGATCGAAGGTTTGATAGTTCTGTCAGCGGTCAGCATTAATCTCATCCTTAATTTGGCGCGACAATCATTCCATGAGGCAAGGCGCACCAACGAAGCTAGAGTCTCCTGGATGTCATCGGGGCTCGAGATCTGGTTGTTCTGGTCGGGGGCCGCTGCTCCATTGAACCCGTAAAAGGGCGGGTACTGTTGAGACTGCGGGTTCGAGTAGTATGAGTAGTCCATTTCGCGACCTTTGATTCAGACGAACATCAATCGATGGTGGAGGATGAAGGGTGGCGGCAGAGAGAGAGATTGAAGGCGGACGGAGGAGAAACCATACATGGCTGGACCGACGTCAATGCGATAGGCCTGCCTGAGGCGGAGAATTCATCCCCCGCCGATTGCGATCAACTCTTCCCCCCTACGACTAGATCTATTGGAGTGATGCGGAAATTGGAAGTCTGGTCATATGTAAATGAGAATTACCCTCGAATTATAGAAAGTAATAAAGCAGAGGCGAGTCTGTCGATCGAGTCGTGAGACAGAGTCAGTTTATAGAGCGATTATGTCATCCGCCCTGCTGTTTTGTCGGAGATATCGCGGGGTTCGTTCTTTTTCACCTCATCCATCCTCTCGCCTCGAACTGAGCGTCTTCACCAAGATGGACGAACTACTAGCCAAACACCGCAAGGAGCAGAAAGACCTCCAGGCTCGCATCACGCAGAAGAAGAAATCCGCAACGAAGAAGACGCGCAAAGGAATCAACGACGAATGCGACCGCCTCCAACGAGATGTCTCCGAGCGACACCAGGCAGAAATCGCCCAGTTAAATGGAGATTCCACCGAGCCTGTCAATGGGATCGAAGACCTGAACATCAACGATGGCGATGACAGCAAAACCACAGACAAAGAAGACTCCACCACCTCCTCCCAGACGCCGACGACCGATTCCCCCGCCGACACATCATCCGCCTCGCAATCCTCCACTCCCCGACAAAAGAAACCCAACCGTCAGAAGGCGCGTCTAGCCCGTCGCGCCGCCGAGCAAGCCGCCCAGTCGGAAGTCGCCGCAGAAGAAGCCTCGAAACAGACCGACCACCGGGGGAATGAGCGGGAAGTGATGGAGGGGGTGTTCAAGCGTCTGGGGCTAAAGGAAATCGAGATCAACCCCGACGGACACTGTCTTTACTCAGCGATAGCATGCCAACTTGAAGGGTCCGGACTCGGGCTGAAGCCAGACCCGGAGCGGATGCCGCTGCAGGGGCCGACACAGGCGCGGGTCGAGAACGTCGCCTCGGCCCAGCACGACGGCTACCGCGCGGTGCGGGCAGTGACGGCGGACTTTATTACCGAACATGCGGACGACTTCCAGCCGTTCATGGAGGAGCCTGTCAGCCAGTACACGCATAAGATTAAGCTCACAGCTGAGTGGGGAGGGCAGCTGGAACTCTCCGCTATTGCGCGCGCGTACGGGGTCGATATCAATGTTATCCAGGGAGATGGGCGCATTGAAAAGGTCGAGTCTGGGGATTTGGAGAAGTTGGATGAGGAGGAGAGACGCAAGCGCGTTGTCTGGATGGCCTACTATCGGCATACGTACGGCCTTGGGGAGCACTATAATGCGCTTGTGCAGAAGACCTAAACGGATCCCCACACGGGTGACGGTGTATGTGGACTGGTTGTCGAGGAGACGAGAGAAATGATGGATTTTCAAATACCTCCCGAGAGGTTTGAACAGAACCACGCTGGTTGTTGGTGCTGTGTCCTCACTATCGTGCCGGGGTAGATCACATATGGACTGCTCTGCTCGTCTCGGGCATATCTACTGGTCATACTCTGGGCTAAACCGTTGTCATTACGCTCGCTCTGGGGACTTCCATACGTGCTGTCTCATCAAGTGTGTATATGAGCAAAGCATTGATGACTCGGATTCTGGTGGTGTCAATCTCGACCTGGTCAACCCACGATACATACCTCTTCGAATTGAGCGCACAAATTACGGCCTCTGCTCGGGGCAAATACAAATAGGCTAGTGTGCTGTGAGAAGGACTCAATCCACACTTTATATAGCTGCATCACCATGTTTAGATACTAGAAGCAACATGGACTGGAGTATTATGGTTGTATAGAGAATATTATGCATATGCAAAGAGAAACCAAGTGATTTTCGCTATCTATGATATAGGACATATGTTTATGACTGAATAGATGATGAATAAGATAGATGCGTTCTAACTCCAGCTCTTCCAAGCCCATGGGTATTTCAATCGTTCGATGAGAGGCAAACTCCGAGAAAAGAACCAGTCGACCACATTATTTCGATGGTCGTTAAAAAACCAAAAAACCAAAAAAAAAAAAAAAAGAAAAAAAGAAAAAGAAAAGAAGCGCGCCCAGAAAATTACCCAAGAATAGAATAAGAAAAGGAAGCTACGTCCGTTTCGCATACTCCGGCTTCAATACCCACCTCCCCCTCCCATTGCGCCCCCCCTTCTGCAGCACGGCAATCGTCTTCAGCATCTCCTTGAACTCAGCAGACCGCTGCGGCGTCGTGCAATAGCGGTTAAAGTGGTCAATGAGGTTCTGCGTGAAAACAGCCCCACCATGATTCATAATGAAATCGCGAATCAACGTGATGAAGTCCATCCCGCTAGGCGTCCTAGCCGGCGCAGGGCTATTACTTCCACTTCGCGACGACGACGGCGTCGGCGTGCGCGCAGACAGATTCGCAAGAAGGCTAGCCGAGGACGGACCCGCGCCAGCTCGTCGGGCAGCGCTGCTGCCCCCGCGCCCGCCGCCAAAGGGTGCGCTGGTGGGGAGGCGGCGGTGGTCTTCAGGGCGGCCAGCAAGACCGAACTGGCCTGTCCATGTTGGGGTGCCGATGGGGACGGAGCGTGCGGCTTCGCTTGCGCGCCGGAGTTCGTCCGCTGCTTCGGCGGCTACGCGTTTGGCTTCTGCTTCGATGATCTTGGGGTCGGCTTTGACGACGCGCTTGCCGCCGATGATTTGGTCGTGCTCGAGGGCGGAGTGGACTCCTGAGCGGGAGAAGATGCCTTCCATGATTCGAGACTCGGATTTGTCGTCTGGGTTGGTTAAATCTTGGTTGTTTGACTGGTCTGGGTCGCCTTGGAATTGCTCCATTGAGGAGACGCCTACTACTTTGCTGATGTCTTTCTTCTCGTCTTGGGCGGCTGATGCGTCGGGTTGGGCGGTGGTGTCGTTCTTATTGTCGTCGTAGGTAACTTCGACGTCTTTGAAGATTTTGCTGGTTTCCGTTGCGCCTTGGGAATCTTCTCCGAGGGAGAATAGGTCGTGCATATCGCTTAATTGGAATGTCTGGCGTTGCTTAGGGTCCTTGAGGATCTTGTTGGTGAGGAACTGTTTGAAGATTTGCCGGTGGTAAATCTTCTCTTCAATGGTCCCGGCCGTCATCAACCGGTAGATGGTGACTTCACGTTTCTGTCCAAGCCGCCAAGCACGTTCTCGAGCTTGGATGTCCGTGGAGGGATTCCAGTCGGGGTCATAGATGATGACTCTGTCCGCGCCGGTGAGGTTGACGCCCAATCCCCCTACCTTCGTAGTAAGTAAGAAGACATGGATGTCTGGATCGTTATTGAATTCGTCCACCATAGACTGCCGTTGGTGAATGGGCGTGGTGCCATCCATTCGACGGTATTTGAACCCAGATAGCCCCCTAATGAACTTTTCCAGGATATCCAGCATGATCCGATGCTGCGCAAACAGCAACGTCTTATGACCCGTTTCTCTCCAGAGTTCCAAAAGCGACTTAACGACCTGCATCTTGCCAGATTTGGAGCCACTGCCGTAGTTGGTTTGGGCTGACTGCAGTTTGTGACCTTGAAGATCGGGATGGTTGCAGATTTTCCGTAAGATATCAACTCCGTACAGAACTTGCCTGCGTCCCCTGAGGATAGACTGCATCTCCTCTGAGCCCAGAAACGCGGTGTACGCCTGTCTTTGTATCTTGGTCAGTTTGCAGAAAAGCACTTGTTCGCTCTTTTTGGGAAGATCCGCCGCCACATCGATCTTGAACCTCTGCAAAAGATAAGGGCTGATCGCATCTTTCAGCGTCTCTGCACACTTGGCTGCAGTCTGCACCTGCAGGTTGGAAGCGTTGGCGTATCCACCTTGGCGGATAGGGAACTCGAACTGGTTTCGGAAGTTGATCAGCGTCCCCAGACGCATAGGATACACAAAATCGAACAGCGACCAGAGCTCTGTCAGATTGTTCTGCATCGGCGTTCCTGACAGGATGACGCGATGCGGGGTCCGCAGCTCCTTGCAGTGTATTGTAATGGAGGTGTTTGGATTGCGAATTTTGTGGCCTTCATCCAAAACAGCACATCCCCATTCTATTGGGATCAAAAGAGGCGCGTATGTCTGTAAACCAGAGTAGGTAGTTACCAGAACATGACCTTCTTCCACCACTCGTTTCACGACTCTTCTGCCAGCTCTCAATCCACTGGACATCCCACGCGAGCCAGCAGAGTTCCACTGCTCGTATAACAACGCATCTTCTCGCCTGCTCTCGTTGCGAATGTTAACCATCCCACTACCGGAGGTGTGGAGGATAGACACGCGGAACGCCGGCCACCAGCGGTGGAATTCATTGACCCATTGTTTCATGACGGTGGCGGGACACACCACGATGACCGGTTTCGAGAGCTTCCCACTGTAATGGAGGCCGGCGAGAAACCCGATGACTTGAATCGTTTTGCCGAGGCCCATCTCATCTCCGATGATCCCTCCTACTTGCTGTTGGTGCAATTCCCACAGCCACTGAACGCCCGTCTTCTGATAGTCAAACAGAAGGGGGTGTACATCGCCGGGTAGGCGAAATCCGTTGTCGAGGTCTAAATCCGGCACGGTGGGATGGGGCTTGAACCATTCTTCGGACGCGTTGTCGTCCATCTGCTCAGCGCCATCCCCGGCTGGCCTCTGCTCCGCCAACACACGCTCCCGAGCTGCGCTCCGGGAACTGACCCATCCTTGAAGCCTTGCTTGGTAACCCTTTTCGTTCCCGTCATCTACGCCGCTGAAATCTTCCAAGTCGTCCACGGCTTTCTTGGTTTTGCTTCGTGCAACAGGCCGTTCTCTCGTCTCTTCGGGTTCAAATTCTTCGTCTTCGGAAATTTGACCTTCCGATTCCACGTAGCTTTCTGACCCATGATCTGAAGGCGCTTCTTCGGGAAGAGGTCCTACATCTTTCTCCGAGTCTTCTCGTTCCCCAATAGAGGCTGTTGCGGCGCTGTCCTCCTGCAGTCTGCGTCGCTTCGTGGGGCGAGCCGCACTTTCCGTCGTCTTTGACTCACTCGCTTCATCGAACCCAAACCCAGGACGAACAAGGTTTCGATGAGAAACCGTCGGCCGCTTCTCCAACTCCTGAAGTGCCTCATTTTCATCGCGCTCATCTTCGACGTCAATGAGAGTGTCACGAAGACTGGCAAGAGGACCATCGCTGGTACCGGTCCTCATTTGCGAAAACGGCGTAATCTTTCCCGTCCGAATGAGATAGTCGCGACGCGATTCATGAGGCATTCGCCCCGAGCCGGTGGCCTGGGTGCCAGTCTCTTGATCGCGCTGCCTCCCGTCGATGCGGTCTTGAATGTCTTTGAGGTCACCTGTCAACTCCTCGTTGCGCGCCTCTAGCCTTTCTAGATCATTTTGTATACGAGTCCGGGCTGACGTCCCCACCGGTTGGGAGAGACGTTGGTGTAGTCTCAGGATTTGTGATTCCAATTTCCTGGTGGAACATTATCAACGCCTAATCCAGAGAGAACATCGACGCGCAACATACTTTTTCTCAAGAACGGTCTTTTCTAGTCGCTTGTGATCCCGCTGGTCGGCCTGCTCCATGAGCAGTTTATCCGCCTGCATCCCAGTCAGAAGACCCATCATTCCAAACCCGGGGGATCATATACCTGATAGGAGATATCCCTCTCGAGATCATCTTGGTCACGGATGTCGGTATGCAGCTCCCTGAGACGGCTGGCCTCGTCTCTCGCGGCGGGAATGGATTCATTTGCAGTAGATTCTGGCGCCTCTGATTGGCCTGTATCGGGGCGATCGGCTGTGTCGACCTGCGGCCCTTGCTGAGGCGCCTGGTCCTCACTCTGGGGGTCGCGCTCTTCCTCCATGATCCTTCTCAAACTATGAAATTGATTGTTTGAAGGGAAATCCCTCAGACAGCGTCAGAAACTGGGATACCCGGAGCGATGGTGAGGCTGTAATCCGTCCTGAACGATGGATGACTCGGCCTGTCGCCGCCTGGGGCGGTCAGGTGACTTGACTGGGTTGTTTGTCTGGTTTGTAAAGTGACGTCATTGTTGATGCTTCAAGCCTGAATACATCCACGTTGGTGGGCTTCCTTTCACTGCTGAGGAGTCTTGCTTGCTTGAATTAGTAGCTTGAGAGTCTGGATTATTTCTTTGGTCTTAATGCACATACTGTTTGACAGTGGGTTTTGGTTGCTCACTCCTCTCCAATAAAGACATCCTACCGCTTCGATATATTTCCGCTACCTAGTGCAAACACAGACTGACGCCAACCAAGGAGAACTGTCTTTGATTTATTATACTAAGCAATACTGCTTTACTCTAAATTTTCAGGGTACTAACCCTACGAAAGTTTATCCTGGTGTGGCGCGATTTGTTGGGAAACGCCGATAGATACTAATAAAGGTTACCATCCGCCGTGCTCCTGCGAGGTGCAGATAGGTTGGGACATTGAACCTATACTGCCTGAAGGTTGGCCTCGAGCCAACTTTCCCCGCTCATGGCCAAACTGTTGAGAACTGTGTGGAACATTCCCCGACGCCAATAGGTGCGGAAGTGATGCCGATACACCAATAGCACGTCCAAACCCTATATATGCTCCTCGCAACGTCATGTCTACTCAACCATGAAGTACTTTCGAGATGCTTCCGACCTCGTCCGCGATGACCTGCATAGCCCTGGCCAGATTGCCCTATAGAACCACTGTTCATCCATAGTTCCAGACGAAGACCCCGCCTGCGTCTACATGACATACGCACACAGAAGCCAGAAACATCTCCTCCCACCTACACCATCGCCGGTCATGTCAGAATCCTGAACTGCCCTCTGACCGTCTCACGCGCCTACCCCAGTCCGACCACCATGAAGCTCAGCATGAAGCTCAGCTTCCTCACCATAGTCGCGATAGTAGCACCTGTCATGGCCCTACCCGGCGACATCCATCATAGGTATCGCTTTTTCGAAATGCCCCCGTCGATCGCCCTCCCGCCGTCCCTGTCTCCAATCTCCACCGGGACGGGCCCCGTTCGACACGCAGACCAAATCAACTATTACCACCGGGTGCCGTTAAACGCAAGTGTCCCTCAACCGCCACTCATGGGAACTGCCATCGGAACAGCAGTTCCTTCTCCGAGTAGGCCTCCCACCACCGCTTCCCGAACATCAAGCTCGACGGGGCCCTCTTCCTCGACCGCTTGCCCTTCCAGGGTGACCGATTTGACGCCGATCGTGACTGGGGACATGGCGGCCGCTCGAAAGCGCTGGGCGCTCCGAAGAGGGCACCCTGAAGGCGCATGCCCTGGAACGACCCCCGACGATGGTCCGGTCAACCTGCCGTTTGGTCCTGGTGAACCTGCGGGTGGCTTTTCCATAAGTGTCGGCGCACGTGCTGTCTAATAGGGCACGTGCTATCTAATAGGTGACAGGATGTGGTGCGCATCCATTTCTGGTCCGTTGGCTTGTATACAGGTGGTTAATTTGGTGAAAGGTGTTGAGAGGACGCAGTCGATGGGCCAGCATGGTAGCGATTGGGACTTTCCCAGTGTCGACTGGATCTTCTCCCGCGTGTCATTTTTTGTACTGTGATAATCTGGAGGCAAACTTTGAATCTGACGATGTTACTTCACCGAAACAAAAACCAGCAATTCGTAGAAAAGACTTAAATAAGCCGACCAACAACGCGCAAATTGACCCACAGTAGATCGGAGATAAACCCGATCGCCGAGGGCTGCCTCAGGACTCTTCATCTCACCGTGTCTGTATTGCTTCAACTGTCATATCATTGCCTATCTCAGTCCCTTCGCATCCATTCCATCATGGCAACACTCCATGTCCCGGCTCAGGTCTTACTGCGGAGAACAGCGATCGTCGCACGCCCCCGAGTTCTCGCCACAGCAGTCCCTAGAGCCAGACAGCGCTCGCTGTTCAGGGTAACAAGCACCAGCATCAAGGCAGCATATTCCACCGCGCCATCAGTAAACTCCAAAGTCCCAAAAATAGACAGAAGCGCCTCCAAACTCTTCAAAACCGCAGACTCAGCCGTCGCAGACCTCCAAAGCGGCTCCTTGATCCTCAGCTCGGGGTTTGGACTATGCGGGGTCGCGGGTGAGTGGATCACCATTAACCCCCCGAATAGTGTGATTCGAGAACCCCCTGGTGACAAACGACTTATCCATTTATATAGAAACCCTGATCGCAGCCATCGCGCGTCGAGGCCGCCAAGACCTGCATTCCTTGACGGCGGTGTCTAACAACGCGGGCGTCCCTGACAAGGGCGGCCTCGCGACGCTCATCCAGACGGGCCAGGTCAGCCGGCTGATCCTATCCTATCTGGGGAATAACAAGATCTTGGAGAAGAAGTATCTGGGGGGAGATATTGCTGTTGAGCTGTGTCCGCAAGGGACGCTGGCGGAGAGGATACGGTGTGGGGGCGCTGGGATTCCGGCGTTTTTTACGCCGACCGGCGTTCGTATGTTTTCTTTTCTTTTTCTTTTTCTTTTTCTTTCATTTGATTGTATATGTTTTGCTGGGGTGAGATACGACTCAAATTGTTCTGACGTCGATAGATACATTCCTGCAAGATGGAAAGATCCCGGCCCGGCTGGACGAGTCTGGCAAGGTGTTGGAGCATGGTCGAGTCCGCGAGACGAGGTCATTTAACGGCAAGACATACTTGATGGAGACAGCGCTCACAGGGGATGTTGCCATTCTCCGCGCTTGGAAGGCTGATGAAGCCGGAAACTGCGTGTTCCGGTGAGTTGGACTACATTGAAAGAACGATTGACAATTGTTGACGTTGACTAGCTACACTACAAAAGCCTTTGGACCCATCATGGCCAAGGCAGCAGCCCTGACCATCGTTGAAGCAGAGAATATTGTGCCGGTAGGATCTATTGATGCAAATGATGTCGATCTTCCTGGCATATTCGTGAACAGAATCGTTCCTGCGGCCGAAGACAAGCACATTGAGATCACAAAGCTGCGGTCGGACGACCAAGCGAGCGAGGGTAAATCTGCTCCGGAGGCTGCGCTGGTGCAGAGGAACAGAATTGCCCGGAGGGCTGCAAAGGAGCTCAAACAAGGGTATTATGTCAATCTGGGCGTTGGCATTCCTACCCTTGCGCCGTCTTTCTTGGCTGAAGATGTCAAGGTGTGGGTACAGTCGGAAAATGGAATTTTGGGAATGGTGGGTTTTCGAATCATTGAACCTGATGATGCAGAGAGCTGAGAGCTATATAGGGCCCGTATCCCACCGAAGACGAAGTTGACCCGTAAGTTCACCTCACCTTATTTTTTGTCAGCGGCTAATCGCTTACAGGGATATCATCAACGCCGGCAAGGAGACCGTGACTCTGGTACCGGGAGCCTCGATATTCGACAGCAGCGAGTCCTTCGGCATGATCCGAGGCGGTCATGTCGACGTCTCCATCTTAGGTGTATGTCCTACCATATCTAGATACCATGACGACAGTTAAACTAACGAATCACAATCACAGGCCCTCCAAGTCAGCGCGAAAGGCGACCTCGCCAACTACATGATCCCCGGCAAAGTCTTCAAAGGCATGGGCGGGGCCATGGATCTGATCTCCAACCCGGACAAAACCAAAATCGTGGTAGCCACCAGCCACACGGCCAAGGACGGGTCCCCCAAGATCGTGGGGGAGTGCAGCCTGCCTCTGACAGGGGCGAACTGCGTTAGTACCATTATTACGGACCTTGTGCGTATCATCCCACTAGCCTTATTTGGATGGGGAAGCCACTGACATTGATCCAACCAGTGCGTGTTTGAGGTCGACAGGGCACGAGGCCAGCTGACGCTGACGGAACTTGCGCCGGGCGTGGAAGTGGAGGAGGTGCAGGCGAAGACGGGGGCTTCGTTTGCTGTTGCGGCGCAGCTGGGGCTGATGGAGTAGGTGGCTGGTAGTAAGCAGAGCCTCGCGTGGTATATAAATATTACTTTATATATCTATCATCTTCCAGGATGACGTTAGACATATACAACCTTCTAAAATTAACACGAATAAAAGTCGACAGGCCAAATATGAGGAATAAATACTAGTCAAATGAGTCACGGTGACCAGTCCATTAGTGGCTCGCCGACCCAAACTCTATCATATTCACGAGGGGGTTCATCATCCGATATGTTTCCAGTTTCCACCCAACCAGCCCCGCCTGATCTTCCATTTTCATACTTCCCGCCAACTAGTTTACTGTCTTTCTGCCCTAACTCGGTGGCTGTCCGATCTGGTTCTTATAAGAAGAAGTCACCACTGACTATTGCCACATCTACAACAATCTCAAACCCACCTTACCACTACGCCACTCTACACCACACTACATCCACTTTACTATACAATATACATAAAAATGCCCAGCACCGACTGTCTCCGTACGCTCCTCCCCTCCCTGATCCATCCTATATCCCGCCACCACCACGGCAGCAAAAGAAAAAAGAGAGAGCCACCAATACCAATACCAACAAAACGTCCGATGTCTGACGTTACTACAGAACCCTCCCTCACCCCCGAGGAGCGATCCATCGTCAAAGGCTACGGCGGCTGGACAGCCTTCATGCAGAGCTTTCTCCTGAAGCCGTCGGAGAACGACGACGTCGAGGAAGCCAAGGCTATCTTGAAGGGGTTGGCGGTAGGGGAATAATTTCCCTGATTTGATCAGGGATAGCAGGGTTTGAGAAGATGACGGAGAAGAGGGCGCTGGAGGGGTAGGATTTTTTTGATTATTGATTTATTTTTCAGCCTGTTTTCGTTAGTCCAGGTTCGTTTGTTTGGGAAAGGTTTGCTTGTTGGATCTGGTAGCAAATGATAGGTCTTCTGTGTCTCGAACTACTGGGGCTGGGGTGGGGATCGGAAATGAGGCAGGCAGGGATCGTCTGGCTGAGATCATATTGATACCATGTTGTTATTGAATGATATTTAGTGATTTTCTTGATGTATATATTTCTTATTTATTCTACACTATGGTTGGGAAAATACTGTTTATTTCTTGGCTACAATATTCTATAGTATATACCCCGTAGAAGGCTGATTGTTCATGCAGATCGGTGGATATCAAAATGACGCTATCAAAATTGCCCAGAGAGTGGGTCAGGATGGAGATTACTCCGCCATACTAGGTCGTATACTGTGTTATTCTTGTAAACAGTTGTCCCAAACCGGCACTATATATGTGTATACATGTTCATATATATATAGTGTGATTCTGTAGCTATCACCCTGTCACTATACCCTATGGTGCATGTCAGTCTATAATATATTTTGGCAGCCCTCAGGTAATGATAGAATGCTTTTCTTCGTTGTGTTTGACATTCACTGTGTCGAGTGTGTGGGTTGTTACCCTTGCGTTCCTCCTTTCCTCCTTCCCGTCAATCAACCCATGGTTGACTGTCTGTCATCCTCTCGATAAGGTAAGCCTTACTTGGAGATCGCGTTGGAAGGAACCTCTCTGCATATCGTATGTACGCGACTGCAAACCTCTAGGATGCTTCTGTCAAAAGCCTACTGCGGCATATAGGATCTCACTATCCTGTCTGGTATATTGTGTGGAAACGTATGATGAAAACAAGTCAGAAATGGTCCATACTGATGATATCCAATCTCCTGAAATGGTTGCAGATGGTTGAGATACAAGATGGTTCAATATGAGGGAAAGGACTCTGTAGGTCAGCTGACACGCCCACTGCCTGTAGGTACTCACTTCCACATGTTTTTCTCCTATCTTCGCATCAGATGCGGAAGTTGTCCTGGACCATACTTGATCTTTCTCCGTCCTTTCTTTGCCCCGTAACCACAGGACACGGATGTCATATTGCTTGTTCTGCCACTAGTCATGACCGACTCGTCCGGAACTATGTGAGTACCCAGGCCTGCTTGGATCTTTGAGAGCGTTCGTTCTAAGTGGGCCAAGTGGCGTCATGATCTAACACCAGGGAGATATTTATAGCCATAGCATATACGTCGATCGCGATAGGATGTCATATCCCAGTATCAGCGACTGGGCCCATTCAATGGGCATTATCCGGATGATAACATATCCATCCTAAGATATCATTTGCGGAGAAGTACGGGGATGCTGCGGCGACCACCGGGTTAGTATGACCAACGCATACTTTACCTATGCATGTCCCTAGACATGTTTGTCTTCCACCTCATGCCCAACAGCGCCCACTTCGTTTGGTTGCACCGGATAGGCGGGAGATTGGGTCATCATGCGCTGGTGTGGTTAGCAAAGCGCGCTGATATGCTCGCTTTCATGGACTTATTGGATGATGTGAATCAGGGCAAAGTGAGGGGCGTTTAGCGCATGCGGGAGGCATGCCGCTATATCAGATGGCAAAGCAACACATCTAGGGTGTATGACTGCATGGCGGGGATATATCATGGCTGTCGTCACGGCGCGAGGAAGTCATTATCCTAGTTCTAGGTTGGCTGCTAATCGAGGTTCTTTGACGGGGTAATACTTATAACTCTGATTTTGCTCGTTTACTGATTCCATTGTGGGCGATTCTATCGTGGTCAAATACCGATCCAATGCCTCCATTGGACGCTCGGTCGGAGCGGTTGATCAGGTTCTACAGAGATGTTCTTGATGGTAAGGTGGAAATCCGCAGCGTTAATGACTTCAAACGTTTTCTGGAAGGTCTGTTTCATCACAAAGACCCCGGCGAAACGATTGAGCGACTCGTCGCTAGACCCAAAGCCCTGGATGCCCTTCGTGGTGGACTACGACTCGACATCACTCCGCCGTTCATCAACCAATACACGGCGAAGTTTGTCCGCTACCTAGACGATCCCAAGGTGAAACTGCTCTGCAATGGGCAATATCTGGAGCAAATCCTTCTTATCATCGCCGAGCCACGCACTGTGTGGCTAGCTTTTCGCGACGCGCTGACCCATCGTAAATTAGACCAGGATGGTGTCTTGGCCCTGGCCTGGCTGACGACAGAGCTGCTCTCATTACCAAGGTCATCCGGTGTCGACGTCATGGCTGATGCCCAGTGCATCGTGGACGACCAGGAAATCCACATGTCTTCCTCCAGCGAATTGCGAAATCTGGGACACAAGATCCGGTACCTTCTGCAGATGAAATCTTCCGCAAAGACGACCGGACAACCAGGGGGTAGTATTGCCGCTGGTGGACGCCACGACAACGACTTTCCAGACTTTCGCCAAATTGCCATTCTTCCGACCGCGGACGAATTTGCCTGTGCCGAAAGACCCTTCTATCGTCGTGCCGACGAGGTCCTTGAATTAGTGGGTGATCAGCGCGTCGCCGGACACCTGGACAATCAGTTTCGCCTTCTGCGAGAGGACATGATATCCGATCTACGTGAAAGCGTGCAAGTCGCGCAGGGTAAGAAGAAGGGTCATCGACCAACCCGGCGGCTGGGGAATCTTGCCCTTGATTCAGTCGCCTGCCGAGATACGGGTAAAAGACATCTGAAACCATGTGCCGTCGGGGTCACCTGGAGGACTGGACAAGAGACGATTCGAGAGATGACTGGTAAAGTCCGTAAAAAACACCTTAAGAAAAGTCCTAACACCCTGAAGCACAATGCCCTTGGCTGTGTGCTTCGGGCGGACGAAATTGTGGCCTTTGCGACGATCGAACGAGACATCGAGTCGCTCGCGCTCAAGACTCCGGTTCTTAAGCTACGGGTCTCAGGACAAGATGCACTCAAGAAGTGTCTCTTATACTTGAAGATGTACAACGACGTCGACTTTGTCCTGGTGGATGCGTCGGTCTTCGCATACGAGCCGATCCTGAAACGGTTGCAGGATATGGCCATCCTTCCGCTCAAGGAGGAGCTGTTTCTGTACGAAGACGGCAATCCTGTTGGCATGTCGGGCTTGGTGCCCGGCAGGCTTGTCTCCAAACTAGAGGGAAAGGTGGACAGCGACATCTCAGGCCCCTTGGGCATCGATAAGCCTGTCCAGATTGACCGGTCGCAACTCCAGTCTCTGATTACAGGTCTCACGCAGAGCGTTAGCCTGATACAAGGCCCCCCAGGTATGGCCAATTCGCATATTATATCTACCCTATTGGTCGTTTTTCTGATGTAGCAACCGGCCGACTGATTTATAGGCACCGGGAAATCTTTCATCGGCGCACTGCTGGCGAAAGCTTTCCACGATCAGACGACGGAGAAGATCCTAGTGATGTGCTACACCAACCACGCTCTGGACCAGTTCCTGGAGGATCTGCTTGACATTGGAATCAAGCACAGTTCGATCGTCCGGATAGGTCCAAAGTCAACCCCTCGTACTGAGCCTCTTCTTTTGAAGGAACAAAGTGCGAATTTCAAGCGGTCTTCCCAAACATGGAATAAGATCAATGCCGTTGAGAGCGATGCCAGCGAACAGGAATCTGACTTGATAACGAGTTGCGCAAGATACAAAGAAACGGGGGCTAATGCCGCCTCGATTCTAGAATACCTCGAATTCGAAGATGAGGAGTGTTTCGAGGCCCTAAGTGTTCCTGAAGATGCGAACGGCATGACCATTGCTGGTAAAAAGGGGCGGGCCATCAAAAAAGACCACCTTTACAAGCAATGGATAAGGGGCCAAGGGCCCGGGTTTTTCAAGGATTTGATCCCTTCGAGCTGTCGAGCTGTGTGGCAGCTGGACCTGCCCGCACGTCAGGAGAAGAATAGCATGTGGACCCGAGCTTTGTTGGAGGAACAGGCTTCAACGTTGGGAGCCCACGCATCCCAATTCAATCGCTCACAAAGAATGCTAGATACCCTTCGGAGAGATAAGACTCGACACATTCTGGAAAATAAACGGATAATTGGCTGTACCACGACAAAAGCAGCCATGTTCTTCGATGAGATTCGCCAAGCAGCACCTGGGATCATTCTGCTTGAGGAAGCGGGAGAAATTCTCGAGTCCCATGTTCTTGCAGCGATGACCGAGAGCACCAAGCAGCTGGTCATGATCGGAGATCACCTTCAATTGCGACCAAAGGTGAATAATTACGCTCTTACCCGAGAGAAGGGGGAGGGATATGAGCTCAACGTCTCGCTATTTGAAAGATTGATCCACGCTGGGTACCCCCACACAAGACTTCGAAAGCAGCACCGAATGTGCCCGGAGATCTCGACATTGGTTCGTGGGTTGATGTATTCCGACCTGGAAGATGGTGCAAAGACACGGGATCGCCCGCCACCGCGAGGCCTGCAGGACCGCGTTATCTTCATCCAGCATGAGCAGCCAGAAGTGAACTTGAGCAATGTTTCCGAAAAAGGGGACGAGGGCTCTACACAAAGTAAAAGCAATCTTTTTGAGGCTTCGCTCGTCTTAAAGATCGTAAAGTACTTGGGACAGCAGGGTTATGGTACTGACAGGGTGGTCGTGCTGACCCCGTATCTGGGCCAGCTCCATCTTCTCAGGGGAGAATTGAGCAAACAGAATGATCCAGTGTTGAATGATCTGGATTCACACGACCTGATTCGAGCGGGTCTGATATCACAGAGCAGTGCGAATCAAGGGAAGCGTCCAATCAAGCTTTCCACGATCGGTAGGTGGAATCAGATCCGGTTGCTGACTACCAGGCGCTGACATGGAATGCAAAGATAACTACCAGGGTGAAGAGAGCGATATTGTCATTGCGTCACTTACCAGAAGTAACAAACAAGGCAACATCGGATTCATGGCAGCACCTGAGCGAGTTAACGTCCTGCTTTCTCGCGCCCGTGATGTTTTAATCATGATTGGAAACTCCGATACTTTCTTATCGAGTAGACAAGGGAAAAAATGCTGGAAACCGCTATTGGACCAGCTGAAGACCAATGGCCATATCTACGATGGACTGCCTGTCAGGTGCGAGCAGCACCCCCGGACTACCGCCGTCTTGAAAAATGCTATAGACTTCGACAAGGAATGTCCAGACGGTGGCTGTTCTGAACCCTGGTACCACAACCCCTCCATTACCCCCCGCGGCCAAAATCCGCTTGATACGGCAGTACTGACACTCATCAAAGTGGCGTAAAACTGAACTGCGGTACCCACGACTGCCCCTCTAGATGTCACCAGCTCTCAGATCACTCAAAAATGAACTGTCCCACGATGGTGGAATGGAAATGCTCTCGTGGACACCGCCGTACAGCCCCCTGTTCCAAGACTAGGAGCGCATGCGGAAGTTGTATCAACGAAGACCAGGAGCAACAACGCAGACGCCAGAGAGATCTCCAGCTGGATGCAGAGCGTCAAAGAAAACAAAATGAATATGCGGAACAACTTGCTGAGGCGCAGTCTGAGATTGCTCATCTAAAGCGCACTCAGCGAGACGCCTGGGACGACGTGGAGCGACAGAATATTCTCCGTCAGCATCAACAGGAGATCGAGAATCTGAAGTCTCCCAAAACTCGGAATGTCCCGCAACAGCTCATATCCCCAATACGTACGACCAACGAAGTGAACGTCACGAATGCCGGGGCACAAATCACACCGCCAGCGACCCCTGAATCGACATCTGGTCAGCCGAGCACCGATGTGCAAGAGGATCCCAGCGAGCCCCAAGAGCCCGAGGCATCGTCGCCATCAGAAGATGACTGGGAATATCAAAAGCAGTTTATGAATGCTAGAAGCAATGAAATCGATAAGCTGATGGCAATGATTGGACTCGAGTCTGTCAAAGAGAAGTTCTTGGCCATCAAAGCCAAGGTCGATATTGCCGTTTCCCAAAATGTCAAGCTTGACCGTGAGCGGTTTGGAACAGTGTTGCTTGGCAACCCCGGCACGGGTAAGACGACAGTAGCACGACTGTACGCGAAATTCCTCGCGTCCATGGGTGTGATACCTGGGGCAGAATTCGTCGAGACAACAGGTTCCAGGCTGGCGAATGACGGTGTCTCGGGATGCAAGAACATCCTCGACAAGATTCTGGAAAATGGCGGAGGGGCTATGTTCATCGATGAGGCGTATCAACTGACCCAGAGCAGTTTTGGAGGCACGCAAGTCCTCGACTTCCTCCTAGCCGAGGTGGAGAATCTCACCGGCAAAATGGTATTCATTCTGGCCGGGTATCAGAGGCCTATGGAAAAGTTCTTCGCTCACAACATTGGCTTGCCGAGCCGTTTTCCACATGAGCTTAAATTCCACGACTATGACGACGGCGAGCTGCTGAAGATTTTAGGACGAGGAATCGAGTCGAGATGGAGACAGCAGATGAAGGCGGAGGGTGGACTTGGGGGGTTATTCTGCCGCGTTGTGTCTCGCCGTGTTGGACGAGGTCGTGGCAGCGAGGGATTTGGAAATGCACGAGCCATTGAGAACGTCATTTCTAAAATTGCCGACCGCCAGTCTGACCGACTGAAGAAAGCGAGGCGAAGATCCAAGTCTCTAGTCGACAATTTCCTTCTCACGAGGGAGGATCTGATTGGACCAGAGCCAACCCAAGCTTTGGAGGGTTCGAAGGCGTGGAAGACACTGAAAGCGATGATCGGTCTGGATGCCGTCAAAGAGTCGATCCAAGCACTCCTAGGTACCATCAGCTGGAACTACAAGCGGGAGCTCAGTGAACAACATCCCATCGAATATGGCCTGAACAAGGTCTTTTTGGGTTCTCCCGGCACCGGGAAAACGACCGTGGCGAAGCTGTATGGTCAGATCTTGGTTGATCTGGGGTTGTTATCCAACGGAGAAGGTGAGTATATTGATGCCAGCTTGTCATCGGGCTATCTGACAAAACTCGGTAGTGGTAATCAAGAATCCTTCCGATCTGATCGGGAGTGCAATGGGCGAGTCGGAGAAAAACACCAAAGGAATTCTCTCTTCGACAGCGGGCAAAGTCCTGGTGATTGACGAAGCCTACGGTCTCTTCGCGGGAGGGACCTCCACCGAAGGAACCTCCCAAAGCGACCCATACCGAGCTGCCGTTGTCGACACCATCGTGGCCGAAGTCCAGAGTACGCCCGGTGAAGATCGATGTGTGCTACTCCTGGGTTACAAGGACCAGATGCAGCAAATGTTTCATAACGTCAATCCGGGTCTCAGTCGACGGTTTCCCATTGACCAGGCCTTTGTATTCGAAGACTTCACCAAGAAACAGATGGATTCTATCCTGACACTGAAGCTTAAAGGGCTTGACCTTGGGATCACCGAGCGTGGCCGGGCAGTGGCACTGGAGATGATCGAGCGTGCCCGCAACCGCCTGAACTTCGGGAATGCAGGAGAGATTGATATCCTCCTGAACTCTGCTAAGATGCGTCTGCAGAAGCGGATCTCTTCCCTGCCGGGTGTCGATTATGCATTAGCAGCCGTGTTTGATGCCCCGGACTTTGACGAGGACCATGATCGCGCTGATAGAGAGGCCAATGTTGCAGAGCTGTTCGAAGGCGTGGTGGGGGCCGAGGATATAATTTCCAAACTGGAAGACTACCAACAACTCGTGAGGCGCCTCAGAGCTCTAAATATGGAACTTGGTGAGGAGGTACCTTACAACTTCCTCTTCCGCGGGCCACCAGGTAAGTAGCTATTACCAGTATCTTTCAAGCTGGTCGTATCCCCAAATTCTGATGTGTTATAGGCACGGGAAAAACAAGCACCGCAAAAAAGATGGGCCAAGTTTACTACAACATGGGTCTACTAGCCTCAACGGAGGTAGTGGAAGCCTCCGCGACGGACTTGGTGGGTCAATATGTAGGACAGACAGGTCCGAAGACCCAAAAACTGCTCGAGAATGCCCTCGGCAAAGTCCTTTTCATCGACGAGGCATATCGTCTGGCCGAGGGAAATTTTGCCAAAGAAGCAATGGACGAGCTAGTCGACTGTATTACCAAGCCTATGTTTTTCCACAAGCTGATCATCATTCTCGCGGGCTATGACGATGAAATTAACAACCTGATGTCCATCAACCCGGGCCTAACCAGTCGATTCCCTGAGTCTATACAGTTCCACTCTTTATCCCCGAGACAATGTGTTCAGCTCCTGATCACTCTCTTATCTAAGCGGCAGAAGAGCGTCAGCTCCAAGGAAAACGGAGACGTGGGTTTTGACCTAGGTGCACTGGAAAGACCGCAGGAGACTTTTGTCACGACGGTGACCCAGCACTTCGAGACGCTTTCCCATACAACCGGGTGGGCAAATGCTCGCGATGTTGAAACTTTAGCAAAGTCTATTTTCCGAAAGGCCTTACAGACTAGTGGTGTCACCGCCGTGGTGGTGACAGAATCGCATGTACTGGAGGCTCTTGGCGACATGGTCAATGATCGAGCGTCCCGCGAGAAACCATTACCCAAGCGACTGTCTCTTTGCCAGGACGGCACAGAGAAGACCCAACCCGCCCCGCTATCTCAAACCTCGCATCGCCCCAAGATGAGCACACCGAGCATTCAATCCTCGTTGCTAGAAAAGATCGAAGTTCGCGAAGAGCACGACGAAGAAACGCAGCACCAACTGGTGGAAGCCGAAGCCAAACCGCGAGATGCTGGCGTCAGCGATGAGGTCTGGTATCAACTACAGAAAGACAAAGCCGCGGCCCTCGCCCTTGCACAGGAAGACGCAAAGCAGCAGGAAGCCGAGGCAAGGGAGCGGGAGATTCTCCAGAAAATGAAAGAACCGGTTATTGCTCCCCCTACCGCTCCCGATGACGAGGACAAAAGACGCCACGAACAAGCTCGACTGCAGCGTTTGGCTCAACTTCGCGAGCAGGAGGCGATTCTTAAGAAGCTTGAGAAGGAGAAAGCCGCGAGAGAGGAAAGGCAGCGGCAGGAGGAGAAAGCACAGAAAAAATTGAGAGAAATGGGGGTGTGCCCTGTAGGTTATCGATGGATCAAACAAAACGGTGGTTATCGGTGTGAGGCTGGGGGTCATGTAGTGTCTGATGCACAGCTGGCATAGAGTTGACTATCCATCGACCCTCTGTGGTCGACTACTGTGCCTCACTTTTCATGTGCAATTGATTGTTGGAAAATCAGTCAGGCTATGCCCTATACTAATCGTTGATCAACGTTTTGCCGTGGCAGTCATGAGAGTATTAGCACGATAGATCATAGCTCTCGATATTGATGGATATCAAGGACTCCTCCATGAAGTGATTATAACTTTCTAGCTTGGTGCATATGTCTCCTGTTATTCTTCTCCTTCATATTCATCTTTCTGCTCTTTACAGTGGATCTGTGATCTCTAGAATCCCTACATGTCCTCCTGTTTTATACTGTATATAATATTTAGAAAGATAACCCCAATAAACTAGCCTTATATTTTAGCTCTATACTGGAGCTAACAAATCACTAGAACAAAGATAAAAAAAAAAAAAGACCTTAGAGTCGCAAACTTCACTACACCCTTAATACTTTATCTTCAAGTATCAAAGTTGAAGAATTCCAGACTCCGGTCCAGACCGTCTTCCCCATCCTCTTCCTGGTCCTTCCCTTGCTCCTCCTGTTCAGGCCAAGACTCAGCAGTTCTCCCAACCTGACAATCCGACTCAGATCCCTCGCCCTCCCGGCTGTGCAAAAGTGTCCAGTACCAGGTATCGTCGAGGGGGGTTTGCGATGCCCCCTCGTCACGGCTAGACGCACAGCCAATACGGCGCCGTTTGCCGCCAGCGGAGGGAATAGGCACGTCGATCGCCCACGGAAGCCTAGACACGCCCAGAGTGAGCGGCACTGTCTGGCGGACGATCGCGGGGAGGGAGGATCCATCTGGCGGGAGATGGCCGGTCGCGAGGCTGCTGTCGATGCAGGTCGACAGCAGTAGGTATGCGCGCGGGTGTTTTAAAAAGGCGTGGACCCAGCCTGTGACACGCAGGTTGGTAAAGGGCGCATTTTCGGGGTGGTGGGCTGGGGAGGGGGCGTTGTTGGTGTCGCGGAAGAGATTCTGGGTGATGGCGTAGGCCAGCTGGAGGATGTGGTTTGTGCCTTTTGAGAAGAGCTCGGTGACGTCGTAGGCTTTGCGAGACTGGCGGATGACTTCGGTGCAGTTGTTGAGGCTGTGTTGGCGATTGATGGAGTGTGCGTAGGATGGGGAGAGGTGCATGTCGATGGCGGAGAGGATCAATGGAGTACCGCAGTTGGCTAGACTGATGGCGCTCCGTTGCTTGTAAGATGGTGATCTGGAGGATTAGATATGAGGTACTTACACGCTGAGGGGAATACTTTCGGGGAGGTGTCGAGAGGCAAAGAAGGCCATGGTTTGCGTTAGATGCGACATGGAACTCTCGAGGTCTTTGGCGATACCAAGGAGGATTGTCGCGGAGCGTTCTTGAATCAAATCGATGTGCTCTTCGACGAGCAGGGTCTGGTGGTGGGATAGTGCCATGCGGGCATTTCTGGTCTTCGTCAGTATCCTTTTTGATTGATCGGACCGTGTTCCATCCGTGACACATACTGATAGTACATGAATGTGAGGTTGATATTGACATCGATGATCTCGTGCTCCGGGTTGTGCATCGGGACCTGGACATCGACTTCGTCTTTCCACAGCGCAAGTTGACCTTTCAGCCGCTCGACTCTTGCAAGACTCTGCTGGAGCCCCTGCCAGGACAGTCGCGGGACGTAGCCATCTGAGCTCGCAAAGGCGATAGAGATGACCCCCGTCAGGATCACCGCGAGCCGGCACTGGGCCTGGAAGATCTTCAGAAGCGAGCGTTTCGCGTCGGCCCCATACACTGGCGAGAACATGATCTCGTCCGCGACGTCGTCCTCGTCCAGGTAACCGGTCGTCACGTTGAAGCTGGCAGAAATGAACTGCGGCCGCCGATGTCGCCCCAGCCACAGGATCCTGTCGCGCACAAAGACCGACCAGATCAGCCGTTTTTTCGCAATGCGGGTGGCGTCTGCATCTGGTACATGCGTGTCCTGGCCGACTGCGATCGCATTTTGAATGGCACAGAGGTTCCACGTCATGGTGGCCTCGGGGTCTTCGGCCGTGGTGTGAAAGGTGAGCAGCGCTGCGCCTTGAGCTCTGGCTAGTGGGTTGCTTTCGAAGCCCGTATCATAGAGGACCTGTGTCGGCTTAGTTGAGCGAGCTGGGACTCGTCGACTCTAGGGTGATGGGAGCCTCCGCGCAAGAATGCGTTACCTTGGCTCGCTTGTAAAGGGCCCTTTTGGCCTCGTGCACATTGCCAAATCCCCACTGCTGAAGAACGTCGACCGGAACGAACTAGTTAGGGAAGAAGACTATTAGGAAGACGTCGACGACATCGTGGAACAGTCCGTAGTGACCTACTGAACAACTTGCCAGGAGCATGGCTTGAAACACGAACAGTGACACCTTCTGGCTGGGGTCGAGATTCTCATTGGCGTGCAGGTAGGTATTCCAGAACTGGACCTCGTTGAGGATAGGCAGCGATGGGTGGATAACGAGTAAATACTTCCTCAGAAACACATCCACCAGGTCCTTGGGAGGGATGTCAAGTGAGCCATTGGTGACCAGAACGTGCACATCATCCATCGGAAGAGACGATAGTTTATCTAAGGCAAGGAAGTACTGTCCTGGAACTGCGGCGCCACTGTCTTCCACCACGAGACTGTCGACGCTGTGAGGGTCCCCAGCCCCGTTCCACAAACTCATACCAGCCCCTCCCGCGAGATCTGTCTGCGTCGATGGCTCCGGGACCCGGATTTCTGGCAATGGCGATGAGATGACTTCTGGCGCCGCTTCATATGCACTCAACCCGGGGGTCGTGGGCGGGATGATCTCGGCTGACGCGCCGAACTGTGAGATCCCGTTTTGCTGAAGCCTTTTGAAGCGCGCTGTCACGTTTGGGCGCAGCGTACAGTCCGTTCTTCCATCCAGCGTGCAGTTGGTGCAAGGCGATCCGAGAACGGCGGCATCACAGCGAACCTTGCGCCAGTGACACCGGTAGCACGCGGCCGCTGCTCGTCGAATGCGCCGTTCAGGCCATACCATGCCTTTGGTGGATTCCATTTGCGTCCTCGACGAGGTTGTGTTCCGCGAGTGTCATCACCGTGCACGTCTCCGGCTCTCCGGCGCACTATCTGGGGTAATCTACTCACCCCATGGGGGTGCGCAAGGTTCTCCGCATAACACTAAACCACCTTATACGGTCGATCATCCTGCGGGGCTGGAATTCTCCCGATGGTTTACCTCGGACTGATCCCTGTCAGCCACCGCGTGGATCTGCCTGATATTTGCGGCTTTAGTCGTCGAGGTTAGACCATTTGGGCAGACTAGCTCGCGCATATTGCCATATAACTTGTGGGGTAAATGACTCATTCTGGAGAAAGTTCTGGGGAAGCACGCGGTTCCGAGTTAGGGCTACTAGTGCAGTATGACCTGCCGAGCGGACGGCATGGGTTCAGATATACCCCGGTCCACGGCTGCGAGTGATGTATCTTGGATATCTATTGACATATGACTGCAGAGAAACTGTCTAGACGACATGATGTACCAGCTGTCAAACGAACTCTAAAACCAGCTTGCGCTCAAGCTTTCAGGCGGCATGAGTAAAGTCATCAAATCATAAGAGCTACGTCGAGATGTTGACCAACATATGGTATAGGGCTAAGGTGACTGATATCACAACATCTAAATTCATTCGACATTCTAGGGCACAGAAAAGGGAACGACAAGTAGCACAACCAAACGAGTAGATGAATCAACGAAAACAATAAGCAACAACTAACAAAAAAAAAGTTGTCGAAATATACCAATCAAACCTGGCCGCGTTTCTTCAACCGCCGCCTCATATCTTTCATGTAAAACTGCAACGGGATAGTACGAATAAATTTCGGAATGGCAGGATAACCAATCTTAGCCCCCAGTATCACTGAACTGTAGAAAATCCTTTGGAATCTGCCCGTCTTCAACCCATACGCCTCGCGCACACTATCCGGCAGCATCTGCGCCGTCATTAGCCGCACAACAGGCAGGCCCATCCGCAGGGGCAGAAACAGATGTTTATTCCACAGGAGATCGCGCGCGACACGTCGCGCATGGGGCGTGATCTCCAGCTTCTCGACAGCCGAGTCCCAGTACTTCCAGAAGGCCTTGCGCGAGGGAGGCCACATCTCGGACGGGACGCGGAGGGAAACGGCGAGCACGGAGAACTCGCGGTAGACGTGGTCGGCGCGAGCGGAGTCCATGGGTCCGTAGACCTCTTCGTACATGAAAATGCCGCTAGCGTACAACGTCGACGCAACCCAGACCTGGAGCTCGGGGTTGTTGGCGGAGTAGTCCGGGCCTTGGACGTCGGCGTGGGCGCGGTTCACCATGGTGATGAGGGCACGTTTCTCGTCGCGCGTGCCGAACGACATGCAGTAGACGAAGGTGAGAGTCGTGCGGAGTCGGCGCAGTGGCTTGTACGCAAAGCTGCTGTGGTTGTCAACGCCTTTGGCTACTCCGGGCATTGCGACTTGGAGGAGGATGGCGGCGGCGCCGCTCGCGAGCAGGATGCCTTCGCGGACGACTTTCTGGACCTCGTGGGAGTTTTGGAGCCGGTCGAGCAACTCGTCTGAGGGGATGTCGCTCAGAGGTTGCTTCTCCGTGTCGATCAGTACTTTCTCGCTCTCTGGTCGGTCTTCATCTTCTTTTGGTGAGACTTGCGATGGTTTCATTGTGGTTGGGGAGTCGGTGGCGGGCGTTTTGTGTGCTGCCATGTTGAGGATAAGGAACGATAGTCGTACATCTCCTGCTGAAGGGGTCGACGCATGCTTTCCATGAGGAAATTATATTGTCTCTGGAAAGGTAGGTAGGACGCAAGAGTGATGGCAGCTCGTTTGACGTGGTGGGTGTAAAGGTTGGCAGCGCCGCGGTATACGGACCGAGGGAGCAGAAACCCTGAGATGACCTCCCCCGCAGAAAATCAATCCTCCAGGGTTCACCGTCCGGGGTCTAGTGGATCTACCTCCAAGTTTTGACCGGCTCATGCAGCTAGCACTGACCATCTCACGGCTAAAGCGGGGGGCTCGTGGTCACAGGCGAAAAACAGTCATGAACTCCCTAACCGTCTTCGTGGATGCGATACTTAGGGCTAATTTCCCCGGCTTGGGCACGCGCCATCGACCATGCGCTCGACCATGGAAAGCTACAAGTACTAGCTGACGCTATCTAGAGTCAATCAATACTGATCTCCACTCGCTTTGTATTGTTTTGGCGCTAAGTTCACTTTCCCCGTTGCCCACAATGCCCATTGGAGATTCGCGCATGTCCGCTGGCATAGGGCCATCCAAGGTGTCGACCGAGTCGCAGTCTTCCTCAGATGAACGTGAGGAAGCCCAAGCTGAACGCGCAGTGGGGGACAAACAACGACACATAGGTTCACAGGGCAGCCAGCCCGTAGGATTTTGGCCCAAATTCTGGAAGCACTTCAAGCGGTACTGGTTGTGCTATGGCATCGCCGGGGTGATATTTCTCGCCATCTTTCTCCCCGTTTTGTAGGTCGTTCACTCATCTATTAACAACCTCCTGGCTCACTGGCCAGTTATTGTTCGCTAATTCATACACCTCTCTCTTTCTCCCCTCTAGCTTTCTCGTCATCATTCCCGCCATCGCGCAGAGACTGGTGGACGATGCCGCCATCCCCATTAAGTTCGCCCAAGTGCTGCAGCCAACACCCGACAGTATTACCTTTTCGCTTTCCGCCTCGCTGAAGGTCCCGCTGGGTTTGAGCGTCACCATTGACCCCCTGGATCTCAATCTGTTCAACCGGGAGGTCAAACCGATGAAACCCTACATCACGGCCCCCTTGGGACGCATCCGCCTCAAGGGAGAATCCGCCATCACCGTTTCGAACCAGACGACGAAGATCCGAGATCAAGATGAATTTATCAAGTTTCTGTCTAAAGCCGTCTACTCCAAGAGATTCACTTTATCGGCGTATGGAAAGACAACGGCGCATCTTGGGAGACTCAAAGTTCCACTGAAGCTGGACAAAGACATTGAATTGGATGGTGTGCACATCCAAAAGTTCCCCTGGTTCGTCCACGTAGCCCTTGCTGACGACGGATTGATCCACGACACGCAGGTCTCGACCAGCTCAATGGCTTCTCCCTTGACACAGCAAGCCTCGCCATTCCTCCCAAAGAAGATGGTTCGAACCTGGTTGGAGAGGCGACAATTCCGAACCACTCACGCGTCACCTTCGCTCTGGTAAGCCCATTTACTCACCTCCATTTCCTGCCCCTTTACTGAGATACTCACACGCAATCAAAACATACAGGGCAATGTGACCCTCGCGCTCAAAATTGACGACCTTGTCCTTGGCAACGGCACCATCAACAACGTCCTCCTCAGCCCAGGCAACAATACCATTCCACTCCGGGGTATCCTCGACATTGGCAAAACGCTCAGCAACGTCGCAACCGTTCTAGCCGCGGAAGCCGACTCCCTCAGCCAGCTGCAGGTGAAGCTCTGGGCCTCGGGGCAATCGGTCGTCGCGAACGGACTACACCTCCCCTACTTTGAGAAGGTGCTGAGCAATCTGACCGTTAGTACGCAGGTGCCTGTTCTCAAGGTGCTCATAGGGTCGGTTTCGGAGCTCATAGACTCTAATCCGGGGGTCATGTCGAATGTGACTGAGGCGTTGCGGGGTACAGACTTGTCGAGTGGGCCTAATATGTGACCGTTGTGCGATTGGTTGTGTTAATCGATGGATTGACACCACTCCACGAATGGGTCATATGGCATATCCGTATCTAATAGCATGAATGAATCATCGTGTCGACTGCGTATCCATCTGTATGACTCGGCAAGCCTGAGTCAGGGAGGGAAGGGGAAGACCGTGCGTCAAATCCACCATTTGAGTTCCTCCCACGCTATAATTCTCAGAGAATTTCCCTGTCTCCAGTCAGCTCACGCGAAAAGTTGAGCCCCTGCGCAAGATAACCGCCAATGATATGATTCAATTCGTCTCCTGAGCAGAGGTTAATGCACTTCCCCCGCATGGGATAGTCCCCCCCACCCCCACACGGGCCCGCCAACGGTCCGAGGTAATGTTTTGCCATATTTAAATTAACCCTATGCAGTTTTGCGTCTTGGTTCTACGCCACCAATATATTAAACTCGGAAGCTCTGTCACCCCTCTCGCTCTAGACAATATTCACGCACGCTATCTCGGACCGCTATCGTCGCGCCACCTTGGAGAGATGCGCTGGAGTGGGCGGGGTAGCGTGCCTAGGCGAAGGGTTTGGGGTTCTCTTTCACGTAAGTCACTGGAACTGGGGCTTTCAGAAAGGGCCGCCATGGTTCAGACACCTCCGACGGAACGAGCTATCACGGGGAGTAGAGGACAAGGCAGGGAAGATGGTCACGGTGGTGGATTCAGCCCGAGGCAAGTGAGTATGGGCCGGGGTCGAGCGGCCTCACGACCTATTCATAAGACTTATCGATGGCTCTACTCAAGTCAGTAACTCTCGATGCTCAAGAGTTCTAGTGACTTGCCTTTCTGATCACTCGTTGACCATGAGAATTCTTCCGACCCTTGTCGCCCTGTTGGCTGCAGGATCGCTGGCGGCAGATCCAATTGTCACGTCGTCGGGTCCTTCTGCGACAGAGGACCAGGCGTCATCGACGGTGGACAGCCCCAAGCACTCTGTAACAGACACTGGTGTTGCATCTCCGCTCGTGGATGCGGGCCCTGATGTCACAAGCGACTCGCCGCAGGACATCCCTAAAAATCCAGCCAAGGATTTCGTCTCTTCGGCTGCGGACAAGGTCACCCAAGTCGTTCCACTTCCGGACTCGGATCCAACATCGTCGTCGTCGTCGTCAGAAACCACGGAAAAGGCACATAGCACAACGTCGCCTTCAAGCGCCCCACCGCAGCCGTCCTCTTCATCTAACGGTGAAAGAGAACATGGCCCGCTTGATGACTTTCTCGGGGGCCTGGGTGGAAGTGACTCCAACAAATCACCATTCAAAGACCTCCGTGGCCTCGAAGATGGCTTTAAGAATATAGCCAGTCTATTCACGCCGGACTTTGTCAAGGACACCGCAGGTCTCGTCGGTCAGGCGTCCAAATTCTTTGACGATGATACCATCAAGGATACCAAGGCCATGATCAGTACTGTAGCAGGGTTAAAGCCTGCACTCTCCTCGGCCAAAGGGGGAGATCTCTCTGCAATTTTCCAGAATGGCTCTTTCGTAAAAGACATCGACAACGTCTTCCAGGACCTCATCGCACTGCCGGGAATCTTGAAAGAAATACTCGATCTTTTGACCAGTGATGAAGTGAGGGACGTGATCAAGGCACTCCCCGAACTCCTCGAGGGTGTCAAACCAATCTTGAACCCGGAGTTACTTAAGGCCCTAGAGTCGCTGATCACAAAGAATGCGACCCCGGAGTTTATAGACGACCTATCGAAGACCCTCAGCGCGGTCCGACCACTCCTTCACGATCTGCAACCGCTCTTGGGGAACAACACAGTCGGGCCTATTCTCGACCTGGTGAAAACCATCGCCGCGCCGGACTTCATCAAGGAGATTAATTCTCTACTGAAATCTCTGCCACCCATTTTGAAGGAAATCGCCCCTCTCCTTGGTCCAGACGTCATCGGGCCACTACTAGACCTTATCAAGGAGATATTGTCTCCGGAGATAATAAAGGAGCTGTCGTCCTTGGTCAAGGCTCTTCCCCCGCTAATCAAGGACATTTTACCCTTGATCAAGCCACTCATAGAGTTCATATCTGATCTTATAACGCCGGAACTGACCGAGGCGATCAAGTCACTACTCAAGGACCTGCCGTCGATCATCAACGGCCTTGTGCCTCTTCTCAAGCCATTAGGCGATATCCTCAAGGATGTCCTCACCCCAGAGTTTGTTAAAGACATTGGAGGCCTTCTCAAGGGCCTACCACCAATTGTCAAACAGCTGACGCCCTTGCTCGAGCCACTCGGTGACCTCGTCAAGGAGATCCTGACACCCGAGTTCATCAGCGACATCAAGTCACTCCTTGAGCTCGTACCAGGGTTGATCAAGACCATAATGCCACTTGTTCCCAAGCTCGAGGATCTCCTCAAACAACTTCTCACCCCAGAAATGATTGACATGATTGAAAAGGTCATCGAGGGACTACCTGGCCTTGTGAAGGCCCTGCTGCCTCTGCTGCCGCCAATTGAGCAATTGATCAAGGACATCATCACGCCTGAGTTCATGAAGGCCATCACATCTTTGCTGAAGGAAGTGCCAGGGCTGCTCAACATGCTTCTCCCACTTCTTCCGCCGGTGGAAGATCTCATCAAGAAGATAGTCACTCCCGAGTTGATCAAGACGCTCGGATCACTGATCGACATGATTCCTGGGCTTCTTCAAACACTCTTACCTCTGATCCCGCCATTGGAAGACCTCATCAAGAAGATAGTCACTCCCGAGTTGATCAAGACGCTTGGGTCGCTGATCGACAAGGTTCCGGGGCTTATTCAAGTGCTCCTACCTCTACTTCCACAGCTCGAAAAGATGGTAGTCGATATCATCACCCCGGAATTCATCAACGAGATCGGAAAGGTTTTGGCGGCGGTTCCGGGCCTATTGCATGCCGTGTTACCTCTTCTTCCACCGCTCGAGGAAATGATTCCCAAGGTCCTGACAAAGGACCTGTTCTCGGCAGTGGAATCCGTACTTGCCGCTTTGCCAGGCATCATCAACGACCTGCTTCCCTTGTTGAACGGCGACACGATCGCGTCCTTGGTGAAGATCCTAACGGACCTCCTCACCCCACAGTTCATCAAAGACGTGGGCAAAGTGCTAGCCATCGTCCCACCATTGCTCCACGACCTCGCCCCGATCTTCACCCCGGAGCTCGTGAAAGCAGTGGGAAATCTGCTATGCAGCTTGGCCACCCCGGACACCGTCAACGCCCTCACCTCGTTGGTCACGGCCGTGATTCCCGTCCTCAAAGACCTCATCCCCATCATCAACAACAAAACCGTGAAAGAGCTCATCGCCGGGCTCCCCGAGATCCTCGAAGGTCTTCTCGAAATCTTCAACGTCGACGTGATTCTCGCCCTCGAGGCAGGACTAGCAAGCCTAATCACCGAAAAATCCGTCACAGACCTAGGTCAAGTCCTCGCCGCGCTCCCACCCCTCCTCCACAGCGTAGTCCCCATCTTCAACAAGACCCTCATGACCCCAATCAACCGCGCCATCTCCTCAGTCCTCACCGTCGACCTCGTCGAAGACGTTGGCAGTCTCGTCAACGTAACCCCAGCCCTCTTCGAAGACGTCATGCCCCTCTTTCACGAGGACATCATCGCTCCCAGCGAAGACATCCTCAAAGATCTCATCACGCCAAAGACAATGGACAGCATCGGCTCGGTGCTCCACGCCGCATCACCCGTGATACAGAGCCTCCTCTCCGTGGTTTCCAGCAGCGCAATTACGTCCCTCCTGGACGCCGTCCCCAAGATCCTCGACAGCCTGCTGCCGCTGCTCAACGGGGACGCGGTATCGGCGCTTGTGAACGATCTGACAAAGGCATTGACGCCCGCGTTGGTGGATGACATTGGGACCGTGCTTGAGTCGCTCCCGGGCCTGGTGCACTCTGTTGTTCCTATCTTTTCGGGAAATATCCTTCCGACACTGGTGGAGAATGGGATTCCCTTGGTGAAGGCTGTGGTTGCGGTGAGATCTGTCCCCTTTGGCTTAGTTTTTTTTCTCAAAAAAATAAAAAGAAGGAAAAAAAAGAAAAGGATAACTGGCTAATTCTGTTGAACAGCTACTACCCATGTTGTCGGATATCTTGAGCAATATCAAGTTGTAAAGATGACGGATTAGAACTTCGACGTCAGGATGGAGACGCGATATTCTATGTGGCTTGACTGGTAGTGGGCTTTTACGGATGATAACAATGACTCTTGATGTTAGCAGATAATGAACACGACAACAAATGAACAAAACAACACAGAAAGAAGTAAAAAGGAACGCAGTGGTCTCCTAGGAAAGAGTGGAGGGAGAAAAACAAAAAAGAATATGACCGACGCAGGGTTCGAACCTGCGATCTCTCGTGAACATAAGTTTGTAAGACGAGCGCCTTAACCACTGGGCCAGTCGGTCGAACAATACGTTATGTAACAGACATTGAGTTTAATGAGCATTGATATGGTTTATGGCAGGTACTATCTTTGCCACGCTGGACTCAACCGTGTGGTTCATCCACATGTACTCTATGACCCATACATATTTTAAGTGAGAATATTCTGTATTGAGAAACATACACCCAGACAGCTCTTTAAACTACTCGTCTTGCTACTATAAATCACTTACAATATTGCAGACAAATATTCAACACTTGATACAATCTATTCAATCCATGCAACAGATAAGTTAAAAAAAAAAAGAGAAAATGCTACTAATCCATTATATCCAAGATATCACAAACAAAAGAAAAAGAAAATTTTTACAATACATCAAAGCACCCGCTTATTTCTTGAACTGATCCTCAGTAACACCCTTACCCATAGCCGCAGTGCTGCTCACACCACCGCTAACCATCTTCAGCATGTTATCAACGTAGTTGGCACCGCTCCACTTCTGGTGCGTGACGACGTCCACGCCGAGCTCCATCTCGGGCTCCTGGACCAGCTCGCCGTAGGCGCGCATGCCCTGGTGCGAGAAGGCGCTGGCGAACTTGTGCGAGATGAGCGCGGTGGTGTGCAGGCCCGCCAGGGTGATGAACTGCCAGCAGTAACCCAGGGCGCCCAGACGCTGGATGTAGGTCTCTTGCTCGTCGCGGGGCATGGCCTTCTTCCAGTTGAAGGAGGGGGAGAGGTTGTAGGCGAGCCTGGATGATTTGTTAGTGGGATGTTCTCGAGAATACTTGGGAAGGGTTCAATGGGGACATACTTCTGCTCGGGCCAGACGGCGTGCACACCGTCGGCGAACTCCTTGGCCTGCTTGTAATCGGGGAGCTTGCTCTCCATCCAGATGAGGTCGGCGAAGGGGGCAAAGGCGACGGCGCGGTTGACGGCGCACTGGGTGCCGCCCTGGTAGCGGTAGTAGCCCTCGCGGGTGCGGGCGGCGTCCCAGTCCCAGAAGATGTCGGAGCCGGTGATGCCCTTGGCGATGGCGCGGACCTCGGGGTTAGACTTGCCCTTGGCCTGCTTGAGGAACTCGGCGATGACGGCGGGCTTGTTGGCGTGCGAGCCCTGGTTGATGGCGTCGACGACGGCCTCGCTGAAGAGCTTCAGGCCGGCCTGGGCGGTCCACTGGTCCTCGATGGCCTGCAGGTCGGCGCCGTTCTTGCCGGCGCGCTCGGCGGCCACCATCAGGTCGTTGAGGGGCTTCAGGTTGGGGTTGGTCGCGCCGACGATGAAGGCGTGGTCGCGGTGGTCGATGGTGGAGGTGATGAGGGTGGCGGCTTCGGAGTCGGTACGGGCGATGGCGAGGAGGTCGGTGCCTATTTCTGTTAGCGGGGTGTGTTCTGTGCTCCGCTGATTGTGTCTCAAGACATACCCATGATATCGGCCTGCGCACGGATGGCGACCAGACGGTTGATGTGCTCGCTGATGGGCACCAGCACCTTGCCGGCCATGTGGCCACACTTCTTGGTACCGGGGGCCTGGTCCTCAATGTGGATACCGGCGGCACCGCGCTCGATGAACAGCTTGGTGAGCTTCATGACGGCGGTCAGACCACCGTGACCGGTATCGGCATCGGCGACGATGGGGCGGAGGTAGTCGACGTTGGCGACGTTGGCGCGCTGGCTCTTGGGGGTGGTGACGCGCTCCTCGCGCTGTTTCCGGTCGTGGAACAGCTGGGCCAAGAACAGCTGGTTGACCTTGTTGGGGACGGTATTCATGGGGTAATCGGCCAGATCGGGAGAGGGCTCGTCGGTGGACGAGGCGGTGGAGGAGCTCTGCCAGCCGGACACGTAGACGGTGTCGAGGAACTTGGCCATCTGGGTGATCATGGTGGGTTCGAGGCAGCCATAGGTGGCGCTGGCCAATTTTTTCTGCTATAGTTAGTAACCCGGTCTTCAAAAAAAAGAGAAAAAAGAGTATGTTGTAGGCTCACCTGGAAGTTGTTCTCAACGATACCCCACAGCTTCTTGCTCTGGGCGTTGGAGGGGTACTCGATCTTGAGGTTGCCACGCTTGGCGACGATCTGCTCGGCGGTATAAGGACGCTTGGTGTACCTCCATCGCGAGTCCTTCCACCAGTTCTGGACGGCCTGCACCTCGGCCTGGTATTGCCGGTCCTCGTTTTCGTAGAGAGACATGATTATAACAATCTATGATATAATGTATATGACAGGGTGGGAAGGGTATATGGGGATCCCGAAGCTATACAAGGAATGACAAGACAACACACTCCCAAGTCAATGAGGAGGAAATGAATGCAGAAGAGAAGAAAGTAGAGAGAAAAAAAAAAGAGATCCGAGGCAAATGGCCGAGCGAGACCCAAGGACTTATTTATTCATGGCGAATGCGTCAGAGATCATGGACCATGGTCGGTAAAGGCTCGGCTCAGCGGGAGAAGAAGGGAAATAGCGGCGCCCTTGGCCGGGGAGGGGGCAAAAAAGGGCCTAGGGAGATGAATCATGGTCCAGCAGAGTGTTTCTGTAATACCAATAACTCCAGTATTCCACCAGATAATTTTCGAGTGGAATCCTTGAAAATGGCGAATGATGAGCAATGATTGGTTTGGTTCGGGAGAGAGGATGAAAACTGGGGAAGATGGAAAGATCCTCGGTCTAATGGATTTAGATACCTCTGCCTGTCGGATGGGGTTGTCTCCTGTCTAACAAGGTGTCGTTGTGACTATAGTTTTTATCTCGATATTCCTTCCTCTTCATTATCCTCTCACTGTTATCTTCAGTCATTCTATCCCCAATAATCCTATCTTAATGTTGAAATGTAGAAATACTACCTACAAAATACGACATGGATGACGTCGTCAACATGTGCTTTGGTGATCGACATACCATACCTGACAATACCATACGGCCCATCGGAGTGGTATCGGATGACTCATTCATTAGTCTCCTCCAGTGGACAATTTCGCTGTCTCAGTTGAATATATTTAGTTACTTCAGTCCACATACTATGAGCATACGATAAGATCAATAGTCAATGTTTCCTTATTATGATTTCACTCAAGTAACGTCTACGTACTAAGGACCTTGAAGACATGAAGAGACTGAATGACTGGATGATACGGGAATACTGGGTACCTACATCAGATAATCAGAGAATCACGCTAAGCCAATCAGGCAGGTACCTCGGCTTCTTTGCACCAATCATTGTACCGAAATGCATCTCGGATTCTGTAAATTACAGCATGTCATTTCTTCCTTCTTTTCCCGAGGCGCATTCTCGTGCTTCTCGTCTGCTTCTGCCTTCAATCTGCCTATCCTTCCCTCGCTGTTCTCTCGGGGGTTGATCCGATTTGGATTCTTTCCTAGGCTCAATGATATCCCGACCCAGTGAGCTCATTCGGGGCAACTGCTGCCGGAGATATACTGCCCACCTAGACTCTACTATCATTTAGATAGTACTTAGCTCCCCTATATACAGATTATCTACAACATACGTACTACATTCATGTGCCAGTCATTCACATGCCCACTAGTCCTTTTGATAGATGCACCTTCCAGTCAATTGACCCATAAATGGCTCAATCGCGACCTGATCAGGTGCCCCTTATCTTATCGCTTGGAATCGGCCTGACATGTGATGGATGCCCTGTCATGTGATATCCCTGCTGTCAGTCTCGGTCTGTTTGGAAGAAGACGCAACAGCTGGCCGGATGCTGATCGCCCGACTCCTTTATTTCAATCAAAAGGCGATATCGCGATAATGTGTCCGGCGTATCGATCGGTCTCCCGAGACTCCATCCAACCCACATGGGCTAGGTCACGAAGACCCAACTCTTGGTGGGCTGCCTTCGGACTAGACGGACAACGGTCTGGGCCATGACGGACTGACAAGTTTTCATTTCTGTGGATGCTAGATGTGCGTAAAGTCGCTCTTGTGGGAACTTGTCGTGCTGTTGAAATCAGTCAGGACAACCTTCTTGGATAGGGTGCCCAGATTTCTCGCCGCCTCATCCTGCAGGGTCTCCCGGGAGACAATGTTTGGTGGATTTGACAACGACTAGAGTCAAATATTAGTCAGTTGTCAACAAATTGATAGCTCTACCTTGATATAGGCGGTTCGGGCTGTATCTTAAACAGCCTTCTGTATCTTAAACAGCCTTGGTCGGCTTCGTGAGCCTCTCGGCAGGCTTCCTTCATTGTCCACACGGCCCGCCTATCGGGATCTCCCCAGGCATCCTTCGCTGCCTTAGAACGTCTTGCCCTGTGCATTTGTCGCCTCATCACAGTTCCGGTCGGACCACTTAGCCAGCTTATGTTCTAGTTAGACATTGTGGTTTGGTATTCCAAATCATTCTTTCCAGGTTGCCATTTGAGTATTGGACCGGACTGTTTGTACCGCTGTCTGGTGGCGACTATGAGGCATGCGTTGTGAAGCACATTGAAGTCAGGGAAATATACATACAATCTTAACTACGAATTATATATCTCGGCCACTGCACCGAAATACCGAATCGGAATCTGGCGGGTTGATATAATAGAGAATTACTACAATAATATATATTTAGTAAATCCTGCTTCATTTTTATTTTTTATTTTTTCAAAATCTGATGTATGATTATACATCCGATACTATATTATCACCAGATCGAGTAGTTATCTATGACTAGATATAAGTTACCTCTCAAACCATGTCCAAGACTTGTGACGATGAAGTCTATCAACTCGTCAACATACCTAGTACAGCAAAAGCTAGCCCGACTACATAATACACAAATCCAACACCACTAAGCAGTCCCACCCAGTTCAATCCCAGCCTGCTCCTGCAGCGCTCTAACCGCAAAAGCAGTCGTAACCCCCCGATTCCCCAACTCCTTCCCCATCCCGGGAAACCGATACATGAACGAAGCCTCCCACCCCCCGTCCTCCAACTGCGCTGCCCTCAAGGTCTCTACATCGCGAGGGTTGGCAAACCCCAACGCACTACACACCAACAAGCGCATCGCAAGACACAGCGCGTCCCCTCCAGCGCCGATCCGCTCCTTGATCCGCTGTTTAAGTGGGGCTTCGAACCGGTCCCGCAACGTCTGATCGTCTGTTCGGACGAGCAGCCGGCTCAGGTAGTACAGAAACCATTCCGCCGTTGGATAGTATCTTGTGCCGTTGAGGTACGCCCTGTGCAGGAGGATGTCCTGGATCCAGTTGGTTGTCTCCGGGAGTTGGTAGCCTCGTGAGTGAATGCAAAATAGTGTGAGCACGTTGAGGCAGATGACGGCGTCGACGCGGGGTCGGGATTTATCCAGGTAAAGCTGTGTGTGGATGTTGTTAGTGTTGTGGAGGCTGAGAGGGCGTGGAACGGGGTGAATACCTGGACGAGGCCGTCTTCGTCGACGTAGTTGAGCATTTCGTCGAGCATTGAGTGGACTACCTCTGGGCTGTATGGCATGGATGCTAAGGCTAGGGATGTGGTGTCCACGTCGTCGGGGTATTGGGTGGTTGTGTACTTCGGTGCTCCTAAGCGTAGAGCCATTAGCTTGACATAATTTGTTGTGAAAGGTGAGGGAGGCTACCGCTGAAGAAATTCCAGAACCTTTGAGGTCGTTTGAGTTCGACGAGGGTTCTGACAGGTAGAATCAGCATTGGCAGTGTACGCTTTTGCATGTAAAGCGCAGTCGGAGAGTGTACATACGAGTCACTAGTCGTATCCAGAATGAGCAACTGGGAGTAATTCTCCAGAACAACCTCCCCATCGATCGTCGAGAAATGCTGTCCCGCATTAGAGGTCAGATACGCACGACCTCTTTCCACAGAGTCCCCGACCAGACTCCGTAACGACCGCGAGAGCGCATCCGCAGCCTCGAAAAGAACCCCTCGCATCCCAAGCGCCGCAGCCGCTAGAACATTCTCAGGCCGGTCATCCACAAAGACAGTGTGATGCGGACTGGCACCGGTGTTCCTCAGAAGATGGCGGTAGAATCGGGGACTGGGCTTGCGGACTCCCACTTTGCACGAAGGGAAAGAGTAGTCGAATAGCGACCAGAACGGGTGCCCCCATCGCTCTTGGAGCGCCGTATAGTCTGGCAGGGAGATGTTCGAAGCCATGATAAACCGCACGCCGGGGGTGCTTTTCTTGAACGCCCATAGGCCGGCTACCAGGTCGTGGTCGTAATTGGAGGCCTCGCGCCCTTTTTGGATGGCTGTTGCTAGGCCGCCTTCTTGGAGACAGTATTGGTCTCCTAGGAGCTGGTAGCATTCTTCTTCTCCGAGTTTGCCGCATTCGTAGTTCATCCATGTTGACGTGGATGTTAGTCTCCGGACAGAGACTAGCGACGAGCCTACAGTGGAAAGCAGTACATCGTTGGATGGAGGATCGGTGAATACGCCGCCTAGATCGAACACGATATGGGATACATTTGCTGTCGTGGGTTTGAAACGGGACATGTTGTGGAAGTAAGATCACAATGTGGTATTGGTTGTTGTAGCGGGGGATATCTACACCTAAGATGATCATCTCTACTAAGAGCCCTCTCCTTTTATACCCATGCTGTAGTTGGCCTCTTTCTCACCGATATGTAAGGAATCATGAACTGGTCGCCGAGGTAGTGGCCATGACATCACCGTGTAGAATCATCATACATGGAGAAATGTAAACCATGCAAAGGCAACGGGTAATGCAAGGTTACCCAATGGTCAGTACATAGTTGGAAGGTGAAATCTCGCTCGAATATTCTACCATATAAACCCACCCTAACAGTCCGGCACTTTTTCTACTGGTTCTTTCTCTGTTCATTCTTGCAACACCAACCCAGTGGTCAAGAGAAACTTAATCACAGCATCAGAATGGCTACCAGGTGCCGTGTACCTTTACACACTACATGGAGCGTAGTTATGGATCTACTGACCATCTACAGACTCGAGAACAACCTTCTAAAGCTGGTCTCCGAAGGCCAGCACGTCGGAGCAGACGAAGTGACCGCCCTTTTCGACCGACTACCGCCGGTATCTGTGCAGGAGCTCCTAGGAGACTGGCAAGGGCTTGCCATTCAAACCGGCCACAAAGATGTCGAGACCCTGGACAGCATTGGCTGGGTTGGGAAGACATTCCACTCCGCTGACGAAGTGGACCCGGTCATTGTTCTCTCTCCAGACGGGAAGCGCGTGGCCAAAGGAGAATGGGGTTCTGCACGAGTGGGTCTAACATCTACAGCAATCTAGATAAATCTGCTAATAATTGACTACCGTGCGTCCAGATCTACGAGGTCCGCTTCAGAGGAATTGTCTCAGCCGCCATGGTCTACGATCAGTTACCAATTATTGACCATTTTCGGCGTCTCGAGGACAACATTCTGATCGGCGTCATGGACAAGAAGGGGGCATGCGAGGACTTTGGGATGGCGTTTATTTTACGGCGGATTTGAAACGGGCTTGCAGGGACATTATTGGGATGGTTCCACGTCTTGTTTATGCTTTACGTCTGTACGATGGTATACAAGACGAGAATACTAGCGTGTTGATTGGTGATGCCCTCGTAAGACATCGTCTCTGTGCGGTACCTCTGAAAAGTACGAGTGACACAGTACACTCGAGACATATGGAACTGTTCTAGTATAGGGTTAGTAGGTTGAGCGTGTCAGTAGAGAAGCAGGCCTGACCCGAACGGGGCGTGGGGACTAGTAAGAATTGGTAAAAGTTTTGAATATGTCGGATAATTACATTGGAAGGATTCTACATATCCCGAAGAAATGACGCCAATATCATGGAATGGGCGTACTGGTCAATCAACCACCACCCCTTACATCGTCTGCTTTATCTGTAGAACTATTTGCAGGATGATGTCTCATGGTATGGCAAACAAATGCCGTGCGACATGACCCAACGTCAGCTCCACGACAGCAGTGGTCAGCAGGCACGGGGTGGATTGTAAAAGAAACTGGCCGTATACAGAAGAGAGTTGTTGGACAGTGTCACCCCAGCAGAAGAAGAGAAGCACCAACAGTTGTTACCATTTCTAGAGTCAACATCTTCAGGGATCCCAACAGAGGGCTCGAGAAGATGGGTTTACTATTTTACCTTGGTAGCTTTGTAAGTACACTCAAATCTATGGTTTCCAAGCTGATTGAGATCCAGGCCGCGCTGTATATCCTCTATAAAGTGGTATACAACCGACACATTCACCCCCTCAGCCACTACCCCGGGCCTTTCCTAGCCAGCGTCTCTAGAATCCCCTTTGCTACAGCATACATCCGCGGCCATCTACACACCCACGTACGCAATCTCCACCAGGCATATGGCGACATTGTGCGAGTCGCCCCCGACGAGCTCAGTTTCCAGAACGAGCAAGCCTGGAAGGACATCTACGGATTCGGCCGGAACTTCCCCAAGGACACCCGGTTCTTTAACGTGGCACGGAATGGCGCCTGCAACATGGCGGTGGCTCCAACCGACGAGATACATCGTCGACAACGGCGTGTTCTCGGCGGGGCGCTCTCAGACACCGCGCTGAAGCACCAGGAGCATCTGCTCCAGCACTACGTCGATAACATGATCCAAAGACTGCTGCAGCAGAGCACTAACGCGGCAGAAGCAGTTGACCTTACCGAGTGGTTCAACTACACGACCTTCGACTTCATGGCAAAGTACGTATTCGGCGAGTCACTCTCCTGTCTGGAAGACGCGCAATACCACCCCTGGGTGAAGATAATCTTCGCAGCCATCCGGGCCTGGGCCGTAATCAGCATGTCCAAGTACATCCCCTCGCTGTCATACCCAATCAAAATTATCACGCTGTGCATGTATCGTCGTCTTCTCAAAGACCGCGAAAATAATTTCCGCTTCAGCACAACCAGGCTCGCTCAGCGCATGAGTCGTGACGACGAGCCATATCCGCCGGACTTCATCTCGCATGTCAAATCCAGCCAAGGTCCCAAGGCAATCCTGTCAGACGATGAAATCCGTGCAAATGCTAGCTTTTTTATGATTGCCGGGAGCGAGACCACGGCTACCCTGCTCTCAGGGTGCATTTTCCTCCTGCTGACGAGACAAGATACTTACCGCGAGTTGGTATCGCAGGTTAGGGATCGCTACCCGACGCCCTCGGCGATCACCTTTGCCTCGACTGCTAATTTCCCTTACTTACGAGCTGTGGTGCATGAGTCCCTACGCATGTATCCACCAACGCCTTTAGGTATGCCCCGGGTGGTGCCCGAAGGGGGCGCCATGATTGCGGGGCGATTCGTCCCTGGAAGGGTAAGCACAGCTATCCTCTCTCCAAAGCTCGACGTAATATACTAATTACTGCGTAGACAGCAGTATCTGTACCACACTACGCCGCCTACCGATCACCAAAAAACTTCAGCCATCCGAATAGCTTCCTTCCAGAGCGGTGGATGGACAGTCCGGAAGACGAGTACTCCAACGACCAAAGAGAAATCTTCCAACCATTTTCAGCCGGTCCCCGCGCCTGCGCTGGCAAGAGGTAAGTCGCATAGTCATGGGACCCGTAAGTAATACTGGCACTGACATCCCCTAGCTTGGCATACGCAGAGACGTATCTCATCCTCACCAGGCTTCTTTGGCATTTTGATCTAGATTTACTCCCACAGTGCACGGATTGGATCAACCAACAGGCGTTTGTCGTATGGAACAAGAACCCTCTTCTGGTTCGGTTGACGGTGCATAAAGCTGCATAAGTCCTGATCTAGGCCGCGACATGCAATGAGACAGACAAGAAGTGCTATGAGACCTCTAAATATTGTTTTTTGTAAATCACTGGCCTGTAGATCACTGCTTTTAAAGCTCTGTAAGCTAGTGACTTATCTGTAGCTGCTTGCATTTGGGTATATATCCAAAAGTGCGTGACACCATAGCACACCGCTGAATCGCCACACATAGGTATCCATAGGATAGACCCCCGCATGATCATCTAGCCATTACTCAAGATTCAACCTAGCATCACTAGCTGATCCCTCAAGCCAGACAAAATCTTAAAGTAACATGCAAAGGATGTGCGCTGTATTACCAAGCTAACAGAGAGGAGGTGGTGCAAAGACAATACGTGCTCCAATGTATATATCTGTACATAGGTCACCCTACAGCTCACTAGTTACCCCCATGGGTTCACCCCAGGGATGATCAACAGCAACAGTCTGATAAGTGAGTAATGCAGTGCAGCCAAGAAGACGCATACCCGAGCAGAAATGCATGTAGAAGGATAAAAACAGGTCGTTCGTCTGCATGGTGGATTCGGGATTTGCTGTAGGGCTCATCAGAGAGCGAGTCTGTTGGTTGTTTTGCTCTCCCTCTTCCGTTGGATTCTTTCCTATCACTTTCTTGCTGTACTCGGCCGTCTCCTTGATACATGCATACACCGCGTAATGGAGTGCTATAAGGGTCAAGTTTTGATTTGACAATCTGACCATCCTTGCTGTGATACTCCCTCGCAGAGTATACGAGGTATACATGTGCAGTAACTAGGTCCTTATTCACTCTGATTTTCTCATTCATACAGAGCCTTTTCTACCAATACATACTAAAAAGCCGTGCTGCAGAATTTGTCAACAAGCGGTCTACATGCAGAGAGTCAGCGGTGTGGGTGTGAAGGGATTTATTCCCCATTTGGTTTAGGTTACAGTAGGCCTACGTGTGGATAATGCGTAGGTTTATTGCTTAATTTTAATTTCTTCTTATTTTCCATGCTGAGAAACAAAATCGCCGGCCTGCAAGGAACAGGCACCTACTATTCTGCACTACATTTCTCGTTTTCAATCAGGAGGTAAGCATGAAGGCGCGAAACTGGCCTCCAGATAGACAGAACGTAAATAAAAAAGAGCCCAAAAAATCAATGCGTGGCAATACCAACAACACGAGCCTTAACACTCCAATCTCCTTTCTCAGGCCGTGCAATGACACAATCACGCGCGAATTCCACATTCTTCGGGCTCGTATTGTGAAGCTCGAGGTCAAATCGACGGATGACAGTAGCAAGGAGCATGTAGATTTGCGCCGTGGCCAGACTGGTTCATAGTCAGAAGTCGAGAATAGATCACTTCAATATGCCGAAACTTACTAGTGGCCAATGCAGTTTCGGCTGCCTCTTGAGAAGGGAATTAAAGCCTGCGACATGTTGGTTAGTTGCTCTGGAGAGGCTTCGAGCCATCGATGTGGGTTGAATGATTCTGGATCTGGGAACGGGTCCGGGTGCATGTGGATTAGGCGTGCGCTGGAGCTGACTATGGACTGCACCGACTGTTAGCCCAAGGAATGGCAGAGGTTTCGTTTCTCCTTACCCCCGGAGGAATGACGTGACCATGGCACACCAGGGTCTCCGAGACAGGCACACGAGCGATACGAATCGTCCCAGGCGAGAGCCGCAGCATTTCATTAACCACCGCTCTCTGTTTGATATCAGCTACATTTGGTCATCAAGAGACAGTGGAAGAAGAGGCAAACCAAGAGGGGGAGCTGCTCCAACTCCAGCCACGGAGCAGGACTCATCGGAGAGGGCATCACGCCGCGGAGCTCGTCGCGCAACTGCAGCCACAGCGGCGGCCTCTGTACGAGATGGTACAGACCGATCAGCAGAGTCCCACTGGTGGGGTCTGACGCCGCCCCAAGAATGAGATTGACATTATCCCTAATGAACTCAGGCGCTCGAGCCTCGGCCGGTAGCGAAGGATCATTCAGAATATCAATTACCGTTCGAACCCCACCGACCTTTGTCTCTGACACTTGATGCAACCGATCCTGCAGGGCGTTGATCCCCGCGAGATTGGGCCGCAACCAGCAGATGAAGAAGGACGGAAGTCGTTGGAGGAAGCCAGGGAGCCAGGGAAAGAAGCGATTAAGGTGGAACTGGTCCGTCATCTCGCGCATCGAAGCCGTAATGACATTGTTGAAATTAGTATCCTTCAGGAAACCCAGGTCCTTGCCAAAGGTGTACTGCGTCACCGTATCTGCCGCTAAGCCGGTGAACTCGGCGTCCAAGTCCACGATGCCGTCGTTCTCGCCGTGATAGGCTGCCTCGACATGCTCTGCGACGAGGCCGACTTTTTGCTGCACGAGCGGGAGAATTTCGACGATGGCTTTCTTAGAGAAGGCTGGGTTGAGCTGCTTCCGGCGTCGGCTATGATGATCATGGTCGACGATGCTGGGGAGAGCCTCGGAGAGACCAAATCCGCCCACGGAGGTCAAACTCTTGTCACGCTTGCGCCCCCCCGACGCGCATATCTCGCTGTAAAAGGAGGGGTCGTTGACATGAACCTGGTTTGGGTTGATGCGGACAACTGGGCCTGTTGCTAATGTTAATGGGGAGGTCGACTACTTGGGAATTCTGATCCGCACCATATTTCTTGTGCATTTTCTCAACCTGCCATAGATATTTCCCACCTCGGATGACATCGTGGTAGAATTCCGGGAGCCGCGTGACGGCCGCCAACTTTGGGCCTGGAATCTTAGAAAGAGGGTGCAGATAGAGCCGGTAGATACATCTTAGTAGCAGGAGGCCAATGGCCAGAATGGGGATTATCCACATGGTGCGTTGGATGAGATGTTCGTTGGGGTCTTTCTAGGTGTAAACGAGTTATGGAACCCAATCCGGCATGCCCTGTACAAGACCACGGGTACGACACCTATATAGTCTGCCTAGTTTTATATCACCATCTAGAATAGAAGGGGACATACTTCGTGAAGTGGTACGCGTTGGTAGCAGTTGCCGTGTGGGGACCAACTGAAGAATCAAGCCCCAGAAGGATTCGATCCCCACTAGTCATGCGCTGTTGGTGATCACTCCGCATTATTGGAATGCAAGGGAAGGAACAACAACTCATCACAGCCATGTAAGGGCTATAAGACGTAGAATTTTCAGTATCTACTACGGAATTTTTAAATTGGGACGCATAGTGGTATCGATACGAAGAGGTGCAACTTAGATACAATGCTGTATAGGCCACAATCGGCCTTATCTCTGGCCCCGCAGTGGAGACTTTGGAACTGACTAAGGCTACAGACTGGAGCGACAGAAGTTGCAATTATCAAGAGAGCAGTCGTGATGACGAGGTGTAGCAGACGTAGCATTGGCAAATGCGTAAGGACTACCACAGAAGGGACACCCTAAAGTATTGCATAAACAGCCCCACCTTCTACACTCCCAAGAACTAAAATCCAAAAGCCTGGTCCCCAAGAGTCACAGTCGACGTGCTATTCCGAACAAGATGGCCAGACAGACGCTCCACCACCGGCAGTTTATGGAAAGAGTCCGAGTCCGCCAGCGATGGGAGTTTCAAGTCCCAGTCTCCTTCCCAGACCTCCCCATCCTGCAGACTGAAATCAACCTCCACAAATTCGCGGACCGAAGGGGGACCTCCGGGCACCGAAGACGGAATAAGCCTCAAATTCAAAACCGGGCTCCCCTCACTCCCGGGATGCAGCGGACCATGGGCACACTGGCGGTTGGCCGGCGTGAAGGAAGATTCCACCACTGGCCCGCTTGTGTCCGTGTGAGCTGTGCAGCTTCCTCGGATGGCATTCCTTGAGTCTGCCTGTTTAGGGTTGAAATCCACCTGGCCCAATACTTTTGGGAAGCCAAAGACCTCTCGGCCAATGTAGACCGCAATTTGGTTATCCAGGACCAGGAACATGGAGTAGTTATACTTCTGGCCGTTGTAGACCACTTCCACAAATTGGATGACTTCATGACAGGTGCCCATAGGCGAGTCCCCGTAGTCGACGAACATGATTGTTACAACGGGAGATTGTTCGACTGAGAGATTGGAGGGGATGAGGTCGCGCACAAGATTGCCATCTGTGCGGTACTTCATGATGACGGAGCTGATACCGCTCCAATGCATGGTCTTGGGTGGTGTCGGGTACGGCGGGGCGGAGATTGGGACAGGGACATTCAAGGTCGCCGAGGGGACGTTTCCAGGAAGCAGAGTCATGGTGTGTCGTAGTAACCGTTATCTTGAATGGATTTGTGTTTGGCTTTTGGGAGATCTTAGTGTTAGCTAGGAGTGATGTTGAAAAGATCTATGTCTCCTATGGCTATTTATATGTGACAAACTCTTGGGGAAATATCGACCCTAGAAATTGTAGTATGATGACTATCAAAAGGAATATCTGCAGTTGGTGGAGGAGAGGTTTGCATTCAGCCAACATCAGCTGCCTTGCAGGGTTTTTCTACTATTGTAATTTTATTCTTGTAATCCTGCAACTATTTGAAAGCTTTCTGTAGCTTCGAGTTCGTCCGTTTCATCCCCGTTTTGGACTGTTCTCACCGGTCTCCCACACGCTGAGAATCCTTTTATACCAAAGTTGTCTGCTGTGCATGTTGAATTACGACAAGTGCCTCAAGATGTAACCAAAAGATCAATTGCATGCATAATACACAAGTGACTTTTCACCGCAACCTAGGACCTCGTAGTTATCCCCCCCGGTCTACCCTGCAGGTTGATCTACGCTGAAAGGCCCATGCTATACGACCCACTGATCTTAGCCCTAACAAGGAAATCCTGCCCTCAAGGGATTTGTCCCAGTCCCTTCCCGTGGTAACACGAATCTCAACAGTTCAAAGGATTCATTTCGGTGCCTTCCCGTGGTAGCAAGGATCTTAACGGCCCAGAGGATTCATTGTGCGCCTGTCCTCCTCTAGCGAGGAGATACCAGCCCGAAGAGACCCCCCCTCCACAGCATACGCTTTTGTCTCTTATCAAAGCTCCTCTGTCTCATGAGCGCGAGTATTTAAGGGTTGTTTGAATGTTCTTAAACCCTAGGACTGAAAAATACTTCTCCAATCCCAAGTCGCGGAGAAGTGATTTATGGGCGTCTGCGTTCAATGCCCTCTCCAATGACTGTCTTCAATATGGACACCTCTTACCTATCGTTTCCCAATATTGGGCTGGACCTGCCCCTCTACGGGATCGTCATAGTTGCGATAACAAGTGCATTTGCCATTCAAGCGCTCTATCGCCTTTACTTTCACCCTCTTGCAAAAATTCCTGGTCCCAAACTCACGGCAATTTCCTCCCTGTATGAGTTTTACTATGATGTGATCTGTGGAGGAAGATTCCTCTTCCAGATTGAGAAGATGCATGAACAATACGGTGCGTCGAAGCATAGAATCCAATCAAGTCCGAACAGGAGCACTAATTAGACCCTAGGACCTATTGTCCGGATCAATCCACGCGAAATTCATATCATAGATCCCGAATTCTATCATGAGATTTACGCCCCATCAACCCGCAAGCGCGATAAGGAGCCCTCCTTCGTCAGCACGTACGGTGTCCCTTACGCGATGGCCTCAACTGTCAAGCATGACCACCACCGTTACAGACGCGGTCTGCTGAATGACTTCTTTTCCAAGCGCTCAGTGCTGTCTCTGTCACCAGTGATCGAAGCGCGAGTCGAACGGCTCATGGACCGGTTCCAGGAGTTCCACGAAAATGGCCGCGTAGTCAATATCTGCAACACCTTCGGTGCCCTAACGTCGGACATCATCACGCACTACTGCTACGGCAAGCACTGGGGGTTTCTCGAGGATGAGGAGTTCCGCAGTGACATCCGAACGGCCACAAATGACTTTACGGCCTTTAGCCACGCGAACCGCTTCTTCCCCTTCTTGACGCCCCTGCTGCGGAGTGTGCCTACGGAAATCATGGCGCTGCTAATGCCAGGGAAAGCTGCCCTATTTGCATTCGAGAGGTCGATCTTTCAGCACTTCTCGGCTGTCATCCAGGGGAAGGTGTTTACTCTCACGGGAGACCATAACATTGTGAAAAGACTGCATAGCCCGGAGATTCCCGCCGAGGAGAGAACACTGAGTCGTCTACAAGACGAAGGGTTCACTTTCCTTATCGCAGGCACGGAAACTACTATGCGTGCTTTGTCTTTTGCCACGTATTACGTCTACCAGGATCGTGCGATTCTAGAGAAACTACGGAGTGAACTTAGAGAGGTATTGCCTACACCGAACAGCAAAGCGACGTGGCCCGAGCTAGAGAAATTACCTTACCTAGTACGTCTTCCCACGTATATATTGACCCGGTGAATACTGAACGGTGTGGCCTACTAGAATGGAGTGATCAACGAAGCCCTGCGTCTCTCCAACGCTGCTATCATACGACTTCCTCGCGTAGCTCCTCACGAGACTTTACAATATAAAGAACATGTTATTCCTCCAGGAGTATGTCCTTCC